CTAGGGAGCAGAATAATTTGTGGGACGGTTTCAGGGACCGCGGTCTTGAACCTGGAATAACGCAGCCAACGATCCCAAAGCCAGACTTGACCTTTGCGTATCCGATCATAGAGCATAGACCGGAAACGTCGAAAGGGTTGTGGAGAGACGAGTCTGCAACGAACTTCACCGTTGACACTCTCTGCTCGCTTTGGAACGATGGAGGTTTAAGATCGTCTCCCAAGGCCAGTTTGGCACGACTTGAGAGGCATGGCAACAAAGCTGGCAAGCTGGTGTGCTTTCCTTGGGCTGTCGTTGAAATTAAACCTGCTGGACAGGAATCTACCCAATTCTGTTACTGCCAGGCTGCCAATGGAGCATCCTGCGCTCTAGAAATATTCGAGGGGCTCATCAGACACGCGACAGGCAGGCTAGACGATGACTTTCCTTTAGTGATTGCATTCACCACTGCTGGGCCAAGATACAGAGTATGGTTATCGTATTCCTCGACCAAAAGAAGAGGACGGAACTGCCACGTAAGCCAGCAATCCTGATCAAAGTAACGTATCTCATCCGCTCACTACGATGGTCCAGACAATGGTGTGCATATGGGAGCACTCTATGGGTACGACCTGGGGCCTTATTGCCCTGCAACACATCGTCCAGAACATGCAACTCTGGGCATTTCGAGTCCTGAGGCCAAGGGTATCGCATTATATCACCCAATGCCGCAAAAGAAATGCACAAGACTCAAGTACCGATGACGACCCCTCAGATCTGCAGGAAACCCCTCCACGGACGCCCGGGTCATCAGGGACGTCTGAGCCACCAGGACCACCCGATGCATCAGGCGGTTCCGAGCCGTCAGGATCATCTGAGCTACCAGATATACCAGACGCACCAGACTCATCATACGAGCCACCACAAACATTTGAGTCATCAGGAACATCCGGGCTAGTAGCAGCACCCGAGCTATCGGAAATATTGAACCCCCAGGAAGAACCTGAGCTGCCAAAAGCATCTGAGCCAGCAGTAATATCTAAGCCAGCGGTGACAGCCAGTGAACGCAAGTCTTCTCCAAGCACTAGCGACCCACGCCGTCCACTTGCTGAGGGAATGCCAATATCGGATGACCTGATAGCGCTCCCGACTATTTACGCCCAATCTAACGTTAAGACACCGCCACTTACGCAGGATTTACCGTCCGGTAGTCCGACCACTCCAAATCGTCCCATCAAAATTCCTCGCGGACGCTTAACACGCTTCACGCTGGATGGCGCATCGGTGCAGAATCAGACGGACGCTGGGAAAGTCTCTTCAGCCGCCATCTCAGCAAGCTCAAATTTCAAGGCAAACGTTCGATCTAGTTCCGTAAATGCGCAGCCCACCAACCCAGTTGCCGATGCATTTGAGTTGCAGAGTCTAGCGAGGCCCACATCTGCCCCCTTGGCTGCCACAGAGGAGGATTCTGGTCACACGAGCGAACACAGCGATCTAGAAAATCAGCATACTCCTCCTCCGTCCAGTAGAGGCTGGAGTCCCAGACCCAAAGCAGCCGTAACTTTACAAGCATACAGTTTAAAGGACAGCACCGCACAGCCTGACTCCGCAATCGATCGTCTAGACGACCCATCTTACATCCCACCGGAAGATGGTAGTGAAGATTCCGGCAACACTTCTAGAGCTACTTGGGAAATACAGAGTCAAGACCCATCCACCGCAGACGAAGCCGAGCACGATGTCGAGTCTCGCCCCTATCATGTCTACCGCCTAGGAGACCACGACACTCGACTGGACATCGCTGAATTATCGGACACAGGGAGTGATGAACCCGACGACCTGTCTTACGTTCCATCGGATACTAGCAATGAAGAATCGGACAGCCAGTCTAGCGCTGCACCCGAAGCAGTGAGTGAAGTCAACCTCCTCACACGCGAAGTAATCGACGGACTTGAAACCAAAGCACTGGGCGCACTGTCGGGGGCACAGTTCATTGGATTGGACTCGGTAAAATGCAGGATCAACTGTCTAAAAGGCACGAAACTCCTCGACGCAATCTGGCGAGCGCTTGAGCGGGTACTCGAACCCCGTAGTCGCCCAGCTCCGCACGTCCTTCAGGACATCCTAGAGGAGCTGAGTGGCACGCTTTCTCTAACTTCCGATCAACTCTTGACGGCCAAAGATGTCACGGCAGGACGGAAGTGGGAACTGATTGACGAAGCACTGCAGGAAATGCAGAAGGCGAGTGAGTTCCGCTCGGTGAAGATGTTGCGTAAGGCATTAAGCCTATGGAGCGGCGACATTTGTCTCGAAATACTGAAGCCGAACTTGAGCGACCTTCTTAATGACGAGTGGGCGAGCATGAAACGTGAAGCGCTTGTCATCCTCATGGATGAGAGGGGGCCAAATGATCGATGGGAGGAAGAACACGGCAATGCTAAAATAAGAGCGGCCAAGCCAGGGTTGCGAACGGTCTCAACGTAGGTGGTTCAATGACTTTCAAGCAACTCCATGTTCGGCGCTGTGCGGAGTAAGCGTGTCGGACATGACATTCAAGATAGGTTCAAGGCTGAAGGTAGAGTCGGATGTTTGGCCAAGAGGGAGGACTGAGAGGGAGGGAGAAGAGAATTTGCATTTCATCATGTGAATTATCCAGACGTTTCAGTCACTTGATAGCTTCACAGACTTACGTAATGACAGAGCAAAGTAGAGGGTCAGCTTGTACAATCGAGAGGATCAAAACACAACAAAGCCGTTTCTAGGAGGCTCATGCTTACGCATTTGGGGTCGAAGGCATCCGACTGTCGAAGATCTTCAACCGTCCGTCCCACGTGGGGGCATAGCCGGAATACCCCAGTCCAACCAAAGCAGCTTCGATCTTCCGATTTCTGCTCCAAATGTTCAGGATGGAATGTATTGGTTAGGCGACTCTTCTTGCAACCGCCGCACATTGCCTGTCCTTTCAGCCTTAGCTTTCCATATCTTTCAAGCTGGCATCCCCGCGCAAAAGTTGGTAGGATGCATTTCTATATTTTCGGAATATTCATCATCAGTACCACATATTTCATCGTGCCCATGGATTCTAGTTACGAACTGTAAACCCATTCATAAGACTACCGCTGGCCTGGAACAGCAAGATTGCTTGAGGCTGACAATCCTTTCTCTCCTTGCAAATTGCTCAAACTCGACAATTTCACTCACCAACCAGTCTCTTCGACAACGCCAATCTTCTTCTACCAGACGTGCACCTCATTCTCCTCCTCCTCGGCCTCCAAACTGAGGGGTCCGCATGCTCCGCTGGTCAAGCTGCAAGTTGGTCCAGCGGGTGAAGAAGATCCCGAGGTGGCCGCGCCGATGACGGAGAAGAAGGCTACGAGAAGTCGATGTCGCCATGCCGCATCCACCGTCCTCCGCTGTTCATACTCACTCATAGCCGTCCTACTGTGACGATTTCCCTCTCAGATACCGCAGCAGTCGTGCGTCTGCGGAGCGAAGCGCCCCATCCACAATCCACTGGCCCCATGGCTCGGCTGCCTCACGATAGCGCGGCTCATGCGCACTCTGCCTTCTCCGCCTATGTATCTCCTCTGCCGTTTCATTTGCCGCTCATTGTGAAACCGGCAGACAGCTCAAAGACTCGGCGTCTTGCGGACGTCATTTATCTAATACTCCGTCTTACAATCACGCGTCTTCCAACCCGCCGCTTCGATGTCCGCCAGCAGAAGAAAATTGAAAGAACAATGGTCATACCAATCAAGGAGCTGCCGACTATGATACCGACGAGCGCTGGTGTTGATAGGCCGCTGGATGGAGACCCCGAGGCGGTCGCTGTGGATGATGTTGCGGGAGAACTCGAAGTTGCGGATGGCGCCTGGACGAAGACCGTGGTGACGCTTGCCGTCGAACCGCCAGCTCCATTGGCCGTAGCCCCGCCGTTCGTGTTTATATTCGCCAAGTCGCCACTGATAAAGACGACTAGTACAGCCCCGTAACTATGTGTTGAGGTATCAGAACAGATCCATTAAGAGCGGGCGTGACAGATGGACATAGAGAATGGGACTCACGCGGCAACAGCAGCGAATATGTCCTGTCGACGGGCATTTGTCAATGCGCCTAGACAAGCAGCGAAGCCCACAGTGAACATGCATAAAATGAAAAGCCTCCATCCCGGACTCGTTACCAGATAGAGCACGAGGATTGCCCCAATGAGGAACAATGCCGCTGTGATAATAGAGAAAGTGGCGACAATAGTGGTGACCGTTTCGTGGGATACATAGTCTACGTCCTCGTCGCTGCTCGACTGTCCACCGGAATCAGTAAAGAGCTATACTCCATCCGGTAGTCGAATGCTGTTGCGTCTACCTTAAAAAGCGTCAAGACCCAAGAGAAACGCCCCTCCAAGAGCGCAGTAAGTCTATCCCGCTCAATGGGTGGCGCGAGTACGGAAAGGTCACTACCATCCTCAAGATGGTCTTCCATATAACTAACGATCATCGGCGTTTGACCCAGGTTTTTAAACAGCCTTCGCATTTGCTTCAACGGACGGCGCTGGGGTTTCGGGAGAGCTAGAATGTCACTTTGCGATTTGAGGGCAGCGTCTACGGAAGTTAGCATTGTTAAGTGGGGCTCGATGAGGTCTGAGTCGGATCATCTTACAGTATCGCTCTATGGTGGAGCTAATTTTCTGCGAAACGTCCAACCTCTCTTTCGCGGCGTACTTCAACCTTACGCGCCTCGCACTTTCCCTCAAAGCAATCATTTTGTAGGCGTAGCCTTGTGGGTTTCCATCCTCTAGCGTCCCTTCATCTTGGCATGCTCTTACATATATAGCGGATATGTCTTCCAGCACAGCCTGGAACTGGAGGTGCTGGTCGAGAGAATATAGTTCGATAAAATCCCAACCTTCGATGAGAACAATCGTTGAATCTTGCCTCAGGGGTTCAGGCATTGAGCCATAGCTCAGGGGTCTAAAGTAGACATTGCGCTCCATGACTAAGTTTCTCAATTGTTCAATCCATTTTGGTTAATACAAGCTGGACCGCAGAGCTCGACTTGACGCGTCCAAGACGGCGGCTTTTATCTCCTTCCCTAGATTCCGAGATACTTCGAATTGCTGCCGTATGGTGTTTTCCCGGCTCGGGGACAGTCCATAAACAGTTTCAAGTGACTCTTTCCAGATTTCGTCAGGAGAAGCGGAGGTTTCGGTTACGGTTTCTTCCAACGCCCTCTGAGCTTTGGTGCAAAAGGCATCGAAGTCCTGGTCCCACTGGTAATTCGCGTGGAACTTCTGTTCCTGCGTACTAATCAATGCTGCGCTGAGCTCGGGCTCTAATCCCTCGGGTATGTTCTTGTCCAGAAAATCTTGTTCAGCCTCAAGCCAGGCGAGCTCGCTCTCCATACGTAGTAGATCTCTAGCAGCAACTCTGTCGAACCGTCTGTATATCGTTGTTGACTTGTCCTCGTCGAAGGCAATCAAGGCCGCGAAACGGGGGAAGCCCATTGGATAGTGCGCCCATGGCTCCAGAAGATCAGACGTTGATCGAAGCTTTGGATCGAAGAATGTGTGTGTTGTAGGCGACCGCCCCAACGGGGCGGGTGATGTCGGCGCTGTTTTGGATGATGGCATTCTGTGGCGATACCTGTATCGGGTTGGGGTAGTCAAAGATTCTCAGTGAGCCTTCTGCTATGCCGGGCAAGCCAACAGGAACTGGCTGTGAACCAGGGCAAGATAGATACTCAGGCGCACAACGGTAGGTCGATCAGCGAAGAGACAGGTGAAAAAGGACTGCGAAGGTGTTATTGACTTAGGAAGCTCCAGGCTGCAGGTGTCGGCGGCTGTCAGCCTGTCACGAGGTCTGCTCCGCTCAGCTGAGATACTACATAGCCTCTGGAGGGAGCCGAGTCTGGGTGGCTGAATTGACTGCTTATTCGCATACAGCCAAGACAGGCCTCCGCCAATGCCAATGAGGTCCCGTCTGCCACTTCGTTCAGCTTACGTGCACTATGAAACACAATGGGATTCTCCAGCCTCCCCCAACCTCAGCTCGCTTCGATCTGCAACTCCTGATATCGTCCAGTATCAATCCTGTAGCTCAGGAGTCGATGTCGAAAATACAAAGACTACGCTGCGGCCAATCCGACCATTCAGAAAGTCTTGACGCGTCAGAGTCCGAGTAGACAACTACGGACTAAGGGGTACACGCAAGACCCCTGCACTTGCACTGACCAAGGCTGACTTATCTGGTGAAGAAAACAGCCTGACGACTCCAAATCACTCATGGCTGATGCCTCTCAACGGCGGAAAACTCAAAACGGCATGCAGAAAGTTCTTCCACCCTAAAGAGCGCGTGAAGAAAGCGGAACAAGAGAGAAACCGTGAGTAGCTCTGCCGAAGTAGATACTTGCAATCAAGCCCACGTTTAATATGTAGGTAATCGAGATATCCAGGAGCAGGAGGCCAGAATACAACGTTTAAAGGTTGCGAGGCGTTTTGATAATCTTACCGAGGAACTTGTTGGGGAGATCGAGATCCACCGTTATTTAACTCGTAGGGTAGTCCCATAGCGACTCTCGATTAGTACGCGGCAGCAAGATTACTGTCTTGATGCTATTTAGATGCGTCCATATCTAATTTCTAAAGCTCTAAGGCCCAGGATCCTTCGTCTGAGTCTTGTTCAGAAGTGGCCGAAGCTGATGCATGTTGTGGGTGGCAGAAGTGTTCTATTAACTACGCACTATGTCACACCTCAGCGATAGTGGAAGAGATGCCATGTAACAATCACAAGGACACTGTTAAATATCTACCCTTCCAGGCTATTTGGCATCCGGAAGTATCGGCAATCAAACTCACCGTCAACCGCACGAAGCCTCCCGCGTCTGGATTGAAACAGGCGGATGTTACTGCTCTATGGCGTGTGACATTGTCCATAAACACGTTACTGCAATACCAAACCGAAGGCTGTAAATGGTGTGGCGTGGGAACCATGCGTTGCAGGCATGAAGTACTACCCGTGTAGACTTCTCAACCCCGGGACATTGATTACCAGCAGCATGGGGTAACATTGATGCTCTAGTCATTACATGATTGCAACACCGCATACCAGCTACAACCCAGTCACACACGTTACTCATATCCAGACAGCCACTTCATGTGTGCGCTTGCGCCTACGCGTACCCATCAAGCCTTCAAGCCATCCAGCAGCTCAGCACCCTGTCGGCCACCCTTCGTCTCCACAGCCCTGAAAACCGCCCCACCCTCATCCAATCCCTTCTCCGCCCTCACATACGCCTCATCGCTCCTATCCGTCAGGATCTCCAAATCCCGCCTACTAAGCAGCTCACCACCCCCCGCCATCGCATTCTCAACATCAAATCTCTCACCATCCTCCCTCCTCAGCATTTTCCTCAACTCCTCCAGCTCCTCCTTCTCGTCCCTGCCCTTCTGGCCCCTACCGTCCCCACCCGTCAACCCGCCCTTCCTGATGACGAGTTTCTCGAGCCGGCGCTTGCCTTCCGCGGATGCGAGAAGCGTCTCCTCGACCGTGTTCCTAGTCGCGAAGCGATACACGATCACGTTCCGCGTCTGGCCGATGCGGTGGGCACGGTCCTGGGCCTGGAGGTCCTGCTGTGGGTTCCAGTCGCTGTCGAAGAGGATGACGGTGTCTGCGGCCGCAAGATTGATCCCTTGGCCTCCCGCACGCGTGGACAGCAAGAACAAATTTACCGCATCCTTCTTATTCTTGCTGGTGGTGGGAGTGTTGAACGCATGGATCTGCTCCTGCCGCTCCGCCTGCGGCACCGAGCCGTCGATGCGGCAGACAGGCCAGCCGCGTAGCTCTGTGGCGTAGAGAGCGAGGAGGTCGAGCTGGGTCTTGAACTGGCTGAAGATGAGGACTTTGTGCCCTTTGTCCAGCAGCTCTAGGAGGAGCGCGTCGAGTAGCATCATCTTGCCGGAGGACGTGACGAGGGTCTCGTCTGGAGTCACAGACGCAGCGCCCAAGGATGCGGCGGTTACTTCGAAAGGGTTGAAGAAGTTGTGGGGACTGTCGCAGCAAAGACGTAGTTGCATGATGGGGTTCTGAAGCTTCTTGCCAGCGATTTGACGTTTCGCGATGGCGAGGGTGGTGGCAAGGACTTGGTCTTCCTCCGAGGAGTCCTGCTCAGAGAGGCTGGGCGTGTTGTTTGAGGAGTTTGAGGCTTCGAGTTGCTTGAAGTACTCAGCGTCGCTTACTTCTTCGTAGCTTTTCTTCACGTTTCGTCTTCGCCCTCGGACGCTGGTTGCGGGCGTGGCTTCTCGACTGGATTTGACGCTCTTGTTCGGCGTGTTGGCCCTGCTGTGATCTAAAGCTTTCCGCTTCAGGCTGACAGTGCTGCGAGAGCTTCTGGGTGTTGCGGCACCGCTGCTGAGATGCTCGACCGCCATCTCCTCGAGATAGGTCCGGCTAGTTCCGTCGAGAATAGCTTGATAGAGTTCGCGCTGCATGGGAGTCAAGGGGGCAAAGAGGACGTATTCGCGCTTCCGCGGCATCAGCTTCTCCACATCGGCCTTTACTCGCCGGAGGAGAAAGGGTTTGAGGATGGCGTGGAGGCTCGATACCAGCTTCTGCTTGCGTTCTTCGTTCAGCACCTCGGTGTAAGTGCTTCGGTCTTTGAGCGCGGAGAAGTCGAACCAGCTTTCGAAGGCTTCGAGCTTGTCGAAGATGGTCGGCATGAGGAAGTGCAGTAGTGACCACAGCTCGGTGAGGTTGTTTTGGAGAGGTGTGCCAGTGATGAGCAGACGGTTCGCGGACTGATACGACTGCAGCTCGCGGATCAGACGGCAGTTGAGGTTCTTGATGCGGTGGCCCTCGTCAATTATGATAAACTTCCATCCGAAGCCTGCGAGAAATTTGCGATCGTTCATGCAGATTTCATAGCTGGTCACCACTACGGGGAAATCCTCAGTGCCCGGCCGCTTGAGTCTTTTCCGCCTGATCTCCTCCCGCTCTTGCTTGCTGCCATGGTAAAGCACAACGGGGATCTTCGGCGTCCACTTGCGGAACTCCTCTACCCAATTACTCGTAGTACTGAGCGGTGCAGCAATCAGGAACGGTCCATGGGAGCCCTTCTCTTTCAAGAACGCTATGAACGAAATCGTCTGGATAGTCTTGCCCAAGCCCATCTCATCAGCCAAAATGCCATTAAGACCATTCTCGTACAGCGAGGTCAGCCACTCCAGCCCCTCAAGCTGATACGACCGCATAGTACCGCCCGTCACAAGACTTGGCTGCCGCGCGGAGCTCAGGTTCTGTATGCCGATATCACTGGCCTTAACACCGTCCGCCTCTTCCGCCAGGGCGTCCTCCACGCTCGCCTTCCCCGCCTTAGCTTCCAAATCTTCCTTCTTCATAAAGTCGGATATCTTCGCGTTGGCACTCTCGCCTTTCTTAGGCCTTCCCCTCCCCCGCTTCGGCAACACCTTGTTGCTCTCCTCCCCATCCTCGTCTTTCGGCACCACCGCCAGCTCCTCTTTAACGACCCCCTGCTGCGCCCTCGTAGCCCTCCGCTGCCCCTCCTCAGCCACCCTCTCTGCCACCTCCTCCCTTCTTCGCGCCCTCTTCCTCCCCTTCTCGTCCCTTTCCTCTTCCTCCCGTTCCTGCCGCTGCATCTGACTCAGCATGATTGTGCTATACAGCTTGCTCTGGCTCAGCAGGTACTCGAGCGCCTTGAACTTCTTGTCCACAACCTCCTCGCCGCCTGCGAGGTCGGCTTTGCGGGCTTCTTCGAGCTTGGAGGAGCGCGCTAGTTCGGACTTCTCGTTCGACTGGCGCATTTGTTCTTCTTCGGCGAGCATAGTTTTGGAGACGGAGGTGGAGGGCGGGGGCGAAGAGGCGGGCGTGCTGGGGGACGAGCGGGTGGTGGGTGTGGTGTCGGATGCCATTGTTGCGGTGAGGCTCAATTGGTCGTTGTTGCGCGTTTGCTGTGGTCGTGTAAGGCAGGTTGCTTGTCGTTGTGGCAATATCTTCTTGCTGTACGTTGAACGCGCTGGTGGCGTTCGACGCGACGCGCTTTGATTGATTTTTTTTGTCCTCCAGGAAGACTCGATCAATTCAGGCGCGCAACGGGGGTAGAAGAGGTGTGTGTAGAGTAACAATCAGTCGGATACCCGCAGAGTCCATGAATACAAAGAATAGAGCGAAATGTGTGGTGCTCAGCCAGGGGGACGCAATTCTGTCTCGACGCGTCCCGCCCCAGACGTCACCCGCGTCTGTGCTCCTATAGTAAGCGCCGATTAGCGAGACACGATGGATCTATCTTAATACGGGGTACACCGGGGCATCGTGGTGTTTTGGAGAAAAAAAACCTTCAGTGTACTCTTAGGAGGCTGGGAGTATGATTTGAATGCTTTGTACATAATACCTATGGCTGCCTCCTTTCCTGATGCTTGGCTAAGAGCTGAAACCCTTGGAGCCAGACATCTGCCCCCAAGACGTTTCCCAATTGCTGCTGTACTCCAACGGCTCTAAACATACTCAATGTGTCAACTACACTGCCGCGGATCTTGAACCGCTATGAATATGGCCGCCAGTCCTCGATGGATGCCTCTTCCTCCCCTCAACCTTGACGCCGTTCACCAAACCCGTCCACGGCTAGCCTCTGCTTCCGTAGGTGGCCATGCTAATGCAGTGATAACCCAACACAACGACGGTCTAAACCGTCAGTTATCTCACCTTCCCGCCTTCTCCGCCTCAATCTGCCTCTTCAACTCCTCCAACACGCCCTCCCTAGCGCGCAAATGCTGCTCCAGCCCCTCAACCTGCTCCCTAACCGTTTGAATATCCTCCACAACGCCCTTCAACTGCTGTCCCTCCTTCGCCCTACCCTCCCCCATTTCCAGATCCCGGAGCTGCCTCCTCTTATAATCCAGCAACTGCTCCAACTCCCTCTTCACCAGCGCCGGCTTGCTATTATCCCTCCTCCCACCCCCACGCTTCCTCGCCGCCTCCTCAACCCGCTCAATCTTCTCCTCCAGCTCCTTCAGCTGCTTCTTCAGCCGCACCTCCTCCCAGTCCTCCGTCGTTTTCGCGCCGCTGAAGTCAGTGCCCTTGGGCCGGTATGCGGTTCGATCCCCCACGCCGAGCCGGCTGAGATACGCGTCGCCGAACTTGGCTTTCCGGCCTGTGGAGGTGTTCTCATCGTGCGCACCGTAGCGCTGCGCCGGGGATTGCACGCGCTCGACGTTATAATCTATATTGTTCCTCTCAAAGCTCGCGCGCAGGGATGCCGGAACTGTTCGCGGGATGCGAAACCCTTCGTGTCTGCCCGCCAGGATATGCAGAAACGCCAGCGTGGCGTCCTTGCCAATACTCTCCCGCGCATTCGGATTTATCAGGTTCCACGCGCTCCGGATATCCGTGTCCGGGACATCGAGGCTGCTGTATAGTGGCTCGAGATCCGTGAAGGAGACCTCGCCCCGCGCGTCCCGGTTCGCGGTATAAATCTCCTCGTATTTGGACTTGTCGGCAGGGGACATGTACCAGTCGAAGCCGTCCTTGAGGCCCGCGGCGTCATCATCGTCGGCCGTGTCGACGCGCTCGAATTGGGGGGTCCGGCCTGTCAGGGCGCGCGAGGCTTGTACGAGGTGGGCTTTTGAAGAGGGGACGAGCCAGTCAGGGAGGGTGGAGGGGACGTCGGCGAGTTCCTGCGGACGTCCATAGTATTAGCGAAGCTCATGTTTGGTCTGCTTGGTTGCTGGCCATGCCTCAAGAATACAGGAAGGCGTCTTCGGGGTAGTAAGAGTCAGGCCCAACCCACCCCATTAACCAGGTCAAAAATCAACCGCATCGCGACGCAGAACTCCTCAAAGTCGAGATTGCCATCGTTATCCACGTCCGCGAGGTCCCAGACCCGCTCGAGTTGGTCGTCCCGCAGCTGGCTGTTCTTGAGCACTGTGGCTGCTTGTGCGCCGTTGAGGTGTGTGCCGCCGTTCGCGAGGGATGAGAAGATCTCCCAATATCGTTCGACTTCCCATTGCTCTATGCGCTTTGTGGAGGCCATTTGGAAGTGTGTGGAACGGAGGGGGCGGGTGTGGGAGATTAGAGTCACTTTGTATGATTGAGAAGGCGGAGCGCTGGTGTTGCGGCCGCAGCTGTCGGAGCTTTGGAGCTTGGATGGCCGAGTAAATACCACCAACGAACTGGCTGGCTCTACGATCGAGTTTATTGATACGGAAGTATGGTCAAGCTTAGTTCTAGTCACGGCGTTTAAATACTACCAAGTCAGAAGAGGGAGCAGACAATACATTAAGTATTCGACCATGGTGGCTTAGGCTTGTGTATTTACCAGCTGCCTGACAAAACATTAGAGACAAATTCCCGGGGCCCGCCAGCTTAGAGAGCCTAAACTTTAGGCATGTGATAGGCGCCTTAGCCTCTAAATGGTATAAGATCTGGTAATATCCTGACCAAAATTTTCCCCCTCAATTTTGCCAACACCATTTTGTTACAATTTGAGATTGGAACAAGTAAATGCTTTGTCTGCCATCTCTTCCAAGACAAAAAGCATCCTGGGAGATTTGAGCTGAGAGACCACGTGGCCTAGGCGAAAACAGCAAGGAGATAGACTCTTCAGGTTATGCAATGAGTTATCTCAGTAAAAATGCGAATGGTTTCTGAATTTCGCTCCTAACCTTCCGAGTCTCGAGCGGTTGGCATTGAGAGCAAAGTATGAAGATGGTTGTCTATGTAATGACGAATACCGGCAGGATGAGCAAGCACATCAGGCGGGTAGAATATATCCTCGTGAAACTCGACCATTACCTACAGAATGACTTTCGAGAAGCTTCAGATAGTGCTAAAAAAGCTATCCAACAACACGCTGTCCTACCCTCTGGCTTGACAAACCTTTTTTAGTTGTTTATTATCTTGTTGATGGAGGGTAGTAGTGGCTCCGAGACGACTGGTTGTGGAATCGGCGAGTCAGTCAATGATGACGGACACGCTCAATGTGGTGATAAAGTCGTGCGGAGCGACGGGCATTCCCGTAGCTTATGCGCTTCCTGGTCCAAGATACCCGATAAGTCTAATTCGACAACAGGCCACCCTGTTCGTCGTCTGTCACACCGTAGAATTTCGAGAGTTTCCTTTAAGATAGTAAGACAAGGAGTGGAAGGATCGATCCCCCGGTCCGAGAAACATCATTGTGACGGCACTCGGCGAGCATCAATAATGGCTTGATTTTATGCTAGATGAAAACTGCATTCCTTGAATTGGTATTGATGAAACGGTTTGCTACAGCGGGCCGTTATTGACAGAACCTCATCGACGAAGTGAAAGATCCCGGGTCATTCGTGAATACAGTGGCCTTCGCGTGAGGGCCAGAGGGCAACCACCTCGCCAGGCTTGAAACACAACGGCTGTTCTTTCGCCGTACCGCATCTCAACAGCGCAATATCAGCACGAGATATTGCGCACCATAAGCAATGGACTCTTTGACCTCATCTCCCGCTGTTCGCTTCGCGCAGGTCGCTAGTATCTACGGGTCGACAATTCTCACAAGTGTGTTGCACCGAACGGGAGAAGGGCGAGCGTACAACAGCTGACCATACAACGCAGGCTTTTTAGGCTCGTTTAGCTACATTGCCGTTCCGTCCATTGCAATAGCGCCGCCCAATCTACTCCTCAAGCAGTATCAGAAAATGGGCTATATCGGCTTCTCCACAGCTCCTCGAATCGCATTCGGCACCGCTGGCGTATACGCTTGGCTTGCCTACACTGGTACGTAGAGACTAGGCCACGTACATGCATCATCAACAGGGTACTAATGTAGCCAACGGCATTTCAGATGGGTGAAACAATGCCGGCTCGTGCATACGCAGCCGCAGCAGTTTTAACGCCGATGATGGTTCCATACACGATACTGTTCATATCGCCTACCAACGCTAAGCTGAATAGCCTTGCCTCGGTGGCGGCGCAAGATCCTAACAAGGTCGACGCTACTGAGGTGCAGGCACTGTTGCAAACGTGGAAAAAATTGAATTATAGGCGGACCATTCTTGCTCTCGTTGCTTCAGGGATTGGACTTTTTGGCACGCTAGGGTGGAAGTTGTGAATTGGATTCAACGTGACTACAACATCACAGTCAGTAAGAAAGATGCTCCGGGTTTGTATACAACGCACATACGAAAATAAAGCGATTTGATCGTTTTGATGCGTGCATGAGAAAATATGAAGTAAGGTATGTGCGAGGTGTAGTGAAAATACTGATGGCCGCCAAGTGGCATTTGGCATAATACCAGTATCTATGACACTTTACACGCACTGTGTAATGGAACCTTCAACAGATATAAGAAATTACACGTGTATAGATAGCTTGTTAGCTTTGCTATCGTATGCAACAAGTTCTATGATTACTAAACCAAGCGTTGTGACACAGTACGATCTCGCCATTGTGCAAAGCAATCCAGGGCAATCTATTAGACAAGTTAGCTATCCCGATCTTCTTCCTTCCTTTCCACTCATAGCTCTTCAGTCCTCCTAGCTGTAATACTCCTCCAATCACGCCTTCAGGTCTCCTATGGTAGGGCAGTCCAAAAACAGACTGCCGCTGACCTTGACGTCCAGTTCCGTCCGGATCTTCTCCGAAACTACCAGACTCATAAGGCTGTTAACGCCTAGGTTGGCGAAGCTGGCAGAGTCATCGAGGTCTGAAAGCTCGGGGCCCGCCTCATTGGCTATGAGCATCTGATGCTATGGCGGCAGCTGGGGTCAGAACAGGAGCGGGAGTGGACCAGCACTCGGCACGGGGTTTGTCCGGGTCGAGTGGGGTCGCCAAGCGGCCCCGGAGACACCGTCGACCACGCTGACGGTGATTATGGTGACCCAGTAGAAAAGTCACCTATATAGGCGGCACGATCTAGGACTCTGAGTCACAGGTCGTGCTCAACTTAAATAAGCATCCCGCATTCTTTATACCTTAATCTGATCTCGCTTGTGATATCAATCCTCACCTCTGTTGGTTACTCTTGGCACTGTTCCCGTTCTCCTTGATCAGGACCCCAACCGTTACAACGAGGTAAATATGAGAGCCGCAAGCATGACCACCATTCAGTAAGATGTCGAGTTGAAATCGTTCGTTCATGATTTAGAACGACAAGATCGCAAAGGAAAGCAGGTGATAGAGCTGGGACGTCGTGAAGCTAGGCATGATGTTATCAGATTTCACTTATCTTGGCTGCGCCCTTGAACACGTGCCCTTACCAAAAAAGCTTTATTCACATCTGAAGAGAGATCAGCAGATGGTAGTTCTGGTTGAGCAACACCCTTTTCCCAGCCAGAACACCAACCGAGCGAGCGCAATACCCAAGGAGAAAATAGACGACCACGATGCAGACATCAACTATACAATAACCTCATTCGCCAGCTAAGACCGCAATCAGAAATCCCCACCTATAGCCCATTACATCCACCGCCTCAATCTACATATTCGCCAACTCATGGTCAATAGCCTGATCCAAAAACACCCTCCTCTCCCCCGTCAACTGCGTCTGCAGCCTCTGTTCTGCCAGCGCCTTCAACTGCTTCTTCGTAACCGTATCCATATCGACCTCTCTAAGACACGCCTGGATCGCCTCCACAATAGCTCCATCACTCGGTCCATTGACCATGTTCTGGAAATTCACCGTGCTGACCGGGCGGCTCTGGCTCGCGAACCCGAGCGGCGAGCGCCGTTGCTGCGGCAGCGGCGGGCTCGCCATCGCCATCAAGTTGTCCGAGGACTGGTGGAAGTTCGCCATGCTGGGCCGTCCGGGGGTGCCGGCAGCGTTATAGGGGTAGTTCTGCGCGTGGTCGGAGACGGCGCCCATGGACATGAGGCGGCCTGTACCCGCCGGGTCGAGCGGGGTGTCCGTGTAGCGCGAGAAGTTGGAGTAGTTCGAGTGCCTCTGCTGCATGCCCGCGAACGGCGCCGGGGACTGCGGCGGCATGTGGTAGCCGCTGGGTGCGGCGCCGCCGGGGAAGCCGGTCAGGATGGTGGAGGCAGGCTTGACGGAGGAGTAGACGGATTGCATGTCGTCCATTTCGTAGGCGCCGCCGTCCTCGTAGTTGCTTTGGGCGTACTTCTCGGTGGTCGTGGCGAGCCCGCGGCGGCCGGGGAGGTTGTTCATCGCGGCATAGTCGTCCCAGCGCTGGAGAGGGATGCTGCGCGGATCGAAACCCTCGTCGGATACGGCAACGACTTGCTTGTCACCCTTTTCGCCGATGACCACGCGGGTGTTGCCCCATGAGAAATCGTCTTGCTTCCAGAAGGAGTAGATGGGTAGAACGAAGGAATAGATAGGGAAGGCGAGGATGTAAATGATCATCCACCCCACATGCTGCCACTGTCGCTTGATGATGAAAATGATAGCTTGCAAGCCATACACCGCAGCAAGCATGATGATTGAGATTAGAGGAAACTGGCCGGTGCCACTGGAAACCATGTAGATGAGATAGGCAAGGTAAGCGCAAGTTGCTGGGAGAATGATGGTTCCAAAGAGATCGATGAAGACGACAAAACGCATGGAGAAACAGCAGAAGCCGCATAAATCCTTGAGGAAAACCAGTTCGGCCAAGTTATGGATGGTCGAGTTGATCCACCGACGTCGCTGAGAGAGCAGAACGCTCCACTTCTCCGGGGCGTCCGTAAGCGCATACGCATCGGGTACGAACTTGTAAGACATGCCGGGGAAGTGCTTGGTCATGAGAGTGGTCAGATATCGATCTTCGCCGAGGGACAGAAGGTTCTTTTTGTGTAAGGTGTCTACTTCACAATCGCTGTATTCGTGGATAACCTTGTCAGAGATGATCAGCGGCCTGCCTTTGTCGGCTGTCCTTAAGCGATACATGCAGAAACTAGTCCGTGTTAGTAATTTATTGAAAAGATGTCACTTAGGGAACTTACCAGCCGGGCAGACAAGTAACGCTGCCGAACAAGCTCTCAAATGCTTTGGCCAGGTGATGCGAAATATAATACTCATAGACCTGGATCATGGTCCACCAACTGCGTTCCTCATTCTCCAGGCTGGTCTCACCACAGATACCGGCGATCTTAGCATCGTTGGCACAGCTAGCGACAAGGCGGTTGAGGGAGTCCTCCTTGACCTTGGTGTCAGCGTCGACCATGAGGAGATACTCATACAGCTCAGGATCCACGCCGATGATATTGTTGATCTGGTGGAACATCTCCAGCTCAAGCGGGGACATAGGCGACCGGTGATGGACGCGGTTCAGGAAACTCATCAACAGGATCTGCGAGTCCCGTTTGCCGCGATTGCCTGGCTTCGACTTGCCCTGTTCGGACTCTTTGCCGACCTTAACGACTACGATGTATGGAACGACGTTGCCTTCGAATTCGTAGAGACCGGAGTACACCTTGCCGTAGTTGAGCTGCTCGCTGCCTTGACCGACTGACTTGAAGGGAAGAGCGGGAGGGTCGATCTTTGGATCTACCCCAAGGATGTCAAGTACGATTTTCGGCGTAGGCCTATCGTTGCCACCACCGACGATCATGCCATCGCAAATGACGCATATAAGCTTCCTCTTGTTGTCATATGCCAGAGCGGTAAGCGAGTCAAGACCTTTCCGAAGCTGATCTTCGCCCTCCGTGTAAGCGGGGACCTGGCAAATCACGAACTTGTCCTGGGCAGCCGGACGACGCTTGGACCCAAGCTGCAATGCCGCAAGGAACTTGATCAAGATGACCGAACACAGGATGATGGTAAAGGCAAGCAGGATGTAGTTGTTGACCTGGCACTTCGCGGTCTTCCTGAAGTCAGTACTTCCTTTGAGGAAGACGTTGTCCAAGCACTGCATGTTGGCTTTGCTGGCGGTCACGTTGCGCCCAAACTCCTCCTTCCATAGCTCCGTGATGTCGGCGCCCGGGTTGTTTTGGAAAAGCTCCTTCACTTTGGTATCCAAGAAGTCGTAGCGGGGATCCTCGTTCATGACATCGAGCGTGTTGAAGTAGTCCGTCAGGTCGTAGATCTTATCATTCATGATAGCCCACATGTGGTTGTCGTTTTCTCCCTCAGATTTGACCTTCTTGACATCGAAGACGAGCTTGCCCTTGTAATACTCTTTCATCCTGGGGAGAAATTTGCTCTCGTACCACTTGATGTCGTTAAGTGCGGTGGTTATATCCGGCATGTGAATGGGGCCCGATCTGTGTAGACCAAGCGAGTTGGTGGCCTCGGTGAGGTTAGGGGTAAGAACGACCATCTCGTCAATCTTCAGGTTCGGACAAGCCCTCGTGAGCGGCGGTGTGATGTAAGGGTCCATATCCACGCCTGCAAATTCCTGCATTGTTTCACGGGTGGTGTCGTAGCCCGCTCGGTCGCTGTGCTGTATCTTCCAGAACTTGCTCAGGTCGTAAACACCCCCGCGATGACTGACCCAAAAATCGGCATCGCCCTGATGGAACGATACCTCTTTTGCGTCCCATGCCTTGTCCCAGTTAGGGCAAAGCAGGCGACCAAAAGCCACAATGTAGAACACGACGGCACCGTTGAGCAGGAAGATCAAGAACATGAGCACGAGCTTTTCTCTCCAAGCCATGCGGACATCTGGACGCTTCATGCGACCAATGTGCCGAAGTGCAGGAGACGGTATCCAGAAGGTAAGCGCCCAGGTTAGGGCAACCCAAGCTTTCCGAGATGCTGTAATCGGTTGTTGTACGATGACTTTCGAGTCGCCCAGCTCAGGGTCGAGCTCGTTGTAGTAATCCTCACCCTTGTTCTCATCGCCTTTTCTGCCTAGACCGTAGTCTCCGCCGCTGATGCTGCGCATAGTCTTCGCCTGAGTTGGGGCAAGAGATCGAGCGCCGAGCTGGCTTCGAGCCATGGTTGCCGAGCTTGGTTGTCGAAGTAGGTTGTCTGTGCTAGGATCCGGCGTTTCGGTGACATATTGGTTGAAGAAGCCACTGCCGTTCATGCCACTTTGGACGGTGTATCCGGTCTCTAAGCCGCCAGCGCCAACCATACCACCAAGCATACTTCCAGCAGATGTCTCGGCTGGCAGCAGGTCCAACATGCTCTCGGCTTCCCACCACGCGCCCTCACGGATCCAGACACGCTCGCGGCCAATGACTACCTCACCATTGCTCCACCCTCGCTCCATGATCCAGCTTTCCACGCCGTCCTTACCCTCGTGGCAGCCAAGCCTAGAGTATCGGGTGAAAAATTCCTCGATATCGAAATCAGCGGTGAAGTCAAGATGCTTGTTCCGGCGATTGGCCCATTCGGGCAGTCGCCAAGCTCGCAGCTGGCGAGAAACTGTGCCCGCAGACCAAGCGGAGGGATTACTGGCGATTACGGCGGGCGATTCATCCGTAGGGTGTAGAGAAAGCTGATACCAAACTCTGCTGCTGCTGATGGTAGTTGATAGGTCAAATCTGCCGGTTTTCCCAAGGAGGATACCTTGACCGCTCACCGGAAACAGAATTCTGCGCACAAAGCTGTCATCATCTGATTGATGAACGAGCTTGTCAAGAACGTGCTCCCGGCGGTCGCGCTCGCTTTCCCGTTCGCGACCGGAGGCGTTGCGCATGATACCGAGGTCAGGTTCGCACTCAGAGATGGCGCTCTTCATCTCCCGTAGGACCGAAGAGCCAGCGGCGACGACAGGGACACCATCTTCCTTCATCTCGAGGTTGATGCCCTCCGAGTCGTCGAAGACTGTCTTGAGAGCCACCGCCTTGCCAAGCGCTTGGTTCGGGATCTCAACGACAGTGATGCTGACAGTATCGCCGTCGGGTTCGCTGGACCTAGGGGTGGCGGCACCGGATCGGCCTACGTCGCTGTCGCTTGAAGAGTACGCAGCCTTAACTCCTCGTATCTCTTGCTTCATGGTCTCGTTGGCCCGCGATAGAACCCAGTCAACCAATGCTTCATAAATCCCGGCAATCACAACTTCGCGCTCCAGTGTATCGCAGTTCTTAATCAGCGCCTCCGGAGCCAGGTCGAGAAAGCCGGAAACCTCCTCGCACACCTCCTCGAGCACATCATCATCGACCAGGAAGCCTAGGGTGTCTCCAAGCTTGAGTATAGCGGCCAGTGTCGCGATGAGATTACGTAGGTCGGCTCCCTTGATGCCAATAGACCTTAGGTTCTCTCTGAAGTCCTCTGCCGCCGCTGCGTCATCTGCGGTCGGCATGTAAGACGGTGGATCAAACGTCCCGGACTTTTTGAGCAGCGAGTACTGTGACACATGCTTCAGATTGAGCGCCTCACGCTCGGCAGGCGACGCTGAGCTGGATGCAACGTAGTAGAAGACGTCGAAGGCGCGGAAGCCGGTTTGCGCTGGCACGTTGAGCAAGCCTTGGTTTGTGTCAATCCCAGATGTAGAGAGCGCTAGAGACACTCCTGTCAAGCTTCCCGCGAGATTGAGCGTGAAAGTCGCGGCTAGAGAAGAATGACGAGGATAAGAAGGGTTTTGTGGCGTTACACAATGCGTAAATGCTCGCAAAATATTAAGAGCGGTGTAGAAGGTTTGAGGGACCGAAAGTGGCAGTGCGGATACGAAAGGCGCGAACAGCGACGGAGTGGACTCGTGCAAAGATCTATAGCCGTCAGCATCCCCTTTGAATCAATGCAGCGTGCCTGTGGAGAGAGTGTACCCCAAGATGATGCACCCATCCTCAGCTCTCCGCCGTGCGTGCTCCCACGCCTTCCGGCCGAGCTCAACATCTACAGTGCCTCCAAACCTGCCGTCTGGACCAGCATTGGACGCAGTGGCCCATGTGTTGACAACCAGGCTAGTGCTGGCTTCTAAGCAGTACGGCTCGCCGGAGGTGTTGCTTGTGTGTAACGCATTGAGGAGTGTAGTTGTGGAGACTTGTTGCGACGCCAGATGGCCCGGGCGTGGAGTAGGATTTGATAGGGTGGAGTATGTCGACATGCGGTTCGGATAGCCCGCCATTGTGTGTTGTTGCTTGAGACCTTGCGCTCACTGTCGAGGTCCTGAGGGTGGCGGACCGCCGCGGGACAGGTAATGTGAAGACACCCAGCCGCTACAGCCCCTGAGATGGCTTTACGAAGGTGTTTATGGTCGTCCTGGATTGGACTTCGAAGGCTTTTGATAGTAGTCTGCTAAGCGATCGTAGAGTGTTCGGTCAAATTCGTAGGTGCGTAGGGGATGGAGTTGAGCGGACGTTTGGGCCGGGTTCAGGCTATTACTCTGCCAAAAGGGTAGCTGTTGTCAAGAAGCGAATGTTGGAAAAACGAAGGTCAGCGAGAACGGCAAATACAAGAGGCAGAAACAGCAGTATACGGAGCGGCTGGGGAGAGAACAGTGGTGGAGAAGAAGTCAGCAGCAGGGCATTCCACTGGAGTTTGGTGTCTGCAGGATGCACGACTGCACGACTCCGGGCAACGGTTCGGGCGGGGTTAGTCAGCCGTAACAAGCAACCCGAAAAGGAACGACCACTTTCAAAAAGCTGGGAGAGCCGCAGCTGTGTGGCACCGTGGCAACCCGGAAGGTGTGGTGCCGTTAGGGGGGAGGCTGGCGCCGTATTCTGATGCAGCTCCGCCCGTTCAACGCTTCTGATTCGCGTGGGCGTTGATGTTTTCGTCCACTTTCGCCAGCCTATTTTTGGCTTTTTACGTTTACGACATCTACGACATCAACAACATGCACAATGTTGGCCCAGCCCGAACCCACCTTACACATTTACAAAAACGTACTGTGACATCTGTCTACACTCGGAGCTCGTGCTGTAAGCCGTAGAGTTGTCACAGCGGGGAACCTGGTTTTTGTTTGAGAAAGGAGAGAAAACCAAGGAGAAGCGAGATTACGCGTCCGGTTCTCAAGCCAACGGGAAGAGGCGCATGTGGTTGGCCCCTGTCCTGTTTACCCCAGATTTCGAGCGCCCCAAGTGCGGAAAGTGGCAGGTTGAGTGGCACACAACCCTCTTCCGCGGTGGAATCCTGGATTTACACCCGTGTCTGGAGGTAGAATGGCTGTGTTCAGCTGTCAGCACGTCGAGACCGTGTTGAGCATAATGCCACTTGCCCCATCAATGACCGGAACAATCTCATCGAGACGCTGCGAAATTTGCAGTGGCCAGACTATTATTGCATTTAGGGGATTCAAGAGCAAGGGCAAGGGCAAGGGCAAGGGCAAGGGCTGGGATCGCCGCGTTACTGTTTAGCTGGGGACCCGTGCGCCTCGTAACTTATTGTAACTAATCCACAATTGACCAACCTCACTTTGCCCCATCAGCCTTCCGAAAAGCGTTCTCCTCTGCAGCCGTCCACTGTACAACTAATTTCCATATCGTGCACTCTCGCTTTCGACGGCCCGTCTGACGTTCGCTGCTTCTCTGTCTGTTCTTTAGCCTCGTGTCGACGACCTCGAGCCCCCGTTTACCACTCGGGATCCACCAACTCTCAGGAATCACTTCGCCTTTGCCTCTACCGCACCGCAACCTTTTGCAACCACCGCCCGTTGTCCGTCAAGAACCAATCGCCCCTGGACATACCGAACACCTCGTAGATAGGACAGCCAACTGTGTCCGTGTCCATTGGTGATAGCCCTTCGTTTAGCGGCCCTCGGGGGACGCTGTCTTCGAGCATGGCACTCAACTCCTTGAGTGGAGCGGCGCCTCAGCATGCCCAACCCTCGTTGCCTTCTCTGCCAGCGCATTTGCAGTCCGACACCCATCTTACAGCACATCTAGCGAGCCGGTTCCATGCGCACTTGCCCACCGCCTCCCTCTCGTCGCACGCTATAATATCGCTTAATACCTATACATCATCAGCTAAGGGCCCTAATGGGGGGAAAGAGGGGAGCGCCATGGCGGCTGCGGAGGATATCGCATCCAGAGCGTGGACTCGGCTAGGGCATCGTGGAGAGAATCAGGCGGTTGTCTTTCTGTAGGTCCACTCTCGCCTCCTAGGATATGCCCAGCGTTGGGACCGAAGAACGAAGTCGTGCTCCATTGATACTGGTCTGTCCGCTTGCTAATACTACAATTTCCAGTGGAGAGTCTGGTTCCGGGAAGACTACGCTCCGAGCTCACCTCCTCTCCGCCCTGCTGAGCTACTCCTCGACACCGCTCTCGCACAAGCTTTCATACGCTGCATTTGTTTTCGACACACTCACCACCACCAAATCTCTGACTACACCGACGGCGTCCAAGGCGGGGCTCTTCTTTGAGCTCCAGTATGATACTTCTTCGTCTATGCACCCGACATTAATCGGTGGCAAGCTGCTCGACCACAGGCTGGAGAGGAGTAGGATCGCTTCCGTCCCGACCGGCGAACGGAACTTCCATGTGCTATACTACCTCTTAGCCGGAACAAGCGACGCTGAAAAGCAGCATCTTGGCCTGGAAAGTCCTGGTCAGGTATCCAACGAACCTGGCGCGCGAACCTCGCTGTCAGGGCAAAAGAGGTGGAGATACTTGGGGCATCCGACTCAGCTTAAGGTTGGTGTGAATGACCATGAAGGGTTTCAGCACTTCAAGACAGCGTTGAGGAAGCTTGAGTTCCCGAGAAGTGAGATCGCCGAGATCTGCCAGATTCTCGCTGCTATCCTGCACATTGGCCAGCTCGAGTTCATGACGACTCAATCGACGACACCCGCTGCGGATGAAAGCGGAGGCTACTCCCATGAAGGTGGCGAGGACATCACCGTGGTCAGGAACAAGGACGTTCTTCGAATAGTAGCCGCTTTCCTTGGAGTCGGCATGCAAGATCTCGAACACAGTTTCGGCTCCAAGACGAAGACAATACATCGCGAGCGGGTCACTGTCATGCTCGATCCTCGGGGAGCGCGGGAGAACGCGGATGAGCTTGCTCGCGTTCTCTATGCCCTGCTTGTCGCTTTTGTGATGGAGAGCATCAACGAGAGGATCTGCGCAGTGGAGACCACCATTGCCAATACGATCTCGATCGTCGACTTTCCAGGCTTTGCTCAAGTATCTGCGACAGGCCACACACTCGATCAGCTTCTCAATAATGCGGCTACGGAGTCTATGTACCATTTCTGCCTACAGAGCTTCTTCGACCGCAAAGCCGATTTACTAGAAGCCGAAGATGTCAACGTACCCGCCACCAGCTATTTTGATAACTCAGACGCTGTCAAGGGCCTCCTCAAGCCTGGCAATGGTTTGCTGAGTATCATGGATGACCAGATGCGCCGCGGAAAGACCGACATGCAGTTCCTTGAAAGCATGCGAAAGCGCTTCGAGGGCAAAAATCCAGCAATCATACCTGGAAGCGCTACCGCCACACTACCCGGTAGTAACTTCGCCACGACGAACACCGCTGCTTCATTCACTGTCAGGCATTTCTCTGGTGAGGTGGAATACCCCATTGAAGGCTTGATGGAGGACAACGGAGATATCATCTCTGGCGATCTCATGCAACTCATCAACTCGACGAGGAGCAGCTTCTTGAAGGAACTTTTCGGCCAGAAGGCTTTGACCACAGTTGTCCATCCCAAGGAACATTCTGCTGTCATGCAAGCATCCGTCAGCTCTAAGCCGATGAGGCAACCTAGTATGGCGCGGAAGAAGTTTGACAGACCCGCCCGATTCGGGACTCGGGAAGTTAGCGCAGAAAACGATGAGAGCTCCAGTGGCATCGGTGGAAATTCGCGGAGCGCCTCGAGAAGTTCCAAGCGCCACAGCCAACTGGAATCCGGCAAACAACAAGGAGCAGCTGGCCAGTTCCTATCATCACTCGACAACGTCACTCGGTCGCTTACAGGACCGAACACCAATCCTTACTTCGTTTTCTGCTTGAAGCCTAACGACCGGCGCATTGCCAACCAGTTTGACAGCAAGTGTGTCCGGACCCAAGTGCAGACCTTTGGCATCGCAGAAATAAGTCAGCGCCTTCGGAACGCAGACTTTAGCGTGTTCCTACCATTCGGCGAGTTCCTCGGTGTTGCCGAAAGTGACACGATCGTTGTTGGCAGCGAACGAGAACGAGCCGAGATGCTGCTCGACGAGAAGAAATGGCCCGGCAACGAGGCCCGCGTTGGCAGCACTGGAGTGTTCCTCAGCGAACGATGCTGGCTGAGCATTGCCAATCTTCCAAGTGCTGTCCCCGGTGGTGAGAGCAGAAGCAGGTTCTTGGGCGCAGAAACCGATGATGAGGGCGGCGACGGATTGCTCAGGCCCGGACGCCCCTACAACGATTCCAAAGTCCGCCTCATCTCGTCCCAGACTCCGTCTCCTGGTTCCTTTTACCACGACGACAAAGCTGGCGGATACTTTGGTAGCCGGGACATCGATGATAAGTCCGATGCCGGCGTCTCAGCCATCAACGGCGGCGATATGTTCCGAAACCTTGAGACCCGCGAGCAGATGGCTGAGAAGGGCAACGAGGTCAAAATGGAAGAGGTCGATTCCGTTCCTGTATCTGGCAGTCGCAAGAGATGGCTATTCATGGTGTGGCTGCTTACGTTCTACATCCCGGACTTCGCCATTAGGATATTGGGTAGAATGAAACGAAAGGACGTGCGGACGGCTTGGCGAGAGAAGTTAGCCATCAACCTACTGATCTGGCTGAGCTGCGCGTTTGTCGTCTTCTTCATGAGTAAGTCAACCGGACCGGGTCTTCATTTGTGCACTGCTGACGTGAACCAGTTGGTTTCCCGGCTTTGATCTGTCCCACGCAACATGTCTATTCTAGTCAAGAGCTGTCCTCGTTTGATGGCAAAGATGGCAACAGTGCGTACGTCGCGATTCGCGGCATCGTCTACGACCTGGGAGCCTTCATGCCAGTACACTATCCCAGCGTTGTGCCTCAGTCAGCTCTGCAAAAGTACGCTGGCAGGGATGTTACGAACCTCTTTCCCGTCCAAGTTTCGGCTCTTTGCAGAGGCACTGCGGGCAGCATTGATCAGGCAGTACAGCTCAATTTTAGGAACAACAACTACACTGGATCCGATATCCTAGTCAGCTCCACCGACACCAACGCCAAATACCACGACTTCCGATGGGCCACCAACGACTCTCGTCCGGATTGGTGGTACGAACAGCAAACATTCCTCATGGCCAACTACATGAAGGGCAGGATCGGCTACAGTCCGCAGTACCTGAAGACGCTTGCGAAGAAGTCTACCGCTATCGCCAGTCTCAACGGCGCTGTATACGATCTGACCGATTATATTCCCGGCGGAAGACAAGCCCAGTATCCAGTTGGAACGGACCCGCCAAGTCAGCTACCGGACACGGACTTTATGGATCCCCTAGTCGTTAGTCTTTTCCAGCAACGCGCTGGAGATGATATCACGAAGTACTGGGATGCGCTCAACATCGATCCGGCTTTGAAGTGGGATATGCAGGTCTGCCTGAGGAACCTCTTCTACGCTGGCGATGTCGATACCCGAAACTCGGCCCAGTGCCTTTTTGCTAAGTACATCCTCCTCGCCATCTCCATTCTGTTGGTCAGCGTTATCGGTTTCAAGTTCCTGGCAGCTCTACAATTCGGAAAGAAGAACATGCCGGAGAACCTGGATAAGTTCGTCATCTGTACTGTACCTGCCTATACCGAAGACGAGGATTCACTGCGCCGCGCTATTGACTCTGCCGCACGAATGAAGTATGACGACAAGCGCAAACTAATCGTCATTGTCTGCGACGGTATGATTATTGGACAGGGTAATGACCGGCCGACGCCTCGCATTGTGCTTGATATTCTAGGCGTCTCCGAGCATGTCGATCCGGAGCCGTTGAGCTTTGAATCCCTGGGAGAGGGCATGAAGCAGCACAATATGGGCAAGGTCTACTCAGGTTTGTATGAGGTTCAGGGTCACATTGTGCCGTTCTTGGTTCTTGTCAAGGTTGGAAAGCCGTCAGAGGTCTCGAAGTAAGTCTGCACCGCATTAGTCCTTTGTTAAGCCTTCATGCTGACTGATCCTAGGCCTGGCAACCGTGGCAAACGCGATTCCCAGATGGTCCTTATGCGGTTCCTGAACCGTGTTCACTACAACCTCCCGATGACACCCTTGGAGCTCGAGATGCACCATCAAATCCGGAACATCATCGGAGTCAACCCGACCTTCTACGAGTTCTTGCTGCAGATCGATGCCGATACCGTCGTTGCGCCCGATTCAGCCACTCGTATGGTAGCCGCGTTCCTGCACGACACCCGCTTGATCGGCGTCTGCGGCGAGACGGCTCTCACCAACGCAAAGTCGTCCTTTATCACGATGATGCAAGTCTACGAGTACTACATCTCCCACAACCTGACCAAGGCCTTTGAAAGCTTGTTCGGCTCCGTGACCTGTCTCCCCGGCTGTTTCTCCATGTATCGGATCCGGGCCGCCGAGACGGGCAAGCCGCTTTTCGTCAGCAAGGAAGTCATCGACGCCTACTCGGAGATCCGCGTCGACACTTTGCACATGAAGAACCTGCTCCACCTGGGCGAAGACAGATATCTCACCACCCTGTTACTGAAGTACCACTCCAAGTACAAGACCAAGTACATCTTCCGCGCGCACGCCTGGACCATCGCGCCCGACAGCTGGAAAGTCTTCATGTCGCAACGTCGCCGCTGGATCAACAGCACGGTGCACAACCTGATCGAGCTGATCCCCTTACAGCAGCTCTGCGGCTTCTGCTGCTTCAGCATGCGCTTCGTCGTCTTCCTCGACCTGCTCAGCACGATCGTACAGCCCGTCATCGTGGGCTACATCGTCTACCTAATCGTGCTTGTCGCGCGCGCCTCGGAAGTCGTGCCCATCACGGCGTTCATCCTACTGGGTGCTATCTATGGTTTGCAAGCCATCATCTTCATCCTGCGCCGCAAGTGGGAGATGATCGGCTGGATGATCATCTACGTGCTCGCGACTCCCATCTTCGCCTGCGGCCTCCCGCTGTATTCTTTCTGGTACATGGACGACTTCTCCTGGGGCAACACCCGTGTCGTGATGGGCGAAAAGGGCCAAAAGGTCGTCGTCTCCGACGAAGGGAAGTTCGACCCATCGTCTATCCCGCACAAGAAGTGGGAGGAGTACCAGGCCGAGCTCTGGGACGCGCAGTCCGTCCGCGACGACGCGAGGTCCGAGATCAGCGGCGTGAGCTACGCGACGAAGAGCGCCATGGGCGGCCACCACGGCATGGGTGGTGGTATGGGCATGGGAATGGGCATGGGACCATACAGCCACCACCCCTCCCCCGGCTCCGAACACGCCTTTGGCCAGCCACCTAGCCGGCCGCTCTCTCAGCTCGACCTGCCGCGCTACGGCAGCAGACTTAGTCTCGCACCCTCGGGCTACGGCGGCGGCATCTACAGCAACGAGATGGAGATGGCTGAGTTGACCGGGGCGCTGCCGAGCGATGATGCCATTCTCGCCGAGATTAGGGAGGTGCTGAAGACGGCGGATTTGATGAGTGTGACGAAGAAGAGCATTAAGCGCGAGTTGGAGGCGAGGTTTGGGGTCAGCTTGGATGCTAAGAGGGCGTATATTGGGAGCGCGACCGAGGCGATTTTGAGTGAACAGTTGTAGAAACGGGAGGGGGGGCGGAGGATATGGGGCGGCTGCATGGGATGGAGTTACCTTTTTTTCTCTTCTCGTGTCTGTTTCGGGGCTTCTGTAGGGCATTGGCGCTATTGTCATTTTGTTGAATCTTCGTTTGTTCATGTGCCTTTGAAAACGGGAATATAGGTGCGGGGAAAGGAAGGGTTTCTCAAATAGTACACTAATATCACAACACCGTTCGCTACAATTCATCAAGTTTGTTATGCGCAGAGTCAGACAACGCGGTCCGGCCGCTGATGAGGATTGAAGCAAGATGCAATTACATTTCAAAACTATTTAGACGCCGACCAGCTCCGCGCTATGCGAATATTCAAATATTAGGGAGGCCGCCAGACCGTAAAAGAAGCGTCAAACGTTAATTCGCCCGTCAATAAATGCAACTCGTAATCCGCTCTGCCTCCGAAAGCCAATTCCATAACGCCCTGATCCTAATTCGCACATACCAGGTACTGTATCAAAATTCTCACGTAGGCTCACCAGCAGCTCTGTCCTTCTCCCTCGCAGGCGCGGTCCTCTCGCTCAGTCTCAGCGGTAAAGGCGGAGCGCGCTTGTCATCTTCCGTAGCTGTAGAAGGCGCCGACGAGTTCGGAGCCTTGCCCCACCCCGTCTTACGCTTCTCCGACGCCCACATTCCCCACGACGACAGGTAGGCGCCAGCACGAGACGAAGCCGCCTGGACTGAAGCTTGGGCATGGGATAGATCCGGTGCTTTGGGGACTGTGACACGTCGTTAGCCAATTTTCAGACCGGATTTGTAGGTAACAGAAAAGAGTATAGAACGGGTGCGCAAGGGCTGAACATACACCTCACACCCCCCATCGGCGCCTTGTCACTCGGCGATGTCGGCGGCGACATCCCCGCAGCCGCAGCCGCGGCCCTAGCCTCCTCGTGCTTACTGCGCTGCGCTTCCCGCATCGCCTCAATGTCCGCCCATAGATTATTGAACGCCGTCGAGACCTTCTTTTGCCCCGTAACGAGATGCTTTCCCACAACCTCACGGCCAACCTGGAAGCGTTCGTCAAGGTGCAACTCGGCCACCTGCTGCGCCAGCCTTCTCTGCACGTCCTCGATCGTCAGGCCACCGGAGCAGGGATGGCTAGGCGGGACGATGTCGAAGAGATGCGAATCCGTGAACTTGTCGAAGAGGCGGAAATTCTCTGTCTTCATCCACGCGTCGATCCACTCGGTGCCGAACTCGAGAGCAGGATCGCCCTCTATGCCGCCGACTGCGGCTCTGGGGTCGTCCCGGTGCTTTTGGAGGTAGAGGCGGCATTTGATGGAGGAGAGGAGGGCGAGGAGATACTCTTCGAACTGAAGGCGGATGAACTCTTCGCTACCGGAGTAGCCCATGGTTTTTGGTCGGCTGGGGTTGGATTCGTCCCAGGTTTCGTTCACGGCCTGCGTGATGAAGTCGATCCAGCGGCGGTCGGGGGTTGTGAGTGTTAGGGCTGAACGGAGAGATGGTGATGAGATGTGTACCGTATCCTCGTCAAGCTGCGAAGGTAATGGAATTAGTCAATGTTTCGAAGGGTTGTGAGACAGTAAGCGCAATCGAGTCTTCGGTCTCGTCGGTCGGTGAAACCTTTCGAGAAGCCGACTCCGGTGAAAGGCTTCAAAACATTAACGCTCGCGAAATCACGATCTAACACAAAGTCTTGCCAATATTTTGCAAACCCGTAGTAACGCCATAGCAAAGAACATGCTTGCTGTGAACATCCCGCCAGAGCTGTCCAAGAGTTCGTCCTGCCCCTTGCCCTGACGAGACACCCTTGGAAATGATTCAAGTGACTGAGACTAAAAGGATAGAACAGTATTGCAGCTCTCTAACTGAAAACTACTCACGTTGATCAAAATATCACTATACCGATCCTTCTGCTGCAACAGCAACGAGTTCGTCGAGCCCACCACATAACTCTTCGTCCCATAGTCCGCCAGCAGGTCCAGCTGCTGCAGCGGCGTATACGGCCCGAACAGGCTGCCCTTGCCGAAAATCTGTAACGGCAGCCCCATGTACGAGAGCAGCGAGGCACGCTCGCTGGTACGCAGAGACGTCGGCATCACCAGTGACTCCTCGTACGAGTTGAGGACAGGATCGGCGCAGTCGTGGAGGTTCCTTATCAGGCCGGGGATTAGGGAGATTAGTGAGAATTGGAGCATGCAGAGACGCTCGCAGTGGGAGCCGAAGAAGAGCATCTGTGGGCATTAGGAGGTGCTCCTCGGAGGGGTGGGTGCGGGACTTACTTTGGGCTGCAGGAGACAGCATTTGAATAACACAAGCGTTTGGTACTTGAACTCATGAACGAGCTCGCGGAGTGATAGTCCTTGAACGTCAGCTTAAGCCCAAAATAATGGCCAGCCAAAGATACACATACCGAAATACTGGTCCCTCTCATCAACCTGCTCACGAAAGCTCTGTGCAAGACTCTCCTGAAATCTCTGTGAACACCTCTTAGCCCAGCCCCTCTCAAAACTCTCCCTTCACCAACCCACCTGCAGAATATCCAGATCCGTAAAGTCTCTAGCACCCGTCAACACCACCCTAACCCCCCTTCCCACACCCCACCAACATACCTCTGCCTAAACCACGCCGCCGTCACGCTCGCCAGCTTCTCCCTCACCATGCCAAAAAACTGCGGACTATCCGAAATGACCACAACAGCCTTCTGCACCGTCGATCTCGTCACATCCTTAGGTCTAACTCTCAACTTCGCCGCATCTAACTGGCGCGTGCACGAGATGCCGAACAGCGAGGTCGCGGGACTGTCGGCCGTGGCGGAGTGGCGGAGCGTGAAGTAGGAGAAGTCTTCGGTGGAGCTGCGTGGGGAGGTCAGTATAGTTAGGAGTAGGTGGAGGTGAGGTGAGAGGTACGCGTGCGCGCCGTCGGTTAGGGCCATGAAGGGGAGGAGGGGCCATTCGTTGTCGGCGGCCGGGTCGGTGCCATCGGGGACGCCTATCCAAGTCTCGACTTCGGGGCCTCTGCGAGGTGCTTAGTGGACTGTATCAATACCAAATGGCGCGTTGGCGCAGAGCGAGAACCGACCTGGCGTGGTGGAAGTCTACGATGCATACGATCGGGGTAAACGGCTTACGAATAGCCATTGCGGTTATCAATGTGTCTTGTTAAGCATTGGCGGTGCGCTGGTATAAATCCATGTAGTTTGTGCGCTTTGGTGGCTTTGAATTAAGGTTATGGGAGCTTGTCGTCGAGGCCAGCCCTACGGAGCTAGCCAGCTGTCGTGGCTGTTTCCGCGGATCTCGAGCGATCTGCCGTTAGATGTGTGGCTTGCGTGGCTGATCGGAGCAATTCGCCGCGAAGAAGCATTCGTTAGAAGCACGCGTCAAGTCGGAGATCACGCTACGTAGTTTGCCATTTAGTTCTATAATCTGTGATAACCAGCAATCCGCAAAGGGTATGCCACAGCCCACTTTGCTCGCCTCAGCTCTCCTGACCATACCCCACACCGTTCACGTGCAAATCCAATGAGGCATGTCTAAGCAATCGATAGGAAGGCGAACAAGCATCCAACATGATGGGTAGCAGATATTTGAGCCGTAAATGAACCGGGTATATCTCCGGAAAAGCCTACAATGCGGCGCAGGGGCGGGGAGGAGACATAGGACTGTTGTTGCCTTTCTGAGGGTCTAGGCACTTGGGTATGAATGTGGCTAGCTACCGTTCTCAACATCGCCCTGGTTCTGCGCATCTACGTTGTGGTAGTCCAGGATTTCCGAGTACCTGACGCTGTAGCATTAGCCAACGCTCCGAAGCAAGATCTGCGCAACAGGGACTCTTGGGACGTACATCATGATTTTCCACGTATCAACCGGGAGATCCGCGTCATTGAAAGACCAGTCGAATTTTTCTTCGGCAACAGGCTCATCCGTCGGATCGTGATACGGAGCAAGGTATGGATGAGCAAGAGCCTCGCCGGCGCGGACGCGCTTCTTCGGGTCGAACACAAGCATCTTCTCTAGTAGATCAATTGCTGGAAAAGTCAGCAAGTGTACAGCTCTTTGTGAAGCTATGTTCTTACCCATTGGGTCCGCGTTCTTGAACTTGTTGCTCAAAGGCTGGCGTTCGCGCTTTGGCAGGGATTGAACAAATCGCAATGTCTGGAGTATGCTAGTCAGTAAACGTCACGCTGACCGGCTACTACTCTTGCTCACATTTTCGCTGCAGATGGTCTGAATAACATCATCTGGTGGGGTACCGAGCAGCTCGGTAATGATCGAGAACTGATTCACGTGATCCTTGCCCGGGAATAGTGGCTTGCCCTCCAACATTTCGGCGAAGATGCAACCCGCACTCCAAATGTCCACCTCCACGTCGTATTTCTGCCACGTAAGCATGATCTCCGGCGCACGGTAGTATCGCGTAGAGACGTAACCGGTCATCTGCGGGTCCTGAATACGCGCCAGTCCGAAGTCGCAGATTTTGAGGTCGCAGTTTTCGTTTACGAGGATGTTGCTAGGCTTGAGGTCGCGGTGCACAACGCCGGCAGAGTGGACATATTTGAGCCCTCGCTAGGTGCTGTTAGACGCCGGCCGACGCTTATGGGAGGGTTTCCGCTTACGAGTATCTGGTAGAGGAAGTACTGGATGAACTGCTTCTCTAGAGGCCTGGAAGTGAGGAGTCGGTGAAGGTCGGTGCCGAGGAGCTCAGTGACAAAGTAGCTGGCCGACTAATTAGCGGGGTAGTCTGTTGGCTGGAGCTGACCGGCCGTACATGTCTTCAAGAGGCGAGATGAAGATATCGCTAAGACTGATGACCTTTTGTATTTTAGCCACTTGTTCCCAGGCCGACGCTTTTATACACTAACATTTTCGTGGCGGAGGTGCTTCAAGAGCTTCAGCTCGCGGTATGTTCGTTTGGATAGAACCGGTGTGCTGAACGGCTTCATAATCTTCTTCACGGCCACCGCTTGGCCGGTAAGCTGGTCCTTGGCCGAGCTAGGTGTTGACATTAGCCTAGTGTAGACATGAAGACCAGATGTGCGCCCTACCAAACCAGGCCGAAGGCGCCCATGCCAACAGGCTGCAAATCGGTGTACCTGGAAGCGTTGTCAATCGCCTATTCCGTATGCCCACAGGCGGTGGATCCATTACCGGCTCGTAATCTCGAACGTGGTGCCGAAGATTTGGGCACGCACAAATTCCGCCATGTTGACCGCTTGTTGTGGTTACACTGCTGGAGTGCTGGCCGTCGAGGTATTCTAGGGTTTGCGCGGGTTCGAGGGGTGGTGACAGAGTGGTGCCTTCCGATGAAGTCGCTGCGTGGAGTGTTCAGTGCTAATGTCTGTCAGAATAAAGATTTTCGCCGGCGCGGATAGCGTCCACTTCTTGGCTGCAGGCGGAGGTAGCTCAGTGATTTGCAATCGGGCTAGACGCACTCTGGAATAAACAGTGGGTGGAAGGCGAGGCACAAGTCTCCGACCAAGGGTGAGGTGGCGGCCTGTGTTCGCTGGGACAGTCTTCCGCTCGGTAACGACCGAGTCCGCGACGCCGGCGTCTGTTTGGGGTTATTTGTGGATGCTGTTTGGGATGTGGGATGGCAATTGCAAGCACAGCGACGATCGTTGCCCGCAGCGGACAACAGGTGCGGTGGGCTGCTGCTGCTGAAAGTGGATGAGATGGGGATTGCTCCGTGGGCAGCGGGAAGCCGGAGATCACGACGATGGAGGGGGCGCGCAATCACCTGGGCATCCACCTGCGCATCCACGCACCAAAGCTGGGCAGAGTCCTTGCAGCGGTTGAGAACCGGGCAGTTGTGTTTTCCCATGGCCAGACGTCACCAGAGCACTGTTTGGCAGTGGGATGTGGCTTGTGCTAACGCCTTCCAGCAGGCGCTCGTGGGCCGAGCTTAGCTCAATCCCGTCCGCGACTGAGTCCAAGCTGTGTGCGATTGGACCAGCTTGTTGCTGCTGAATCTCAAGCAGAACCGCTTCTAATACTACTAGTACACGTAGACCACCAGCAGTCTTGCACCGTGCCTAGTTGTCCATTGTGCTGGCGCGACGGCAACGCTGCTTCGAGCGATACCCGCCACGCTTTGTGGACGATAAGCGATGCCCAGGACACATCCTGAGACCTGCCAACTCGGAGTGCCGCAGCTGAACGTGCTGGATGGAAGACGACATAACAAGCTGACACGGTATGAAAGACCTGCGTCCGGCCGCTGCGCTTGGCAGAATCCTCAGCCAGTGTTACAAACACGGGCTACCAACTGATATGTAAAAACGTGGTGAACATGCCAAGATGTTTGAGGTTTTCAAATAGGCCTCTTAGCTTTGTGGCACGCTGAGCCAACGGTTACTTGTTCCGACAACGGTAGGTGTTTTCCAATCTTACAATTAGAATTAGGACTGGCCATTGAAACTCTCGGGCGATTCAATTAGTCCAGCCGTACGAGAGAGATGGAAAAGAGAAAAATACGACTGCGGTTTCGACAAGGTGCTACTGACTGGCTTTCCAAAACTATCCACAAAGACTTTCGAGAGGATGCTTGCTGAACCTTTGTTCCCAGTAAAGCCGCCAAACCCTAAAGCTGGATCAGTGGAATGGAGAAGGAGCGACCTGCTGGCATGTGCCGCTGGAATCCTAACTACGCCAAGAGCACATGTTTGCGATGCGTGCTTCCGTGAGTGCGGAGTGCGCTCGGGCGTGTGCTGGTGCTTGATCTGATAGCTGACTTAAGGGTCTGGTGCTGGTATATGACACTGTCGTAGACAAAGCTAAAAGTCGCTGATTGTATCTCTCCATCGAGACGCGCGTTTGAGCACGGGTTTGAGATGTGTTGCTGAGGGAGGAGCCTGAGGCATGTGTGTCTTGCTTGCTTGTTCGTGAGGAAGGTGCTTCGGCTGCGCCAGCCTCGATGAGAGAGAGGCTGAACAACTCCGCATCCATTCATCATCTCGGGCCAGATCAACCCTCCTCGCTGGATCCAACACCGCCAGATCCCCACGTAACCGTAGTCGTCCTTGAATCCGAGCCATCCCCATCTTCATCAGCAGAGAGCTGCAGACATCCTCTGTGACGTGCATCCGGGCCTCCACACTGTCGCAAGGCAGCTTGCTGCGCACAGACTCCCCTCGCGCGAGACGGCAGGGCACTACTGCACATCACTGGCGAGGGCAGTCCACGGCGGACTCGATCACCATCTCTGCTCTCCGAGTCTCAAGCACAAGCTGTCGCTGCTGGAGGAGGCTCTCCTCCGTACACTCACGACTGGATACCAGAGCCCGCGTTGCTTTGTCGAGCTCGGCGCTCCATCCGCGCATCTTGGACGACATCATAGCTCCCGCCTGCCTTCGGCCAACACCGAGAATCCACCCACCGCATCTAACCGCCAGCATTGAGCGCTTCGAAGCTCTGTATCAGCTCAAGAGCATCGTACTCCACATCGAGCAGAGTCCGACGAGAGCGACATCGCGTCGCGATCCACTGGCGCTAGCCACCTCGCCCTACACCGCCAAGACACAACCTCCGCCTCCGCTGCGGTAATCGCAGCGCTCTCAAGTCAACATGGGCGTATGCATGAGCTCCACCGGCGGCGGCGAGAACAATGGAGAGGAGAGCAAGAAGCGGAGCCAACAGATTGACAAGAAACTGGAGGAGGATTCGCGGCGCCTACGGAGGGAATGCAAGATCCTACTCTTGGGTGGGCAGGCACAACACCACAACCAACCCGGTATGCATTGCTAATCGTATCGCTCAGGTTCCGGCGAGAGTGGCAAATCCACCATCGTGAAGCAAATGAAGATTATACACCAGAACGGCTACTCAGCGGAAGAACTCGCCATGTACCGGCTGACGGTATACAAGAACGTCATCGACTGTGCAAAGTCACTCATCGGAGCCATGAGGCAGTTCGACATCGAGCCAGAGATTGAGGGCAATGGCGCATACTGCGACTATCTCATGGAGTACACCGTGGACCCCGATCCAGAAAAGACGTTGGAGCCGAAGGTTGGCCAGGCTGTTACTTCCTTATGGAAAGACCCTTGCGTGCAGAAAGTGTTGGAGCACTCAAGCGAGTTCTATCTCATGGACTCGGCACCATAGTAGGGATTGCCCGCATCTGCAATTGCGCGACACGGTGCTGACAATCTCAAGCTTCTTTGATGAAGTAGGGCGAATATGTGCGCCTGACTACACTCCCAACGAAGCAGACGTCCTTCGAGCGCGTACAAAGACGACAGGTATCTATGAGACTCGCTTCACAATGGGCCAACTCAGCATACAGTCAGTGTCAATCCAACCGAACAACCCGTCCCCAGTACTAATTTGCCGTCACAGTATGTTTGACGTCGGCGGTCAAAGAAGTGAGAGAAAGAAGTGGATTCACTGCTTCGAAAACGTGACTTCGATCATCTTCTGCGTCGCCTTGAGCGAGTATGACCAAGTTCTGCTTGAAGAGAGTAGCCAGGTATTTCCTCCAAGCTGTGGCTCTCCGAAGCCAAGGACTGACCGTAACAACTAGAACCGCATGATGGAGAGTCTGGTACTCTTCGACTCAGTCGTTAATTCCAGATGGTTCATGCGTACCAGCATTATCCTGTTTCTAAATAAAGTCGATCTGTTCAAGCAGAAACTTGCGAGGTCTCCTCTAGGGAACTACTTCCCCGACTATTCCGGAGGCAACGATGTCAACCGAGCGGCGAAGTACCTGCTTTGGAGGTTCAATCAAGTGAACCGAGCTCACTTAAACTTATACCCTCAGTAAGCGCATTTTCTATTGCAGCAGTTTCCGGCGCTAATCACGTGATTAGCCTTACTCAAGCCACCGACACGTCGAACATTCGCCTCGTCTTTGCCGCTGTCAAGGAGACCATTCTGCAGAACGCGCTGAAAGACTCGGGGATCTTGTGATTCTTGCTTCTCTATTACTCTTCCGGCTTCCTGTTCTCCCGCGTTTGATACCAACCACCACCACGCCAACCACAGAAACATCACGACAACATCTCTCTTTACTAGTACCACATCGTCATCGGTAGGGATTCGTACATTCTCCACGCGAGCATCGGAGTACGGTGTACATACGGCATGTGGCTGGCAGCGGAGTTGCTCGCCAGGATCGATTTGCTATCCTTTTTTTCCCCTTGCGAAAAGTCGTTTCACACTCCTAAACCCAGCGGTCCTCCCGATCACTTATTTTTAAGTGGACGCAGGGCTGTCCCCATACCTCAGGCGGACTGTAAGCTACGAGTCTCTCCTTTGTAGTGCGATTTTCACTTCCGAAGATTCATCGGCGGTACGGCCGGCCTCGCCTGCCTTGCTTTGTTCTGTTTTCGCTCCCTTTGGCTTGTCTCGATTCCTGTTTAGCTGGAAGGAGGGGCTGTGATGACGGATGGAATGTTCTTTGGCGTTTCGTTGAGCCCTGTTTTCGTGTATGGATCTCAGCGCAAGGATTAGTTGGGAGCGGCTGCGGAGCGGCCACCTGGAGAGAATGGTGCTTTAGGCATACATTTGTTGGATAGGCGGGCATGCAGTGTTGCCTGTTGTTCGTGCGAATTCAAGCTTGTTGCTCTAGAGAATCGTTCCGAGTGCATATGAATGCGAATAGTTTTCTAGTGATGGCGCGCCAAAGCGCTTCTTGTCGGTTACAGATTCACTCGCAACGGCGTCGCGGGCGAAGGCACAATACTGTATTGTCCTTCTGACTACTAACTTCTGTGACGTGGAGCTGGAACCGAGCTGGAGTTTTGATCCAATATCGATGTTGATTCTGTACGGGTTTGTCTTACCAACTTTGACGCTAGATTTCTTGAATTTGGATTCCATGCTCCGGAGACCTGGGATGGTGAATGCAGGAAAGAATCGAACTGCTTCGTTCTCTTAACCCAGCTTGGTCTCAGAATTACGTTCTGAGATGTTGTGTCGAAGGGATGCCCCAGGCCCTTCCACCAAGATAGCCGTTGGAGGCCGACAAGCATTGGAGATCAGGGGGGCTTCAGCTTCATCCCGGAGGGTCACACAGCTCCGACGGGCAACTCTACCCTCCTCCCTGCACACCATCACGCGCTCACCCTTCGACCGAATCTGTTTGCAATCGACGCTCAGTCCAACACCGCATTCTTTCCCGGCCTTGCACGCACGACACCCGGCAGCTGCCGCTGCACGCTTCCACTTCCGATCCTGCCTCCCTTGCTTGTGCATCAGTCCCCATGGCGGCAAACAATATGAACAACCTCACTACCCTGATCAAACGGTGTGTCTGAAACGGCTTTTCTGTACAACCTACGCCACAACACCGAGGCTCTTCAAGAGCTGGGAACAATGGCTGATCCATTCACCCACCGACTGTCGAAGAGTGTTCAAGTGCCGGATAACCTGCTGACGAAGCTGGTACATAGGCTGGAAGCTGCCACATCGCGCCTGGAGGACATCGCTTCATCCACAGATCAGCCCAATGGCGCCGGCCATAAGAGCTCTCCATCCTCCAGCCAGCCTCAGATACCTGCTGCAGCTACGGCTCCCACCGCCGCCATCAAAGCCTCAAAGTCATCCACTCCATCGGTACCGTCCATCGCGGCCTTCGATGACCTAATAGATGGAGAGCTGGGACAATGGCTAGAAATGAGCAAACAGATTGGTGGTGTCGTTGCTGAGCAGGTGGGTGCATGAAGCTGGAGCCGTAGAAGCACTGGAAAGGGCTTAAAGGCTAATACAAGAGCATCAGGCATCAGCAGTATCACAGGCGTTCACCGCTGAAAAGCAGTTCCTTACGGTTGCCACTAAAGCACGGAAGCCTGGAATGGAGACCCCAATGTTCATGAGCTTGCTTGAAGATCTACAATCGGCAATCATGAAGGCTGAGAGCATTCGCGGTCCTACGTCGTCGCGAGACCCTGCCTACAGAGACCATCTGGCGATGGTAGCAGGTGGTTTAGAAGCGCTTGGTTGGGTAACTGTGGACGGTAAACCCGCCGAGCTGGTTGCGGAGCTCTTTGGAGGCGCGCAGCTGTACGGCAATAAGGTGCTGAAGGAGTATAAGGAGAAGTAAGCAACTCGTGACGCCACTGTTCGCTCCGTGCTAAAGAGACGTGACAGAGACCAAACACACGTCGAATGGGTCCAATCCTTTTACAAGCTCTTCAAAGCGCTCATCGCATACATCAAGGAACACCACCCCAAGGGTGTGACATGGAACAGCGCCGGCATCGACGCCGCACAAGCCCTCCGCGAAGTCAAGTCCGGCGACTCATCCACCACCAACGGTTCTCCCGCATCTCCACCACCTGCAGGCGGCGCCCCGCCTCCACCGCCACCGCCTCTCCCTACCTTCGACAATGCGGGCGGTCCTCCCCCGCCTCCTCCGCCTGCGACAAGTAGAAAGGCAGCTCCGGACATGGGTGCGGTCTTCGATGACCTGAACCGGGGCGAGGCGGTGACATCAGGCCTGAAGAAGGTGGACGCGAGCCAGATGACACACAAAAACCCATCCCTGCGCGCGCAGGCGCCCGTACCGCCGCAGAGAAGTGACAGCTCGAGCAGCACTGGACGCGGCAAGAGTCCGACGCCACCCACCAAGCCGAAGCCGGAGAGCATGCGGACGAAGAAGCCGTCGCGGAAAGAGCTGGACGGGAACAAGTGGATAATCGTACGTTCCACTACACCTCAGTCTCCATCGCTACAACTACGCAAACATCCGCTGACGTATCGCCCAAACAGGAAAACTTCGACAGCCCCGAAGGCGCCATCGAGATCGAAGCCGAAATAAGCCACTCGATCCTGATCTCACGCTGCAAAAACACCACCCTCCGCATAACAGGCAAGTTCAACGCCCTCTCCCTTGACAACTCAGCCCGTACTTCTATCATCGTCGACTCCCTCGTCTCCTCCATCGATGTCATCAAGTGCCCCAACTTCGCCGTCCAGGTACTCGGCACGCTGCCCACCTTGATGCTGGACCAGGTCGACGGCGCGACGGTGTATCTCAGCAAAGACAGCCTGGGGACCGAGATCTTTACGAGCAAGTGCACAAGTGTTAACATCAATTTGCCGCCGCTGGATGGGGGGGAGGATTATACGGAACATGCGGTGCCGGAGCAGATTAGGAGCTATGTGAAGGATGGGACGTTGGTGAGTGAGATTGTGGAGCATGCGGGTTGAGACATGTGGGGGGGCGTGCTTGATGGTTTTGAGTGTGCACGAGAGGTAGATGGGATTGTATATCACTGGGTTTGTGGCATAGATGGGGCGTTTGACCAAGGATAGGGAGAACCATTGGATTCACTTCTGTCTTCGATTGGAAAGAGCACGAATTCTGCTGTGATGCCACGTCCAACCTCTCGGCTGCGGCTTACCTGCATCAAGCGCAGGGCGACTTCGCTGCCTTAGTGCGTGTTGTCCTCAAAATCTGTCATTCATTAGGATTTCATGCGATGTTGACGGTTGGTATACAGGAAGCTACTGCGCTCCGCTTGACACTTTTGTGGCAGTGGCGCTCGTCTCCCCTGGGCCCAGAATCGAACGGCAAGCCTACCTCGTCGCATCCCCGGTGCCGTCTGAAGGCACCGCTGTGGCAGGAGAGCACCTTCCTCTCTTCTGAAGCACTGCCTCCCAGGACTGCTTGGCGTCCACAAGGTATTTATCCCGCATCCTTTGCTCTCCGTCTTCTTCTTCCTTCAATCTCATATCCGAACTCTTCTTCACTCTTTCAGCCTCCCCTCCAACACACGAAATCATCACAAGTTGTCCTTGATACTTCTTTCCCTGTCTTCGGCCTCCTCCTCTTACTACTGTACGGCTGAGACTGTCTATCTTTTCTACCCTCGAACTCAGCACGCAAACCCATCGTGAAGCTTTCCACGAAGCCTCTTCTTGTCTCTCTCTCTCTTCCTTCCTTTTGTGACAGGGGCCTTACCACCGACTTCCAGCGCAACATACCACCACCACAGCATCCGGCTTCCTCAAAGCCCCCGTTCACGCCCACTCGCGTAGGAGGAGCTCTCTCCAGCTTCCCGCCTTCCTCTATCCGTTACCTTTGTGGGCCTCTCTCAGCCATCAAAGGATACCACTACCAGCAAGATATCAGCACCATCACGACGACTACGACGATGCCTTCCAAGACACTGATCGTACGTGCTGAACTCGGCTGTTACGTATCAAACATGATCCTCTCCAGCACATGCGAAGAACATCCATTATCCAAGGGATGCAGTTGGGCTACCAAGCCCAAGACAGACGGGACCGAGCAGCAGCAGCAGCACGAGATCTTTTCCGTGGACACATCTAGTCAGGACTCCTCCGCGCAGTCTGGGATACCTTTCGGATACACAGATCGCCCGAGCCGATCTTGGTACTACATGGTGAGTATCTTCATCATCATCTCTTGATTGCAGGGGATCCTGATTGTAATGCTGTTGCAGTACATCCCGCCACCACCATCATCACCGCCGTCACCATCCCCACATATGGAGGAGACTTTCCGATCCGCGGACCGGACCATCTTCAGATACCTGGACATGGACATCTCGTCTGTCGTACAGACTGTCCTTTTGGGGTCTTCCTCTACGCTGAGGGGAGACTCGTTTTGGGAGCTTCGCCCTGGAAGTGTACAACAAGATCGAACAAGCACGCGAAAACCTGGCGTGCAAGCTTCTAGACATTGGGCTCAGGAGAAAGGGTCTTCAAGATGGATTGCATGAGTTCCATTTCCAAGGCCACTTCCACTATAAGGATCTCAGCCCGTTAGGCCCTTTGGAGCTCCTTGTGCGGATAAACATGCCGAGGACAGGCGATCTGCAGATCTTCCAGATGGACTGTCGATATGCACAATGTTGGTGCACTATCCGCAAACCACCAGGGGATCGATGGCGCCTAGTGACAAGCAAGAGATGACGAAGACCAGCACCGTCCGCGTACTGAGCGAGTACGACGCGGACATCCGCCCGTAGACGGCCTTCGGCTTCTCGGAGTCGAAGAAATGGCTTATCCTCTACGTGATCTTCGTGGTCCAAATCCATGAACTTTAACGCGAGTGTATACGGCATGGCTGTTGATGGCATGGTAGATGAGTACGGAATCACCCACTAAAAAGCGCGTTGCGGATAGATGGTGTTTCTAATCGCCTACGCTTTCGGGTGCGAGCTCTGGACCCCCTAGTCAGAAGAGAAGGGCAGATGGATCGTCCTTCAGCTCAGTCTGTTCTTTGTCAACATCTGGCAAATCCCAACGCAACTATCACGCAATACATTGGCAAGAACTGCAAGATTGCAGAATTAGGACGGAGTTCACCTTCCTCAAGACTAGCATTGAGGCCAACACCACCTCGCTCGACACCCTCAACACTTCCCTCAACTCTGCCAACACCTCGCTCACTACCACTCGACCCCCCTGGCCCCCCGGCGCCTTGACCGGCTGCCAGGATGCACGTCTCTATGCTCCTCATGCCTCAGGTTAGTACAGACGAGTCTTTCATATCGAGGAGATGTGTACTGACTCTATATATAGGAAGAAAAGAGCGTCCTCAAGCACACAACTACCGCCCGCGACACCACCATCGCCATGCAGGCCATCACGATCGAGCGCCTGGAAGGGAAACTTGCCGCCGCTAACAACGGTTCCCGAGCTACGATTTGGATCGGGAGTCTAGTCTGTCCCCGCCGACCCTCCTCCCCAGGGCCGCAAGCGATCTATCGTCACTGACAAAACCCGATAGCTCCCCGCCCTTCTCTGCTTCCCTCTTACAACTCACCAGAGAAACTTCGTGAACAGTGGAAGAAACTTTTTGGTAAGCACGCCCAGTCTCCCAGCTTAGCTACACCAGACTCTGGTAATGGTTCTAGCTCGCTTACCTGCTTGAAAGCTAACCGCCATGATAGCACCTCAGTCACCGATCAGGAAAATACAATCATCACCCTGCAAGAAGAAATCACCGGCCTAAAAGCCGCAATCGACCAAGTCAAGTCGCAAAGCGACAAGCACCAGCCGAAACGGACCCGCGCGCCCGAATGTGTCGCCGCCTCCGCCTTGAGTACGAAGGTCGGTAAGAATGCTCGAAAGAAGAAGCAGGGAAGCCGTGCGTCCAAGCCAGGCCCAGAGCATCTACGATCCTGTCCTCAGCCTCAGCGTGCGGCACAAGTACCATTACCATATCAGCTTGACTCAGCTGCTAACGGTTGCGCTGCAGATTGGCAGCTGTCAAGTCCTATCGCGCCGTTTCTCCCGAGAAGAAATCCAAAAAGCGTACATCGGCTCTCGAAGCGATGGCCAACTTCAACCAGTTCAATGCGATACTGCAACATGCCGTGGACGCCGCCCCAGATGAGGGTAAATACCTGGGCGGCTTCATTTGCCACGGACTTCATGGAGGTGGGCTTGTTGAAGGCGGAACAAAAGCGTCGCGAGAAGCGGAAACAGATTATATTTTTCTGTTCTCCTTGGTGTCCTAGTCTCTACCTCCGCCTTGGGCGTGCCTCGTGGAAGGAAGGAATGGTGTTGTTCGAGGGACGGATTAGTGAGTGAGATTGTGGAGCATGGGGTGCACGTCGAACGGTTGTAGAGCGTCAATCATTTCCTGCGTATTCTGATAGTCTCGGGTTACTATCGCTTGCGCAAGCTACGTATTTGTGAGATGATGTGTGGAGCGGCTAGATGACAGAGTGGTGGCGAGTGAAACGAGAGAGCGGTTGATGAAACTGCCGAATTGTGGGCGATTTGAACGGCAAGATTGACTTTGTGTCTTGCTGCAGTTATGAAGAATTCGTAAATTTAAGAACGCGTCTAAGGGAATGCGCTTCTTACTTGTGCAGGTTGAGATATGCACGTAGAGCTTGGACTCTGCAGTGACTTGTCAGTGAAATTGCTCATACTTTATTTAGCACTGAGTATGAAAGATTATGCTCCTTGAACATTGCCAAAAGTCGCACTTCGATGCAGTAGCATCCACCAGCGATAAGGCGAGGCTCAGGCGAAATCGCAATTCGTTGACGTGGAGACTCCTGGTTAGTGATACAGCAATCTGTCCTCACCGTTGTTGGACGTCGCGGCTCACGACCCACGACCATAGTGATCTCCAGCTCTCGAGAAACCCGTGAAGGACTATTGATTAAAGATTTGAGATAGATAGCAATCGCTTTCAAAGGTCGGCACCGAGTCTGCACCTCGACGCAGTGGTGATATCTGTACGCGGTGATAGACAGGACAGGCCATTTGCGGGGCGAAAACAAGATAAATTCGCAAAAAAGAGATGGGGATACTATCAGTTCAGCGATGCGGAGGCCAGTTTCAGCCGTTACGCAGACGCGTCGACTCACAGCCGACAGATTCAAAGAACTCGGTCGTCGTGAAATCGCTGAAGAACAATGAGTTTGGACCGTTTGAACTATTCCGCTGATCAACATTACACCGAATGTAGTTGTAACCGCTACACTCGTTGTAGGTGCTCCATCCACTCACAGACCGCAGATAGTAGCATCCAGCACCACACAGCCGAGCGCCCTACAAGAGGTCAGCGAAGCCACCAACCTTGTCCGCTACATCGCACCGAAAACCATCGTCGGCCCATTGAGGTATTCGATGTCTTCCCAGATGCACCAAGACAAATCCAACCTGATTCTCATGTTCTCCTTCCCACAAGCAACTAGTTCCGTTTCCTGTGATTCCATGAAAGCTCTAATATCAACCGCTAGAAGAATCCGCCATCATATACTGCTCATCGTAGACCCCAGGATTGTAAAGTTGAACGAACCATTCCGGATCACAAGGGTCCGCAAACATCTTCAGACGCCAATCCCTGGACTCTCTTACGCACATTAAGAATATTTCGTCGAAGCCGTTGACGGGGATCGGTCGCCGCCGAATAAATGTCAACTCCGTTCTGCAGTGCTTAGTCCGGCACCTCCTTGTAAGACCGCAATCGTGGCCACAGAAGTGGCCCCTAAGACCCCAGCCTCGGAAATGACAGCTGTCAAGTGCACCAGGCCGAGACCCACGAAACACGTGAAGATCGGCCTCGGTTTCATACTTAAGTGGGTACACAGTACAACACGGTGACGGTTCAAACGCAATGCAACTATGAGCTCAGTAAGACTGAATGGCTGTGCGGATGGGACGGTCAGAAACGGTATTCCCTGTACAGCCAGCGGATAAGCGTACAGAGCAAGCTCCGTATGACCTAAACTTTCGGGGAAACTGCGAAGACTGAATTGAGGACAGTCCGCACGTTCGCACTAGGGACCCCGGCGATTGTTCTCTCTCCACTGCCGAAGCACTTGAAAGATCCATCCTAAATGATGGCATAGCCGGAAAGTCCCTGTCCAGCCGAAACATCTTCGGTTCTCTCGTTCCTCCTTAAGTTGCTGAGGAGAGAACATGTCGACTGGGTGGTCTTTCTTGCAAGCGCTGCACATGACCTGATCTTGTAGCTTCCTGTCTCTTTCAAGAGCGCAACCTTTGGCAAAGCGGTCCTTTTTGAGATATTCCTGGAATCGGTGTGCTTGGTCCGGATCTAAGTTTTTGGGATGATGAGAGTCTCACGGAATCGCAACGAGGCTGCGCGAAGCGATAAAAGGTCGCTCTCCGGGAGAAATTCCGCGAGGGCCAGTAGAAGCTCCGCTGGGGATCTATACAAGCTACTGCTAGAGCTGTTCTGTTGATCTAACAACCGACGTTTATATGCCTATCACGACGGAAGCTATCCTCCAGGAACACTGGGATCTTGTGGAAGTCTACGGACTAGCTTTCATGGTTGCCAGAACGGGTTTTACTAAGTCTAACGACTAGCCTTCATAGTTATAAGGACGGGTCTTCCGAACAAGCCGGTGAGGGAGCCAGCGAATCCAGTCGTTGAACTTTTTACCCAAAGCTGAGTGTGAAGGGTCGGTTGGGGACTTAGCAATGTCCGTTGGAATCTCAGCAACTACCACAGAAGTCTCAGCAACATTTGCGGGAGACTTTTCGAGCGTCCGACGCGCGTTCTCGAATGACCGACGCATTGCAGTGCCTCAAAACACCTTTAGTTTGCTGAAGGCATGGAACTAGCGCGTGGAGTCCGAGGTCAATAACAATGGTCACCAAGGCTTTGGATTCGGGAAACAGACTACGGTGTGGTGTTCGAGGAATCTGGGCTGAGAAAAGTAATTGGACTATTAAGAGAAGATGTACGATGTGGAAAGGATGAGACTGTTATAAGAGAAGAGAGATATAGAGAATTGGGCGAACCAAGGCACTCATCCTATTCGCCCATGGCGTAGACCTTGGTGAAGTACCTTATGCCCCTCATTCACGGAAAGCACGGCACAATTCCTTCGCAGATGCGGACAAAATTCAATGTTGCGACGTTTCCCAGTGCCAGTGAAGACAAAGTGCGCTGGGTGGCCGCAGTCAGTGAATCCATGGCTGATGTGAGGTGCAAGATCAAAGGTGGTCCAATCACGTGCCACAACGCTAAGCTCATGGACGCTCATTCTTGGGTACTGCTTACAAGTAGTCCCACTGAGGCTGTACTCGAGGCGGACTCAGTAGTTAGGCAGACTTTTTTTCATGGGCGAGAATGGATGGACACGATAACGACACGATTGACTTCTGTACGTTGGGAATGTTCATCATCGGTACGTATTTCTTTCCGTCTTGCAATTTATACTCGATGTAAATCGCGAGCCGCCTCAACTGGAGATGGTTGGCTTGGGCACAGCAAGATCTTCAAGATGAGACACCAACATACACTAGATGAAATTCACTTCAAGCCTCCAGCAGCCCCAGCGATAGATGTTCTAGGTGGTGCTGGATCGTATTCAGCGATCGGCGCACGTATACTATCCCCACCGCCTCTATCACGAGCTGTGGGGTGGATAGTTGATTGTGGCTCTGATTTCCCACCCGAACTGCGCCAACTGATCGCCAGCTGGGAAACGAGCTGCTTACTCCGGGAGACACCCGAAAGACTCACCACCAGGGGCTGGAATGGCTACGGTGAAGATCAACATAGAGGCAAGAAAGTCACCTTGTCGGACCAAGAGTTGCCTCGTCTGATAGCCACTAGCGTTCAGATACACGACGCCGAAGCTACGGCTTGACCATGACGCTCTGAATCCGAGGCTACTGCAATCAAAGTCATTCCACCTCATCTGTTCACCAAAGCGGTGCATTGAGCTCGTCACAAACATCATGCATCGGCGTAAAGCGCTGAAGCAGACCGGTCGACCTCTCTTCATCTGGGAGCCGGTTCCAGATCTTTGCACGCCAGCTGAATACGACAATTGCATCGAGGCCTTGAAGTACGTTGACGTCGTTTCGCCCAATCATTCCGAGCTTGGTGGCTTCTTTGGTCACGGAACGGGACTTTCTCCGCGCTTAGTCGAGGAATGTAGTGCAATGTGGTTGTCCGCTGGAATCGGTCCGCAGCGGAACGGTTATGTCGTTGTAAGATGCGGCAAGGACGGCTGCTACGTGGCGGGCAGCGATCTCGCAAAAGGAAGATGGATACCTGCGTACCACCAGTCAGCTGACGCAGTCGTGGATCCTACCGGTGGTGGCAACGGGTTCTTGGGAGGCCTGGCTGTAGGGTTAGTGAGATGCAGAGGATCTGTCATAGAAGCAGCAATCTGGGGTTCCGTAGCTGCGAGCTTTTGTATTGAGCAAGTGGGAATGCCAAAGCTAGAAAATCACCCGAACGGAGAGACATGGAATGGTGTTCGGGTTCAGGAACGACTTGAGGGATTTAGACAAAGGCTGGAATGATCACGCATTTGGGGCGGACTATGTTGCGTCTCCGTAATACAGCGGGTGGTTTGTGCTTGCCTCAATCTGGCCGCTGGAGGCTTCATCTAGCTTGGACGTGAGTCTAGAAGATACCGATTTTCGAGAGCAGAGAGCTTCCACATTCCAATGAATGAAAGCGCCTTCGTGATGATTGCGATAAAGCTTGAAACTATATCATTACAAGGATTCGAAGGCAATTGCGCTTGTTCGTGATGCGTGCTCTATAATCCCTTCTGCGCCCGCTCGTGCTCGATGATTTGCCGGCTCCAGCTGCCATCGCTCGTCAGCAATGCGACATAGGTATAGTATGGTGCACAATAGCGTACTTTCGACTTGGGAAGAACCTGTCCGGCTCCGGAAACCTTGTCCGCACCTCTCTCTCCGCGCTAACGCTCCATGCAATTGCTGTTATGCCTATGATGACTGCTCCCATAACCGCGGTGTTTGCCTTCCAGTTCGCGGGTTGTGAATACCAGCCGCCTGCCGGTGACCAGATGTGCTTGGGGTATCTGCAATTGGTCCCGGATTAGCTCGCTGTAGCTCCATACTGGGTGGAGAGCTATGGGTATGATGCGCCGTACGGTATCTTTCCTCCGCTCTGGTGCGTCGCGGCCGCGGCGCCCTTCTTCAGATCACCCTTCATGGTGTCTGGCTCGAAGTTCTTGTGATCCATCTTGGGCGAGGATCGAGCTGTTCTGCTGCGGAGGTCCTGAGGCTCGAGGTCCCGTTGCTGTTGCGGGTAGAGTAGTCGTCGATGGGTATACAATACCGCTTACTCATCTCAATACCGCGCGGCTAAGCCCTGAACGCGACGACTCGGGATCATTGAATGGAAATTTTGGAGCAGCCAGGAGACAGCACCTCATCCAACTCGCCGCCCACGCCCGATTTCCTTGTTGCCGGAGGAGGGAGCTTCATCTTACACACCTATGAAGCGGGCACGAATAGAAAGATGGGGGAGCCAATTGCTGCAGTCGCGGCCGCAGGGCACACGACCGCAGTGTCTATACCAGCAGCCTCAGCACCCACAGCCTCATAACCACCGCCCGCAGTGGCATTGGCAGGCAGTCAGAGCCCAGTCCACCACCTCCACTCCACTATCATCACCGTCTCGCCGACCACCGCCAGCCTCCCACGCTCCACGCATCCCCCGCGAGTCTCTCCCATCACCACCACTCTCCGCCGCCCGCTCATCAGCCAAACTCTCCGCCCTCCACGCGCGACTATCCCTACCCTCCCGACTCCCTCTCGAGACCCTCGCACGCGCCCTCATCGATCCCTCCGCAGACCCAAACCCTGACCTCAACAACGCCTCCCTAGCACTTCTCGGCCAAGACCTCCTGGGCTACTACACCGCCGAGCACCTCCTTGCGCACTATCCGCGCCTGCCACAGACGGTCCTCTACGCCGCGCAGTACGCATATGTCGGCGGCAAAACGCTCGCGGCCGTAACGAGGGAATGGGGCGTCGAGGCTGCGGCTGAGCCGGGCGGGGAGGTCGATCCGGGATTGCTGCAGTTTAAGAGGGTCAAGCCTGGGACGGACATCTCTGGCGCTGCTGCTGGCGAGACGATAGGGCCGGATGGGGTTAATAGGAGCCAGTGGCGGCTTGGCATGGGCATGCGCAACGTCTCGGGCGACGAGTTTGGCGACATCAACGCGTCAGGGCTGGATGCAGCCGCTGGTGTCACGTTAGAGGACGCGAGCAAGACGTTCGTGCGGGCGCTCGTCGGCGCGGTATACTTGCACTGCGGCCAGCTGTCTACGAAACGGTTCTACGCGAGTCACTTTTTGAGCCGGCAGTTGGACCTCTCGACCCTCTTCGCTTTCAGAACGCCAACGCGTGATTTGTCAAGACTGTGTGCAAGAGAAGGATTCGAGGCCCCTGTGGCGCGGCTGCTGAGCGAGACGGGACGGCTGTCGCGGCATCCGGTGTTCGTGGTGGGTGTGTATTCTGGTCCGGACAAGCTGGGCGAGGGCGCGGGAGCTAGTCTTGACGAGGCGAGGACGAGAGCCGCGGCTGCGGCGCTTAAGAGTTGGTATCTTTACTCGCCGGAGGAGGTGACTGTGCCCAGCGAGGCAGAGGGCAAGGGGGATCAGGGGAAGAGATGGGTGCCGTGTATGGTTGACTGTGGGGAGGTGATTGCATAGACATCCAGGTCTGTTTCTGTTGATGGGAAAGAGGTGAAAGCTGTGGATATTTATTGAAGGGTGGCGCGGAATCGGAAGCATTGCATGGTGTCGGCAACTTCGCTCATGTTTTAGTACAAGGACTTAGCCATTCTGTCCTGTAGGGCAAGGCTCTGTCTATTACCTCTGAGATCGGCTCACGAGGTCTCGAGGAAGGGTCTGTATCATAAGCGCTTGGTCGGCTGTACTTGTACATTCGGCATCAGGCCCGGTTGGCGGAGTACAGAAGTGTATATTTCGAACCAAATACTCAATCAAATCTCCTCCGTCTACTGGCGATGAGTCGCTGCTCTCTCCGTTCAGAGCCATGTTGCGTGTGGATTCGGTCTTTCAAACTATCACGCTGCACCGCAAGGCAAGGTCGACGCCCCCTGGCTTCACTCTCATGCTAGCGGACAGGCTTAATCCCATCGTCGGAGTACTGTGTGTCTACTGCTTCTAAGTAGCTGCTCAACAATATGTTTCTGTAACATGGCACTGACTTGATTCTGCTAAAGCGTTGCGGTATCCACATGCGGCAAAACTAACTTCACTCAATTTTGTTGCATTAGCTTTGTATACTGTCAAACTGACCTTTTCTTTCAGCTGAGTAGCTGCAACCAAATCATTGCCTAGAAGTTCAAACAAGGCTACCTAGGTAGCTCGGAGTGAACTTCCTCAGCTTTTGCATCAGCCGTGCATTCCAGGCAGCAGCGTCCTACAGGACACTTTTCGAATCCCACTTGGAGATTCTCTTTGCTTTAAGGGTATCTCTCTTGTTCTTGAGGTGGGACCGCAGGATGGGCTGGTACCAGTTGTATTTGGGTGACGCTGTTCGCTATCACTCTCATGAAACGTAGTAAGACACAAACAGGTGATGCGTTTAGATACATGAACCCTCCTTTGTCCGTTTCACGCCTATTATACTCGCGGCGAAGCTGAACAGGTTCTCAAGAGTCCAGACTTCAGGACCATGAAGGGCAAGATCTGTAGAAAAGAGCCACGCCAGACCAGAGGGCGATCCGAAAAGTACGTTGTCGCACTGAAGGTGGAGAACGCACAAGCGCAGTTTAGAGATCAAAGACATCTCAAGTAGACAATGCACTAACGGGCTGCAATGCTGAACATATTGTCATCTCTATCGTATGCAACCAGTATCGCTACTCTATAATCGACAAGACGATGAGTCCAGCTTAATCGCGAACCTGGTGTTGAGCAAGCTAGACCGTAGATGCGGCAACGAGCTTTTCGGGTCGCCCTTGGACCGTCAGCCAAAGCTCGTTATACCAAGATGATTCGGACTTCAATAAATACCCGTCTGGTAGAGCGGAACGCAGGCAGTGCCGTGACACTGTTACACCGTCATCGCGTATTCGAAGTAATTCATATGGCGCGTAGAATACAATAAGGTCCCCTCGACAGAACAGCAAGCGGAACCCTCTCCTCCAAAACAAGAACGCAAGTCTATGTGGTATCACTACACTCAATCTGATCCAAACAACCGCACCAGCAGAACTCTATCGCACAGCACGCCTAGCTGAAATGATCCCCATGATCACCCGAGCCCTTCCTGCCAACAGGAATTCCCCTTCTGATTTTCCACTGCCGCTTCAGTGCCTTCCGCTCCCGCTCCTTGTCAAGCCGCTTGGCTTTCTTCCGCTCGTAGACGGCTCGCACGACCCGTCTGGTCTGCTCCTTGCCTTCCTCGAAGTTGGCTTTGGCTAGCGCAACGACCTTGTCGACCTGCTCAGGCGTGTAAACAAAATTCCACGTCGACATAAAGTCAGATTTCCGCGGATCCACGCCCTCGACCTTCGGATTGGGTAGGAAAGGGAAATATATGACAGCGATCCCGGCATCCTTGTGCGTCAGCTCCCAGTCCTCCTCGACCAGCTTCGACGGCGGCGGTTCCTCCTCGCTGATCCGCTCCTCGGTGGTGCCGATCCAGACGTTGCAGAAGCTGAGGTCGCCGCTGCCCGTTGTGTGCGAGTTGTCGCACTCTTGTGGGTCTTTCTGTGCTTTGGCGAGCCGGGCTGTGGCGTCCTCCTCGGTGCTGGCTTGCGCGGCATCGAGCTCTTTGACGACTTGCTCTTCGGGTGAGCCCTTTGCGGGCCAGCCGCAGCCAATTGGCCAGCCTTTAATGCCGCGTTGGCGGGCGTAGCCGTCGGCTACTCGTAGCCAATTGTCGGTCTTGACGTCCGCGGAGGCGTCGAATGCGATGAGAATGTCGACGTTTCTGCCCGGCCGCAGGAGGGGGTAGATCGGGAGGTTGTTGCTCATTCCGGCATCCATCAGCTTGAGGGTCGGCTCCTTGAAGATGCTCGCGGGTACGGTATCAGGAAGCTGTTCGCGCATGCCCAGCGCATAATTTGGAATAGTGGCAGGATCAATCGGATGCACTTTAATCATGTCCTCGTCCCGTTCGGTAAGCAGCTGGTCGAGGCCGGTGAAGCCCACGAGGCTGCGAACAGCGGGCTGGACTTCTTTGTAGTAGTGGGACAGGGTGGCACAGAAGGCACTGCCCCATATGCCCAGTATGACCGGTAGGCGCATCTCCGGAAGAGCTAGACCATTCTCTCGCCAGACCGTGCGGCCGTTGTCAAACTTTCGTCCCATGGCCCATGTGGGAATGCCAGCTCCTAGCTCTTCGCACCAGAACTCGTACGGCGTGGCTCTATTGTGCTTTAGTATATTGTTGTGCGGAAGACCGACGGAAGCTTACTCGAACCACTGGAACCAAGCCTCCTTTCTCGCCTTCTTCTCTGCTTCTATTGCGCCCTTAACATCTTGCTGCTCCTCGATTGGAATCTCGTGGCGCACTGATGTGTAGATTGGTAGTGGTTTAGAACCAGTGTCGATGAATCTTCTCTGGTTTGAGATCTTCAGATCACGATCGTCAAGGGCCAGTTCCCCTTTGGGGACTAGTAGTCTTGCCGCTAGAAGAAGACCGTAGGCGTCGACCAAACCGAAATCTGCATCCGGTACTCCTTTGTACTTCTCTAGGATGCCAGTAAGGAGGTACTTGTTAGTAGGCGCACTCGCTAGGAGAGGTGCCCACCCAGGCGGATAAGCGATATGGACTCCAAGCCTGTTCTTGAGGTGTCTAATGAGCCTTGCATGACACTGCCCTGCTAGTGTTGTGTAGTACAGTGCCTGAAGCCAGCAGCTACCGCTGACGCCTGCAGTGTATGTGATGCAATCAAACAAGCCGTCTTGATGCGCCGAAAGATAGGAGGACGAGCCCGCTACCAAAGCCCGCAGACCGCCGCCTGAGCCACACATCGCAATGATTGGTAAATCATCAGGATGTATATCTGCTTCCGGTATGTCGAGATATTTTGCTAGCCCGCGCCTGGTATAGGCGGCTCTGTGGCGTAGGAAGGACTTTTCTTCCAAGCATAGATCGTCTGACACCCGCACGTTGGCTTCCCACATGATCTCGGGGTTGATCTCAGGATCGTGCGCCTCCTGCCAGATTTCCTCGGCGAGTGAACCTGGAGCCCCAGAGAGCTCGTTCTGTAGCTTCTTGAGGAAGCCAGGTAGGACTTTTGCCCAATCCGGGAGGATGTAGTCAGTGATCTTGTCCCCGACTGAGGACCATTCGACGTCAGCTACGCTGGTGACCGGAGCTAGGAGACTTGTCCATCGTGTGGTACCCTGATACACAGATTATTTATTAGCCTTCGAAGTTAACCGCGTACCGTATTCTGTGTCCGTTGGAAGGTGACTACCTGATAATCTTCAGAGACGTAGTTTGATGGTTTCTGTGAGATGATGCTCGAGATAGGTTTACGCGCCTACGTATAGTACTAACGGGTGACTTTTCGATCTCCCGTCGCGAGCACCCACGGAGAACCTTGAAGCCGCCATCATGAGTCTAAGATAGAGCCACGGCTTGCTCCAAATACTGGCTTGCGGAACAGTACGACCCGCTATCCCATACTCGAGATGTTCGAGGGTGACGAGACAAACTCTGAAGATCGGGCAACAGACATTGATACAGAATGAAATGGTAAAAATACCTCGGATGTGGTCACTTCACCAGCAACGCGAGTCTGAGATGGTGGATCCTGTTTGCCTGATGCATCGTCTCTTGCGCCCTTGCCATGCGCCTGGCGCTCACGGATTACTCGAGCATCACTACCCCAATTCGATCGCTTGACTGAGCTGCCATCATCTAGTCGCTCGACCGAAAGCCACTCTGTAGGGTCTACAGCGTATTGAGAACAGGCAAAATACCCCGTTGCTAGGGTAAAGGCTCCTGTTAATGTAGCCGCAGGAACAAACCCCCTTTTACTGCTACGCAAGCGACTAAGTGGAGAGAAACTTTAACTCCGTCAGTAACGCCCAGTTTGATAACGTGATGGGGAAGACGGACGATCGAATTGGTTGAGAGCGCCACCATAACAGTTTTCCGCTGCTGCCAAGCCGCGCATTTGGCCTGCGGTTCATGGTGAGGGTGGACGGACGTGCGCACGGCACCCAAAAAGAAGTTATCGGTGTAGAGCAATGCGAGCCATTCGAGACAAGCGAACGGATAGAGGAACGAAAGTTTTCGTGTTTTCTAACCCATGACGGAGGCAGATCCACGGGACATGCTGTTCCCAGTTTTGGCACAATGCCATGAAGTCACACGCGAGGTTTCGGTCGGGCCCTCCCGTTCGGCGTTTCAGCCCGCTGTCCCGCTGCAGATGTGCCTGGCTAAGCTCGCTGTGAGCAAAATAAGTCGCGCTGCCAAATCCATCGTGTTTTACTGATTCCATACTCCGTAATGCCTTACCGTATTAGCAAATAGAGCTTCCCAGGATCTAGTAGAGCTACTATTGGAAAAGTCTATCATCCTCAGAATTGCATGTGCGTACTGGCACAATCAAAACTGTGCTGTTTTGGCACTCAATATTCATGCATCTAACCGTGAAAGTCGCCTGTCGAGCTATAGTGGCTGCAATCGTGGTTTTATGATGTTGACGAAGAGTGCTTTTCTAGCGATGTACATGTGCAGATGTATCATGAGCTCAGAGCGATTGAGACACCGTGAGGAGTTCCTGATTGCGGGAGGTGGCTGTAAAATAGCAAGCGGTAGATGAAGTGACTGGTTTGGTAGCGGGTAATATTTCCGTCACTCCACGTAGGGCTGACAGCTCCGCCGTCAAAGCCTCAAGCTCCCCCCGGTCCAACACCCGAACGAGCGACCATTAACCCGTCAAGGTCCTAGTCTTAATCCGCGCTCCGCTTCCTTCCACGACATACTATGCGCCTCTCTTCTCAGCCTCCTAGAAGAGACTGAGCCAACCCTTATTATTGTCTCGAGAGGCCATCAGCCCGCCTGCCTACGGTCGCTCCCTCGCCCAGCATGGTTGCGCCGCGCAAAGCAGCGTACGCGGAAGAGAGCGCGGAGGTGGAGGTCCTCCTCGCGAACATGGAGAAACTCAAGGGCTTAACAAAAAAGATACAAGGCTCGCTGAACCGCCTGGAAATGAGCGGGAAGAGCGTCCAGGATGCCATAGGACCCATATACGGGAACACGCAACGACTCCAGACGACCAACTCTAGTACGTGCCACAGCTTTTGCAAGGCCATAGTCTATGAATAACGGGCGTTTGCAGATGTCGACCGGATCATCGAGGCCATCGACCGAATACGAGAGCCGCTGGATCAGAGGAACCGCGAAGAGCGTATAATCAGGGCAGGGTCAGTAATGCGCGGCGCTATAACAACTTCAGGGAGCATGGCTGATTCGTCGTATAGACCGAGGAAGGTCGGGATGGCGGAGTTTATTGCATCCCTGGATCGCACCACCGACGCCTTGCGAGGCCTAAGGCACTCGAATCTGCGCTCCAACCAGCAAGCAATATCCGAACTCAACACGCTTCTCAAGATGGGCACAAAACAACTGGAGGATGTGTTTCGTGAGATCCTGAGCGAGGGCGCACATCCGGTCGAACCGCTCCACTACATCACCAAGCGTGCGTATACCAGATCTTGCCCACGGCCTCCCCGCTAATTTGGGATGTAGAACTGCCGTTCCCTGGGCTGCCTCAAGAAAGCGCGTCGCAGCTCAAGCTTATCAATACACACGTTTCCGCTTCTGTTGCGCAGATCTCACAAGCGGACTTCCGCGAGACGCCGACAGCAAGAACTTACGCTGAGATACGCGGTGACTACATTACTACGACTTTACGAAACCTAGCCGCAGCGTCAATGTCGACCGCTAAGAAGACAACGGCTGACGCAATATACCGACGGGGCACTAACGGTGTCGGAACCTATGCTCAAGGAATGGAAGGCCTCTATGTCACCGAGTATGAGAACGTCCGCGCAGTGTTCACTCAGGACGAATGGAGCCGCGTATTTAAAGCCACCTGTCAAGGTTCCTTGAACGAATTCTCGCGGACGCTGCGAGAGCTCAACACCTTCATCCAGCACAACCTCATGACAGACTGCTTCCTTGCATACGAAATCATCGAAATCGTCTCTACACTATCACTGCGCCTAGAGGGTGGGATCGGTGAACTCAAGCGTCCCATCGCTGACTCGCTGAAGCCGATCCGCGAGACCGCAATGACATCGCTCGTGAAGCTTCTAGAGGACACAAGAACCCGTGTTCAGTCACTGGTAGCCTTACCAATGGATGGCTCGCCGATACCTGCGACAAATGAGGTCATGACACGATTGCAGACAATGACTTCGTATCTTCCATCTCTTTCGTCAATCTTGACATCGCTCGGTGACGGAGGTTGGTCGATCACGTCTGCCTCAACATCCTCGACCTCGATTCCGACGATAAAGTCCTTCGAGGTCGGCGCCGACGGCAGAAAACTCTTTGCGCACTACGCATCAGATACACTAAATACTCTCCTGCAAAATATCGACGCAAAGTCTCGGATGCTACACAAGACGAAGCCTCTTCAGGGCGTATTCATAGCCAACAACGTGGCTGTGATCAACCGGATGATTCGCAACTCAGACCTACAGCCTCTGCTGGCAGGTTGGACCGGTAAAGTTGATGAGTATCAGAAGAAGAGCACCGACATGTACATGGACGCCTGGCAAGAAACGTCAAAATATCTACTGGACGTGCAGTACACCAACCGAGGTGCGCGTCCTCCCTCCGGCACGACAGGAAGTGTAGATTCCGCTGCCTTGATCAAGAGCCTGGGCTCAAAAGACAAGGACGCCATCAAGGAGAAATTCCGCAACTTCAACGCTAGCTTCGAGGACCTGGTTGCTAAGCATAAGAGCTACAGGATGGAGAAGGAAGTCAAGGCGCAACTCATGCGCGATGTGCAGGCATTCATGGAGCCGCTCTATGGTCGCTTCTGGGATAGGTATCATGAGATTGATAAGGGGAAGGGTAAGTACGTCAAATATACCAAAGACCAGTTCGTGGCAACACTTGCAGGTCTCGCATGACACGCTTCGTGTCGGTCGAGTAGTTTTCTGTTTTGGATATACCCACGTAGTTTGAACATTGGGGAAGGCGTCCCAGGACAAGGCATTCAAGTACATCAAGCTTCAATCAGGGATCAGAGGACCAGAAGTCGATGGAAGCCTTCAGCGTACTCAGTCATCGCGCCTCAGCACGATCAAGATGGTACCTGCATGCTATCCCTTAGGGGACCGTCTTGGCTCAGATCCCTATGCAGGTTCGGTACTCCGTAAGGAGTATGGCACGTGACTACCCGAAGCCGTGACACGTTGGTGTTTCAAGTTCTGCGGGAGCTCCTCCTCGCCCCCAAACTTGTAGAAACCCGCTGAACAGCCGACCGACATTCTCCATCACGTCCAAGCGAACAGCGCGCACAATTGAGGCTTCTCTGCTGTCTGCTGCAGACCGTTGTGCTGATCCCCCGGAGATTTTGCTTAGTGCCGCCGGGGCCAATCAGCGATCAACGGCGGGCATCCCTGTCCAAGACCCCTATCCAGCGTTGACACTTTCCGGTGCACTTTCCAAACATCGCGACTTCCTCTTAACACAATCACACCACCTCCAGCTCGTGGGCATCCTTCCGCACAACTCTCGCAGACTTCGCTGCATCAACATCGTCAACATTGGTATTAAGACTCACTGGTACGTTCTCGCCCTCTCCCGAGCCCTCGCGAGCGCCTTTATTTCTTGCAGCCGCATCTCGCTGTTCGCATCGGGGCTCACGAACAGCTTTGCGTGCTGCCGCTGTTACATTGATACTGATTCTCTCGTTCGCTCTAGAAGTCCCTCCTTACACAAGCCTCCGTCTGCGCACACGTCCGCATTCACTGCCATGGGTAGGCAACGTCTCCCCCTTCCAATCAACCATCGCTCTACAATATGCTTCAAATGCCACTGAGGGCAAGGCAGTCCGCGTCGGAATGCCCGCTACGTGCGAGTGCCCGTGGTCGGCTTACGCACGCTTGTGCCACAATCCGGATTCTGAAGCGCTGCATATGGATTGAAAGCGTTCATCTCGGGTTCATTGCTGATTCGACGGTGATAACAGCCGTTGTCGACAGTCTCCCCGGCGCTCCGCCAGCCCGGGCGTCGCCAGTTCCCACCGGGCCGATGCCCAATGGAAAGCCCTCTTCGCCCTACGTTGAGCGAAGCAATCCCATGCCAAACGGTCAGATTGCTGCCCCTCAGACCGTCACTTCAAAAGATCCGAAGGCTGCCGCCCAAGCTGCCAGCGATATGCGAAACATTGTTCGACGAAAACTCACTGGTTACGTCGGTTTCGCCAACCTGCCCAACCAGTGGCACCGCAAGAGTGTGAGAAAGGGCTTCAACTTCAACGTCATGGTTGTCGGTATGGCTTCGTCTGGTCGAACGGTAGACTAGTTGGCAGAAAGCTGACGGCACACAGGCGAATCTGGTCTCGGGAAGTCAACGCTCGTAAACACTCTCTTCAACACATCTCTCTACCCTCCCAAGGAGCGCAAGGGACCTAGCCTCGACATCGTCCCGAAGACTGTCCTCATACAGTCAATCAGCGCCGATATTGAAGAGAATGGTGTCCGACTACGATTGACGGTTGTAGATACCCCGGGTTTCGGCGACTTCGTGAACAACGACGAGTCGTGGCGCACGATCGTTGAGAACATCGAGCAGCGCTTCGACGCCTACTTGGATGCGGAGAACAAGGTCAACAGGATGAACATCGTAGACAACCGCATTCACGCCTGCGTGTACTTCATCCAGCCTACAGGTCACTCACTCAAGCCTCTAGACGTTGAGGTTATGAAGCGATTACATACGAAAGTCAATCTCATCCCCGTCATCGCCAAGTCCGATACCCTGACCGATGACGAGATTACGGCCTTTAAGACGAGGGTACGTTTGCCATACCTTCTTCCTGGTATTTGCTGACAGTTCCAGATCCTTGCGGACATCCAGTACCACAACATCCAGATCTTCGAGGGGCCACGGTACGAGTTGGACGATGAGGAAACCATCGCCGAGAACAACGAGATCATGTCTAAGGTGCCTTTCGCCGTTGTTGGAGCCAACAGCGAGGTGACAAGCCCAGACGGCCGCAAGGTCCGTGGGCGAAGCTATCCTTGGGGTGTGATTGAGGTCGACAACGAAGAGCATTGCGACTTCGTCAAGCTTCGACAGATGCTTATCCGCACTCATATGGAAGAGCTCAAGGAGCACACTAACAACGCTCTCTACGAGAACTACCGCTCCGACAAGCTCACGTCAATGGGCGTTGCACAAGACCCAAGCGTCTTTAAGGAGGTCAACCCAGCCGTCAAGCAAGAAGAGGAACGCTCGCTGCATGAGCAGAAGCTCGCGAAGATGGAGCAGGAGATGAAGATGGTATTCCAGCAGAAGGTCGCCGAGAAGGAAAGCAAGCTCAGGCAGAGCGAAGAAGAGCTCTACGCACGTCATCGGGAGATGAAGGAGCAGCTCGACAGGCAACGGCAGGATCTGGAAGAGAAGAAGTCGAGGATCGAAAGCGGACGTCCGATCGAGGAGAAGGGCAAGAGAAAGGGGTTCTCTCTGCGTTAAGCCTGCCTACCACCATCAACGTAACATTCAGCTGCACGCCTCCGCCCCGGCGTCCTTGCGAAACCCCGTTGCTAATTCTCGAGCCCGTCGAGCCTACCAGGCGCCATCGGAAACCACGTTCATGAAACCGGTGCAAGTTTGGGGTCCTGTTGCAGCGAGGCGCTCTTTGGTTTAGTCCCTTGTTGTTCCATCTTCTCTTGATACCTCGAGCATGTTTTCTTGTCTTTGCCGTCAGCTGCCTTGTTTTGCCGGGAGAAATGGTGGTCGCAGGGCTTGCACCAAGGATACTAGAGGCGGGCTGGGTTCACAAATTGCTTCCTTATGTATTCTACCATCCGCTTCTGTGCTTTCTGCCGGGTTTCTTATGTAGGGGCGGTCTTGCGATGTTGGAGCAGTAACAAGTAAATATTGTAGTACCTCAAACCTGCCTCAAGCCTTCGACAATAATCTGATCGAATGAAGTGGACACGATGCAAAACAGGAACCAGTTCCTTTGCACGTGAGATCGGCAGTTCCAGGTGCTGTCCAGCCCACGTAACGTTAAGGTGTGTCGTCACTTCCCGCTCACTGGCTTTCCAAGATTCCGCCTCTCCACAACAAAACTCGACCCACCAATTCTCCAGCTTGCACACTTCGATCACACGACTCTCAGCGCCTCACTTTCACGTTCCACACGCCCATTGACGAGTTGTAAGTATATCTCTGAACAGCCAAAACACAGGAGAGCATCGGAGCAGCCTCCTGCGGGGTAGTTCCGCGGTTACGAGGCGACCAGCCACGCCGTATTTGCCAACTGTTCTCCGGAAGGCAACACAGCCTCCCCATCCCTTCAAATTCCTCAGCGGACACTTTTCGTACATCTCTGCACAGTACGCATTCTAAACCGCACACAGAGCTGACATTGAAAGCATAGAACAACGCGGACACTCACCGTCATTGAAATCCCCTCCGCACTATGGCCCCTCCACCTCCGGGAAATCAGCCTTTGCAGCAGAGGTTGATGCAATTAGCACAGACCCTCCAGTTCGCGTGGTTCTGTGGCCATGTTACGCTGTTCCTGTGCACAATTCGCTATGCGATCTCATACCTGACTTTCCGCTACAACTCCAAGTGGGCGGTGTTCTCTTACCGAACCGCTTTCATGGCGGCAGCTGTCACGTACGGTATCGTGGTGTACAAGGCATACCGCGCCCGCATGAGGTCCGGGAAACAGGGTAGCCCTCTGGCTATGCTTGCGGACGAGAACGTGCAGTATCTCCGTATGTCTACTTCCCTTCACAAAGCGTTTACCGCAAGAGCTGACAATGTCTGCAACAGTAATGGCACTCGTCTGGCTCTGGTCCCGTCAGATCCCGCTCGCCATCCTCCCCTTCACCGTCTATTCTATCTTCCACATCGCGACCTACACTCGCGCGAACCTGCTCCCGGCTCTCCAGCCCCAGCAGCAATCCCAGGACGGCCAGCCGCCCAAGCAATCCGGCATGGCTCAGACGATCGGCCAGTTCGTCAAGGACTACTATGACAGCAGCATGACGCTCGTCGCGCTCCTCGAGATCGGCCTCTGGTTCCGCGTCCTTATGTCTGCCCTGCTCTTCCAGAAGGGCTCCTGGATCCTTCTCGGCATCTACAGCGCCTTCCTCCGGGCCCGCTACTCGCAGAGCAGCTTCGTGCAGGGCGCTATTGCCCAAATGACCCAACGCGTTGACGGCATGGTCGCGAACCAGAATACCCCGCCTGCGGTCAGGAATGCCTGGGCCAGCGTCAAGGGACTCGCGAGACAGGCGGCTGAGGCTACGGACATCAACAAGTATGTCGGCGGTAACCAGCAGGCCGGCCCGAAGAAGGCGCAGTAGATGGGTGTCGTATGACGATTACTTCAGCTGCGGCCTTGCACGGAGTGGCTCATCGTGGGTGGTTGAGCGCCCAGGGATGTTGGCACATACGGCGAACAAAAGCTTCAACGGCAGGGAACCAGAGCCGCACGCTCGGCAAAAACGAAACAATGCGCGAATGGAGGGGAGGTGAAGTGGGATCAGTGGATGAGTTGCTGGTGCGGATGGAGCATAGAGTTCATGAATAGTGTTGTCCCCTATTCTCTTGCCTTTTGGGGCGTTTTACAAATACCTTTGTGTATTCTTTCCTCGCTATTAAAAGAATCGGTACTCATCGAATGGAAATAACACTGGACCCTCAGCCTCAACATGTACTTGAAAACGCTCCGTGACACAACAGTTCCCCCCTTTCACGGCACCAGCTCACGTGCTTCTGCCGTCCCCGTGTGGAGACTGATCGTCACCAGGCTTGAGCCAAACTCGAAAGGGGTCCACGAGCCGAAAACCCCCTTGTGTTTGCTCCACATCTCCTGCGTTTCGCAGCCCACGCGCTGCACCTCATCGGGCTAACTTACAAGCGTCATCGGCCGTTCGGTTGAAGCGGTGAAGCGGTGAAGAGAAACTAACAATTGCCGTGGATAGCGCCGTTGCCACTAAGACGTGGTATCTCACGGTCTCCAGGGGCTCGTGTTGGGAGTTTGTGCCTCGCTGTCGAGTCCTCATATTGCTGCTCGAGTATGCAGGTGCACTACAATACAATATTCGAATACTCTACGGAGAAACACTGAGCTGGATTTGCGGCATCGCGTCAGCCGCAGCCTCCGGCAGGCGCTGGGCGTGGACCGAGTTCGACCGTTGCGCAGGGTGCCGGCATCCTCAAAAGGGTAACAGCCATTATTCTCCTTCCGCGCGAGCTGGAAGCTACCGTGGCTGGCTATTGGTTTATGCACGACACCAGCGCCATTTGGCTTGTCTAGCTAACGATAGCTGCTGCTGGCTTGCAGAACATGGCACCTTCACCAGAACCCTAGCACAAGAGAAGAATCGGACCCAGCACCGATCTGACCGTCACGTCAGCTGTTGACCGTGCTGGAACCACTGTTAGCAGGTAGGACTTGGGTTCACGCGAACAACGATGCGTAACGGCCTTTGAGATATATTGATCGTCCTACGCTCTTTCTTCCTTTGTCTGTACAGCGAGCGCAATTTTCGTCGAGTCTGCTCAGCATTTTCCAAACGTGATCACCAGCTCAGCTCCAGTAATACCCCTCATGGATTATTCTCCTCCTCTATCAATGTCGAGTCGCAGAACTTCTGTTGGTTCAGTCGAAGACTTGGACGCATACTTTGCGAACTATGTACCACTATCAAACCTCCCAACACCTCCCCCTCGCCCTGACGAAAGCTCCTCAGATGGCAGCTGTGCGACGTCGCCTTCAAGCCACTCTTTCGACCCCGAGCTAGCCGGTAAGCCTCTTCCCCATGCGTTGCTGCACTGGCACTGGCACTGGCACAGCCTGACATGAAGCGCTAGGCCCCGCAGAGCTCCTAGCCAACCTGGTCCCCTCAAACGCCTCTCCACACCGCCCTTTCGCAGCCACGATCTACGACTACCTCTCGCGCGCACAGCTTCCGATCGAGGTTCTCGGCCTTGCGGCATGCATACTCGATGCGCTCAGCGCCCGCTTCGCTGCCAGTTGGCGCCAAGAGCTCTTCCAGCAAGACACGCAGAAGGGGCGGCAAGATGGACGGCCAACACCTTTCATAATCCAGACAAACTCCAGGAACTCTTACAGCAGCTGTCCTGAGCCCGAGATCATCGTCCTCGCGACCCTACATCTCGCCGTCGCCTACCTGTCCGACAGGCCCATGCTCCCTGCCTTCTGGGCGCGGCATGTCTCCCCAAACGCATTCTCGGTTGCGGAGATCAACACTACAACCAGGTGTGTGCTGCGGGACATCGACTACGGCTTGCATTCGTTCACGCCTGAGATGGTGGATGAGGCGATCGCGGATATGCGGCGAGCTGGTGAAACCGTCAGGCTTGAGGCGAAACCGGCGTCGGTGGGCCAGGGACTCGGTGTGAGGAGGAAACCGCCGGCGGTATTAGAGCTTGGGAGACTCGGAAGGGCGGTGGTGGCAGATGGGTTGGTGACGCCGGAACCGAGTCCACCGTGTTAGCATGCAGAACGGCGGCCTGTCCATACGACTGGAGTTGGGAGATGCGGCAGCTTCTTCACAGCGAGTGTATCCAGGTCGTCTGGTCAAGCGTTCAGGCGAGTTGGGCTGTTTTTGCATGGCATTGTTGAGCGTTCAGTCCTTTAATATTCCCTACGTAATTGGAGATACCCCCTTGTCAGGCACTTAGGACTACTAGTAGCATTCCCGCGTTCCACAGCCGCATTCGGCGGTTCCTCTGGCTACCCTTACATAGTAGCGGTTAAGAAACCCTCCACTGCATGCACAGCATCACGGAGACAAACTCAGTCAATCGCACAGAAGCCTCTCTGCTATTGCCGGAGGAAGCATGTGAAGACAGAATATTGCATTGCGAGTCGAGCCAGCCGCCTCCGCCATTGGCCCAAACGCCCTAAAATCGCGCTATCGCCAGCCAACCCCGCCAGACGTGCCCGCACTCGCTCCTTTCCCCGCGGGACCACCGCAGTCACCGCCCACACACACCACACACCAACCTGCAGCTGCCAGTCCCGCGTCCCGCTTGGGGTTAACGCGCGGTTGAGCCTCCATCGATCTCCCGCCCGCACTCAACCATTTTCGTCCCGTCTCGCAATTCTCGCTCTCTCTCTCTCTCTCTCTCTCTCTCTCTCTCTCTACCTTCTCTACCTTCTCTATCCCTCTTCACTCCAACCCCTCACCACAATGGCGACAGCAAAGACAGACAACCCGGCCCGCGAGCGTCGCCCCAGCATGAGCGCCCCGCTCTCGGATATGGGACCGGTGGGCCCGGGGTTTAGTCGTCCGAAGCATAAGAGGACGGTTACGGGGTTTGGACCGGGGGAGATTAAGAGTGTTGAGGCTAGCATTCCGGAACCGCAGCGGGCAGCGTGAGTCTTGAGAACTGAGGGCGCGAGAGCTGGGGAAGTGCTAATGTTTGTTGTAGGTGGAACAAATATGTAGGCTACAACAGAGAGGGGAAAAGAGACAATGGGGATGGATTGTTGACAGCAATTGCAGGCACCGAAGCCCTTCGAGTCCGCGGAGGAGTTTGACGTATGTGGCTAAGTTCCTACTCGCGCGATTGTAGCGCTGGATCAATTGCTAATGATAGCACAGAAAGAGGCCGTCAGGCACATCGAGACGACTCTCGCTCGCTCCATGTACAATTGTGACGAGGCGTGAGACTTCCTGTTCGCAGCACAATCTTGAGCAGCGCCTGACAAGCTTCCAGCGCCGCCTACGCGGGTACCGCCCTCGCTTTCCGGGACAGACTGGTCATCGATTGGAACAAGACGCAGCAGAACCAGACGTTTGCGGACCAGAAGCGTGTATACTGTAGGCTTCAAGGCACTGGGGTTGCGAGTGCAGTGCTGACTGCAACTCAGACCTCTCCTTGGAGTTCCTGATGGGACGCGCCTTGGACAATGCCATGCTCAACGTTGGGCAGAAGGAGACCGCGAAGCGTGCGTCCAGCAAAACACCACTACACCGAATGATGGCTAACGAGCTACACAGAGGGTCTCTCCGACCTCGGTTTCCGCGTCGAAGACATCATCACGCAAGAGCACGATGCCGCGCTGGGCAACGGCGGTCTCGGTCGCCTTGCAGCCTGCTTCCTGGACAGTCTTGCATCACTCAACTACCCTGCTTGGGGCTACGGGCTGCGGTACAGATACGGTATCTTCAAGCAGGAGATCATCGATGGGTACCAGGTCGAAGTGCCGGATTACTGGCTGGACTTCAACCCCTGGGAGTTTGCGAGACACGACATCACTGTGGACATCCAGTTCTATGGCTACGTCAATAAGTACCAGTAGGTTTCGTGCTTCGATGAGCAATGTGGAGTGTGCCTAACGGTTAATCAAGGGACGATGATGGCAAGCAGGTATGCTCTTGGGAAGGTGGTGAGATTGTGCAAGCCGTTGCTTTTGATGTCCCGAGTAAACACTTCCCCCGTAGTTTGTCTATTCAGACTGCTAACACAGTGTAGTCCCCGGATACGGCACCCCGACCACAAACAACTTGCGATTGTGGGGCAGCAAGGCCGCCAGCGGAGAGTTCGACTTCCAGAAGTTCAACTCGGGCGAGTACGAGAGCTCTGTCGCAGATCAACAGAGAGCGGAGACCATCTCTGCAGTGCTGTATCCCAATGACAAGTATGTAAACTCGGTGGCTTTATTGCGGCTGTGTACTAATTTTGTTTAGCCTCGAGCGTGGTAAGGAGCTACGTCTCAAGCAGCAGTACTTCTGGTGCGCCGCTTCGCTATACGACATTGTCCGCCGATTCAAGAAGTCCAAGCGCCCCTGGAAGGACTTCCCGAACCAGGTCGCTATCCAGCTGAACGACACCCACCCAACTCTCGCCATTCCGGAGCTCCAACGTATCCTCATTGATCAAGAGGGTCTTGATTGGGACGAGGCATGGAGCATCGTCCAGAAGACCTTCGGCTACACTAATCACACCGTGCTGCCGGAGGCTCTCGAGAAGTGGTCCGTACCGCTCATTCAGCACCTCCTTCCGCGCCACCTCCAGATCATCTACGACATCAACTTGAACTTCCTGCAGTACGTCGAGCGCAACAACCCGAAGGACCGAGAGATGCTGGGCCGGGTGTCGATCATCGAGGAGTCCAACCCCAAGATGGTCCGCATGGCCTACCTCGCTGTCATCGGCTCGCACAAAGTCAACGGTGTTGCCGAGCTCCACTCTGACCTGATCAAGACGACAATCTTCAAGGACTTCGTTAAGATCTACGGGCCGGACAAGTTCGCCAACGTCACTAACGGCATCACGCCTCGCCGCTGGCTGCACCAGGCTAACCCGCGATTGTCCGAGCTGATCGCCTCGAAGCTGGGCGGCTACGGCTTCTTGAAAGATCTCACCCTCCTCCACAAGCTCGAGGCCTATGTGGACGACAAGGACTTCCGCAAGGAGTTCCAAGAGATCAAGTATGCGAATAAGGTCCGCCTCGCGAGACACATCAAGGAGGTCACGGGCGTCAGCGTCAACCCGGCGGCGCTCTTCGATATCCAGGTCAAGCGTATACACGAGTACAAGCGCCAACAGCTTAACATCTTCGGCGTCATCCACCGGTACCTTGCCATCAAGAAGATGTCGGCTGAGCAGAGGAAGAAGCTGGCGCCGAGGGTGTCCATTTTCGGTGGCAAGGCCGCGCCGGGCTACTGGATGGCCAAGTAAGTGATCCTTCATGTCCTCTTAGCAAAGCTCCAGGTCTAACAGTCCCAGGACGGTAATCCATCTCGTCAACGAAGTCGGCCGCGTCATCAACGCCGACAAAGACGTCGGCGACCTGCTCAAAGTAATCTTCATCGAAGACTACAACGTGTCCAAAGCGGAGATCATCTGCCCGGCCTCAGACATCAGCGAGCACATCTCGACCGCGGGCACGGAAGCCTCAGGCACCTCGAACATGAAGTTCGTGCTCAACGGCGGCCTCATCATCGGCACCTGCGACGGGGCCAACATCGAAATCACGCGCGAGATCGGCGAGAACAACATCTTCCTGTTCGGCAACCTGGCCGAGGACGTCGACGAGCTGCGGCACGCGCACCTGTACGGCAACTTCCAGCTCGACGCGGAGCTGAGCAGCGTGTTCGACGCGATCCGGAGCGGCATGTTCGGCGACGCGGGACAGTTCTCCGCGCTCGTCAACGGCATCGTCGAGCATGGGGATTACTATCTCGTTTCGGACGACTTTGCGAGCTACTGCAAGACGCACGACATGATCGATGAGGCGTACAAGGACCAGGAGGAGTGGGTCACCAAGTGCATCACTGCGGTTGCGCGTATGGGCTTCTTCTCCAGTGATCGCTGCATCGATGAGTATGCGGAGATGATCTGGAATGTCGAACCGCTGCAGCCGAAGGTGGATGGGGCGAATGGCACGAATGGGGCGTGACTTGGGGAGGAGACGACCGCGCCGGAGAGCGCAGGGTCGGCGCAGGCGGAGGGTGAGAGTGTGAGGATGGGGGAGTCGGTGGTCAAGAAGCTGGCGGCATTGCTGGAGGCCTTGGGCTAGGTAATGGCTTATGATGCTGTAGGGCGCGGTCGCGATCATGAGGATGAGGGAGGTTCTTAGGCTATTTGCTGCGTCGGTGTCTTGAACGGGCTAGAGTAGACTACCTAGATACACTAAACATGGCTCTGAGTAGAAGGATTCTTGAGCGAGGTTTATATCGTGGTGAACATGTTACTGCGTTCAAGCCGACGTTGCGTTTGTATGGTATGTGAACACCGCATCACTCTGTTACTAGGTTATAGAGGGGGCGAGGTGGTGTTGGAAGAGGGTGGGTTGGGGCTGCAGTGCCAGTCCTTGAGAGCGGGCGGATCTCTTGATTCGGAGCGTCCGCTTCTCAGTTCTGTTCTCTAGATGACTTCACGCGAAGCTCGCAGGTTTAAAGGGACGCCCTCTGGTCGATCCAAATAACATTCACCCTCATAAAGATGATTTTGACAAGCGTCAATCCGACACCGATGTCACTCAATACCAGCTACACGGAATGCATCGACGAATAGAGCCGAGATATAGGGGACATCGGGCTCTACGCCTCCGTTGCTATGCTCACGATGATGCCCACCTGTGTTGATGTCGGGATAATCGAAAGGACCTAGCAGAATTCGTAAGGGTCCTGAAATGCTCCAAGAGCCACAACCATCTGCTTTCTACAGAAAATTGAATATGGTGTCATTGGCTAGCGCTCATATAACAGGCTCTATAGACGTACACAAAGCGCCCAGTCCACATGCGATCCATAGTCACCGCTACAACCTACAGCCATAATCAGCTAATGTAACAGGTTTCTGGCCCCTCCCCTCCGTTTCCCTCTACAACTTAGCCTTCGGCGCCTCCAGCGTCGGCACCAGTAGGTCCCTAATTTCATTTGCTGCCTCCGAGAGCCAAAACGCCATTCTGTCGGCGCCGAGGCCCTTTGACACGATGTTGAACTGGATGCTGTTCTCGTTGATCATGTACGCGATGCTAGAAGAACTTCCTGTCAGCAAACCCATCCTCAGAACAAAACAAGACGAAATGAAGGAACCACTTACCCCCAGCCCTCATCGATAACCTGACTCCACCCATAGCCATTGAAGTACTCACTGCTCAGCTGACTACTGCTGATGAACCACGTGCTGCTATACGTATACGCCGGGTCGTTGTAGATCTCCGGCACTTCTTCCCCCTTCTTCAAACACTTCTTCAGCCCGAAGAGATGCCTATCCACACCCCTCCCATCGCTCGCATCCGAGATGTACTGCACATGCATCTTGAGCGCGTCCCTGAACAGCTTGACACAGTCCTCAGGGGTGACATCCGGGTTCGCCATCGCCTCGCAGAACGCAACGCTCTCGTCGCTGACGGTGCGGCAGGTCTCGGTCCTGCCCTGCTGGAAGCGGCGCGTCGCGGCGCTCTCGTACGTCGGCCGGTTGCGCCCGTAGAACTTGTGGTACGCGAGCTGGATCAACATCTGCACATACGCGTCCGGGGAGCACTTGAACTTCTTGATCAGGCCCTTGCCGTAGCCCTGGTACGCCTGCACCCTCAGCTCGTGCTGGCCGATCTGCTTCTCAAAGTGCCTCTGCGCCTCGAGCAAATCGTCCTGCAGCTCGGCGTCGATCTTGAAGTTCACGGGCACCGGCTCCGGGAGGCTGGAGCGCACGTTCGGGTTGTCGAAGTCGAGCTTGTTGCCGAAGATGGTCGCGTTGGCGTAGTCGTTGAGGCGGTGCGTGGGCGTGCCGTCCATCATCGAGTGCTCGCCGATAAAGCCCGAGGTGCCGTTGTCGTTTATCACGAACTGGAGCGGCTTGTCGAACCAGCGGTTTGAGCCGTCGCCGTGCCAGTAGGAGTGCGCGCGCTCTTCGAGGGTTACGGGGGAGGCGTCGTCGAGGCATACGATGAAGGAGGAGGATTCGATCGCTTCGAGGGCGGAGGCGTTGGCGGCGTTGGAGTTGAGGAGGCGCTCGCGGACCTGCGGCGATGTCGGTTAGTGATGGCATTGGAAGATGGGTCCAGAAGAGAGGCTCACATCTGCCCACGCATCCCGGTGTTGGGACGTAAGAACGCCCACGGGCGGCGCCTTCTCAGCCTTCTCATATATCCGCATGAACTGCTGCTGCAGCTCCGAAGTATTGAGCTGCTTGCCGCCAACCTCATGCATGACCTTCCAGAACTGGTTCTTCCGCATCACAATGATGTGCTTGTTCTCCTGATACGGATACTTGACCGGATAATCCGTGGACTTGGCCGGCACGCGACAGCAATTGAACATGTACTCATAGGCCGCCATGGAGATGGGGAGCTTCTTCATATACTCCGGCTCGAGCGTCTTCTCGTCGACCTGCTTCTTGAACTCCAGCACCGCCGTCGTCAAGGCCGCCGCGCGCTTCGCCGGGTTCCGCCGCTTGCGGTCGTCGCGGTGCGAGTAGAAGTAGCTGACGTACGGCACCACCGGGTCGCGGTACTCGAGATAGGCCGCGGCGTTCCACCACTCGTATATCCAGTTGCGGTGCTTGGGGTCGTCGCGCCGCGCGAGGAGGCGTTTTTGCAGCGTCTCGCCTTGCCCGCCGGGTTGCACGAACGCATCGACGGCGGCTTTGGTGTGCTCGTACTCGGATTTGCTGACCAGAGGGTGCACGGACTTAAGGTACCGTTTTGCGGTCTCCTCGAGCGCGGGGACGGGGAGGCGCGGGAGGGAGTCTTCGAAACGGAGCATGGGGGGTTTGCTACTGTCCTCTTTGTAACCTGTGCGCGGGTTTGCTGTCAGTATCGGCGTAGGACCTGGGGGCTGCGGGTCATTGTCCGCTGACGCACCTGCTGGGAGGGAGGACTGCTTTCTTCGCGCGGCGGGTGCCATGGCTAATATCTGGGAGGTGAAAACACGGTCAGTCAAGGCACAACAAGAGAGCCGTCGATCCTCTAGCAGGCTTTCTTACCTTTGAAGGAGAGCTCACGGGCGTCAATCGCTGGCGGAAGAGGGATGCAGTTGCACGGGAACGAGCTGCTGCACTTAACATCCCCTCGGCTGGCGACTGTAAGGCTTGTGGAAAAAAGGAGGGGGGCTAAAACGCAGGATGGGTTTTAAGCTTGACGAATGACTTCGGCGTGCAGGAAGAGGGCTTTGTCGGCATGCGGCTTGCGCTTCGGTCACTGATGCGCAACAGCCGAGGTCCAGGAAAAGCGACCAGCGACCTCAATCAGACGCGCGACCATTGGCAGCGGCGGGTCTTGTGTCTCGTGCTGACAGGAGGTGTCAACTGCCGAGCAGGCAAGACGGTTATCTGTACAGGCAGATGGTTAAGAGTAATCCCGAGCAAGGCATCACGAACGGTCAATTCCTAACCAAAGTGACATCTACTCAAGAAGTACCTTAAGTTTAAACTGCCTTCCCCGGATCTTGGCGCCTGCACCAGGATCCTCATCCCAGTCGAGCATCCCGCTCGGCATCAACATGCAGCTTTCAAATCTGCACAACTTGATAATGGATGAGATACTGGCGGTAGCATGCTTAACACTGGGTTGACATGCCACCGACACATAGAAGCCACTTCCGTCACTTGCTTCCTTATCACCAAGGGCTGCATAACATGCTGTGCAACACTCGCAAGTACTTGGGTGATCTCACGCGCTGTTGTTGCTCAAGCTTGGAAGTTGTACAAGACTTTTGTAGACACGGCCACTGCTCCTGCAACCGGCCCTCAACCGAGAGAGACAACACGGAACTGGATGAAGCGAAACTGGATTTTGCGGTGGTACATGGAATCTACAAGCAGACGGTGGAGTAAAAGTGCATTCGACGCCCACCGGTATCCAGAGCCCCTTCAATTCACAGCAGCCTCGCAAGATTACCCACCTACTGCCACACTCGTCCCCTCAGCACTCTCGAATCACATACTCCTCTACGGGTTCTCCTTAGCAAACGCAACACCCTTCTTGATGTTTCCAGCCAAGTCCTTCAAGCAAACATCGAGGAGCTTCTGCTCGTGTGGCGTGATCTTGCCGACCGGGTGAATCTTCTCCACACCGTTGGGGCCAAGCTCGACGTTCGAAGCGAAGAAGTCGCATCCCTGGTCCTTGTACAGCGGGCTGTCGACGAACGTCGGCTCGATGACGCCCTTCTCGCCCTGAGCAGCCTTGAGCAAGCTCTCAGCGAAGCGGGCACCAGCCATAGCCATGGAGAGCGTGGCCGAACCAGCGCCGCCCTTGGCCTGGACAACTTCGTCACCGCCGAACTGCACGCGGTGGATATACTCGTCTAGCTGATCGCCCTTGAGCTCGTAGCCAGATTGCGAGAGGAGAGGCACGATGGTCGCGCCGGAGTGGCCACCGACGACGGTGATGTTCTCGTTGGCTGGGTCGGTGCCCTTGAGCTGGGAGATGAAGCGGGAGGCACGGACAACGTCGAGGGTGGTGACACCGAAGAGGCGCTTGGGGTTGTAGACGCCCTTTGACTTGAAGACCTCGGCGGTGATCGGGACGGTGGAGTTGACCTAAGTAAATAGTCAATCGGCGTGCACTTGGACTATTCGACAGCGTGCAAGGGTCCAGCATACCGGGTTGGAGATGATCAGGATGTTGGCTTCCGGTGCAGCATCGGCGCAGGCCTTAGCCAGGTCCCGGACGATGGATGCGTTGGTGTTGAACAGATCTGTTGGCCGTGTTAGCGCGATCTTGTAGATCCTACGCTCCTTGCAACTCACCATCACGGGTCATGCCAGGCTTGCGAGGCACACCGGCGGGGATCAGGACGATCTCGGCGCCAGTAAGGCACTCCTTCAAGCCTGACGGTGTCGGGTCATAGCCTTTGACCTGCAAGAATCAGCCCGTAGCCCTTGTGTCCATTGACTTGTCCGAGCATACCGTTGACTTGGTGTTGATGTGGCTGATGTCGGCGGCGACACCTGGTGAACGATAGGGTTAGCAATGGATGTCTCCAATGTCGCACGACCAATGGTGTGATGTACCTGGACCGCCGCGCACATCGTACAGGGCAAGTTCGCTGACCCTCGGGTTGAGCTTGAGCAGTAGCGACAATGGCTGGCCGATACCACCCGAAGCGCCCAGGACAGCTACTTTGGAGTTCTGTGAAGGCATCCGTCAGCCTCAACTTCTTTTTCGCAGGTCAATTGACTCCGGTGAGATTGGCAAACTCGCTCCAAGCCGGACGTACCGATCGGGTGGAGGCGGAGAAGGCTCTCCTCTGTACAGCGCCGAAGACGTGGCGCGAGAAAGACATTGTGATGGACTGGGAAAATAGAAAGGGGCGTGGAGTTGGCGTAGATGAGATGCCGGACGTGTGGAAGAGAGATGCAGCTGGCGTTGAAGCTCCAGCGCAGCTCTGGGCGGCTCCGGGAAAAAGGGAAATGCAAGCGAGACGATGACACGGGCTCGGCTTGCGCGCCGCCGACTTGATCAACGTCAACACCACGGCATGCGACAGCGACGCCGCTCCTGATATTTACGCGGCTGGAGACTGCAGGTGGAAATACATCTGTGGACATCGTTACCTATGCCAACATTGCATTCAGCAGTGCATGCACGGCTGGGCCGCTATCTCAATGCCGTTGAGATTTTCAACAAGGACAAGCCTTCTACGAAAGTCTCCGTTTCCACCTAGTCCGCAACCTTCCCTTACACGACGATGTCTTTTGCTGTAGCTTGTTGTTCATAGCAAACATTTCTTCATCTGTCATCGTCTGTGGACGTGCTACATGACCTCAACCATCCCTGGTGAATGGTAGAAACCAGTGCATTGATCGGTAACGGTCTATGGAGCAGAAGAGAGCCCACATATAGAGTAGGGGACAAAGCGATAAGCAAACAACAAACCCCTTCTATCACAAACAGGGGATGTAGGATCAGTTTGCAACAATCCATGCATGTGTTTCATATACGGCTGACTCATGCGGTGCCCTCGTTCGATTTCAGTCCCAATGCAAAAAGGGGGGGCATGGTTGAGCAGTCCAACAGCTCACTTGAGAAGATTCCTCCGTAACAATACACCATTGTCCGAAAATAATGACATGGCGCGTGCTACATGCTATATTGTAACGATGCCGTTCTAGAAACTAGTAGGTGGGTCGTGTAGCCTCTCAGGGTTGGATCGATGTCATCCAAGTCTACTGAAACTTCGCTCAAAGGTGCATCCATGTCTGGGAGGCGTCCGAGCCCATCCTGGAGCCTATTCAGGATCATTCAGTCAGTCTGTGCCATCGAGGCCTCAGTCACATAAGGACACTTATCTATGAAACGTCTTGATCGACAAGTCCTAGTCTGTTCTCTCTTAGGTACAATAATCGTCCGTTGTGGTAACTCGTAGCCGTTACTCTTGTCACGTATCCGTACGTTTGCCATTGTTGAAGTGCCACTTCATCCTTGAAGCTCTCCATTTCCTTACTCGGACCGGCGGCACCCGGTTCCTGTGTTCGACTTTGGTACCGCACATTTTCACAGCCTACGAAAACGCCTGCATCGGACGGTCTACTCGTTTCGTTTGAGGAGATCCTTAAACCGAATGTTCAAATGGCGCGGTCATCAGATCGAGCATAGCCGACCCTTGTGATGGGGTCCGTCCGGCTATATGATACTGCACAGCGCATGCTGTTTCCACAATCACTGTGGACTCAAAAGAACGGAGCCAGCAAGCATCGACCGCAACAACCAAGCGTTGTCACGAGACGTGCTTGTTGCTCTGTGCTGCAACGTGGAGAAGACTCAAAGCAAACCTGAGAGGGAAACGCGGCAGGTCGATCTCTTGCTAAAAGATCACTTCCACGTATCACATGCATTCTGACGCGTTGCTGCCACCTGGCTTGGTGACAGCAAGACCGGAACTATAAACACATAGCTCTTCTACCGCTGAAGAAGTCTACTTGTTCTATCCGCTTGCTCCACTTCTGGTTTCGCTCCTGGGAGACATCCGCAACAATGGCCGACACCGCCAGCTCCATTCTCGCCGCGCAAGAGGAAGACATCAAAAAGCTCGTCAGGGAAGTCGAAAAACTCGAGCGAATAAGCACGAGGCTGGAAGAGCAATGGGCTGCGCGCGAGGAGAGGGAAGCGTCCAACATGAAAGTCATCAGGGAGCTGCGACGAGACGTGGATGAGCTGCGGGCGGAGAACAGATGGCTGAGAGAAGAGCTGAGAACGGAGATCAAAAGGGCTCCAGAGTAATCACGCGTTCGCAATGCGTGTCATGCCTTAGAAGGTGGTGGTTTGGCTCGAGTAGCTTCGGTCTAGACGGGGGAGGCCTTGTTTAGTTCAAGATGAGTTTGGCGGCTGGTACTTTAGGAATCGACGGCCTCAAACTGTAGATGATTGAAAGCGCAGTCACAGCGGTTCGCGTTTCCTGCCCTATCGCCAATGGCGTGGCAAACTTCACTAGTGCGTGATAAGAACCATGAATTCTATAACCATATCATGTGAAAATAATCCCGCCATCAACCACAATCGTCTGCCCAGTCACATACTCACTATCCGGCCCCGCCAAGAACCCCACCACCTTACTCACATCCTCCGGCACGCTCGTCCTCCCCAACGCAATCAACTCCCCGCTATACTTCTTAATCGTATCCCCCTTCTTCGCGCCCGTCAGCTCTCCCAACTTCTCATCAATAAGGTCCCACATCGCCGTCCCGACAATCCCCGGCGCATACGCGTTAACCGTAATCTTGTGCCTTGCCATCTCCATCGCAAACGCCTGCGTCAGGCCCCGCACCGCCCACTTGCTGGCGCTGTAGTGCGAGAGCATCGGGAAGGGCTTGAAAGCCACAATGCTGGCGGCGCCGAGGATCTTGCCGCCAGACTCTTGCTTGATCATCTGTCGTGCGGCCGCGGAGTAGCAGTTGAAGACGCCGTAGACGTTTACTTCGAACATGCGGCGGAAGTCTTCTTCGGTCAGGTCGAGGAGCGGCTTTACTTGGGCGATGCCTGCGTTTGCGACCATGATGTTTAGGGGGCCGAGCTTGTCGACGGAGGTTTGGACCATCTTCTCGACCTCGGAGAGGTTGGAGACATCGGCGAGCACGGAGATGGCTTTGCGGCCTTTGGACTCGATTTCTTTGACGACGGAGTCCGCGTCGGATTGGTTTGAGGGGACGTCGTTTACGCAGATGTCGTAGCCGTCGTCGGCGAGGCGGAGGGCTATTGATTTTCCACTGTAAGGGGGAATCGTCAGCCGAGTTCCTGGTCTTGCCCTACGTGGAGGTTGGGCTACGTACATGCCTCGACCAGAGCCCGTCACGATGGCGGTCTTGCTTTTCTGCTCGGACGCCATAATGTGAGTAGAACTAGGGTATACTAGCGCAGAATTCAGGTTAAGAGCTTCTTCGGCGGCGTTGATACAGCGCTCAGGCAGCAGGTTGATATGCCTCGAGACTGCTGGAGGCCAGCCCCCGCCTTATGTAGGTTCCTCTCCCGACGGGAGCTCCCTCTCTTGCGAGGGGGCCATGTCGGTAGCTGGGGTAGCACTCGCGCCATTGATGCACCGAAGCCTGCAGCCGGACGTGCGGAGAGACGTGTGCCTTGCGGAGAAGGCCTCTTGCATTGCAGCAAGTTCAAGGTTGGGTTGATAACGGTTGCTTCCGCACTTGCAGTGTGGGGCAGTTGAAGTGTGGGGTCGACGCGCTTGAGATCTGCCGGAGCTTGGACGCGTTCAGGGACAACACCACAAATCTTTGGTGGTGAGAGCCCCACCAAGATATCGACACTCATACAAGCACCAGCGCCTGACTATACTTTTGGAATATGTCGAGACCCAATATGCCGACAGGATCACGGGGTCTCACGCTTACTGAAGAGTTGGAGAAGCTCGAGCAGTCCATAACATTGACTCTGCAGGGTATGGAGGCACCCAGGGATATATCCAGACAACCACTGACAGGGTTTGCAGAGATCGACCACAACTTCAGTCGAGCCCACCGCATAGTCACCACGAGTATCCTGCCTATTGTCGAAGAGTACGCGAAACACTCAGCAGCAGTGTGGGATGGTTCCAAGGTCAGAGCCCCGCCGACACCACATCTTACACTAGGCTGATATCCCCCAGTTCTGGAAGCAGTTCTTTGAAGCAAGCGCCAATGTCTCTCTCACCGGCTACGAGGAGGCTGATCCCGACGAGTCTGCCGCTCACGATGAAACCGCAACTACTGCAGAGCATGAGGAGGACGGCAGCTACACCAGCCCGCAAGCCGGCGCCGATGAGACCCTAACGCCAGCCAAACCCTCCGAATATGACGTCGGCGATGAAGAAGACGATACCGACCTCCTCTCCTCCCCCTCCGTCGCCCACGCCCACAGCACACCCCGCATGCCTTCGACCACGACCAAATCCAAGCACAGCGCCGCCCCACCAACCGCCACCTTCGCCGAATATCCCTCTCCCTACGAGGCCCTCAAGCGCGAGCTCCGCACCAGTGCCGCCGCCGACACCGCCTCCTCCCCACTCGCACCCTCCCCACCTACGCCCGCCAGACAATCCCAAGCCCCTCGAGAAGCAGAGGCAGCAACCCCCGCGCGCGGTGGCGGTGCCCTCCCAGATATGACCATGACCCCCGACGCGACCACCTCGCCCTTCGTCCCCGTCTCGACCGCGCGCCGCAACCCCGACCCGCTGCTGCACCGCATGCTCGACAAAACCTTCCGCATCGCCGCGACGCCGCACTCGACGCGGCAGACCCGGCGGCCTGGTTTCGTCCTCGGCTCAGCGGCGCGGCAAAAAGGGGTAGGACAGACGCCTGGCACGGTGAACCGCACGCGCCGCTGGACGCTCGACTCGTCGCCGGCGTCGTCGCCGGCAGTCGCGGCACCGCAGCTCAGGGCTGAGATCTTTGGGAGTCCGCTGAAGGGGCCTAGGACGCCGGGGGTGAGTGTGCAGACGCCGAGGTATAGGGGAAGGGATGATGGAGCGGGGGAGAGGAGTGTGGGGCCTGTGTGGGATAGTGAAAGTGATGGGGAAGAGGAGGAGGGCATGTTTAGTCCGCCGAAGACAATGCAGTTTCATGTCCCGCAGAGTCGGTTGTTGCAGACGCCTGGTGAGTTTCCGGCTCGGTTTGCGTGAAGGGCGTAGTCACGTGATAGAAGACTAATGAGACGACAGCACGGGAGGCAAGCAAACGTATCGTGCAGGACCTGTTGCTCACGGCCGGCGCAGGCGATACCACGGATGAGCTGCAGACGGGCGATGAAGACAGTCCGAGCGTGGTGCGGAGAAACGTTGAGCTCGATGATAGTTTCTAGGCTGTATGCACGCCATTGCTCATTCATTGGTGGTCCGTAGAGGAGGAACAAGGAGAGACTGCAGGATTGTTGGTGCCGGAGCTGGAGACCTGGTGCGGGAGTGTATGTAATAGTAGGCTCTTGTCGACTGTTCGCCTGATTAGAGCTGCGGTCCGAAAAATGCGGAGGTACCTAGCTATGAAGCAGTGACAGGCATTAGACGGATCCCACCTTCAAAACTCTGATTTGGGTAACTTGGACATGAGCTACTAACATGTGCTACTAGGGAAGCTGCATCGAAGAGAGCGGGCGACTGTGAGGGATGACTGTCAAGCCTACGAAAACAGTGAAGTACCTCCAGGAAATTTTTAGCTGAGCCTGATGAGCAGCTACTACTATAGAGCATACCTAGAGGGATAGATACAATTGTGCGAGAGAACTTGCTTCCAGGGTTGTTTTCTGCCCAGATGCCTGTCATCGTTCTACGATAGTCCTTGTTTTGCTTGTGTATCGCTTGCGCAATTGTGAAAAAGATACCGCTGGACCACTCTCAGCACCCTACCCGTCTAGACTTCTCGAGCTGCTAAGACTTCAGAACTCCTGATATGGATAGTCAAGCCTCGATCTAGGAGCGTCGCCATCAGGCTTCTCCATCTGATAGGCGTTTAGCCTGTGGGCGGTGGTGGAGGCTGTGCCCTACGAGTACACCTTACCGAATACCATCCATGCTGAAGCCAACAGCAAGGCTGAGCCTCAGCCGCAGCGACATCAATAAGTATTCTACAACGCCATCCTCCATTCTTTCTTGCTGCTTTGCTATCTTGCGTGCTAGTATATCCCTCAGTCATCCGCTCTCATGGACCCATTGAGCGTGACTGCCTCAATTGTCGGGCTTCTCGCGGCAGCTGGTAAGGTTGGAGAGACTCTTACTCCAGTCATATCCAACTTCAAGAATGCGCCACGAGCTATCGAATCAGTGGCCGCTGAGGTTCAGGACTTCCGGACTGTTCTTTCTTCGCTGCAGCAATTCTTGCTCAACCTGAGTTCAGCCTCGCCCCGCAGAGCGGCATTGATACAACTCGATCAAGTCATTGTCACGCTGACGGACTCTGTGCTTACCTTCTCTGAGCTTGAGGCTGTTGTTGTACCGTTGCAGGCTCCTCCGGGGTCTGAGCTCCTAATTAAAAGTCGATTCAAATGGGTTACACAGGAATGCATCGCTCGGGGACTTTTAGAGAAACTGCAAAGGAATAAGTCCTCGCTCTCGCTGATGTTGATTATTCTTCAGTGGTTTGTCATGCCCCTTCTTGAGGTTGGAAATTATCTGCTCAGCCGTACTGATGACGCTAGTCAATCAAACCTCGATGCTGCCGATGCTCAGTCGGCGCTCGAGACTCATATCGCCACGCTTCTAGATGGTAACCAAGCCCTGTCGCAAACACTAGACGGTCTAAGAGATGCATTCGACGCGCGTAGTATGATCACTAGACGGATAGATGACCAGAGCATCGATGGAGCAGACGACGACAGCAGAACCATCACCTCAGCAACGCGACAAGCGAATCGATCCAGCGAGACCATTCTGCAAGCGTCAACCCTGCGCTTCGCATTCGAAGATGACCTGGATGCATCTCGAGTCTACAGACAAGCCAAGCGGGACGCATGTGATTGTTCTTTTACCAGTTCCATTGTGAGAACAGATGCTTGGTCCATCTTCTCCGGCCTCAGTCTGGCTGATCTCTCCGTTATCTCCGTCATTGCTCTGCCGTTGTGTTCTCTTGATATAACAAACGCTCGGCACTACACTTTCGGAAGTCTCCAGGCTGCTGACCCTCTCGCACAGTCTGTTCCGCCAGACGGGATCTGGACAACCCCGCCGACGCTGCTCGACCTGAATGGAAGCCATGGAGTAAACAACGAGGCAACAACTCAAGGTGCCGAACCAGAGTCCAACAGTCCTGCATGGAAAAAACCCACTACCAATGGAGAGATGGAGACAAATCCGCTCAGCGGCCCTCAAATTGGGCCATATGAGGACGACAAAGCTGAACAACGGCCGGAGACAAAGGCAGAGAAGGAGCAATGCGGAGACCAGCAGGACGATGAGCAAGATAGTGATTCTGGTGCTGATTATGACGGCGTCTTCTATCCCTGTAAAGGTTGTGGTCAGGTACGATTAAAGTCCTTCTTCTCCCCCTTTCCCCTAGGGCCTTCGGACATCTATGCTCGTAACCCACACTGTGGCTGGAAAGGCACGGACTGGAGAGCCCCCGAGATCATCACATCTATGTCTACCACTGCCAGCACTATCAGTGTGATATTGTGTGGGAGAAGACGAAAGCACAGCTAGCTTTTAGCCAAATACCCTATCCTGTGCTCTGCATTAGTATCCATTGGGTGGCCAAGGTTCGGGCGAAATATACATGGCGACGTTTGAACAGCAAAAGTACTGCCCACCATGCTGCCACACACTTTCGTCCGACCCTTGGACGCTAAAGTGGATGTGAAACATGCGTTCTGGTGCCCGCATTTTCATGGCAACGATGTATAAACATGACACTAACGTGCACTGCAGATTCTTCTGGAAAGGAAAGCCTTTGAACTCGGTTGGTTATCTCTCATGCTAGATTTCTTACTATCGACACAACTAATAGCTTCTGTCACATCGCAGCTGAGAATAGATGGCATATGGATTGTTTCCGATGTTACACCTGCGACACACTTCTCGATCCCGACTCGAACCTCTTGATGCTCGGCAATGCATCGCTTATTTGCAACGACTGCGCCTATGACTGCAGCGCGTGCGGCAATAAGATAGAGGACCTAGCGATCATGATAGGCGATCAAGCGTTCTGCGAGGCGTGCTTCAAATGCCGCAATTGCAAACGAAAGATCGAGAATCTAAGATACACCCGGACGTCGAAGGGAATATTTGCATGCCTTGCCATGAATCGCGCATGGCACGTCGCCGGAAGAAGACTAGAGTGAAAGCGAAAGCTTCTAGTGGACAGCCACCTGTCGCCCTTGACAAGCCAACATCCGCTCTACCGCCGTCTGCAACCTTGTCAGGACCCGCAGGGGACGCATTAGGAGAACCCAAGCTCTCTCACGATGACCTTTACGGTGAGGCGGGGTGGCTGGAGTTTCAACTCCGCCTCATATTGAGTATAAGTGTAATCGTCCTAGGTGTGTTTACCAATCATGTCTACAGCTCGGCTTGCTTTGAATCTTGTCTTACGTAAGTTAGCTTCCAAAAGCGGCAATGCTGCTGCTCCCGTAGATGGTCTTCGCCGTTTCACCTCTCTGGATGTCGACAATAATCAGCAAACGGACCTCGTCGCGCTGGTGGAGGAATTTTTGCAAAAAATGCGAGCCTCAGATGAATTTGGCAGCGCTGTCGATGACGTGGATTGAGCTTGGTCGGAGCACAGATAGGCTGGGGCAACGTCTCGGTACAGGAGAATAGAAGTGTGGTCCTGTTTAAGCAGATGTGCTGCCGTCTGTGCGTTCGTGCAGCTCACACAAGCACTCGCAAACCCTTCTGTTCTGCTGAAAAAGATGGCGAGCGAACGCTGTGGGGGCTTTCGCAACAGCGAGCCGTTGGAGGATCGGAAGGTACAGCTTCCGGTGTTGAACGGAGAATCGCCATTACCGACTGCGGACGACGTGACGAGTGATCGTGGGACGTCGTGGTGAGAAATGGAACTCACGATCTGAGCATCTAGAAGGGCCTCTGAGAAGGGAAGAAACGTGTCGCAAGGCGTTAAGACAGGTCAATAAACCGCCTCTGGAGCCCTCATCAGCACCATGAACAAACAATCGAAGAACTCACTTGAGGAACAGCGATAGATCTTGCAGCTTCCACAAACCTCTGCGTTGTCCACAGAAGAGATCCAACTCATCCACGCACGATCCTGCTCGTTACTTATACAATTCCCCTGCATCTAAACAACCAGGTCAGCTCCCTAAAGCCGCTACTCCAAACCTTTTCCATTTTCCCTGCCAGTCCAGCACACGATGAACAACTTCCTCCCCTTCAACACCGACAACCTGCCCAACCGCTACATCGGCATCCAAATCCACCGCTACAACAACATCCTTGTGGACCGCATCACCGCCCTAGAGGCCGAGTGCGCGATGTTAAGGCAGCGGCTAAGAGACTCCCAGGACCAAGGGGCTGAGTTGCGCGTGTGGATTGCGCAGCTGCTTGAGCTGCCGGTCATAGAGGTCATAGAACAGTCGGAGGAGAGCGGGACGGAGAGCGATGTGGAGGTTGATGAGGGGTCTAATGATAGCTTTACTACGGCTGAATCGGAGGGCTGACTGTGGGTGAGGCGAATGTTGAGGGGCAAGTGCAGGGGTGATAAAGCCATGGAAGGGCATGGATGTTTAGTGAGAGCTTTGAACTGAGAGAACATTTCCGCGTGCCACCTACGCCTCTTGCCTACGTGACGCCATGGAGTGAGGAAACACTGTTCGAGCTGAATAAGATGCGGATATCATACTGTTGCCATGTCCCATGCCACGCCCCAAGGTTCCGCCCGAGTATCCAACGCCCCGCAGAACACCTAGCACGTCCGGCACCCCTACCATGAACACCTGAGACGGAAGAAGTCAAGTAACCCCTTTCAGTGACCAGCCACACCCTGACCGTGCCCCTGATTCCACTCGCTCCCCTCATCGCTCCCAATCTCACTCCAGCTACTCGGCGTCATGACGCCAGCGCTGACCTCGCTGAAGCCACCTTCCGAAAAGCCAGCCTCACTACGACCATCCTGATCCGCACCGGACACCGAACCAGCGAGAGAGCCATTGACGGACGCTAGCACAGCAACGTCATCCGCGTTGCTGCCAGTAAGCGACGCGGCAGTTGAGAAGCCGTCCTCCGTCGGGGTAAGCGTGCCTGTGCTATGAATCTCCTCAGCAGCCACGGGTCCAGTAGCGGTAGAGTGGAAGGAGGCGTAAGATGCATCAAGCGGCTCAGAAATAGCAGGCACGGACGAAATCTGCGACATCTCAGGCTGGCGCTGGACCTGCGGCAGCTCTGGGACCGAGATCGCCGGATCGGGCTCAGAAGTATCGACGAGCTGGCTCCATACAGCCACTTCCACACCCGCCAGCGTCTCTGTGCTCTCACGTGAGACCCTAGCCGTGTCTGCCTCTGCATGGGGAGCTTCGTCCCGGCCGATGTCGATCAACTCCTGGTCGAACAGGAGCTGGACGTCGTCGTCCGCGAAGGGGTTGCCGAACGCTGCACCGGCGGCAAGTCCACGAGCGCCTGCACCGCGACGACGAAGGCGCTGAGCAGCTTCACTTGCCTCGAGAGCGGTGGCGATCTCAGCGGCCTCCTTTCTCTGCTGCTCTTCCATATCGGCCAGCGATGCGGCTATCGCGGCCTTGAGATCTTCGTCTTCGCCCTCATCTAGGCCGCAAGACTGGTGAAGTCTGCCATCGCTCCCAACCAGCTCATCGAAGCTTCTGCTGGCGTTGCTGCGCTGCGTGGTCGTTCTTCCTAGCTCCTCCTCTGCCTCCCTCCCTACCCTTTCTAGCTCGTCGAGATCGACAGCGACGCCCTCCTCCTGTGCTCTCCTGATCAGCTCCCTCCGGTTTCGCCTCACGATCTCCTCGCGTCGTCTCCGTCGGTGCTCCTCGGACTGACGCTGTGACTGGTTGTTGCTGCGCTCAGGTTGTAGCTCATCGCCGAGGCTGTATAGCGCGATGGCGATCTTCCGACGCGATTGGTCGACCCATTGCCGGACTTGGGGGTTCTCGTAGAAGGCGATGCCCGCGGCGACGAGGACGGAGGCGGCGATTATGAGGCCTGGAGTGAGTAGAGAGTAAGTATTGGTTGGAGACGGGGTAGGGTCTTTGCTGCAGCCTCGAAATGGGCTGCGGCATGAGGAGAAGTAGGACGAGCTCCGACACATCGTAGAAGTTGGAAGCGGGTGGGTTAGGCTGAAGCTCTTCCGTGGTAAGATGGATGATGTCTCGTACCTTTTGCTAGAGGGGCGGGCATTATGATAGGTGTTTAGGCAGAAGTTTAGGAGTATGTGACAGGTGTCCTAGGAGAGGAGGAGAAGAGGCCACGACAGTCGGAGGAGTAGGTAGATAGAGAAGGCTCGCTACTAAGGACACGAATGGGTTACGCGGTCATTCGTGTAAGGACAACCGCTTCGCCACAGCACCGCCACGCGGGGTATCCGTACCTAACTCCTGCGGTTTAAGCGATTACGAAGTCACGTGGGCGTGTGTAGTTCTCCAGCAGTTTGACGCGTTTTGATCTTCGTCATCTTAGAGGCCCTAAGATATTTACTACGTAGAGGTCTACCACAAGCATGTATTGACGTTCTTGTAGCAACACATTTGCAACACTGGAAAGTCTCCAAGCTTTGTGGGTACCTAGGTAGAGTGGGCAGCAATATCGGATTGACGGGCTGGTAATTTGGCACGCGGTAAACATTCTTTTGAGGAGCATTGCAATACAGAGTGCGAGAACAGCCCACACGCAGTTCTCCGCACATGCACGCAGCGTAGAATAACTCCAAATCTATGCTCTGCGCAGACAAACCCGAACACGCCTCAAAACGCCAATTAGCCCGTAGGTCCAAGATCATGCCGGATGATCATGTCTTCCCTCCCTCATCTTCATAACATGCTGGTGCCTGATACACCACAACGACACCAAGATCCCTAGCACACTCGACGCGCACGTAACCCAATAAGCCGCAGCATAACACCTCAGGCCCTCCGGACAATCTCTCTCCCCACCCGGCAGCACCGTCGAATGATGATCATAAATGCGTCCATAGCACAGATTAAACACATTCCCACTGATCACTGGCGCCAGCGTCATAAAGCCCCAATTCAAACTCAAGCCCTGCACGCCAAACGCATCCGCCACCAGCGCGGGGTACACCCCGAACAGCGCGCCGTACGCGAAGCCCGTCAGGCTCGAGACTGCCCACAAGTGATTGGGGTTCTCGATCTTGATGGCGCAGAGCTGGGCGGCGGTGAAGACGGAGGCGGAGGCTGCGAGGCACCAGAAGCGCGACATGTGGAGGCGCTTGACGAGGACGTCGGAGCCGACGCCCGAGGCGAGACGGCCGAGGAAAGACATGAAGGAGATGATGGAGACGTGGAGGAGTTGGCGCTTGAGGATGAAGGATTTCGAGACGCTGTCGTCGTAGTGGGTCCAAAGGGCTTGTGCGTCGTTGCCGATGTTGCTGAGGCGAGGTCAATCTTGGTCACGCACGAGGGATGGAGGAGAGCTTACTTGATCGTCATCAGGCCGACGCCGGTTAGTAGACCAAGCATGAGGAACAGTTGCCAGAACTCCACTCGCGGCAGGAGTGCCAGTCCGGTAACACCTGGCTTCTGTGAGCGACGAGCTTCATGGTTGCCGGTATCCCCTTCAGAGCTGACATCCCCCGGTCCAGACATGAGCGAAGATGACTCGTCTGGATCCCCTTCAGACGTGTCAACTGCCCCGTGATCTGTGGAGTACAATTGGCAGCTGACTCAAGGGCGGATGGAATGTGACGAGGCGAAGAGAAAAGTGTCTTACCTGGCTCTGGCTGCGTACTTTCATTGCTATATGTGCTCTGTCCGGATTTGGTCCGATGCAGCTGATTCGAGTCACGCCGTGAAAGAGATGGTCGCCGGTCCTCGCTGGTAGATAAAGCGGAATACTGCGTCGTAGGGGGTAATATCCGGATGAAGATCAATGGTATAAATGCCAGACAGAAGCTGCCAAGGGACAAGAGGAGGAGGTATCCAGAGATGTTGTCGGGGAATACGAAGCCTGAGAGGGTAGTGAAGAAGAATGCGCTCAGACCAAAAGCGGACAGCGGGAAGGCGGTTGCTGTTCCACGATGATGTGGCCAGTTGAGCGCGGCTGAGGTGGTCAGTATAATCACAACGGTAAGAACTGTGGCCGTACGTACAGATCTTCAAGCTCGCAGAGAAAGCCGCACAGCTACCTGCACCTGTAAGGAAGGACAGGAAACACAGCAGTGGTATATTCATAGATCCGGCTCCATCATCGTACGCTGTACTTCGTCAGCATGAAGCATCCACAAAGCGCCCACATAATGCCATTACCTTTCCTGATAGGGAAATATCCTGCACCAAGCGCAATGGCCCCTAGGAGGATTGCAGGTCTCGGTCCTCTTTTGTCAATTAGAAGACCTGCTGGTATGCCTGATGCGTACATCCCTACATTGCCCGCAACGCCTATCAGATTGCTCTGAGTAGCAGACAGCTGCATTCGTTCCGCGAATTGAGGTGCCCATGCTGAGTATGCGTAGTTCGTCCCGCAGGCAAGCGATATGAAGGTCACCGCTATCGACGTTATTATCCGCGCCGTTCGATGCGTCCGGTCCGACATGTTGGCGAGTGCAGCTGAGCCGGGGAGGCTTTCGTTATGGAGGCTCTATATCTCTATCATGGGCCTTGTGATATTCCTAAGCGTAGGCTCGCCGGTGCTGCTCGTTATTTTATAGATGGCGTCGCGGTACAGTCGCAGGGTAAGGTCAGTTGCAATGCGAGAGCAAAGTAGAACGACTGCGCTGGTGTAAGCTGAAGCAACACTTGGTGTCACTGGTAAACGTGGGGGACAATCGTCGACGGAGTGTTGTAGTAAACAATTTGGTCGTTGAGATCACCTCAATCGCATACGCATGCGGAGATAACGCGGAACTCGCTCATGCGACTGCCACAAGCCACCAGAGTTGCCGTGCGTCACCGACCGCAGAGCCGCACGAGACGCCAGCAACCCCATATCTCACATCAACCTCAAAGAAGAGCCCGCTGTACATCAACATCTGCAAACTATGGGCGCATTACTCTCTCTGCCGCTCCTTGCGCTACCGAGCTTGACCACGGTATGGACACTCACATACGATCGCAAGCGCATCGACTGACTCCTGCCTAGCTCGGTACGTTCGCCGCCTCATGCTGCGGCGCCGCGACATGTTCTGCAGTGATGGGTTCGTGCGGGAACTGTCGAAACAGGTACGCAGCATCGTCGGGGATCGATATGGGAGCTCTGCAGCTAACGGTCACAAGCATGGCGACCCGTATAGCCTACGCCCTCATCCTGCTCGTCAACTCCATCGTGTCCTGGCTCATGCTCACGGACTGGGCTGTCAAGAAGCTCCAACACCTCACACTCGACTACATGACCATCAGCTGTAATGGGAAAGATTGCTATGGATTCGTCGCCGTCCACCGGATGAACTTCGCCCTAGGCGCCTTCCACGCCGTCCTCGCTCTGATGCTGCTAGGAGTCCGCTCATCGAAGGACGGCCGCGCGAAAATACAGAATGGCTTCTGGGGCCCGAAGATCATCGCCTGGTTGGGGCTGATAGTCATCACGTTCCTCATCCCGGATGGCTTCTTCATCTTCTGGGGCAACTACATCGCCTTGATCGGCGCTATGCTCTTTCTGCTCATCGGCCTCATCCTGCTGGTTGATCTCGCACACACCTGGGCGGAGTACTGTCAAGACAAGATCGAGGTCACGGAGAACAGGACATGGACTGCTCTACTAATTGGCTCGACCGTGACCATGTACCTTGCATCCCTCGCCATGACCATCGTCATGTACATCTTCTTCGCGCACGGTGGATGTTCCATGAACCAGGCCGCCATTACGGTTCGTACACTCTGTTCATACCCACTGCACATACTAACAAGCACCAGATCAACTTCCTCCTCCTACTTGTCGCCTCAGTCCTCTCGATTCACCCCGCCGTTCAATCCCACAACTCTCGCGCCGGCCTCGCCCAGTCCGGCATGGTCGCCGTCTACTGCACCTACCTGACCATGTCCGCCGTCGGCATGGAGCCCGACGACCAGCATTGCAACCCGCTCGTCCGCGCACGCGGGACCCGCAAGGCGACCATCATTATCGGCGCTATCGTGACCTTTGTGACGGTCGCCTACACGACCACGAGAGCAGCGACGTACGGGCTCGCGCTCGGCTCGCAGGGCAACTCCTACTCCCAAGTTGCTGCCGACGACTTCGAGCATGGCCTGGTCTCGACGCAGCCGTCGAGCCGGCGCGAGATGCGCGCAGCTGCCCTCCGCGCCGCTGTCGAAAGCGGCAGCTTACCGGCCAGCGCGCTCGACGATGACTCAGACGATGAGTCGGATGACGGGAAGAACCCGCGAGACGACGAGAGAAACTCGACGCAGTACAACTACTCGATGTTCCACATCATCTTCCTGCTATCGACTGCTTGGGTCGCGACGCTGCTCACCACCAACAGCGGCGACAACCCAGAGTCTGATTTTGTGCCAGTTGGGAGAACGTATTGGGCGAGTTGGGCGAAGATCATCAGCGCGTGGGTGTGCTATGGGATTTACATGTGGTCGTTGCTTGCGCCGGTTGTGCTGCCGGATCGGTTTGATTATTGAGGTGGTGCTGGGGTGGGGCGCATGTTGTTGGAGTTTTGGGTAGCATGTACATTCAAGTGTGTTGATCCTCAACAAAAGAACTTAACTCTATAAGTGCATATGAGACCATGAATGCGAAATGCGCGCCTAACTAAGCACGAGGCCGTGTAAATCCTTTATAAATGATATGCGATAGATTACTATAGAACTTTACTGTCAGGCTTAACTGCTTGCAGTTCTTTACTCAGAGGACCTTCTATGAATGAAGACACTTCACAAGCAAAGAGAAACACGTGCACACTTGAGGTGCAGCCAATTCAACTCTAAAAAAAACTTTGATAAGTTAGCAAAACTCATCCCAGCCCCGCCCAATCTCTCTCCCCCTCCCCCAGTTGGGGAAGTGTCGGGGTGGGGAGAAGATCGTGTACGGAGCTCATTCGCCGGTGGATGAGAAACCCCCCGGTGGGGGTTTTTTGGCGGGAGATAGGACCACGGCGGGTAAGGAAGCGAGAGACAAGGTAAGGAGAAAGAGAGATAAGTGGAAAGAAGGTGACAGAAGTTGGGGTCGAACTCCGGACCTGTGACAAAGATTAGTAAGGGAGTTTGAGGGGGAGGGAGAAGGGTTACACACTAGGCCACGAGGCCCCAGTCCGGGACGAGGGTAAACGGTGAGCTTTGCGTAATATATAGTGTCGGTCTGTGGGCTTGTGAAAGCTTGGTATGGTAGGCGAGGTGGTCATGCGGTGTGAAGCTTATTTCTCGCGGGGCCGTTCGCTTGAGCTTTCGGGCAGCGTTTCGCGGGGACTGGACCACCCTTGGAGTGGAATGAGTCCAGGAAGATTTTGGGACTGATCCTGTATCCCAAGCAACCGACAAAGCAGTCGCTCCCCGCACAGCCGCGCTAACGCTCCGTCCTGATGTCCCAATTACGCCAACGCCGATCCACCACGCCGTTCACCCGCCGCTCGAATTCCAGCTCTATCATCATCGTAGCTCATGCTTCTGCCTCAACGCACCCCCCTCACGGAATCTTCACCCCCACAATCGCGCTGTCCAGCCTTCTCAAAATCTCCCGCTTCTCCCGTACCGCCTCCTTCCGCTCCTCCTCCACCTCCCGCAGCTGCCGCTCCAGCTCCACAATCCGCTCGACCTGCTCCTTCTCGCTGGTCCCGATACCCGGAAGACTCGATATCAGCGCCTCGATCTGCTGCTCCTTAACAATGAGGTCGCGGGCTAGTTCGCGGAGGGTGCTTGCAAAGACGGCGGGGGGGTCGGGGACGGGGGAGCCGGAGCGTGCTGGGTTGTCGGCGTTGGCTGGGGGGTTCGCTGCGGCTGCTGCTTGCTGCTGTTCGGCGTTCGCGTTGGGGGTATCGTGGGCGGTCATGCCGTTGGCGGGACCGTTGGTGACAGGGAGGAAGTGCTCGTATTGGTTTGGCTGCCCGGGGATGGGAAGAGGGGCGCCGTGGTGAAGGGTGTACATGAGGCTGGCGAACATTTGTTTGGCGAACTGGTGGTCGGGTGGGTTAGAAGTAAGCAGGAGCGAAGGGGCGGTGGGGTAGGAGGTACTTGATCGAGGCAGTCTTGGAGCTGGGTTAGGCGGTCGGCCATTTTTGTGATGTGCTGATGCTTTTGCAGAGCGCGAATGAGCTCTACAAGCCTTTGATGAGTTTACGACGACGAATCGCGCAGGTTACGACGATGGTGTTTGGCTAGGCAAGTCTTTTGTCAATTGCTTTCGGCTGCTAAATCTCAGACTTTTCCAGGCCTTAGTATCAGAGTTATCATTCAGAAGTGACTGAAGTAAAGTGAAGCTAGAATAGTATCAAATCTTCAACAGACCATCCATGAGGTGAGGTGAGGTGAGCGGTGGAGGAATTCAACATCCCTGACCCCTGACATGCACGGTGCGGGCCGGCGCGAGCGTTGCCGTCATCCTTTTGCAGACGACCATGGTTCCTTAATCCAACCTCCCAGACTTCATCCTAAACAGAGCTGCTCGGATGCGAGTCCCCTTCATCTTGCGGCCTTGTATCAAAGCCCCACAAGCTTCTCTACGACAACGCCGATATGTCGTTACAGCGAACTCCAAGCTCACCGATCTAACGATTACTCCCGGCTCGGAAAACCACAATGACCTACCCTCTTTCCTCGCCTACGCCGAAAGGGTCAATCTACTCCCGGACAAGGCCGTCTACGTAGGCACCCACTACGAATACACGGTCGCCGATGCCCTGAAGCGCCTCGGCTTCGCCCTGACACGTACGGGAAGACAATCCGACCACGGCATTGACCTCATCGGGACGTGGACGCTGAACCTCTTCCCTTTCCCGTTGCGCGTCTTCGCTCAGTGCAAGGCGAGCAACCAGAAGCTGAACCCAGCGAACGTGCGCGAGTTAGAAGGGGCATTTAATGCTGCGCCGGCATCATGGAGAGGTGAGGATGTACTGGGTCTACTGGCCGGCACGCAGAATGCGACGAAAGGAGTGAGGGATGCGCTGGTGAGGAGCAGGTGGCCAATGGGGTTCCTCAAAATTAGGCGCGAGGGGCTAGTAGAGCAGTTTCTGTGGAACAAGAGCGCTGCGGAACGAGGACTAGAAGGTGTGGACGTTGGGATGAGATATGTCTTGGCCAAGGATGCTGATGGTGGCGATATTAAAGAAGTAATCCTGAACTGGAAAGGGCAGGAGATACCGGCAAGCTCGATCGGAGTGGTTGTGCCCGGGAAGGAGCTAGACACTGCAGCTGATCCAGAGATTGTGGAAGCAGAAATTCCCAAGCTGAAACGGAGAAGAGGTCGTCCGAGGAAGACAGCAGAGCAACTCGCTGTGTGATCACGATGCACCGATGTTGACAGGCGCAATTGGATTGTTGCGGACTTTACAAAGCTTCCAAGGTACTTGACATCAACATTCTGGAGAGCGAACAAGAGCCCAAAAGTTCGAAGGCAGCAGCATGATGAGTTTTCGTTGCGCGCGAAGCTAGGTCTGTCCGGCGTGTGAGCTACCCACGAACGGCTATGCCAAAGTCCTTAGATCATGGAGCTCTACACTCATCGATGCAGGCCTCTTGACCATCTGATTTCTGTTGTTGCAAGCAGATCTAGTGTTAACAGAAGACACTCATGGCTTTGATGAGCGTCCAGCTAAGCACACGTCTCATGGAGACGTAGCAGACCAACACTCAAATGGTCCACTTGTTACAAAGCTGCTACGCGTACGGAGTTGCTCCTGGCCCGTTGATGGACGATGATAAGAGACAAGCTCCGGAGCGGTAGATTCTCAGAAGAGCAGGCCTGAGTAACTAGAAGCCAGCGTTTCGCAAGCAAACAGACCACGTCCGGTAACACGCTAGAACCACGCATCCTTCACAGCCAACACTTCTCCATGTGGCGCCAACATGAGAACTGTGGTCTTTGCAACCCCAACAACCCCGTGGCGCGCCTCTTACGCATGCGTAGGGAGTACCTGATGTTGGAGAGGGCTTACCGGAACCTCGTCCATCGAATGATTTCTCGGCGCGGCTGGCGGTTCGAGACGGCCGTGCAGCACGCGCTTCAGATCCGTAGCCAGAATGAAGCAAGACACCGCCGGATGCGAGCTGAGCTTAGGGAGGATTTTCTGCGGTGGGCGGAGGAATTTTTACGAGCACGGGAAGGAGATCAGCAGGAAGATTGATTGTGGTCGGGATAGACGCAGAGTCGATGCCGCGCAGATGCTGTGAAGAAAACATTTTTAGAGAGGATGTAAGACTGCTGTCACTTCCTCCGGAGCGCAGATAAACATGCACAGCTTTGACTTTTCTATCCCATGCCTCCAAGTCTACAGCACAATGATCGAGCTGATCCACACTCCTTTTCTTAATTGTACCTTCAGTCACTAGCTCCTTCTAGTGCCTGGCAGTGACAGACAAAGCCGTCCATAAAACATGGCTAAATTCACACACCAGTCAACGAAACGGCAACGAATCTTGCCTGAGCTTGATCATACACCGTACCCCTTCTAGGGAAAGCTCCGCGCCTGGTGCTAGCACCGAAAGCCCTTCAGGAACCTCACGCAAGTCATTCTTTACAGAAGAAGCAGCCTCCAAAAATCCTCCACACCTTCACAAAGTAACGCCATGAATTTACCTCTTTGCCGTCCACACGTTTATCACGCTCATTTAAATCACGTCCGCGGCGGCCTTGCCACGTAATTCTCGTTCGTCTAGGGTGTTTCATGTTCTTTGCGGAAGGCATCTTACATGAAGAAACAAGCTACTAAATTTCCTCCACACCTTCACGAAGTAGTCCCATGAACCCGTCTCTCTGCTCTAGACATTTAATGATGCCATATACGTCATAAAATTCACTGATATCCCCGCCCAGTAGGTAATGACTGTGGCCGGTTGGGTTGGGTGCTCGTCAAGTAGGTAATGACTTGGCTCGAGCTTGTTTACGGCGTTTCGTTTGGGTCTGCTTTACTGTCTTTCGGAGTTCAAACCCCCCAGTTCGATCCCTACTACTAACATTCTAGGCCCGAAAAAAAAACCCCTCAACACGACGGGGGTTTTCTCAGAAATGAGTTTTTGCTGTTTTTGCTACTTGTTAGTCTTAATGAGCAAGTCCTTAGGGCTGTCAAGTAGAGCATGTGTATGTAGTGTAGTTTAGAGTTTTAGTTATAGTTAAGCTTAGGGTTTCGTGGGGCATGCAACCGCTCACGAATGTCCCATGGCTAGAATCCCCTATCGCTCGCCCCAACGAAACTCACAAGCATGATTCAAATGAACTTCAGTAACAACTTGCAGCGTGTTTCAGAGCAATGCATTGTCTATTCCTATGTAAACCCATGGTATCGCGCGCTACGCGCCTCAGCCATAACGCATCCGCCCTCGCGAGACAAAGCTCGCTCAAAGCCAAGCCGCTGAGCGCTGCAACGCAAAGCTTACGCCAAACGCCCAGCAAATCTCTCAGGCACCTGTGCACGTATACGGCTCCGTTCATCCGCCTCCAAGCTCCTCTCAGCGGAAGGCAGACGATGCAACCAAGTCTGAGCCCACATCTAAGCCAGATACCCTAGCTCATCGCCCTCGAGCCGCTCGAGATACTCCTTCTCGAGCAGGATATCGATGCACTTCTTGATGTCCGGGACCTTGGGCGAGAAGCGGGATTTGATCTGCGCGATTGTCTCGCCGACGAGCTGTTGGTGCTTCATCTTCTTGCGGGATTTCATGATGCGGACGATTGCGGACTGTAGGAGAGACGTTAGTATTGGGATCTTGAGAACAATGGGCCTAGGTAGTAGCGGCAACTCACCTGCATCAACAACTTCCTATCCTCCTCAATAGTCTTATGCGTATCCTCAACTTCCTGCTTCTGCTCGCTCTTAACCGCAATATTCAGATTAACCTTGACCTTCTTATTCTTGAAGTCATAGTTCAGCGTATAGCTGGTCCCCTTCTCCGGCTTCGCGCCCGCCGGGCTCACATTGAGGACCTTGGCCTTCAGAAACACGCCGAGAGAGGCGTCCAGGTTCTCCTTGTTCAGCTTGGTCGCCTCTTCCATCTCCTCGTATGTCACCGTCTCCGCGTCATTGAAGAGCAAAAGGATCGCCATTTGGAAGGTTGACACTTGGAATGTGTACGGCATCTTACCCTGGCTCTTGATGTAGTTCGCCCTGATCTCTCCTTTGCAGAGCTGCCATAGCCAGGTGAGCTTACGGCCAGAGTGCTTGTTCGCATAAAACGCCGCGAAGCGCTCGTACGTCTTGACGATAGTATGCGGAGGCGCGAAGGCGGTGGTCGGAGGGTTAAGCGGCCAGAAGCCCGTGCCTAGGATGTTGTAGGTAGCGTCGACGGCGTTCTTCTGGTCTGCGGCATCGAGGTTCTCGGACTGCCAGTCTTTGAAGGCTGTGTTGAGGTCTTTGGAGATCTGCATGTCTTGGAACATGCGTTGCAGCTTGTTCGTATACTCGAAACCGCAGGCTTCTTTCAGCTTGCTGATCATGCTCGTTTCGGCGTCGTCGGAGGCGGAAGTAGTTTGCACAAGGCGCTTGGCTAGGTTGCGGGAGTAGAACTTCTGGAAAACGTCCTTGTCTTCGATGTACTTGAAGATGGTCATCTGCAAGTGGTGTTAGTAAAAGAAGCAGATACACAACTCGGGTGAATCGTACGATCTGAGAGAGCTGCTTCTCCATGTTATCTTCCTCCGTCATCTTGGTTGAAGACTTCTTGAGCAGCGTGTCGGTGTACTTGGCAAGCAACTCGGGCGACCGCGTTGAGCCTGACTTGCACACCTTGTTCCGATTGACAAACTCTCGGCAGGCGTTATCCAGCGACCGCACAAACTCAGACTCGCCATTGAATGCCTTGTTTACGAGGTCTTGGTACTGTGTGTGGACGTCAAGCAAGGCCTCCACGTAGACCTTTGGCTCCAGATTGTCTCCTTCTGCTGCGACCTTCTCGACGGCGGCCAGACCTGCCTTGCGCACATGAGCCTCGAAACGAGTACGTAAAGGATCCAGACCATCCGGTATCCGGGCGAGTAGCTTGTACATTCTACCGAGGTCCTCCTGCCGCTCGTTGTCAAGTAGGACTTGGAACTCGTCGCGAAGCATGTTTGAGTGATCTTTAATTAGCGCCTCCTCACATGTCTTCATAAGAGGGTTCGTGATCTCGGCAAGTAGATATAACGACACCCGCTCCTTCTCCTCATCCAGACGGGCCTCTGCCTTCTTCATGTATTCTACTACACTGTTCTCGGCGTTGAAGCTCCTCGACTCCTCTTGGTAATACTTCTTTGTTGCGGCGAGGAACGGTATTTCGAAGTACTGGCGGTAGACGTCCAGCGTCGACCTCGTGCTGTCGCCCTCATCTAGACCCAGGGATACGAATGAGTCCACGATGCTCTTGACTTGGCTATGCTCGATGGTCTCGCCGTTGCGCTGCTTTTCCACTAGCCGCAGAACTGAATCCATCACACTCTTGTGCGTCGCGCCGAACATGTCTTCTTTCCATCGCACCAGGTGTAATGTGTAGATGTCGTAGATGTTCTTCTTGCCCTCATCCATCTCCCGCTTCACCCAGTGTCGGTTGAGGTACCGGAAGAGGTGGTTGTTGTACATGCCGGCGGTGGTGTAGCGCTTCCATTCCTTGATGTAGAAGGTCAAGAGCGCTTCGTCTACATGCTGTTTCGACTGGTCCCGAACGCCCGCTAAGTGATTTTTGAGGTAATCGATAAGTTTGTTGTAGAGCTCCTCTCCGAGAAGATGTGCTGGGTTCAGTCAGCCAGATCTCTCCTAATGCCTGAAGCGGAGGGCTTACCACCTCCACGGTTGTTCGCTGCGCCGAACCCGCCCGCGCCCCCTCCCACGGCCTTTTGAGCCGTGCAGAAGTTGTGTATTGCGGTGTACAGGCCCATGTATGTCTTCATGTCCATGCCCTCTTTCAGGTCCGTCATAATCTTCTGGACACCGAGTTGCAGAAAGTTCCATCTGCAACACGATAGCGTCAGCCTTCTGCGGTTCTTTACACGTCGCGCGCTCGCTCCAACGCGACTTCAGCGATATACTGGAGATCTTCCAGGCTTTTCTTTGGTATCTTTCTGAGCGTCATGTAAGACAACTGAGTGACTTCACGTACGTTGCTTCGGCGTCGTCTTTTGCCGGCATGGGAGGCATATTGCCCGCCGTCCTGGACGCTGTGTATTGTTGTGCGTTGCCAGCCATGTTTGAATCCGGCGGAAAAGGTGCGTGCCTGAAAGGCGACTCGGTCTTGCGTGGGTAACGAGATTCAGGAGCGGCGGTTGGCGCGTAGAGAGGGAAGGCTCAAGTGGCGGAGGTGGGAGAAGGAAGGAGGATGGCGGGTTGTAGAAAGGCTTTCGGAAGGATGTCGTGGCAACCGTCCTCTTCACGGCGCAGGGAACGAGCGGTCTTGGAGTAAGGTCGACGACTAGTGCGGGGGTTGTCAACGTCGTCTGGGCGTGTACGGATATATGAAAAGAATAACTCTGCACCAGGTCGGTGAAGTTGACGAGCAGTGAGGCAGCCGCCGCCAAGCTTCAGAGGCTCCCATCGCATCACACCGTCAGCCCTACACCCGATAAGATAACGAACGCCTCCATCTCCGCAAATTTCGCCCCCTAGACCCTCTTGCGTACCTGAGGGCCGCTATTCGGCCTCCACTGCCTTCACAAATACCATCCGCCGTGTTTCCACCACGCCGAAGCGACCAGCTCCAGATCAACCTCCAAGCCAGCAAGAAACTCTAGCCGCCACCTCCCACCTCCCTCAAACCTCCATCACCGGCCCCTTCTCTCCATACACCGGATCCCGCTTGAACCACCCCAGCTTCTCAATCCCCTTGACCTTCTCCTCCTCGCCCTGTTTCCCATAACACATATCCCAGTCTCCCTTCCCCGGATACGCCCCCACCATCTGAAACCCCCCCTCCAGATCCTCCAGAAGTCTATGTCCCACGCCCGCAGGCACGACCATCACATCCCCCTTTGTCACCGTCGGCTCGACACGCCCCTCGTTCTCTTCGCCGCCGAAACACAATTTGGCTGAGCCGTGAGCCACGACGAGCAGCTCGTGCGTCGTGCTGTGGAAGTGGGTTGTCGAGTACATCGTGTAGGTCCATTGAGGCGTTACTTCGCCGACGGACTTGAGGTGTGACTGGATTGAGGATGCGCTGGTGGAGGAGGGGAAGGCGGAGTGGTATATCAGCAGCGGCTTGTTTTGGATCGAGGTATTGGGGACGAGTTTGTGGGCGGGGATCATGTGCTTGGAGACGCGGAGGTCCGCGAGGGGGGTGAGTTGGGCTTTGGACATGGTTGAGAAGCGTCGAAGGAAGGCGAGGGTCATAAGGTTCTTGCTGGATGCAGCGAGGTTTGCGTGTTCCGTATACACGCTCAAAGTGATATACCACAGACGATTGACGTCATAGGCTGCTTGCTCGTAGGTTATGCAAGTACGAGTCCACGTGACTCGGAGACGCCCTTCTTCCTTCGTTGCAAACAAGCATTGGGAACATATGTCGCGCCACGCAGACAGTCGACTTACACTCACCGTCCATCCGGTCGAAGGAGGCCTCCTCCACTTCAGCATGGAATCAGCAGCCACAAATTTCAAGCGGTAGAGAGCTAAGAAGATCTAAATGTCAAGAGCGCCGATGTGATGGATTAGTACTTCACCCCCTACAGCTAGGGTTATGACGTAGTTCTGAGTTGGTGTAATTACTTCGTATGACTTTTGGTGTGAGCTAAGACCGGACTGTTACTATCAGAGCTGCCTCCTGAATGATAGCCCCAAGTAATCCAGCCCCAAGTAATCCACGCCCAAGCTCTGAACCGTCCCTAACCTGAACGCCAACGCCGTAAGTATAATCGCCGCCGCCTAGCCAGCGGCAGTGTCCTAATCTCCTCCACTACCACCAAGAGTGTCACCCTCCCCATACTTCCAGAATCCGCGCTTTTTGCCACTGCGCAGACTTCCCTTAGGCATGTTCTCAGCCTTCCGGACCGGCCCCTCTAAAGACGCGAGATCGTCCACAACCGCTCCCAAGGCGCTCAACGCTTTCTGGAGCCTGTCGTTAGCTACGTCTCCGAGCCTTCCGTTGCTCAAAGTCTTGAGTGCAACCCGGCTTGCATCGCCACATGCAGCAAGGGACGGATGGGGGAAGATGTACTGGGAAGAGAAACTCACTCCTGACCAAACGACTCGCTGGGACTTCTGTTCATCGTCTGATCTCTGATTCGTCTCCTCGCCGTGCGCTTCTTTGGATTCCACGTCCTCTGCCTCTGCTACCTTGGTCTCCTCCTTGCTTTGATGGGCCCTGGCGACGGCGACGGCTCGCACAAGCTCGCGAATCTTGCACCCACTGTCGCCGGAAGCCTTTGGAGCGTCGGGTTTGTAGGACGCATCATCGTGCTCGCTGTCTTCTGTGTTTTCTTTCATGTTGGGGATGAAGTCGTCGTCATCGTCATCCGTCTATCGGTTGCAGTTAGCATCGTTACGATGGAGTGCCCTCTGGGTGTACAATAGCGTTGAAAAATTTACCTTTGGCTTCTTGGCTGGTTGAGCGGCTACTCTGGCCCCGGTGCTCAAGACTCGTCCAGCGCCTGTGAAAGCGGACTTGCGCTTTTTATTCACGCGGCAAGCTGCGGCTTTCGGGGTGTGGATTTGCGGCGGCATGTTTGATATTACGCTGGTGGCTGTTGTTGGCAAGGAGAAGGTTGTTTGTGGATGAAGCGGGCGAAGGGGAGGGATGAAGCGGTTGGAGGTGAAGGGACTAAGGATAGGGAGATTGGAGATAGATAGGTTGAAGCTACGAAGGCCGAAGATGCAAACCTGAGGGTCGGTGCTGGAAACGGAAATGAAGATGCAAACGCTGAAGATGGAAGGACTGAAGTGAATAGGATTGGAGATGCAAAGGTTGCAGACGAGGAGGCGAAGGATGAAAAGATTGGAAACCAAGAGCCTGAAGACGGAAGCTTTCTGGTGAAATCAATGGACAAGTTACGGGTTGAAGAGCAAGCCGTCGACCTTTAGACTGAAAGAACCACTGTTTACTGCATATTCAGTTCATGGAAAAGCAAAAAACTAACATAAGTCGGATGCTCCATAGGTGACTTGGCGCATATGAGATAATCCGCGACAGGATCTCGAAACTTGGGTATAGGATGGTTGTTCATTCTGGCTACGCCCGCCTGTGTGACGTTCTTCTAGGCTACGGCCTGTCCCCTATGCCACCGTTGCGTGCTTGCTGTATACTGTACACTGACCTTCAGGTAAGCGCGTGACTTCATCTTCCTCAGTTGCCCATTGTACAAACGCGCTATTGACAAAAGAGACTCTAGTAATGTGCTGTGGTTCGCCAAGACTCGATTCGACCCAAACGCCGCGCTGCCCATCCCAGAGAGCCAACCGAAGGCCATGCATCGTTTTCCAAGGACCAGAAACGCCGACTGTGATGCCCAGGTATCGACAAAAGAACAAAAGGAAATGATAAGCTCAAGTGGCTACCTGCCGCTTACGCGCTCGACAAGTCTACACACATGGTTAGCCCAGAGCGGAATCTCGGCCAGGAATAGAACATAGCGCCACGTACCTAAGCGTACTAACAGCAAACGTGGCCAACCAGGCGACCAGCGCGACCAGTAGTGTAGCCGTTAGCGCCTTTTGTCTCGTACAAATTTCACTGTTAAACGGGCACGTGCTATACGGCACGCCCTCGTCAACCATAATGCCATCTCTACACGCCCATTGCTCATCCGTGAGCGCGCCGAACGCCAGGCTCAGATTTGCGCTGTCGAAGACGATAAAGAACAGGTCGAGGAAGATGAGCCGCATCTTAGCCCCCGGAGACCTTAGTCCTAGCGGCTTGGATGTGTATTCATCGTAGGTGATATAACAGATGTAGACGATAGCCACGACGTCGACAATCACGGCCAGCCAAGTGCTACCGCCCCGGGCGCAGCCATTGATGTTCGCTTTGTGGAAGATGGTGCTAGAGAGGCCGAGGGCGAGGGCGGAGAACGCGAGGACGATCATGCGGAAGACGAGAGGAATCATAGGGTTGCGCATTAGGGTGCGGTGCGCGCGCTGGAACCGCGCCTTCCGCTTCGCGGGCTTGAAGAGCCAGAAGCCGGGGTCCTTCTCGGGGTCTTTGTTGGAGGCGTCCGCTTGCCAGGGCGCTTCTAGATCGCCCAGGTTCTCGCGCATCCACTCCTCGTCGACTATCTCGACGGGCCCGAGTGATGGCCACCCGTACGCTGTGGATCTGGCGAACTGCTGCCATTTGGTCGCACGCTCGCTTATCGGCGCTCGTATGGTTACGGGCGTGCTTTCTCGCACGTGGTCGTAGTGCCGGCCAGCTACGGCGTTGGGTTTCGGTGCGGGCATGTAATAATGAGAGGCGGGTTGGGCGTAGGCGGGTATACGTGGAGGGAGGAGTCGCTTGGTAGGGTCGAGGTCATCGTCGTCTTCTTGCACGGATTGGACCCATGCTGCAGCACTCGAGTGTCAGTACGTGGTGAGCAGCCCAGGAAAGTGGCATCCTACGTGGTATGGTCCGCACTCTGCCGTGCTTGATCTCCGCCGCGCCATTCGAGGGTGATGAAGCCAGAGTGTTCGTATTGGAGGATAGCGAAAAGGACTTTGTGCGTGTTGCCGAAGCGCTCGGTGACGCTCGCGGAGGAGACCTGTCGGACTGCTTCTCGTTCGCCGAGTTCGCCGTTGGACCGGAGGAGATTACGGAGGCGTTGGAGAGAGGGCGGGATGCGGAGAGGTCGGTCTTCTCGGAGAGGGGGACGGGTGCGAGTAGGGCCGCTGCTCTGGTATTGAAGCCATTACGAACTTCGGCTGTGGCCATATCTTGCTAATCGAGCTGCAAGGGATGCTTGGAACCGGGCGGAGAGGACGGTTGAGGGTTCCTTGGTTGACGCTGAGCACCTTGGCGGCGCGGCCGGCCCTTGGTAGCGGTGACGTTTGCTACCTCGAGCGCATGGTTGGGTATTAATGGGCTGTTAAAGGAGCGCGAGAAGGGATGCGGGCGTGTCGTGTGCCGTCGCGGTGTAGAGAGCGATGTACCGCGACTGTGGCTGAGGTGTTTGGTGGTTGCTCCCGTCATTCTCCACAAGCCGCGATGTGGTCGTTGCGATTGCTCGACGATCAGGAGCTAGCGCCTCACGACGAAAAGCCAGGAGAAGCAGGAAACATTTCCGCGACTGCATCAGCAAGCAGCGAGACAATATTGAGCACCAGCAAGCATCCCAGCATCGCGGAATTGAACTCGATGCGCAGTGCCATACGATAGCAGTACGCGCTCCATTGCGCACTCCACACCGCCGCCATGCGCCTGTTTCTCCTCCCCATCTCGACGCGCCGCTCCCTCATCTACTGCGAGCGCATCGCCCAAACCGTCAATGTCAGCGAGCGGACCTACCTCGACAGAATCACCACCAAAGCGAATGAGACATGGGTGTCCTGGGAGAAGAGCGACAGCAAGGTCAAAAAGAGCGTGACGGAATGGGGCAACAAGGTCTTCCGCCGGATACCCTTCGAAGAATGGGGGCTCAAGACCATCCCCAGCCTGTCGGAGACACGCAGGACAGCCGAGTTAGCGGGCCAGGTGAGGATCGAGGTGCTGTTTCCCGGACAATTCCTCAAGGAGCCCAAGGTGATGGAAACGCTGGAAAAGCTGGCCACGGAGAGGCAGGCGCTGCACAGGAAGCGGATGTGGTGGAGCATTGTAGGCTTGCCAATCTCGGCTCCCTTTGGCTTAGTGCCAGTGTATGTCTCCGACGCAATCGACGTGTCGCTCTGGTGCTGACGCGAACAGTGTGCCCAACATACCGTTCTTCTACCTGGCCTTCCGAGCATACTCGCATTGGAAAGGTGAGCTCACGTCAGCTCGCGTGGTTTCTGTGGCTAACACCTTCAGCGTTGTCGGGATCGCAACATCTCCAATTCCTCGTTGAGAACAAGCTGCTCAAACCTACCCCATCTGCGGCTTTAGACGAGATGTACACGGCCGGTTTAATCCATCCCACCCGAGAGAAGTCACGAGCAGCGCCGTACCCAACGCGAGAAGAGGGTGAACAAATCGCCGAGGTCATCGAGCAGCAGACAAAAGAAGGGGCCGAGGACGTCATGTTACTTAAACGATGGAATGGCAAGCTACTCGCGGAACGCTTCAAGCTGCCAGGAATGGAGGTCGAGATCGAACGCGCGGTCGAGCAGGTAGAAGCGTCGATGAAGTCGAGGGAAGAACTATTGAAGGAGAAGCGCGAGCTAGAGCAGGCGACAGCGAAGCCTGAAGAGAAGAGCAAGGACTAGTGTATCGCATTGTCACAGCGTCGGCGTTTTTGGGAACCGAGATCACGTGGATCGTGTATGATAAGTAGACTCGCCTCCTGTGTATATACTGATATGACCTCTCAAGTATTCATTTATATTGCGGTATATCCGCCGTCAACAGGAAGCGACACGCCCGTTATCCACCGCGCATCCGCCGACGCCAGTGTCACGGCCGCCATAGCTAGATCTTCCGGTTCTCCTAGCCCGCGAAACGGGTGCATCTGCTGCAGTCGGCTTTTGAAGTTCTCGTCCTTGAAGACAGATGCCGTCATGGCCGTAGCGGTGTCTGCGTACAGATTAGCCCACGTCGATGGAATTACGGACGCGCACCACGTACATCCTGGGCATATCGCATTGCAATGGATCCGTTTCGGCGCACAATCCAATGCGACCACCTTCGTCAACCCCACAACGGCGTGTTTCGCCGAGACGTATGAAGCTGCCATACCCCCATCAGCGCACTGACTCGTTAACCTCCCTCCGTCACACCACTTACAGTTATTCGTCGATCCGCCTAACCCCAGCACACTCGCTAGATTGACAATCCAGCCTCTGTCCCCACCCCACTCCTCGCGCGGCTCCTGCTTGACCATCTGCGCCGCCGCGTACTTGCACCCCAGGAACACGCCCTTGGCGTTGATTAAAAGCGTCTTGTCCCATGTATCCTCGCTGAACTCCCAGATGGGCTGGGGTGCCCAGGCTTCGATTGCTATGCCTGCGTTATTGACCATGCTAGATTTTGTTAGATGGGTAATTCTAGGGGGCCAGATGCGGAGAGGACTCACACATCGACCCTCCCAAACTCGTCCACGGCCTTTTGTACCAGTGCCTCAACTTCCTTAGCCTCTCCCACATCGCACTTCACGAAGATGGCTTTCCCGCCATCGCTGGTGATTGCCTCGTGGGTAGGTGTATCCGTATCGCTGGGCGACTCGGCGCGGGCGTCTGGTCGCAGATCGGCGCAGACGAGATACGCACCCTCGCGGTGGTAGGCGAGCGAGATGGCGCGCCCGATGCCGGAGGAGGCGCCGGTTACGATGGCGACTTTTTGGTGGAGGCGGCCTGGCATGTTGTCACTGGAGGTTTAGTCGGTAAGGTAGAGACTATGCGGTTTGAGATAGCAGCAACGGTAGATTCGATGGAGGGCGATGGGGTCAATTTAGGTGGGAGATGGTTTGCTGTCCGTAGGAAAATTCGAGGAGATACACAAGCTTAGATAGCAGAAGTCGTACAGCGGAGGGGATCCAGAACTAGGACGAGGATAATGCTATGGATCCTTCAGGTACTGATACACGAACGCCTCTAGGTGGAGATGATAATGAGATCAAGCCGCCTCTGCCTCCCTACATGGAAGCTGTCCCGGAACAACATCACCGATTGCCCCACCGATTGCCCCACCGATTGCCCCTCATCTCCTCGCTGCTGTGGTTGAACTGCCGGTGAGAATCTGACTCGCGTGCATGGTTCTTCGGAACGGCAGCGGGAAGAGCCGCAAGCGGGGAAGCTGTCGCGGGGGAGCTGGAGGAGGGAGGGAAGGTGCGCCGAGATCATGTGCTTTTGCGCATCTGCTTGGGGTTGCCTTCTGCGATTGTTCTTCGATGGCGATTTACATGTGCTTGATGGCTCGCTGGCAAAATGTGTCCACAACAAAGGATCCATAACATGAGCAAGCGAGGGAACCCGGTCGCGTCGTGGCAGTCCTCTACTAGCAAATGCATTTGTGTAGAGTATTGACGCCCAAGCACTCAAAGCTACAGAAGAGCACCGTGTACCAAAAGAACGCCAACCCTGCACAGAAACACCCAAATCGCAAGCTCATACATATCAAATCCAACCCATCTACTGCCCAAATCCGACTCCCGAGTCCCGTGGGCCCCTCCCCTCAGTCTTACTGCCCTCTCCCTCCTGCTCCCCCTCCACAGCCCTAACCGCCTCCTCAAAATCCGGGATCTCGTCCGCTAACATCGCCTCCCGTCCCCACCTCACCTTCCCCTTCGCATCCATCCCAAAGCTCCCCGCCGTCTGCCACCTACTCCCGCTCTCCGTCGGCCTATTCGCGATTCCCTCGTCCCTATAAAGCCTATACACAGACCACAGCGCCCACGGACTAAGTACGTGCCAGAAGCTCGACACGCCCAGGCCCCAGCGCGCGAAGAGGTCGCGGTCCGGGTCCACGATGACCTGGACGTCGCCGGGGCCACCGAGGGCTTCGACCCATTTTTCGGTCGAGGCGTGGTCGGAGTGGGAGACGGCGATGAAGCGGACGTTTGGGTGCTTCGAGGCGGAGCCGCGCATGCGGAGGAAGGTCTTTTCGGCGACTGTATGATTTAATCGCATGAGCGAGTTAGTTGAGGATGGTGGGGGGACGGAGGCGCTTACAGGGACAACCGCAGTGCCGAAGAAATGTCACGATGGTGGGTCTGCCATCTGCGTTGGGCAGTTCAAGCGCATCGGAACTTGGGGCTTGATCGTCTATTTGAGGGAGGGACTCAACGTCGGTCTTGTATGTGGGCGCAACCCAGGACCGGGCTTCTTGCTGGAGTGTCATGATTGTGATGTGGGATGACTTAGATGAGGAAAGAAAGAGCAGTAAAAATTAAGTTGATTCTTAGAAATGCGCCGGCAAGGCGAGACCCAGATTTACATATCCTGTTTAGACCTACATCTTAGGTTTTACCTCATGGCGCATGTGCCCCTCGTGTGCCGTCCTGGTGCTAAGATCGTCATAGGCGGAAGCGTGGACGAACGGAGAGAGATCTAGACTGCGCTAGACATCATCAAGCTTTCAACAGCTCCTCATCAGGAACCGACTTATCCAACAACAGTTTGGACGTTGCTGTGGCGGAAAACATGCCAAGACGGCTTGTGGCGTCAATATATCACGGACACGTGATGGGCCAATCTGGAGACGTCAAGTAATGGTTTGCATCTTACACCGTGCCATTCTAGAATGGTTGCTCAGATTCTTGGAGCGACCGGGGCGCACAAGTGCGAGCTGGATGCCCATGCTGAGCCCAGAATATCCATGGGCTGCAAGACGAAGTCGCCATAGAGAACGCCGACCCACCCTACAATGCAACAACACTAAGCTACAAGAAGCACAAGCTATAGAATGCAAATTTGAAGCCAATCGCCATCCTTCCGTCTTATACACATGAGTTCACTCCCATGTCTCGTTTAGTGCACGTCGAACAGTGACTTCAGTTTGACGATGAGCGCCCACTCATCGTTGCCGACGTCCGATCTGTAAAACTCTTTCAGTGTGTCAATACTCCGCCGCGAGATGAGTGAGTAGAGTATGTCCTTTTCCTCCAGATGTCGTCCATACAGCGGCTGATTCGGACCTTCGATCTTAATCGCCACAGATGGCTGACCCTTCTTGCAAATCGGTATCTGCTTGTGATCGCGCTCAATAGATGTACTGTTACATGCATTAGCAAAGTTCATTTAAGAGTTCATCTACGTGGCTTACACTCTGCCCAAATTGATCACATCCTTGACTCCAGTCACTGTGTTGGTCTTGACAGCCGCAATAGGCGTCAGTAGCCGGAGGTTGCCCTCGACCACATCGACGCCGAGCACGATGGGATCTTTCTTGTTGAACACCGCGACAGGCTTAAGAACACAGGGGAAGACGGCGTCCATCTTGCTTTCCTCCTTCTTCTGCTCGGCGAGCTGCTTCATATGCGCAGTGAACTTATCGAAAAGGTGGTAGATGATGTCTGCCTTGAAGATCTTGACGCCGATATCGTTGGCATACGCTTCGGCGTCCTTGTCAACCTTAACATCGAAACATAGCATGACAGCGTACTCGGGTGATTTCTCAAGCATGATACCGGCTTGCATGATATCGCGCTTGTAGACTGGTCCGATGGAGACATTGGCGACCGGAATCTTTGACTGCTTCAAGAACTCCAGTAAGGCTTCGAGTGATCCTAGTGTTGACGCCTGCACGCTCACACCACGGCCAGTCTTGGAGATCCTGGAGAGGAGGTGTTCAAGGTCGGCCATGACTTCGTCTTCAAGATCTTCTTCGTCATCATCAGGGCCACACACCAATAGACGAGAGCCGGCAATGGCGGTCTCCAGGTTGTCCGCAGCGATCTTGATTCCCATTGCGGCCTTGACTTCCTTGTTGTGAACGTAAGCCGACTTGATCCGCAGTTCCTTCATCTCTGCTGGTGTCAACAAGGCTCGTATGTTCGTTGCTATCGCTCCGCCAGTTCCACACACTACGATGCGATCACCCTCACGGAGAACACCATTGGAAAGGATGACGTCGATTGTCGTGCCCAGGCCTTCTATAACTTTAACTTCCAGAACCGTGCACTCGACTTCGGAGAGGTACATCAGTGCATTCGTCATGCGCTCTTGAGTTAGCTGAACAAGCAGCTTCAGCATGTCTGGTACACCTTCGCCGGTATGGGCTGATGTCGGTACGAGGGACACGTTCCGCGCCATGGATTTATTTTCGTAGTAAAGCTCGGCGTTGAAGCCTTGCTCAGCAAACGCGACCTTCGTCTTCTCGAGCCTGTCACGGAACTCGGCTTGGACAGACTTCTTTTGCAGGGACAAACTGTCCTGGAAGCCATTGTTCTCGATCTTCGACCAACCATAGAGACGATCGATCTTGTTGAGAGCGACGATGAAGGGCGTCTTTCGGTCTCTTAGTAGCTTCATTGATTCCAGCGTTTGAGGCTCGAGACCGTGCATGATATCAACGACGAGGATGGCGATGTTACAGAGGGAAGAACCACGCGAACGGAGATTGCTGAACGACTCGTGACCAGGCGTGTCGATGACGAGAAGACCAGGTACTTTGAACTCGAACTTGCCGTCCTTGTTCACAACTGCAGTCTTCTTCTGAAGGGCCTCTACCGGGAAGTAGGTAGCACCGATTTGCTGTGTGATACCACCCGCTTCGCCTTCTTGCACGTTGGTCTGTCGGATCTTGTCAAGCAGCTTGGTCTTGCCGGTATCAACGTGTCCGAGAATACAGCAAATTGGGGATCGCAGGTGTTCTTTCGATCGTGCAGCCAAGGCTTCCTCGTGCTGCTTTTTCCGGCGTTCAGCAGCCTCTGCTTTCTTCTGTGCAGCGGCTCGTTTCGCAGCTGTTGTTTCCTCGTCCTCGGACTCTTCTTCAGACTCAGACTCGGAGTCGGACTCGTCGGCTGGCTGTGTAGGCCTGCCATTGGCCTTAGGCTCGACGACCTTTGCGGGACCCGGTCCAGCGCCTTTCTGCACAGGTTTGCCGTTGACGGTGGGCTTCGCGGGTCCTTCGTCTTCCTGGTCACTGGGAGCGTCCCAGCTGTCCTTCACGCCGTCCTTCGCGCCGTCTTCGGCGTCAGCTAGCGCTTCCCAATCTTCAAGATCCTCGCCCTCTTCAGCCTTCTTCTCCTCAGCGTTTGCACGCGCCGCTTCCACCTCTGCTTGAGCCCTCGCTTCCTGTTCTTGAACAAGCTTCAGCTCCTCCAGCTTCTTCAGTGCCTCCGCTTCGTCGGCCACCTTCTTCGCCTCATTGTCGCCCTTCTTGGGCCCTTTCTTTCGTTTGCTGTCGTACGTGGGCTTGGCCTTCTTCTCGGGAGCGTCCCCAAGGCCAGGGACAGCGGCACCAGTAGCTGCGAGCAACTGCTCATTCCGCTGCTTTTGCCGTGCCTGCGCCTCCTTCTGTGCCTTGGTGAGGTACTTGCCCTCCTTCTTGAGCTGCTCAATCTTCTGCTTCTCCTTCAGCTTTTTGGCAGCTTTGATTTCCTCCTTTCTCTTCTCCTCCTCAGCTGCTAATCGCTCCTCTTCTTCTATCCGCGCCCTTTCCTCAGCCTCGATGCGTGCCTGTTCTTCTTCCCGCCTCCGCCGCTCTTCCTGTTGTTTCTGTAGCGCAGCGAGTGCAGGATTAAGTTTCTTCTTCTTACCGCCTGCAGCGGCATCGGCGGCGGGCGCGGGTGCAGGGGCGGCTTCAGGTTTCGGTGCAGCCTTTGCGGGTTCGGGTTTTGCAGCAGGCGCTGGCCCAGTAGGTTTCTTCTTGGCGGCCTGTATATAGTTGTAAGCCAGCAGCTCAGATAAACAATGCAGAGATAAGATAGTGACTCACCTGCTCCTTCTTTCGCTGCTTCTCGCGCTCCTTCTTTTCCTTCTCTTTCTCCTTCTTCGTCTTCACCCGACCACCCACTTCGTCGTCATCGTCGTGATCATCGTCCTCGGCCTCAGGTTCAGGTTCAGGTTCAGGTTCTGGCTCCTTCGCCTTCGGCTGTTGTGCGCCTTTCCCACCTTTGCCCTTCTTAGCCGGCGCGGCAAAAACGTCCTCATCGTCCATGTTCGCCTCTTGCGGTGCTTTTGCCGTAAGGTCGACTTCGGGCGCAGGCTCGTCGCCAGCAACATCTGCGCCAGCGGCAGGCGGGTCTTCACCCTCGACAAAATCTTCAACAGCTTTGCCCTTCTTTGCCTTCTTGCCGCGGTTCTTCTTCAACGTGGCCAGAAGACCTCCGCCCATGCCACTGTCCTCATCCGCTGCACCGTTTGCGTCGTCGCCGTTGGCTTGAGTTGCGCCGCTTGTGGGCTCGATGGACTCGCCAAGTTCGGCCTCCCAGTCGTCGTCGGCGGCCTTCTTGCCACCCTTCTTCTTCGGCGCCATGGATTTGAAGGGTCGCTAAAGCGCTGTGTTTCTCCGGTGGTTGTGTTTCGGAGGCTTAGAAGCTTGGTCGACTGACTGAAAGGCTGTGGGATTGCGGAGGATGGCTTGCGAGTTCTCTGTGCAGTGGGAGATTCACCGGCAGTGAAGCGGTTAAATCTCCTGTTCGAGGTATGTAGGGAAGAAGATACGGCAAGACACCGGCAGAAATCGCTTTGCTAAACGGCTTCTGTTGTAGAAGCAGTGGCAATAGAAGGGTGGTGAATATTAATCACGGTCGATGGTGGGGTCTATACGTCCCCTTCGGTCCGTGCGGCTTGACGTCCGCTGCTTGTCCAAACAAAGCCACCGGCATATCAATGAAACCTGGGTAAGATCACGGAGACTTTGTGTCCACGACGTAAGACTCTTTTTTTCTGCAGCCGAAACATAGTTGTAACTGGCGTCAGAATTACCACCGATTTCCAGAGGTGTTTAGTGCCAGACTCAATGAGCAGAGTGCTTCCGATGGTTTACCTATAGAGCTGAGTCGAACTACCCCATGCCAAGGATTTGTATTACCTTCGGACAGCAGATCGACATCGCAGATCGTATTCTGAGTGTGGCTTCGCTTATAGCCTTGTAACGATGTCCAGAGTCAATACATCAGGTGCACATTTCATCAGTATCATATCAAGCAGCTTGCTTGCTCGCTCCAGCATTTCTCAAGCTACGATCTTGCGCTGCTCAAGAGTATTGCTGCGCCTAACACAACAATGGGTAGTGAGCCTAAATCTTAGACGGAAGGACGGCAGGCCGATCTGACCATCATCTGGATAGCAGGTATGATAGAGGGGTTCATCGTTTGTGCGGAGTATTCCTCCAGATGCTGCCTTTTCAGCTTCGAGGGGGTTCTTGAGAGGATTTCCTTACCATATGCGCATCCGCAGAAGCAGGGGACATGAGATTCCAAGGACAGCTGAGAAAGACCTGCTACTTTCCGCGCTCAGTCAAGTATCTAGAGTGGCAAACTGTTTCTTAATTCCGCACCGACTGACGTCGTGTCATCCTCGGACGTCGAAGTGTGGCCTACTTCGCGGCCTGCCATGCTAGTCGGCCCGCATACTCGGCTTCAAGGTTTCCAGAAGGCGGATGATTCGCGCAGGATGCTCGTACCTCGGAATGACATGCATAGCGCCTTCCAACGAATGCTCGCCCGTTGATGTTAGTGTTGCAGAAATAGACTGCACGACATTTGAGGCGCGTAGTAGTCCTTGGCGGTCACGTGCTTGTTGTCCTCCGGGCTTTGATTGGCTGCCAGCGAGATCGCGAACGCCGCCGAGACTCATCTGAAGCAGAGGCAGTTTTCGACTGCAACCTTCCAACGCACCTCATGCGTGCATCTTCCGGCTTGAAGGCCTCCATAGAGTTAGAGGCTACCGAAGACCGCGGAACAGCTTTTGCTGTAGTGTAGCCTTGTGACACACCCCGGCGGCAATCCAGCAGGCGCATTAAGATCTCCAACATCCGCCATGTCGCAGTCGTCGTATCATAAGCTTCATGTTGCGTGCAATGTTAGGTATCAGCATCGTTTGGGCCACCATCATTACCATCCCAGAGTCTACTGAGCCTTCATGACTACTTCTCTCTCTCCTTTCACTGTCCCCACGTCTTCGATCTTCTTTTGACTCGCCATGATTTTTTTCCCGGGCAAGATTCCCCATAGTCTTTCAGTTTCTTTTCTGAGAACCTCTTTCTGAAGGAGACGCTGCTGTGCAGCTCTGCACGTATTTCGTCGCCCCTCAAAAGCGGACTTTAATTGATAATCACCAAGTGCAAACCCCATCTCTATCTCGGTGAATAGAGCTGGAGCGGTATGCGCCTTCAGAAGGCACTTCTTGGCTGGTCCATCGTCATCCGTTCAATCCTCGGTGCATTCGCTGGTAGTGCAGGAAATATCAAGCCAGATTTGTCCCGGGGCACACCATCTCTTGAGAACCAGCTTCGTCGAGATGCAGAGGACTTCTTAGCCGCTCTTACGAGGTCGCAAGTACATTCAGTGATCGCACATGCACCTAGATTACGGGCAGCACGGCAAGTTGGCGATGCTTCAAGATTCGACCCGATTGCATGGGAGACTGCGACCGAACAAGCATGCCAGACAGCCCTAGGCGCTCTTCAAGGAAGAGCCTCTAACCCTTCGGGAATAGCGGTGTGCTACAACCTGCCCTCTCTTGACAATGTTACTGGCATCTTCCAAGCCGAGATGCGTATGTACAATATCACGCCGCCTACAGGACCATGGACCGGCATAACCAGCCAAGACATCAGCTTGACGCTGTCGTATCTGGATGCTACCGTGCAAGCTACCGAAGGCACGCTCATCAAGCGCGAAGACATCCCTTTATCTCCCATCAAATACAAACACAAAACACAGCTTTTTAAAAGGCAGGACCGAGGCCTTTCTAGGATTGAGACTATGAACTACGTGGGTCAGATCAACAGCACCTTGATGAGTTCTGGGATGAGCGAGTAAGTCTGCTCCGAATAGAACACACTTGAAAAGCCCATGCTGATTGATCGCAGAACACAGTTGCAGTCTGTCCTTGCACCAGCTATCCGCCTGACCGCCGTGTCTCCAGGAACTGGTGAAGAGGTGACCGCCACTCTCTCCTCCACAGAAGCGTCGTTTCTCAGTGGCGCACTTGCAAAACTAGCTCTTACCCCGACGGATGCTGCAACTGCCGCCGCCTCACCTTTTGTTCTACCTGGCACCTCGCTGGGTGTGTTTCCCGTAGGACTCATCGTAACTATGGCCTGGGTTGTGGGGTTTGCAGGAGCCGTAGGGTATGGCACCATTGGCCGTATCCGCTTCAGAGATCAATACAGGCGTCGGAAGAAGAGTGAGCTCGCAATGGGGATGCGAATGTTGTGAAGCATTCCAAACAGATGATAGCTATAGCACCTTTGGACTGTACGCCAACCGATAATCTAAGCTACTGGCTCCAATATTCGGTCGAGACATTTGGGTAAGTCATACCTACTCCAAATCAGATGTCACAAACTTTGAACTGACGGGTCTAGGCGAATCGTGTAGATACAATCGCGCAACTGATCCCTGTTTGCAACATGCGGACATGGTCGACTCTTCATGGTATTTACGCACCGTCACGTGACGTTACCTTCCTCATCTCTCCCGATCTGCATCCGGTCCGAGGCCGAGCCCGCCGATAAGCGCTCCCTGCATGCCGCTTTCCATCATCTCAACTCTCCCTAGTGTTGACTCAAGCAGAAATGACTCAGCTACTGCTTCATTATGTATAAACCAAACAACGTATCCGCTTTGTACCTGTTTACCTTGATTGTTCCAAGTGGTCCACAAAATATCTCTCTCGGTGAGAATTAGCCACATTGTTCTCGCCATGACAGAAGCCAATGGCACTCCCAGCAATGCAACTCCACAATTCGGACGAGGATTCTTGAAGGAGTTTCTGTTCGAAAAGGGATACCGAAATCTGAATCATGGTTCGAACATCTTGCTTGTCGCTTGTGTCCTCCTTCCGCCTTGAGAACTAAGACTCACTTGTACAAGGATCATTCGGGACATACCCGCGTCCCATCAGAGACGTTCTTCACTCATTCCAGGACCAAGCGGAGGCCCGCCCAGACCGTTTCATTCGATATGAGTACCCAGAGCGCGTTGACGAGTCCCGAGAGGTTGTGGCCGAGGTCCTGAACGCACCGGTGGAGACTCTCGTCTTCGTTCCAAATGCCACTACCGGCGTTAACACGGTCCTGCGTAACCTCGTGTTCCAACCAGGCGAGAAGATCCTGTACTTCGCGACCATCTATGGCGCTTGCGAGAAGTCGGTCGAATACGTCACCGAGACAACGCCTGCAGAAGCAATCAAGATCCAGTATACTTATCCAGTCTCTGACGATTGGCTCGTTACCGCCTTCCGCGAAGCCGTTCAAAAAGAGCACGCCGACGGCAACAAAGTCAAGATAGCAATCTTCGATACCGTCGTCAGCCTCCCCGGCGTGCGCATGCCCTTCGAGCGCCTCACAGCCGCCTGTCACGAGCTTGGCGTCCTCAGCTGTGTCGACGGAGCCCATGGCATCGGCCATGTTGAGATCGATCTTGGTAAGCTGGACTGCGACTTCTTCGTCAGCAACCTTCACAAGTGGTACTTCGTGCCCCGCGGGTGCGCCATCTTCTATGTTCCGGTGCGCAACCAGCATCTTATGCGCTCGACCCTGCCGACGAGCCATGGCTTTGTGCCGAAGCCGAAGCCGGGGCCGAAGATTATTAATCCACTGCCGCCGTCGAAAAAGTCGGCTTTCGTCACAAACTATGAGTTTGTGGGCACGATCGACAACAGCCCGTATCTCTGCGTGCCGGCCGCGCTGAAGTATCGAGAAGCCCTTGGCGGTGAAGCTGTCATCCGGGATTACTGCGCTGATCTTGCGCGAAAGAGCGGTGCTCGTGTAGCAGAGCTGCTTGGTACGAGGATCCTGGAGAACGAGGAGGGGACGCTGGGGAACTGCAACTTCACCAACGTATTGCTACCGCTCAAGCTGCAAGATGTAGAGAATTTGGCGAAGGAAGCAGGGAAGGGGGAGCTTGAAACGGGGGAAGTCGGCATGCTAGTCAGGGAGTTTGTCATCAACTCTGGCCTGAAGGAACACAACACGTTCATGGCTTTGATCTTCTACGGGCAACAGTGGTGGGTTAGGCTTAGTGCGCAGATATACCTAGAGATGGCGGACTTTGAATGGGCGTCTGGGGTATTGAAGGATCTCTGTGAGAGGGTGATGAAGGGAGAATTCCTGCAATAGAGCAACATAGATTACGCCCGACTTAGAAGTGTGTGCAGCACTTCCACGCGTTAACCACCAAAGATGTCCCGAATTTCCCAGTTACGTTCGAAACATCTTGGCTGCCTTATACGAAACTCCTTAGACGACTACTAATCCCGCAGTCTTCGACGAGATAGTTGCAGTTCCAGCTCCACGTCAGATAAGCCCACGTTGCTTTCACGCGCCGTGTCAGCAAGAGAACCACGTCTACCCGGATCGCTCACCGCTTCGAGTTCAAAGCTCCATCCTCCTGAAGTGATCTATCAGCATGAGACATTGATTTGCGATGGAGTTGATGACAAATGGGCTCTTCAACCGGCAATTCCGCGTCTCCGCGTCCCGGACGGGATGCTCCCGCAACCGATCTCACACACCAAACAGAAAAACATGACGAATCATGTGTCAAACGTGCCTGAATTTGTCTCGATTCACGCCTGCATCGGGCCTTCGATGCGAGTGGGTCACCGAGACCCTGAAGGATTGTGGGGGCTGCGTATGTAAGTACCTGCTGCGTGAGGTCATCAAAGGGAGTACCGAATGTACCCCACATATATTTTGGCAACGCACCAGAGGTGCACGGTGGGGTGTGACACTCGGCTCTGAGCTAGAATATAAAGCCTAGGTCGTTCCTACTCTACTGCTCTGTCAACTACAGCCTTCACTTCCTTTGACTACTAAGAACCTCAGTGTGTTTACTCCGTCTCCTACATACCGTTCGTTGAACCTTCCATAGTCAACATGTCCAAGCCGATCATTCTCTACTCCCACAAGGGCGGCCCCAACCCATGGAAGGTCGCCATAATTCTCGAGGAGCTAGGCCTGCCCTATGAAACCAAGTTCGTCGAGTTTCAGGACATGAAGGAGGGCCCATTGATCGACGTCAACCCCAATGGACGCGTCCCTGCCATCGAGGATCCTAACACGGGCGTTGCGATGTTCGAGGTATGTTCCCTCTACTCTGAGTCACTACAGCACACTAATCCACAATCGCAGTCCGGCGCAATCGTCGAATACCTCGTCGAAACCTACGACAAGTCCAACAACCTCACCTACACCTCCTCCCCCGAGAAGTATCTCTTAAAGTCATGGCTGCACTTCCAGATGTCAGGCCAAGGTCCCTACTTCGGCCAAAAGGCGTGGTTCGAACTGTACCACCCGGAGAAGAACCTCAAGTCCGCCATCGACCGGTACGCCAACGAGATCAGGCGCGTGCTGGGCGTTGTTGATGCGCACTTGAAGAAGCAGGGCACCGAGTACCTGGTTGGCGATAAGTGCACGTATGCGGATTTGGCGTGGGTGCCGTGGGATATGGCGCTGCAGTTCTTGCTTGGGGAGGGTGCGAAGAAGGTGGAGGAGGAGCTGCCGACGTACAAGGCGTGGCATGATAGGCTGATGGCTAGGCCGGCGGTGCAGAAGATCGTGGAGGAGAGGACGAAGGCCAACAGTCAGTAAGGAGGAGGGCAGCCTGTCAGCGGTAATGGTCGTCAGCCTTGTATCTTTGTATGTGCTTCTGCAGGCAGTATAACAAATAACATGTCACCACTTCTAGCCGGGTTCAATAAGAATTTGAGGCAAGTTGTCTAGGAGCTGATTACCGTCTGCTCAGCCTGCCAATCATTCAATGCTTTGAGTGAAGATACTGTGCGAGGGTGATCCGCTCCTAGTATCCGTTGTCGCAGCTGCCAACACTCAGCCATCAGGCCAACGGCCTGCTTGTCACGACCTTAGGATTTCCAGGTGCAAGCAAGATCGTTCATGATTTGCAGCGTGTGGGGATGCTCTTTTCCAAGCACCCTCTTCCTCATTTCCAGCACTTGCACCTCTAGCTCTTCGGCCTCCTTCAATCGTCCTTGCTTCTGGTACGTGGCTGCTAGGTTACCCACGCTGTGTAGCGTATCTGGATGCTCTTCCCCGAGCACCCTCTTCATCGTCTCCATCACTTGCACCTCTAGCTCTTCGGCCTCCTTCAACCGTCCTTGCTCCCAGTACGTGGTTGCTAGGTTGGCCATGCTAGCCAGCGTGGAAGCGTGCTCACATCCTAGTGTATGCTTTCTAAACTCGAATGTTCGTCGGTATAATTTCTCGGCCTTCGCATATGATCCTTGATAACGTAATACTCCACCGAGAAGGTCCAAGGCCCCCATCGTGTCATCGTCGTCGTTGCCGTTGATGTTTTGCCGGGCCTCTACCAATCTCCGAATCATTTCCTCAGCGGACCTGTACCTTCCTTGATCCATGAGCACCACGCTCAATTCATATAATGTGCTCAAAGTTTCGGAGTGATCATCTCCATGAGGCGTTTCCATCCTAACGAGCTCTTGTTTTAGGAGCTCTTCATCCGCTTGTCTGTATCGGTACTGAACGGACTTTGGGTCCTCTTGTCCTGTTCGTATTTGTGGGGTAGATCCAACAATATGCGGTTCTGAAGACACAATTTGGGATAGGAAGGCCTCCGGGTCTGGCATAGAACCTGGACGCAAGTCTAGGAGAACCCGATGGATAGGAGCTGGGCTTTGCCCTGTGAAAGTGCTGGCTGAAGCTCGAAGGACGCTCGTGACTGACGAAGCGGGAGAGAAGGGTCCAGGACTTTGGGCAATAGATGCACCTCGCATTGGAAAAATGGGACTTGCGACCGAATATGTGAGACTCGGAGCCGGGGAACCTCGTTCGGAAATTGTCCGACAATTAACCGCGGATGGGGTGGCTATGACGTGTCAGCACAAGTATTGAAGCCATACTATTTCAATGCTACCTTACATTCAGCAGGACTCGGGGCATACACGACCCCCTCCGGGATATCGTTCTTCTTCATCCATCGTTCGATTTTTGGTGGCTTCACCTCTTTGCCTCGAACCGTAAAAGTCTGTTTCCCTTTCTCGCTCTCGACGAGCCTTCTTTGCTGTCGTTTTCGAACAATTGCTTTCATCTCATGTGTCTTGACATTCTTGTCTTTGTCCCACTGACTGATACGGGTTCGGTATTGCCGGAGCCTTACGAGATAAGAGTCAGTATTATGGTAGAGGGTTGGCGCTCGTTTCGGGCTTTGGGAAAGACATACTCAGCTTTGAAACCGAGTTCACTCTCAATGGTATCTTTGACTTTCCGAAGCGGTAGTTTCTGCTTAATATGGAGCTCTATGATTCGAGCTTTGTACGGCTCCCAATCCTCCGCACGCAATGTCGGCGCTTTTCTCTTTCGCGGGTTGGTGGGTGGACCCATAATGGTTGTGGGTGGACCCATGGTGGTTGTGGGTATGTGTTGGGAGTCGCTGAGTGATTGCGCATTGTGCGGCTGATTGGGATAAAGTGTCGAAGATGGATCGAACGAACGCGGCATGTAGCTTTGGATGGATGCAAGCTGCGGGACTGTAGGTAGCGTCTCTGAAGCAGGAGCTTCAAGCATTGAAGAGTCGTCATGGAACCAGTGTCCCAGGGCTGTGACGCTGTAGCCCTGTATGGGATATGGAAGATGTTCGTCGAGGGTAGGCTGATCGGCCATCAAGTGATCCATGTTGACATTGCTTTATACCTAAGTCATATCAGTCAGCATTATATATCCACCTCTTTGGTCACATAAAAAGTCAGACTACCTTCTCTGTAGACAAGAAAGTAGTTGAGAGGAGTAGTGATATTGCATGTTGCGTGGGCGTGAAGTTGATTATGAAGAAATACAGTGTCACAGCTCAAAGGAAGGATCGTCAAAGAGAAGGTTCGATTAGCCCGAGGACAAAACTCCCATTATCCACCAAGTGCAGCTGAACGCGCATACGGAGCATGGTGACAAGGCTCCCCAGGCGCGAGGCGGGAATCTGAGCGCCAGCCGGGCACTGCCCCACTACCCCGGAGGCTTGCCAAGTCTTGCAAAAGTACAATCTGTGCTGACAAGGCGGCGCACCGCCGCGGGATTCTTGCAAAACTACTATTTTGCCAACCCGCCCTTATGACTACACTGCTGCATACCGCTCGTGTATGTTCATGCGGTAGGCGAACGCTAAACTGAAACAGTGCAGACTCTGCATCCTGTTCTCCAGTGGCGGAGGCGCTGAGAGAGCCGAGACGTTGCCAGTATTCTTCTTCTCAAAAGTACTATTCTGCGTCCAATTTCTCTCACTATGGCTTCCAATGACGACGTCGGTAGTCGGATGGCCAGGTCTCAGTGTATTGCGCGGCGTATCGATGTGCCTCCAGCGTTCTGCAAAAGTCCTATGCTGGTTTCTCTCGGATTAGGCGTACTCGCAGCCCTTTAGCGTTACCATCGTTGCAAAATTCCTTTCAAAAATACTATTCAGCCGTTACAGCCTCCCTCTCGAAGTTGATAATGAGCTTTTAAAAGGGCCCCGTGGGCACTATCTTAGGTCCCTCTAGAGGTCAAACCATTCAAGCAATTTCGATTTCTAATACATTCCACTATGGCTCACCCATCTCTCTCCGCAGAAATCATCACTGCTATCATCTTCGGAACTCTCCAGGTGGGCATCGGACTCATCTCGCTTTGGCAACAGCGCCACCTTCGCCAGATCAACGGTAAGTTAACTCCATCCGGGTAAATGAATTCACTTAATGACATTGACGTTTGCACAGCAATCGACGAGAGAGGCAATGAATTCGAGATGAGGAGACCGTGAAACGGTTATACGCAACGCCATCAATGGCCTTTGAGGTTCGAGGTATTCCGACCGGGAGTTGCGGGGATAACTGTGAGAGCAGAAGGATCGACAGGACAGGAAGAAGGCTAATAGCCAGTAGCGGGGAGCGCTCAATAGAATTCTGAAGAACAATCGGGGATTGGACAGGAGCACAGTGTAATGCAAGCACCGAACGGCTCTTAGAACTTCGACACAGTGGAGTCATTTCTCAAAACGAAGTACCGTAAATGCGCATGTACGCACAAGAGAACACTTTCCCAATCGCAGCAGAACAATCATGCACTCGTGAACACGTCGCCGGCTGCTAGGAGGAAATAACAACGATCATGATTGCGCTGTTGATCATCGAAAGCCTCAAGCTCTGTAGCATCCAAAGTTGTAGCTGCTGAAATGATATCCATACGGAACGGAGCCTCTCACGTACAGCTGAAAGGCAACTGTCGGTAGATCGCCGTCTATAGAGTACGATATAATTCACAAATCTATGATCACAAGTTGCTTCCAGAAGTGCTGCAGATGATTAAGGAATGCGAGATTAATGCCTGAGGATCTTTTTGACCCTAGTCCCGAACATTTGCCGAAAGACAGCTCGAGCTTCAGCGTTAGTCGTCAGATCCCCACTAAGGCGACACAACACACAAATCACCGCTTCTCAGGATGTCGAATAGAGGATACGATGTTGTTGTCGATGTCGACGCAGAGGTGAAGCTCCGCCAATCCACCATGCGCTCCACCAGAATCATACTGACGCGCATCAAGGGTGACTTAGGCCACACGGATTTGCAGGAGGACCTCGAATTCCACTCCTCCAGTACGCCTTCCAAGCTCTTAGTTCCCTTGATATCTCTTGACAGTCCCCAGATTTTGATGATACCCAAACTCGGGCCAACAAAATCACCCCCGACACCAACGCCTCGTTCCTCCCAGGAGGCACCGCCAACCGCTCCTCCGGCACCTCTAAGCGCTACCTCTGGTCCCTCGCCTTCTACGCTCAATTCTTCGATGTCGACACGAACGAGGTGCTTCGACGATGCCAGGCTGCCATCTTCCCACGCGCCAGGTTTCTTGACGTGCTGGACGGAAACCCAGACCTATACGGGCCCTTCTGGATAGCTACGACAGTGGTGATGATCCTGTTCCTGACGGGGACGATCAGCCAGTATCTTGCACGGAAGGGACACGACCACTTTGCGTACGACTTCAAGCTGTTGAGCGGGGCTGCGGGGTTGATCTACGGGTATACTGGTAGGCTTCGCGAGGCCGCCTGACGAGAAACAGGAAGCGTCGCTAATGCTGGCCGTAGGAATCATACCGCTGGGCCTTTGGGGTGCTCTGAGGTGGTTCGGTAGCGAGTCTGCAAATCTGCTGGAGTGCTGGGCACTATACGGCTATGCGAACCTGATCTGGATACCGGTGGCCTTAATATCATGGTCTCCGATCCCTAGTATGTCCATTTACGTCTTAGCCAATGCGCTGTTTGCTGACTGTGGCAGTCCTGAACTATGTGTTCGTGGCTGTAGGCTTCGCCATCTCAGGCCTCTTCCTTTGGCGGAACCTCTACCCGGTCCTTAGCGCGACCGATGTGCGAACTTCGAAAATCCTGCTCATCGTGGTTGTAGCGCTGCATGCGGGCCTCGCTATAGCTATCAATGTGCTCTTCTTCGCGTGAGTCGGTCCGGCAGCGCCTATTCATTATATTGCTAATTCGGCGTTGCAGGCACGGTAGCCCCGCGGGCAAGAAAGACAAACCGAAAGGGGATAAGGACGACAGTGCGGTCGCAATGCTTTTTGGTCTTTAGGGTTTTCCATGTTCCTCAGTAGAGTTTTCAAGCAGTTTCATCTCCAATCTTGTGCCTTACCTGTGCCTTCATATTATGAAGGACCCAGGCCAAGCTGAGGACTTACTTCATTTCAAAGTATTTCTTGTTGAGTCGCGAGATTTACTCAAGTGTTTTGCCTATCTTGACGTTCGGCAGAAGTGTCACGGTCGGCTGATCCAGTCGGCGCGGCGCTTTGAGACAACGATGCATTGTCCGTGACAATGTCTTTGTCTTCTTGCTCTTCCCTGTTCCAAACAGCGTACCTCTATATCTGCTCATCACTATCCGCACAGCGACATTGTGATATTCAGATCTTACATTGTATAGTAGAATTTGAGTTCACCCCAGGACCCAACATGTAGTATATATGGGCCAGTAAGTCCGCAGTTCTTTTCATTCCCCGAAACCACCAACGGTAACTCCTCAAGGACAACAAGAAATTCAGCCGGCCTGCATTTCATCCAAACGTTATCCACACACGAGAAGTTACCGTCGAAACATACCCAAGAACAGGAACATGCGCTCTAACACAAACTCGGGTTTGCCCAAGGGCTCACGCGGTTCTGACGGCTCCTCGGACCGTCAGAACCCCGACCAAAATCCTGTTCGGTATGAAGACGAGGAAGAACGAGAGGAAGGCAAGGTTTCTCCGCCGTCCTCTCCCCCATTGACGCCAATGGACGTCGATGGTCAAGAGTATCTGGGAGGCCCGGAGCCCGTATGGGCGCCGAGGTCTCAAATTGTAGGGCAATCGTCGCAGGGCTCTCCTGTGTACCTGCCCTACCGTCCACGGACAATCGTGCCGTGTTTGCTGGAGCCCGCTGAGCCGTACCATCCGAAGAGTCCGGCACCGGCTTTACGGTCGTCGTCTCCGACGGTAAGTCCACTGTCAGAGGACTCTGAGTCCTTGAGACCCTACCGCACTCGGCTGGCGCTGCCGCCGTGGCTGCGGCCCGTTGAGGAGGAGGAGGGCAGTGATCAGGAGGACGACGATTCGCCTCAGGTATCACCGTTGACCAGTCCGGGCCCAGCATCGGAGGGCCGTCTTCCTTCGGATTACCACCGTCGTCGCGCCGCATTGCCGGCATGCCTGCGCACTGCAGAAGCACCAGCAGGTACGTCCGTGGAACAGCTGCGCCGGCACCCCCTCCCTCCATCGCTATTACCGCAGCAGCCCACCTCTTCCAACGACCGAGCCATGTCCTCCAATGCTCAGGCAATGGCGCAAAATCGCGGCACTAACGCCGAGTGGCCCTTCCCTTATAGTAACCTGCACCGATTCGAAGGTGACGGATGGGCCGCTGTGGAACACCCCAGCTCCGCTCTCACCCAGGATTGGGCCCGCAACCTGCCACCACCGCCCAACGTTGCGGATCCTGTGGCTCGGGTGTTGACGGATCCGTTCTCGCACCTGCGGAACCCGAGGAGGATGTTCATCGTGCGCCGCTCTTAGAACAGCAGGTGAGCGAGAGTGTTGAGGTGCAAACGAGCTGCAAGGGCTATGAGGTGGAAAAAACTGAAATGCGAGAGAAGGTTTGAGGAAGGAGCAAAGCTTGCTCTTAACAGCTGATTGCCGCTAGATATCAGGCTTGTCTATACATCAGATAGCTCTCCACCAAAAAAAGGTTAAAAGGCGCAAAATCTCCCTAAAATTTGTCTAAGTAAGTGATGCTTTCAAAACTTTTCCATGATGGTATGCTTACACGGTTTTAGATCAGCCATGACTTGACTGCTAATACACTAGTGGTGATCATAACCTTCGACTGCCGTCTACGGCGTTTCACTGATGCTCGTGAAGGGCTCGATGCCAATGTTTCGCTTCTGTTATAGGACGCCAATCACATCACGCTATACCTGCCGTCATTGTCCTCCACAGTGACATTCCCCTTCTTAGGGCTTCGGGGTGTCTGCGGGCTAAGAGTAGTACACATTTACGGGAACGATCGGCAGGGCAGATATCCGTACATTTAAACACAACAATCTCTTCTTCGTCACTCAGGCTCATCGACAGCAAGAATTCCTCAGCAAAAACAGTTCGTACCAGCTCTAAATCACGCGCTCTGAACGCAGCGGTAGAGATCACACTCATAGTACAGTAAAATATGAGTTCCAATCGAGACCCAACCTCACCCGACGAGAGCGCCAGTTCGGACGAGAGTCTGGAGCATCCGAAGGTGCCCAGCCGAAAGCTATCGCCAACGCCACGAACGATAATCCCGGCAGATGAGGAACGGCCTCCGCTCTCTCCTCCTTTGCCGCCATGGCCGAGTAATCCGAATCCTCCCGTATCGTCATCTAGCGCACATCCAGCTCGAGTGTACTCATCTCGGCCTAGTCTGATTGAGTTACGGTCGATTCCACCCGTCTTGACTCCCACAGGGCCATACCATGTGGAGCACCGAGGAACTGCTCGTAGGCGTGTCACTCCTTCGCCACAGTCCCCATCGCCATTCCCATCCCCAGCGACTGTTAGGCCGGCGAACAGACAAGCGACAGCCGCCATCATGCGGACCGGTCGAACCTTGCCGTCCAGACATTCTAACCGGCGCGTCGATCGTGATGCAGCGACAATCACCAGCGCCCGCCAACGCTTACGGATTCCTAGACTCCCTCCGCCACCGAACGTGGAGGACCCGGTTGCCCGCCGGCTGGTTGATCCGTCCGCGCACCTAAGAAGGCTCGCAGCGCGTCCGTGGCATGACTTTGCGAGCCGCAGCCAACGTCGGTCGGTCGCCTTGAGTGAGGCGGAGAGCCGGGCCCCGCTTCGACCCCAAATGCGGAGGCGAATGAGCTCCCCTGGCCTGGAAGCGTTGGCGGAGAGGATGAGTGAGGACCAGAGCTTGCTCTCATCCGACGGACTCACGGACCCAGACGAAGAGATTGCCATCGCTACGACTGAGCGGCGCGATCCATACTGTCGGCCTCATTTGTGCTGCTTCTTTACGGTGGACCATCAGGACTGTGTACCGCCTCTGACAGAAACCGCACTTCAGACCGCCATACGTAACTTCGAGCTGCTGGGAAAGGCGGAACTTTCGCATTCAGCTCCATTGGTACTCGATGCGGAGGTCCAAGCCTTGGTAGATACGTTCTGCCAGTCGACCTTGGGATCTATGCGGAAGAAGACGAACTGAGCAGGCGGCGGGCATGGTGAGCACGTCACACTCTTAGGGGATGCTAGTTGAAAGCGCTTCAGGATCTAACAAGCTTCCAGATTGAGGTGGAGCCAAAGTCCACCGCTGCTGCTCTCATTTTGACCATTCAGGTCTTGGTTGATGCGCTCTACCGGACGGCGTTGAGGAGCGTAAATAACGATACGATTCGCGCAATGAAGTTTTGAAAACAGCAGGAGCCGTACACGAACTGTATCGAGGAAGCGGCCAATAGTAGACCCTTATTTCAACCCTGTTGGTCTCCTGGATGTCGGCTTTGGGAGTGTCAAGCAGTTATTCAGTCTACTATCAGCCCGCAAACGCTTCTAATCATGCAAACGTCGTGACACGTTCGGGAGCTCTCTGTCTGTGATTATGAATATCCATTTGCTATATCTCTACTGCCCGGAGCCCTAACAGCGGCCACGGCCTACAAGTACCATTTGCTGAGCCCGTTGACGATCGCCGTCGCAACCGCCAATCATCGTGATATCATGATAGCGGGACGCACTACAGTATGAGCGACTCTCCTGTAGTCACGACGCTCGATCTCTGCTTTCTAGACTTCCGAGCCTAGATGCCATACAGATTAAAAACAAGAAAAACGAATGCTATCGCCGAGTACTTCTTTCCCGCCAGCCCAGTTAGTTACTACGCATAATTTACTGCCAGATTTATCGATCAAACTCAGCCCAACAGCGGTCGTCCTTCACAGCACTAACACCAATACTTTCATTAAAGCTCTTAAGAGCCACTATGCCGAAACTAGCAGCGAATCTCCTCTCCAAGGCCACTGAGCTCACAGCTACGGTGACTGGTGATGCAGACCTCGCGCTCAAAGCCGAACAAAACGGACTCTTTTACTCTCGGCGCCCGTTGTTCGAGGGAAAGGATTGCAACTACGATCTCATCTTCTTCGCTATAGAAATCTCTTTCATCAATAGATATTGGAACAAACTAGCTCAAACTCGGTAGCAATGTGGTAGATTAGCATGAATCTCAATCTGGTATATGACACGATCTACTGTATATGGATGGTATAGGTATGACCGTATGTGCACCATATGTTCAAAGTTTCAGCAAAGCCTGATATCCACCCACCGCAGCCACCCATCGCCAGGCCCAAATATTCATACCACCCAATCGGCCTCTTTCCTCTCAGTTATGCCCAAGACTATCGCATCCTTCCTTCCCAGGCCTGCAGCTCTCATCTACTATGTATAAATACTCTCCGTATAAGCATTAACCTGCAGCCCCTTCTCCGCCATCTCCTCATCCCTCAAAAACTCCAACGGCATCCACACCAAATGCCCGCGAATCCTGTCGAGCTGTTCCGTAATTTCCTTTCTGCTCCACTTCTCAACCTCGAAGATATGCCCCTGCTTGTGCAGCTGCTGCGTCTCCCCGCTCTTAGCTTTCGTCTCAGGGAGGAATTCCTCGTAGTCCGCCCACGTCTTGATGCAATCGTCTGGGTCCGCATGGAAGAGATCTTTGAAGACTTGCGTGTTTGTGGTTGCGGACTCGCACCACGTTTCCCATAGGTCATCTGATAGCGGATCGGCTACAAATTCGTAGTGTTTGTCTTCGTGGAGTTCGTTGGCTCCATCGCCTGGCGGCTGGGCATTGGGATCTTTGGAGCCGTCGAGGGTTTGGGCGGGGAGCAGGCCTAGGTGCTCGCGCCAGAGGGTACGGCGGAGAGTGGCGGCGTGGTGGGAGGCGGTGTAGGGTTTGCCGTTCATTTTGGACTCTAGGGGCTTGGTGTCGGTCATTACGATTGAGAGCTCGGAGTCGTGGAAGCCGAGTTGGGACTGTGTAGGGTGGTTAGCGGGGTCTGGCTACAGCGAAGGGAGAAATTTGCAGAGACTCAAGCGGATTGAGAGTCGAGTGGCAGGCGCAAGGGTGAAGGGGGACGGCTTACCCTGTCGTTGATGTTCGAGCTCCCCACCACGACCGTCTTATCGTCCACAATCAGCACCTTGCCGTGGATATACAGCTCCTCCTGCACAAAGTTGTTCTTCTCGCTGTCCTCATCTCCGTCGTCCCACGGCTCTTTTGACGGCTTTCCCTCATCCAGCATAGCATCCTCAGCGATACTGTCCTTACTGGGAACCTTTTCATCCTTCAAGCCAGCGGCCTCCCTCTGCGCCTCGAACTTCCTCTTCCTGTCTATTAGGCGCTCACGCTCCTCGTCGCCTGAGTCGTCGTCAAAACCGCCTTCACTCGAAGAGGAAGAGTCATCGGCGGCGCCGTGGATGCCGGAGCCCATGATCTCTTCTGCTTCGGCGCGCTGGAGCTCTTGGTAGCGGACGCCGGATTTCTCTTCTTGCTTTTTCATGGCGGGGGTGAAGTTGACACGGTCGTAGGAGCGGAGGTTGAAGACGAAGATGTAGTCTAGGCCATTTATGTTAGTTCATGTAGGGGAGATGAATTGGTCGTGGGGGCTTACGGCGTGGGTCTATGCCCTCTTTTTCGATCTGTCCGAAGATGGAGTTCTCGCCTCGGTTGATGGACTTGTATTGGTAGTCCATGATGGCGCTGGTGAGGGTCAGCAAGCCTCCTGCTAACTGTCTCGGTCATGCATACCGTGTTCCCGTAGCAGCGTCGTCTCGTAGATCTCCCGCAAAGCCCGGTATGGCCGGTATGACGATGATGACTCTGAACTTTCTATTCTCCTTTGCAGCCCTCACGCATGCGTCTACTATCGCGGCGCCGATCATATTGTGTATGGGTGACTGGTCTTCTCCCGTTGCAGTGACTGTCGTGGTCAGTGGTAGCCCACGTGGCAGCAGTAGCAAACTCACTGAAGAACTGATTCTCTATGTACACGTAATGTTCCGCACTCCGAATGATCTCACAGTACGCGTTCTGGATACTATGCTCTGTCAAGATTCCACTACTCCAGTCCGCACTACTCCTGACTAATTGCGCATGCACAGTTCCTTTGTTTTCTAGATCTGATATGTTGAAGGGATGTAATGGATGGTGGTCGTATCCTCCCATTGGAAATTTCGGCCTCTGTACACCGATCAAATCCTCGTCTTCACCATCGCGGCCTTCCAACGTAAGCCACTCATACCGGTCATCGCGCTTGTACTTATCGCGCTTGCAGTGATTCCACCGCAAGACGAAGTGCTCGGCGATGTCGTATATGCAGGGGCCGATGACACCCATAGCTACGTCGTGCCACGGCATACGGCCGAATTCCGCTTTGCTCAACTCGTTGGACTTCCAATCCTCGACACTCTGGAAGTCCATTATGCGGTTGTTGTTGAAGTCCTGCCCAGGAAAGACCTCGTTCTGTACGCCGGCTGGGTGCACGTCTGCGAGCGGATGTTGCCTGCTGTCCCAGCGCCCGAAGCAGAGGTCGAGGCCGCCGATGAAAGCCATGCGGTAGTCGATCACGATGAATTTCTCGTGATGTGCCCAGTAGAACGTCATGTCCCCTAGGTTTTCAAATACGTTGTGATCCGGGTGTCGCATGACCATGATGTTGCCATGTCCTTTGCTACCTTCAGGGCACAGGCCCATAAGTGCGTGCTTCGTATGTACACTGTTGCAGGTCAATGCCGCTGCGACCTCCTTGTACACGATAACGTAGATCTTGACGCCGGCCTCCGCCTTCCGCTTCAGCAACTGGTCGAGCCTCCATTCCTGGTTGAAGTAGGGCGGCCGCCGCAAAAACAGCTCCGGCGACAGCCACCAGTCGGCGATGTATATCGTCTCCTCCGCTCGCTCCAGTGCCACGCTGACGGCCCAAAAGTAGTCCCGCCCGTCGATGTACCATTTTATATCGTTGCCGTCTCTTTCCGGCGCGTAGCTCTGGAAGCGGTGCGACTCGGCGATCTGGTTGCGCTTGCGGTCCGTCTCCTGCTCGTGCTCCTCGTCGTGGCGGTGGTTCGTGTTCACGATGTTCTTGACCTTGCCGAGCTTGTTCTTGAGGTGGGAGGCCTTGGCCTTGATATCGTCGAGGTGCGTGTCTCTGAGCTTCTCGCGCAGATGCCCTCCGAACGGGTGCTCGATCTTCTCTTTGATGGCGCGAGCTGGATTGGGTACGCCGGTCATCTTTGACCGAAACGCGCGTCGACGATGCTGTGCCCGTCTGATCTCGTGATGCTTGAGGAGGTGTAGGCAATCGCTCTACAATGCCGTCGTTGGATTGCTGTACTCAGCTGAGGGGTGTATTAACGCTTGGTCAGAGCATTGGGGCGAGAAAACCGGAGTCCTCAAGTGTTGAGGCTGGCGCCAGGGCAATATCTGGTTCCCACTTCCAGGTGGACCCTGATCACACGAACTGTTCCTGCTCGCGCACTATGCGGGGGGTGGGGGGCAACCTTGGTTGCGAGGGCGTCATGTGCATGGCGAATCCGCGCGCCGCTCTCTCCTCCGCCGACGCCGAGGAAGCTTGCGTGGTCCCGATCAGGAAGAGGGATTGTCCAAGGAGCCATGCTAAACCGCAACGGCCGGTTGATTAACCAGAATCTGCAGGCGGCTTGCGTGTCAGGCTGATGTGGCATCAACGCTGTGCCCGCTTGGGATCTTAGGCCAAGCGTTGACCCTGTTTTCGAGTCAAGGCTAACGAAGCGGGCAGAAGTCCACGAGTTCAAGCAGTGGAAGGAGAAAATGTCTAGGTACGAAGACGTTGAGAGAATTCTCATACTGATTCTGCGCTGCACATTGGGTCATCCCATTGCGTTACGGATGGTCCCTATTACAGATGATTGATCCAGCGTTGAGTGTCCCATCCCTTTAATCCAGAAGAGTGCAGTGAGCTGATGATCTTCGTGTTTTCATCACGTGATGTCTAGCGGGGCGGTCTGTACGGAGTGTCGCTTCGGCCTCAAACAGCGCACAAAGCACGAGCGCTCCCTAAGTTGGGCGTTTCACTCGTGTCCGGCATGTGCTCCTGCCAGTCGTTCTCTGACAGGTCAATGCTGCCATGAGGAAGTCTTCGTGAGTCTTCGTGAGTCTTCGTGAGTCGGCGATGCCCCCGGTAGGGCAAGCCGTATCATGGGTATCTGTGGCGCCTTCTAGCCTCTTAACCCCTTTTATTACCGCTGGTAGTAATCTCTCAACTCATCTATCCCTACCGCCGTCACTCTCTCACACCTCCATGGTAGACTTTTCCGTCATTGCGCTTAATGTGGCATTAGTGAGCTTGAGGACTCCTGCGCTTGCGTGGTTCGATGCGCATTCCAACCCTTTCTCCGCGTTAGAAGCAAGGATAGGATCCGCGGTACCCATATATTCAAAAGCCAAAGATCCCATGGTCTGCCGTCATATTGGCCAAATTATACGCCACGAGCTCAAGGGAGCGCAGTATGCTTGAAAAAATCGGACTCGCTTTGCTTCCTAGCTTCCTACGACCTCTGATAGCGAAGCAGGAAGCCAAACCAGACAAACTCTATCCCACGTCTTGCCTCGATGGCCTTCGAGGCATAGCAGCGCTCTTCGTTTTCTTCTTCCACATATTGTTCGCGTACCGTTCGCAGCCATACCTCGAATATGGCTACGGAGTGGAGCCAGGGTTCCACTACATCTGGCAATTACCCTTCGTTCGACTCTTTACAGCCGGACATGCGATGGTGTCCATCTTCTTCGTCGTCGGTGGCTACGTGTCGAGCCTTAAGCCTCTGAAGCTCATGCATAGCCACTCTTGGGAGGCTCTCCAACAGAACTTGGCATCATCCTTCTTTAGGCGCGGCATTCGCTTGTATCTACCGCCAATCGTTGCGACATTTATCACTATGCTCGCGATCCACCTCGGGCTATGGGAGTTCTCCTCATACTATGCCCGCCAGCACGACTACGTCTTCTATCACGATTACCATCAAGAACCAAGGCCTACCTTCGGCGAGCAGCTCAACCACTGGTGGCATCAAACATGGGATATGACCAACGTCTTCGGCATCTTCCCACCCGATCACCACGGCTACCAGATTCCCATTTACAACCAGTACGATCCGCATCTCTGGACCGTGGCCTACGAGATGCGCGGCTCGCTCATCGTAGCAGTCGTCCTCCTACTGTTCTCCCGCTGTCATGTCCCTCTCCGGCTCCTCTTTGTCTTCTGCACCACTCTCTTCTGCGGCTATCGTGACCGCTGGGAAGTCGTCCTCTTCCTCTCCGGCACCTTCCTCGCCGAAGTCGACCTGTTGCTTCAAGCCAGGAGGAGCTCCGACCGCAGCGGCAACGGCAGCGAGCCGCTACTAGCAACCCACCACGACCCGGCCATCTCGCCACACTGGACGTCCGCACCCTCCCGAAGCTGGTCCCGCATCCACCGGATCCTCTCTCATCTCTGGTTTGGCCAAAAGAGCTGGATCATCCTATTCATTGTCGGCTGCTACTTCGCCTCGGCCCCTAATCTCAACATTGGCCATACGCCTGGCTACGTCTGGCTCGATTCCATCCCGTTCGCAAACTACTACTACGACCGCAAGCGCTTCCTGCAGGGTTCCGGCTGCACGCTCATCGTCTGGGCAGTCTCGAACAGCCCGATTTTGCAGAAGCCGTTCACGTCAAAGTTCGCGCTGTACATGGGCAAGATTAGCTATTCGTTTTATATCGTGCATGGGCCGATGAATCATATGGTTGGGTATTATGTTACGGGTAGGATCTGGGATGTTGTGGGAAAAGAGAGCACGGCGCAGTTTTGTACGGGGCTGTTTTTGGGGTCGGTGGTGCTCGCTGTCTGTGTTTTTTGGACGGCAGATCTGTTTTGGAGGCTGGTGGACTGCAATGCGGTGAAAGCGAGCAAGATGGTTGAAGAACTATGTTTCGTTAAGGATGGCGAGAAGGCTTAGACATCCTGGTACACACGATGAAGGGATGGAAAAAGTCGGATTGCACATTTTGGACGTGTCGAAGACGGGCATAGGTGAAGAGCTTGGTTTTGGGCTGCTATCAGATGATTCTGGGTTGAAGGTCTCAGAGTAATAGTGGTGCCCGCACGCAATCACCAGAATCAAGTGAGCCGACACAGGCCGTTTCTTCACCTTTGCGGATTGTCCAGCGAACGAGCCAGCGTAGTGCCTGCTCCTTCTTCCACATTAACTAGTAATGGCTGTATCAGGTAGGTGCTTTCCACTTCACAAGCCATTCGTGGCTTGTCATCTCTCATTTGTCTCTTCTCTTCAAACATCAGCATAGTATACACTTTACCGCGTGTATACTCATTCAAACCATTGTTATTTGTTCCTATATTACTCAGTCATACATTGTCGATCTCGCCCTATCCTCATCGCCATGGACCCCAACGCCGACGACGATGCGCCGCTGCAGAGCCCTGGAATGCCGTTGGACGAGTCAGACATGCCGTTGGCAAACGCATTTCTAGAGGAGGCGCCTCTGGAAGGCACACTACTAGCGGACCGACCGTTGGCAGGCCTATGGCTGGGAGACACACCAAAGCCCCGATACCGGTCCGTCCCACCCCTGCACGGCCTGTTCGAGAGACCATCAATGGACTATGTAGCGCCAGAGTATATCCGAGATGGCAGAAACCGATTGCTGGGCCAAATGATGCCATTAATACGCCAACAGGAGAATCGGGAGATGGGCATGCGAGAGATGGACGAGAAGATCCGGGAGTTGAAGGCGCAGATGGAGGCGTTGACTGTTCCTTCTGACGACATCTCTGAAGAAGATGCTGTCGCGCGCCGTGAAGCAGGGATCGAAGAGAGGAGAGTGAAGACTGTTGGTGATGTTCTGGCAGAGCTCGAACCGGCTATCACTCAGAGAGTGGAACGGGAGTGGGAGCGAAAGAGAGAGAAAGAAAAGAAGGAGGAGGAAGCATTGAAGATGAGGAGCAAGAACGCAGAGGAGCTGGAAGTGCTGCGGCTGTGGATGAGAAAAAGATTAAAAGAACTCCGCAAGGAGACGGAAGAGGAAACGCGGCGAGAATGGGTGAAGAGGGTTGAACGAGAAGTGCAGGCGGAGGCGGAAGAGAACGAAAAGAGAAAGGTAACTTTCACTCCGACCCCATACGACGATACTAACACTATACCAACACTCTTAGGACTCTCACCGAAACTCCATGGGTCCGCCACCCCTTCCCAAGTCTACACTCAAGAATCCCAGCGTGCCAGCCGCTCAACGGCAACACACGCAAGCGGGCACCGCGAACACCGCAAACACAGCGCACGTATCGTTCGGCGCCGTAGAAGAAACTACAGCCGAAGAAGTCTTCGATTCACAACCCGCTCCCAGATTGATACTCAGAATGGGCAACCCTCCAGCCCCTCAACGCCGCGCCACAGGCTCCAGCGCCCTGGACTCCTCAGCCACCGCCTCCTCGCCCTCCGGCACCGTAGCAGCACTCATGCCTTCACAAGGCCCCTCTCCGGCACCTGGGCCCAAACCCCCATCCAAACCTCCAAGCGCCCGCACCGACCCCCGCCGCCGAACCCGCTACTCCACCGCCCACCGTGAGGAAGAGCCCGAGATCCAGCCCTTCACCGCCGCACAGGAAGCGGCGGCCGCAGAGCTCCTGGGACCACTGGCCCACCGACCGTTGCGATACCTCGCCATGGGCGAGCTTCAGCAGTTCTTGACGGCGTATCCGGCGTCGCATGCGAAGCATCAGGAGGCTGCGGCCGAGATTGAGTTTCAATTGCGGGTCAGGGAAAGCTGAGGGCGGGGTGCGGAGACGGGAGGGTGGAGGCGGTCAGGCCAGCTGGGGAGGCGATGGGGGCGAGGCGTAAGGCTCCATGGGGATTTGGAGGCGGCGGGTTGCCTGCTTTCGTTCCTCGGATGCAGGCAGCAGCGGATCTGGATAGGGAAACTGCTAGCACGGAATGCTGACGACGTGCCGCGATTGGACACACCTGACGGCGGAAGGTGTGCGCCTTGATGACGCGGTAGTGTAAGGGATACTCTGACCGCAGGCGTATGCATGAAGATGAGCTGCTATCGTTAATACCTTGAGCGCATGAAAGGTAGAGGGCTTGGGAGTTTGTAGAAGTTCACGTGACAATATGCAGCATCAGAGGCCAACCATAGCACGTTATTCGGAGGATACAAGTTAAGGAGTTTGTTGCTACTTGCATGTACATCGCTAAACCGAACAGCGCAAGCGGCAATGCCTAATGAAGCACAGCAAGCAAAGCTCTCAGCGTCGACATGAGGTGCAGCCAAAGCTCAAGTTCAAGCCCATCCTGGGCGCCGTCGCGATGCGTGTGTACCCTACCATGGAAAGACCCCTGCGTCATGATGCGAGAGCAAAAAACAGCGGGAGCTCAAGAGAAAAACTACAAGCGGAGCTCCAAGCCGAAAGACAGGGGTATTAGATATTAGAATGTAGTGCACGACGCTGGTAAAGGTGACGCTCAGACGCCGACGCGATATGCTCCCGGCCTCCTCCGAACCTCCTACGCCGCGCTGGATGAAGATGCCAATGTATGATGCTTGCAAAGTGAGGAGAAGAGGCAGATGACCGAGCCTCGAAAACGCTAAAGAGCTCAAAGGACTAGGGTATTATGATGAGACGCCGCTGTTCCATGTAAATGACACCCACCCCTCGAGTCTCGTGAGAGATGGTGCGTTCTATATATGCGCCGACGCCAAGAATGCGAAACTCGATGTGGGTGTATGGGAAGCAAGGAAAACGAACATTGAAGACCGAAGCAGGACGAGGGTGGCCAATAGTAAACAGGTAGATACGACACAACGGTGGACGATGAGCAAGCAAGAAGTGCTGGAAGAGGTGGTGTTGTCGGCTAATCAGGAATGGTGCGCTACGGGGCGAACGCCGCTAACGGCCAGGATTGGCTAGCGCATCCGTGTCGCATGATCACCAGCAAGGGTCCCATACACCCTTTTCTTCAATGCACCGCATCCTTTCACTCAGGCGCCACTGGTCCGCTGACCAGGTTGCTGATAAGGTTCGATGCTGAAGTTGGGGTTTGGCTCGGCTGCCAAGTTGCTACGGCCTTGGTGATGCGGTGATTGCGCGGCTGCCGGCGTGGCTGCAGCAGGGCTGCCATCGATATACGCCGAGAAGTCCAGAGAGCCTCGTGCAGATGCTTCAAGTGCGTTCGGATACTGGAAACCGGAATATTGCGATGCTGTCTGCCACTGGTACATGGAATGGATGCCAGAGTCCAACTGCGGTACAGCCACTCGCAGGTTTGGGGGGCCTGCTGATCGTCCGACGACTGGTGACAAGGCGGCAGATGTCATGCTGACACTGTACGCGGCCGATGGGGCCGAGCTAGCAGGCTGAGGACACGCCGTGGCGGGAGGCTCGGTGCCAGGCCCTGCAGGTCCGCCGCCATAGCCGCCTGCAGCTGGAGTTGGAAGTGCGCCAGCCGTCGAAGAATAGCTAGCAGACTGAAGCCATTAACATTAGCGCATGCATCTTGGACGATCGGGTGGACCCACATATTTGCTGATGATCTTCTTGAGAGCTAACGGTAACATCTTCCAAGGAAACACCTTCACATCCTTCTCGATGTTCCTAGGCTTGGGATTTGAAAAGCCCATGATGATCTTGAAGAATGGTTCACTCCCTGCTTTGGCTTTGGTGACGGTCAAGGGCCGAAAGCCTTCGAGGTTCCGGCGTATCCGGTTCTTCTCTTCCACGGTGAAGCGCACAGCTACCAGCGATTCCAGAAGGTAGATGGTGTCGACGCTGGTGACGTAGCATTCCTGCTTCTCCTCCCACCAGATGCAGCTTATGCATATGCTGTTTGGAGTGCGAGTTTCTGGCGAGACAGCCTCAAAAGACGTGGTGATCGTGCTGCCAGATTGATCGCGACGAAATTGCACGAGCCGTCTCTTCGCATCCCACTCATCGGGGCTCCATCCCTCGGCCATTCGGTCCAGTTCACCTTTGATCTCAAGCACGGCCTTCGAGTTGGGATACATCGCATACGGATTGAAGGCCTGGGAGCTTACGGTGGCGGGGACTGCTGGGGTCGGCGGAGGGTGCAACGTCGATGTCCTAATAAGAGGTGGATTCGTCAAAGAGGCCGGCGATGTCGCAACCCGCGATCGAGATATAGCTGGCACTGTAGCTGTTGCAGGGCTGCGGCTCAGATGGCTAGCCCTCGAATACGGACTGTAGGCCGAGATCCTAGGTGACTGCGCTATAACGCTCGCTCGGCTTACTGCTGGCGATGGATACTGGTACGAAAGACTCGGCGACATGTTCTGCCCGTATGCCGAATGTTGCTGCTGAGGCCTCCCGTAAGTGTCCGAGAAGCCATACGTGCTCGGGGTGGCGGCCGAGGGGTAAGGCGAGGCTGGCAATGCGATGCCCTGTGAGCTCCTGTCAGCTCCAGACAGTTGCTGAGGCCGTCCTTGTAGGGTGTGACTTGCGATACGTTTTGGTGGCGACTGGACTTCATCCACGGATTCGTCTGATAGCTTGCGCTTACGGGAGCCATCTGCTGGTGATTCGTAGGCTTGACAGTTGGAGCCGTCAGTATACATGAAGTCGCCCACCTCGACGACGCCGAGGCTCTGGCCGTTCTCATCTTCCATGTGCATAAGCAGTGGTACTTGGCTGTCGTGCCATCCCGTCGTTTCGAAAGGAGGAATATCGACTGCTAGAGCATATTGGTAGTATGGACCGCGCTGGTCAATCTTTGTCAGCGCGGCATCGCATCGTCGTCTTCCAAACATGATACAGAACAACAGAGGGCCTGGCGTCAACACGTCCTGGTTGGTTCGAATATAGACGTGCAGCTTTCCATGCAGGCCTTGAGTGGGTAGGTAGCGAGTCACCTCCGGGAGATGACGAGAACTTGCATCAATAAATGGGAAGGGAGCCTGATACGGCAGGTCATGCGTCTCATATTGGGCGCTAGAGATGAAGGGCGCCTGCGGTACGGTCGAGGGGCCATGGGATACAGGCGTCTGCACATGCAAGTATTGCGAGGCCGCAGACGGCACTGCAAATCCGGCATAGGCGTGTTCTTGATCGGGTTGTGTGGCGACATAATCTGCCGGGCAGGGAAAGGTGGTCAGTCAAGCGGTAGGGTAACCTTCACGTGCCCCCAAGCCGGGACGACCCGTCAAGGCCTGGAAGAGTCGCTCCATCAGAGCATCATGCAGCAAACTCACCGTACAAGGGGTAGTTTTCCTGCGCCTTGCCGTACTCGGACATCGACAAGTACGCAGCAAGTTCAGCGGTGCCCAGACATTCACTGTCGTGATCTTGGCCGCTCAGTAGAACGATATGTTCAGAAGCGTTGTAGTCGTCGTTGACAATGAAAGGCGCCTTGAGGCTCTGCAAAGGCTGCATGACGCATTGAGATGTTAGCAGGCAAACGAATCAACGATCGTGATGGAGGTGGGGAACCGGGCTGGGATAGGCAACAGCTTTGATGCCTTGTGGATGACTCTAACCATAGCCATCCTGAAGCTAGGCCGACAAACATACCTGAACACATCCACTTGGGATGCTTACCAGCTTCATGCAACCCGATCCTTGCAAGACAAGAAGATCAAGCGCTCTGTCGCCGATCGTTCAGAACGGCGCGCTTCAAAATATTTCGAAGGCGTGAAGAGAAAGAGACTGATGAAGACGAACAACTTCCGTCTACTGCTAAGAGCGGAGGGATGGTGTTCTGATGCATACAGATCGTGCAACCTGGAAGAAATTTAGCCCCGAATCGAAGAGCCAAGATGTTCACGCAAAGAGTCTAGCGAGCCGACCGTACACCCTCAATGACTGTCCCAAGGAGTGAAAAAGACACCGGCGTATGTGAGGGATGCAGGGGCTTTGAATGGTTCGCCCAAAGCTCTGGGTCTGACGGGTTCTGTGAACCTCAGCCCGCTTGGCGGGAGTTTCGGGAAGCTAGAAGCACGGCCGCTATGAACAAAGAGACCTTACCCTAAGAAACCCGGTGTTAATTGGAATCCGTATTCCAGGCCACAGTGATTCGGAAGGATGCAGTAGTCGCCGATGCTTGCTAAGGATGCCGGTACTTTCGACGTAAATCTGGATCGTGGCGCCTACGGTAGGCTGCAGAAAGCCTCGCACGGCGAAATATGATTACCTAGATGTTGGTAGACGTTAACAGAAAGGGTCGGCGACAGCAAACCGTCAGATATGGAAGGCCACTGCCGTCGCAACCGATTGGATGGTCGCTAACGCAAGGAGTGTTGGAGCTTGGATCGCGTCTTATATGGCCAGCCTCGGCTTTGAATAGGGAAACGCACACGTACCGGTAACCCCAATCGCCAGAGCTGGGTTCGAGCACCTGTAAACTGGATAGAAAGGACGCGCAGGATCTGGTATGGCTAATGCGCGGGGTGCTGACGCGGAACCCAGGCCGTGCGGCTCCGTCAAGTCGACGCTGAACAACTGGACTAATCTTACAAGATGGATAGGATTAATATTATCGGTCACCTGGGCCATGAACGTGCTGCAATCGATGGCCTGGCAACCCGTACGGGAATGTAGAAGGAACACCTGACAGTCTTCAGCGTCAAGATCGCTGTTTAGTGGCGGATGACTGGGCTGACTGCGAACGGCTGAGGATGGAATGTTGAGCCTATTAAACTGCAGAGCTATGTCATGATCCAATGCATCCCCACAAGGAAGAGCAGATGCGAAAATAAGAATATGCCTAAGCAAGATGCGGCCGATAGAGAACAATCATCCGTGCGGTAACGAGCGAAAATGTCGACAAGAGGGAATGCAATCGTGGGTGTAGATGAGCAGCAAGGGCCGAAAGCCATGACTGGGTGAGGCACGGCGAGATATATGGCCGGACATATTGCCGCATTGCTACATGTCGTCGATGTGGAGGCTGGCCGCGCAAAGTCGGAGTCAAGCCATTTAGAATTGCTAGGAGTGCTTTCGTGAGTTCGAGTGGTCTAAAGGTGCAGCCAATGCACTCCTTCACGCACCGCCTCCCTGCCTCTCGAGGCCCTGCAGCGTCGAGGCCGAATGGCAGCATCGTATGGTGCATTTACAGGCCGCAAGAAGGAGACAATGGCTCCCCGATGTCCCGTCGTCGGTCCTAAAGCGGAGGTGACATGACAAGACGGCACATTCTATTTTGGCAGAAGCGAGGGACGCTACTGCAAGGCGTGAGCATTACAACCCCTGGAGATCGCTCTCCTGGGTAACTTGGATTCAGCTTTAAATCGTCATCACCAGCATCAAGAGGCACTCCAAATACTCCGTAGCCCTTCTAATCGTCACGGTGTTTGCAGAAAACTCACTCGTTCAAACCAACGGCAACTTTGTGCCGCGGCAACTCACCTTCGCAATTCCCGCGGATGAGAGCTCCTGGCCCACGATTCAAATAACGGGATGTAGACCATCGACAACGCGAAGCACATCGGAGGAACACTGCAACCCCAACGGTCACCCTTGCGCCACTCGAAGCGTTTGCCTTCGGCCTCAGCTCTGACGGGATGCTTCCTGCACAGCTGAGCAGAGTGCGTCCCTTGCGATTCGCCGGCTCCGTGAGGATGCGAGGCCTAATAGGAGTTCTGAGATAAGTCAGCTCAGTTCAACTTTGCCATTGAAAGTTGCAAGCCAATGCCGGCCTTGATGGCGGTATTCTCCAAATAGCCCGCTTGGCCTCCCGAGCGGCCGTCTTCTCCTACCGGACTCCCAGCCACCTCTGCCTTGGATGCATTAAAGTTTGCGGCTGTGTCGATCACGTCAGCCTCCGCGCCAAAGTTGGAAAGCTGAACCCAATGAACGTGGGCGCAGACGCGATCCTCTGCGGACGATTCTTTGGTCGGCTAACGCAGGCACGATCAAGGGGGTCCGGCCCGTGAGGGGATCTCCAGTAAACGCGGTATCATCCCTGATCATCCTTGGTGGCCTCGTTTGTTCAGCTACCGTCTCGACCTCGATATTTAGACGCTGCGCTTGCATCTTTGCGCGGAGAGCCACTTCTCGCACATCTTCACGGTATCCACGTTCATAGGCTGATCTAGGACCCATTACTACAGCAAAGCGAATCCGCAGGATTTATCTGATCATGGGATGATCTGACACGCTATCACAGCGTGCATCCGCGGGTTTTGTTCTTGTCGAACCGACTAGCTTTAACCTGACTTGGCTCGACTTAGCTCGACTTGATTCGCAATCGAAGACAAGCAACCAGCCATCTCAAGCCGAAGACAACGGAAGCTGCACTTTCTGTTGACCAACTCTTCCGCCGCCACTTGGAGCTAAACAGCACAGCTAGACGAGAGTCAAGACGGCACCGTCATCGTCGATTGAGGCCGAACGGCTTAGCTAGCCTGCAGACCACAGTTGCGGAATATTTAGTTCCTGTAGGTATCCTGCGGCTTGCATTCGTCGGTAACAGGTCCTGCATAATTCCGATTGGGAACACCTAAGCTTCGATGAGGGCGACCTACACGGCAAGTATTTCAGGCCTTCAAAATCCTCTCGCGTTCTCCCTTTCGGGCCATGCCGCTATCCGCATTTGTTTATGAGAGAGGACCGTAGGTAACCTCTTGGTTACGCCAGCTCGTAGGTACATTCTTGCACAGCATCTTCTCGTTATCGTTTTTATGCGCAACCTGCGAGTTTCCTGTGCAGTCGGTCCTGTGAGTACTAGCTGTCGTGCCTTATATCAACCGAGCGTTGCCTATGTTGTCATGCATCTCGTATAGGATATATTTGGTTCTCTCATGGCTGTCTTAGTCATGACTGTCCGCTCGTCTCAAGCTGTCCTTCTCTAACCCGATCTCTGCCCCTCGGTCTATGCCGAGAGTCTCACCAATCTCTTTTGGCTAGCAGCATTCCTCAGAACATCAGCTTTCACGCAAGAAGGATCGCCATTTCGACCTGGTCGCCGGGTATACAGATCTAGATCGCAACGCAAGGGTTGTTCCGACAACCAGGTTAGCAACCGCAGGACGAACTATTTTCATGCCGTTCGCATTCCAGACTCGTTCGTCCGCGCAGCCATATCGGAGACGCCGAAATTGCTCGAACACATACTTCCCACGTGTCTTGCAACATACCAGGGCACAAATCGCTCGTCCGATCTGTCACGGCGGACAGGGAGAGGCGTTCCCTGCGAGCCACGCAATCTAGAGCTTTCTACTGATACTCACACTGTCAATTCGCAACCTCACAGAAGAAATGCAAGAATCTACTTAAAGGCCGTGTTGTCTATTCTGTATATAAGCATCAATCCAGCCAAGCGATAGTGAGTACTTTCTTTTTTTGTAGACCAGTATTGACGAATGCCGCATTATGGGATTCACTAGGAACATTCTCTTATCCGTCAACATGCCTGACAAAGCTCTTACAGGCAAGCATCACCCTCGATTTTTTATGTAAGTGCTGGCTACAGTGCAACATCCCTGGGCATGCCTCAGAGAACAACACGACCATCTCTCACATTAGCTCCATACATTCCTACACCGTCCGCCAGAATACGCCCATCCGTTCACTCTCCACACTAGGGGTATCTACCATTGACCAGTCGTCCCTCTATTAACCCCGTACCCAATACTTTCAGGTCCAAACATAAACACTACACTAACTTTATCCGAACCCCGTCCACGTGCGACTCCCCTCCACTCTCAAGACCCCCCCTGCGCCACCAAATAGTTCAATACGCCAACCCGATTCCCGGCGTCCGCGGCGAGTTCGGATGCGGATCCACCTCCTGATACGCCGGCGGCGGCACCGTCATCTGACTCACCCCACTCGCAACACTCAGCCCCCTCTTACGCTGCCGTCGCATCGACAGCGCCCCCGAGCGCGACTTCTGGAGCGAAGGCCTGGAAGACGATGCCTGCGATACGGATGTCGTCGTTCTGGTGGTGCTTCCCTCCGACAGCGAAGGTGGCGGGGAGGTGTGCATGGTTGAGACCGTGCAGAGCGTCGAGACGGATGCGGAGTGGTGGGAGTGAGAGTGGGGTTGATTGGTGCGAATGGCAGAGGGGGAGGTGCATTGGTAAAATGGTGGTATGGGAGTGGGCTTTGTGGTGGGTGATGAGGGGAGGGAGCGTCGGAACCAGTGGGAGAGGCGGGAGCGGCTGGAGCGGTGGGTGGGAGGGTCGATGAGGGAGGTTTCTGATCCGGTATCATGAAGATACGGTGGATCGGGGCCGATGGTCGGTGTGGTGGTGCTTGTCGTTGAGCCTGGGTCTGGTGATGCCGGAACTGAGGGCAGCGGCTTCGATGCCAATGGTACAGATAACGCGGATCCGATGTCCGAGAGCGTCTCGGAGCGGACGGTCATCCGGAGCGAGGGCGCTATGGCTGGTATGTGATGGCAGTTGGGTTCCGGCGTGCTTTGGCTGGCTCGGAACGCGTCCAGGCGCCGCTCCTCCACTATCGTGTTGAGCTCCCGGATGGCCTCGTCAACGTCCGACTTGTTGCGCCGCGAGCTAGCACGCTGCTTGACGGCATTTGTTGGCTCCGTGTTGGCCCGAGGTCGAGCGGGGGAAGGCGCTCTCGAGCTACATCTTGACGATGGAGCCAAAGAGCTCCTGGGGCTTGTTCTCCTTAGAACGGCAGGGTGTAGGGGAGCTTGAGCAGTATTCGGCCTACGTGGGCTCTTGAGAGGTATCGGCGGCGCCAGATCCGGGATTTCCGACGGATCTGTAGAGACACAAAAGCTGTCAGGAGTTTCTGAATGAAGGGAATCGATTCTCGGTCGTATGAGCGCCTGCGCGGGGAACGCCAGCTCGGCTGGCGTCCTATCCCAGTCGGAAGTGTTGAAGTTCGGAAGTGGTGATAGGCGATTATTAGGTAGGTATATCGTCAATTCCAACGGCCGGAAGCTCTTCCTTTTCCGGTTTACTGTTCTATCGCCACGGCGAGCATCCGGTGGCCCGCTGATACTTGGGCTGCTCCGTGAAAAGGAGGTCCTTAGCCTAGTGCTTGAGGAGAGGCTCACGCGACTTGATGCCCTTGCAACCAAATTGTACCCGCTTGATATCCAGGACGTGTTGTGATCCACTGATTTGGCTGTAATAGGCGATGGGTTGGCAGGTACCATGAGTGGCTGTTCCATGCAGTGTGGCTGCTCGTAGCATAGTATCAGATCGTCCTCCGGGGCAGATCCTGTAAGGATCAGTATACCATACCGTAGGATAACCAAAAAGTACAATTGTACTCACCACTGCGCCGAAGTTGTCGCGCGTCATCGTCACCCTGCAGCTCAGGCGCGCAGCACCCGAAAGAGAAACCAGCCATCTTGCGTATACCCTACGACTTCGTGGATGCAATTGTGTTCGCAACTAGGGCTGCATCTCTTCCACAATCTTCGGAACTGACAGGGCAAGGCACTGAGAATGAGCGAGATAGAAAACGAAGGTAAAGAGGGAAACTGCATAAGCTACCAGAGCTTCAGCATGTCTCACACAACAATGATGAGGCAGAGAAAAACCTCCAGCTGCAAGAACAGCATATCAGACACAATAGTAGAGGTTAAAGGAAATGCGACATGTGGCAGGGCTGCATCCAGGACAGCAAGCCCGCGTGAAGGCGTCCAATAGGTTTCTGTAAAGCCATCCTTTGGGGCGCAAATCCAAAAGCACCCCAATCATGGATGTCCACGATTTCGAGGTCAGGGAGATTTGAATGCTTGGTGTTGAGGACGTGGGCGAGAGATGGTGGAGGATCAGGTTTCATTGGCTGCGGAGCAGGGTGCTTTGACCATTTCAGCGCTTCCACAGACAGCCACGCCGCTTTGGGCGAGAGACTGAGAGCCGTTCAGACTGGACGTTCGGGCAGAGCTTGACGACGCCGGCTGTTCGCCGAGCTGTCATAGCTCTCAAGGCGTTTGTAAAAGGACGGCATTGCCGATACGCCTGTTCGTGGCATGTGAAGTGGCCCAACATCGCTGCCGAAGATGAGACACGGTAAGTTCGACCTGCATAATGTCGCACATCAGAAACTGCGTCAGGGACTCGAACGCCGTTCCAATAAAGAACTGATATCATGCGGGGTTTGAGGTCGAGGGCTGTAATATGTAGTAGTGGATCTGTCAGACAACACTCGATGTGGTCTCGATAACTTCACGAATGCGACATCGATTCCATTTCAGCTTGTTTGCGGAGCTCGAACACGGAGATGGTAGGGTATAAAGCTACTCAGAACGCCCACGCTATGCGATGTAAGACCAACTCAAATGGGCGATATTCTACCATCACTCTAGAGGAGTAGAAGATCAGCTTCGACCCGCATCATCCGAAGCCCATGGGTTACGCTCCTCTTCGGAGCCGCCGTCCTGACGCTCCTTCCCACTGTCGGTGCTGACATCTCTGCGCTCCCACCGGTCCGCTTCTGCATCTGCATCCTGCAGGTTATCCCCGGTTTCTTCGTCCTCATCATCGCCAACAGAGAAGGGTGCATCCAGGTTGTGCTCTTGACCCGGCGGAGGTGGTTGCCGCCGTTCCGGCTCGTAACCTTCACGCACTTCCTCCACTTGCTCCGTGCCAGGGAATGTACGTCTAGAAAGCTATGTCAGCGTGCGTGAGACATTTTTGCATTGCTCCGGAAGGACAACAGTGGTGCACGCGAAAAGCACTAGGGGACACGTGATGCGAGCGGTTGATAGAGAAAGATGAAAACTTACACGTAGTGCTTCGGCTCAGACTCATTCCAGGCTGCACCGCCCTCTTTACGCGCGCGAACCCGTTCAATCTCCTCTGCCTCGTGGTCCTCGACAACCAGGTCTACTAGCTGACTCCGGTCCGACTTGGCTGAGCTGCTCGACGATGACGTGTTTTGCCGCAGTAAGGTGCCGATGATAGGTATACGTGATTGCTTTGAGGACGAAGCTTCGCCGCTACTTTCACTATCCCGGTGCTTGCCCTTGTCGACGGACGTTTGTATGTTTTCAATTCGGCTCTTGCGCCGTCGCTTGTTGTCACGTGTCGGCTGCAGCAAGTTCCGATTCGTCGAAGTAGTGATCATATTTGGATCCTGGTATATTGCTTCTCTTGTTGCCTGATGTGCTTCGATTACCGGATACTGTGAGATGACGTCAGTAATGATACCAAAATACCTTTGACGTACACTCACATTCCAATCACCGAACTCGAGCGCTCTCGCGTTGGTGAACAGCCGTTCATCTTCGGGATCCAAAGGCGGGGCCTCTACCTCTTCATCCGTTGCCCCGTAGTCTCCCGAACCACCCGTATTGTGGTAACCCGGACTCAAGGTTCGTGCTCGGCTCGAGGCCATCTTGCTAAGGAGCGGTGTCTTGTGGTCGTGGTTTGGTTTCGGTATCCAGTATTTGCCTTTCCCGTTGCGTTCGTATCTCATGCCCTCGTCCATCCTCGCCCTGCGTGAGGAAGATTCTTCGTGCGCCAAGACGTTGTCACCCGCGTCGAAGTAGCGATACTCATATTTCCCGCCAGCAAACGTCTCCTTTGTGTCCTCTATGAGATCTCTAGGGCCAAATGCGTCTCTGAGAGCGTACTTGACCGGCATCCTAGCAGCGGAGATCGTGATATCGGCGTAATCGTGCCAGGAGAACGCATACCAGTGCGATATTGCAAACAAAGGCATCTCAAAGCAGATCAGTGCGTCCTGTATGGCAGCTGCGAGGTTATCCGGGGTATAGCCGGGCACATCATCTGGCAGCGCACCGAGCCAGACAAGGATTGACAGAAAGAAACCTTGCCAGTAGGACGCGAAGATGATGCCTTTGATGCAGAGAAACTTGGGCATTGGCCGGAACGGTTTCAGGTCCTTCGACATGCACACCCAGAACATAGCAAGAGCGTACAAGCTGATGGTGATGCTTAGATTGTACATGATACCGCTCCAGAGGTAGCCGGAAGTAAGTCCGATGTAGCCTTCCTGATATGTTCCAGTGGCCCTCATCACAATTGTGGCAACAGATAACAGAGGTTTGACCCATGTGTACTGAAGGATGCCTCTCTTCACAGCCAGAAATGTATGCGGGTCTGATATATCGACTTTTGGAAGGCAATAGTTCAGTGGCCACAGATGGGATACGGGTGCGCGGCCATGCATCAGGATGATCAGGGAACGTTCGCCGCCGATGAAGTTGATGAGGAGTTGGAAGAAGGTGTAAATAGTAAAGGCCTGGTGAGCAGTTAGCCGGCTGCTGCGCCTGAGCATAGAGCAGAGTGCTGCCCCCTCACCTCATACACATCTCGAAAGGGGTCGATCCAGAAAGCGGCTTTTAACGAAACCAGGCTTCCCCATGATGCTATCGAGTATATGGGAACCCTGCAGACAAGTTTAGACTGAGACGGCAGCTGAAGCAGGCGACCGAACGAACATCAACAGTATTCGCACCACATATCTCTGGAGAAGCGGCTTTCGGTAGTTTTTGCTGCAACACTAGATCAGCTAAGCGTCATAAAGGAAGGGCTCAATATCTTACGTTTGCAGCCAGACTGATCTGTGAGCCGCGGAGGCGAGTGTTAGCAGGCATCGTCATACGAGTTGAGAGCTACGTGGACGCACAGGATAGTGAGGAGAATGCCAATCAGTGATGCCACGCCTGCTAGGATGATGACCGCATCGCCAAACCGCGAGCCTGTCCCAACATCTGAGTTCTGGTCGCCCATATCGAGTGCGCCTGCCCTCGGAGCTCACGCTGGAGGGCGTATACGGCGCTGCCTTCAGGCTGGTAGGGAGATGGCTATCCAGCTGGTCCTGTATGCGGCTTTCAGTGGCGGGGCATCTTCATGTACTGTGCTGTTAGCAAGGTGGTAGACTGGTCAGGCAGACAAGAACCGTGGTGTTGACCTTGCTGTCGTCAGATGTCAGATGCTGCACGCCGCAGCGCACGGACCTCTTTGGAGAATGGCAGCGGCCCGCATCACCACCTGCAGGTGGACATGCAGCTTGCACCTCTGCGCCTCAGCACCTCCCTAAACTCTCGAATCCACACCTTTAAGTCAATTGACCTGGCGTTTACCTCTTCACCAAGGACTTCAGGGCGAGCTTCCGTGAGAAGGCTTGCTCGATGCGTGACGCGACCGGCATTGCACGCGTCAGCTCATGATGAAGGCGCCGCGGATACGCTTTCTGACTGACGGGTTCAATGGCGGATGAAGGCTTCACGGAAGCGCGGCTGAGGCCGGAGGGCGGGTTCAATTGGTTTGGCAACTTTGAATGCGTGGGAGACTCTTTGCTCACTCACCTCCAGGGTCTTCCTCGTCGAGCTACTCGTCAGCGGTATTCTGTAGGTGCCCAGCTACCTCGTATGTACCGTCAAGCCGCTAACCACAGCAGGACGGTCTTCTTCCTCTTCTACTTTAATCGGCTGTTTGCAACCCTGGTCTCCTATGGCATAAGAGCGTATACATGGCACAAATACCGAGCCTATATCGACATACAGGCACTTCAGATATCCCTGCTCGCTGGTCGAATCTTCTTCAAAGACCTCCGCTATCACGGCCATAACGAGACGATACTCGTCCACGGAGGCTACATAACCTGGCGTTACTGGTATCGCAATGTTCGAGAGAGCGAGCTATTCACCCACAGGAAATCTGGACCGTCGAAGGGCTCTACCAGTGAGAAGAGTACAAGCCAGAAGAGAAGCACTAGCAGAAGTTTGGACAGGGAAGAGAAAGCCGGTGACCAGGTGGACAAGCAGCTACCTTGTCGTATCAGCATCAAAATCTCGGGTTTGGAAGCTTTCCTCTACAACAGAAGCCCAGCGTATGACAGCGTTGTGGAAGCTGTTACGCGTGCGGCCAATTCCGCCTCATCTGACGATGAGAGCCGCCCCGAGGCAGAGAACGGGGAAGGTAAAAGCTCGGACATCTCGTTCGACGAAAAGCACGAGGCGGCGATCAGGCCGTCCAAGACCACCGACTCCGCCCGGTCACAGCAGACGAATGTTAGCGGCACACACAGCCATGGGAGCCAGCAACAGCAATCTTTGCAACTGCCCGCTTTCTTGCATATATTCCCCATACGCTTGTCTTGTAACAAAGGCGCAGTTGCTCTTGGAAATGAGAATACTAAATGCGTATTGACTGCAAAGTTCGACAATGCGAGCGGTGAGTTTGATGTGGGTGAGGCTGGAGAACTGGACATATACAAGCAAATATTCCATTTCAACGTCGTGCATCCAGTCGTCCACATGAGACCAAACACAGACTTCAAATCATTCCAGCTGGCCACCGCTATACGCTTGAAGCAAGAAGCTCGAGATGGGCCCTCAGCAAAACATGCCAAGGCTGCTCGATTGGCTCATCCTCGCCATAATGTCTTGCAAAAGTTACACAACTTGTCGCCGTTCTTCCGCAAATCCGTGGAATCTGTCAACCCATCCTCGCAAAAGGCCGACGACAAGACACCTTCAGCTAAACTACAGACGCCACTTCCAGGCGAAGGGAGTTGGCGAGGTTTGACAAGATACCTTGACAACAGCCAGTTTGATGAGCACGACGAGTGGGATGCCGTCGAATACGGCAAATCATCATTGATTGCTGACATAACTCGCGTAAGCTTCAGCTTCTACTGGGACATCCCTGGCCCCAAGCCACAAGAGATTGAAGGACCGACAGCTGTGGATTCACCCATCAGACCGGATGTCAACGGTGCCAGTCCGCCAGATTACGGCCTTGAACTCTACATCTATGGCGGAATCGTGAACTACGGGCCCTGGGCAGACCGCCAACGTATCAACTTCCAGTCGTTTTTCTTTCCGAGCTCCTATGTCGATGCACATCCTGCCAAACCATTAGCAGCAGGACAGACTCGAATAATCACCGTTTTCAAACTCTTCCTTACGGTCGAGGAAGAAGTCACTCTCCGTGTTCCGACTCGGGAGCCGTCCAAAGATTGGAAATGGAGAGGCCGAGCCGAGAACATGAAGGATCAGGCCAAACTAACCTCGGAGAGAGAAAAGGGCCGTGGAAGGGGCAGGATCAAGTCATTCAGAAACAGAAAGGGAGATAAGGGTTTATCTGGACCGAACGTACGGCCGTTCGGTTGGATAGATGTCAAATTCGCCCCAGACACGACCGTCAACTACACGATGGATATGGTAGCCCAGAAGGACGGCTACGCAAACACACTTGTCGCTGATGTTCGCGGCATCGACATCTATTCGAGCGTCAACCATGGGCTCTTATGGCATTCGGGCAAGATTGGCCTGGACTGCGACCTTTCCTTCCCACTCAGATGGAATGGTCTACGCCAGTGGACGTTCAACATCTCATGCAATGATTTAGAGCTTTTCCTGCTTCGGGATCATCTTTTCCTGATTACCGACATAGTGGGGGATTGGGGCTCAGGTCCTCCGTCAGAGTACTACACGTTCACACCGTTCAGATACAAGCTCAACATGAACTTCAGCAGCTTTAAAATGTACCTGAACACCAATGACTCGAACATTGTGAACGATCCGTCGGATTTGGAAGACAACAACTTCATTGTGCTTTACGGAAGAACGCTATATGCTGATCTACTCATTCCCCTGGACCGATTCCGTCCAGCTCGGAATGAAATCCGTTTCGATGTGAGAGGATATGACTTTGGCCTCGAGATGCGCATGCCCTCCAAGAACACAGTCAACACTTTTGTCAAGTCGAACAACGTTGCGACTCTCGAGGAGCTGGCTATGGACGGAAGTCACAATTATTTTACCAGTAGTTCCGCTTCTCTCACGGACACGCTCAGCATCAACATCCACGGATCCAAGTTCTCGCTGATCCTGTATGGATTCTTGGTAAGACATCTGATGAAGGTTAAAGACAACTACTTTGGGGACGATCTGCACTTCAGGACGCTTGAGGAATTCCAAAACACTCCTCGAAGAGGGTCGATCGAGGAACGTCTAGACATCTCGAAACAGGGAGCAAAGAAGTCCAATGATCTGGATGTCATTCTCTGCATTGGCGCCAACGACGCTAGCATTCTCCTTCCAGCAAACTTGTATTCTGCGGATGAGTACATCCGGGCCGACGTGCCATACGCCTTCTGTGATCTTCGCTTCACGAACTACTATATGGATCTCATGGTCGATTTCAGCCCGGCCTCCATATCAGTCAGCGACAAGCAATCAGACCAACAAGATGCAGCCAAGTCTAGCGGACGTACACAGCTGTTCATTGATCTCATTAGCATATACGGGCACCGCTTGTTTGGCCTGCCGCCTACAGAACCAACATATCTTTGCAACTACGACTTCAACGTTGGAAAGATCACCGGGGAGTCGTCAGCTCGCTTCCTCGAAACTCTACTTGGAGCCATTCAAGCATTTGCTTTTGGCCTGGACGACGATGAGAATGCGATGCCGCTCACAGAACCATTGGTCATCCACGACGTGATCTTCATCCGACTCAAAGCCGCAGGTGTTAACATCTGCCTTCGAACAGCGCTTGATGCCCTGATAATGGGCACAGGCGCCATCACCTTGGACTTTAACGATTGGGCGGGATCGACGTTCTCTCAGCGACTGAATGTGCTAGTACCCAACCTCACACTGGCATGCTTCGATCCAAAGTCGCCCTCACCAAAACGCACGGGCAGCGAAATGGTTACCGCTAAAACACACGCTTATCTGCAGACGGATATCTCGCTGCATATGCTTAAGAGGAAGCTCGGATTCAGTGAAGAACGGCAGAAGCAGCAAGCTCACCTTAACGAACATGACCAGAGAACGGATCGTACCCCTTTTCTTCTGCACGACGAGCTTGACCTCGGTATGTCGCGACCGACCCGTGCGCAGAGCAGTCTTTCTCCGCCAGCCTCAACGTATCCGGCCATTCCATCCCCCCTGCGACAGATCAATAGCGACGCGAGCTCAACAAGCCGCTCAAGCTTACGGTCAAGTCGCTCGACACGGTCTGGTAATTCAATTGCAACCTCAATCACCAGTCTATCTTCAGATAAAAACGAAGCTCGAAGGGCTGGAAGGATCGGCTACAAATCGTCGTTGCACTCCCAGTCTGACCCAAGCCTCGCAGGGAGCCTTCATGCAGGCAATTCGTCATCTTCAAGTGGTCAGTTCGGTCACAGATCTTCGTCTGAAGCGTCGAGAGAGGAGCAAAAGTATTCTCAGAGTTATAAGAGCGCAAGGGGCCGTAGAAAGCGTCAAGAGGAATCCTCTGAGGTCCTCACGAGCTCTCTAGCCCGTCCTGAATTTCCGCTGGACGGTGTGGCGTTGGATGTGAGCGATGTGCCACCTTTGACTCCACCTTCGAGGAAGGAGGTCACGTCGGTTGGCAACAGCTGGCCTGCTCTTACGGATGGCTCACGCAATACATTTGACGAGAACTTCGTCCACACAAGCTTTATCATCACCGCCGGTTCTGGTGTAAGAGCACTTTGTACTCCACAAGCAGTCGCGTCCATCGCAGTCTTAATCCAGTCTTTGCAACCGAAACACCCGGAGGACCTCCTAGATTCCTTCCAGATCGAAGTCATGTCTAAGATCTTGAGTATTCGTAATCGCATAGAGGGCAAAGGTACATCGAATCAATTCAGCTTACGCTTACCATGTGCCCACCTGCGCTTCTCGGATGACTACAGCACGATTGACGAAAGTCATTATCGATCTGAGAAAGACCAGTACGATGTCATTGTCGAGAACCTTGGTGTCGCAGCTCGGTCAAGATCTTATCCAAAGACCGAGTCGGAGACGAGTTCCTTCTCATTCCATGCTACGCTCGACTCTCTTGACGCTTCGGTCAAGGATAGCTCGCGCGAGACGAACTCTGACGATGCAGCTGTCAGGGCAAGGATTGATGACGTCCTCTTCTGGATGGTCTCTGCCGGGTCTACTTCAGTCAACGCATCTTTCAAAGGATTCGAGATTGTTACAGCAGGCAAGCGAATAGAATACCTTGCGAGACTGATCCACCACACCACTCTGTTAGCCGACGATTTACGATCTCAATTCGCAAACCTTGATGCGCAAAGTCAGTGGCGGCTGCGCTTCTTCGCATACACTTTGACCATGCTTGGTGGAGAGACCCCAGACCCGCCGTTTCTAAGCCGACCGTCATACGCTTTGCGTGCGGCAACTGACCACCTGCGTAACCACGACTCATGGAAGATCATATCGCGCTTCCGATACATCTATGACTGTTTATCTCCAGAACAGAAAGAAGATCTGGTAAACCGCTGCCTAGGCGAGTTTCCTTTCTGTCCTGCTGACGCTGAAGGCCGTGTCATCTCAAGCTGGGATCAATGGCGAACCTGGGATCTTGCCCACGTCAAGAGAAGCCTTGCAATGCGGAAATTGTACGGCTCTTGGGCTGAAGTCAACGATTTACACGAGAACAAACAGCTTCCCGTCGGATTGACGGTGAGGTCTACCGGTATCAGGCTTATACTTGACCCTGGACCGAAGCAGAGTGAGCTGTCGACGCGCATGCTAATGGTGGCGCTGTCTATGTCCCCTCCACAAGAACCATCCGGCTTGATGCTTGTCGAAAACGACGCTTCATCAAGGAAGACCACACTGCATACCAGTTCAAAGTCACTCACCTGTCAAATTAACTGGGAAGTGTGCGAACTCGTTGAGAACCTTCTGCGGCTTTTCCAGGAAGGCCAGTCCTTCAATCGCAAGCCTTCAGTGTCCACTGTAGGCTCAGTCGAGCTGGCTGAAGTGCACGAGCCGCAAGATCACGATATCCAGGTGTTTGTCACAACGGACTACGGGAGCATTGCCTTGGAGTCAATCAATTTGAGAAATACTTGGACGGTCAAGAGTTTGAAGGCGTCGGTCATCGCAACTGATCGAGCAGAATCGTCCGCAGGATTCATGCTCTCCACATTGGTCCATGCCGACTCCGCAGCTGTAGAACTGCAGTCCCACAGAAGGTTGCTGATGCACTGCCGGGCAGATGGTCCGAACGTCTATGTGTCTAAAGACAACTCTGATCAAAGCGATACGTGGCGTATCGCCGGTGCCAGCAAGAAAGTCCTCGTACAGATCAAGGAGGAGATAATCGGGCTTGTCGAAGTCAGCGACGCCGTGTTGTGCGACGAAGTTGCTTATTTCCAGCGCCGACGTGATCTGTTCGCCCAAGGCATCAATCCTGGTAACAAGCACCACACAACGCAGAGAAGCGCGCCTTCGCCAAAGCTCGACCTCGCGTTACTCATGGACGCCTATCAGATCGATGTAGCAATATTCCAGTCCATGAGCTACTCCATATCTGGAGAGCTGGGCCGGCTGTCAGCAGTACCCGTTCTAGGTCATGAATGGGCCTTGAACCTCAACTACGATCTCTCTAGCAGCATCCACCACTTACGCAGCAACACCAGTCAGCGTTCACAGAACATTGCAGAATTAGGCATGCCTCCGTTTAACGGTGTGGTGCAGCTGACACATTCCGGTGAACAAACAGTCGTGGGTGTCTCCATGATCATCGAGCGCATTAACTTGGATGCTCATGCCTTACACGGACTCCTGACCGCAGCGCAATCACCGGAAGGCTCAAGTGCGATCCGAGCCATTCAAGACGACGTAAATGTATTCAAAACACATTTGGCCGAAGTCTTTCCCAAGGACGTTGCTCACTCGTCGAGGCAAAGCGAGGAGCCAAGCAAGTCGCCACTTGCATTCGATGCCAGCATCATCTTTGCGGGACTGTGCGTCTCAGCTACCGCCCCCGGTTCTCAGTCAGACTCGTCAAAGGTGAAAATGGTCTTCGAGCTTAGTCCCGTGAAGATCAAAGCAACGAACGTGTCTCTCCTCGACCGTTTGGTACTCCCAATGCCAGAGATCATTGTACAGCTGCAACAGATGACCATGGAACTGAAGCTGTTCGACAATAGGGTGTCCCAGCGATGCGGCAATGTTACATTCGGCGTTGGTGTCCAATGCTTATCATATCAGGACGACTCTGGTCAGTTCAAACGTGATTATCGCGTCCAGAGTTCAGCGCTGGAAGTCAATCTGTTTCCGGACACCGCGTCAGCCGTCGTGGATGTGATTAACCACCTGCAGAACCGTCTCAGCGGTCTTGACTTATCGAAAGAGAAGAAGTATCTACGTCGCCTTCGGCAACCGCGACGACTTACTTCGACGTTGGAGAACTCCACGGCTGACAGCGCACAGCAGGCGAATGAGATTGATTCCGCTGCATTATTCGATGCTGCCTTCTCGATGGAATTGCCAGACATTCAAATCAGCTACATTGTTGGCAACTCCGCTCCAGCATTTCCAGGTCATGAGGTCGAAGACCTTGTGTTGTCGTTCAGGCGCATTGGTTTATCATCCAAGAAAGAAAACGCCGCACGACTCACCATCGAAGACCTGCAACTGCAAATGGTTCCAGCCTCACAAAGCAAGAGGCAACGCTCGCCGAACTCGGCACTCCTTCCTGAAGTGGTTTTCAACGTAGCGTACAGCTCCACCCAGCAAGATCGTCAATACACTTTCCATGCTGGCGGCAAGTCTCTGGATGTTCGGCTGGAGTCAAAATTCCTCTTGTCTGCGAATGTATTGCAGCAGTCAATGAAACTCGCGAACAAGGAGCTTCGTGCAGTTACTGCTGGCTGGAAGAAGGCACCGAGCGACGGTGGTGTTCAACGGTCGACCTTGTTCGCCAACAAGAAGTTATCCTCTCTCCTCGTCGATGCGGACTTTGCAGGAGCTGTTGTGTATTTGCACGGAAGCAGTAGCAACAATCGTGGTAGCACGAAAGCCGACATGTCTCATCGTAGCCGCTTGTCGCAGCGCGGGCGTTATGGACAATTCTCGGCTGATGATTCCACACCCAGCACCGCACTCAGAGCCCCCAGCATTGCTCTGAAGGTCCAGTACAAGGGCAACGTGGCGGAGCCGACCCTACATGTGGAGCTCAAGATTGATGCATCCACGAATACGCTCCATCCTACTGTCGTGCCTCTGATTGTGGACATATCCAACTGTATCAAGGAGATAGTCCAGGATGGCGACGGAGTTGAGAAGGAACCAGAGCCCAAATCGAGCTCTAAGTCCTCGGACGAGGAGAGCTTGGTCACAGCAGATCCAAGTGCATTATTGGGGAAGACGAGACTCAATTTTGGTTTCCGGATCTGCAGACAAGAGTTCAGCCTTAGCTGCCAACCTATCGCTCGAGTCGCCGCAACTGCGTGTATCGAAGACATCTACGTAACGGCCAACACTATCAGATCAACTGAGCATGGCCACTTCTTTGCACTCTCAGCGACATTCGACAAACTGCAAGCCTCCGTACAACACGACTACTCAAGGGAGTCGACGTTCAGTTTCGATGTTGAATCTGTAGTGCTGTCGCTAATGAACAGCAAACATCTCAGCGGCACCAGCGGTATCTCGGCTATCCTCAAGATCGATCCCATGCGCACTCACATCAATGCCAGGCAGTTGCAGGATTTCCTGCTCTTCCGAGAAATATGGTTGCCACCAGAGATACGGAAGGGACCGAGAGCGGACCTACCTTCAGCGAGCACGGAACCTCAAGAATACTTTGTGCAGCGGTATCAGCAAGTCGCCTCAGCCGCCGCCTTCCCATGGAACGCCACGATTCTCATTGCGGAGATAGCCATCGATCTGGACCTTGGACAGTCCATTGGCAAGTCTAGCTTGATCGTCACCAATCTGTGGGCGTCTTCCAAGAAGAGCTCGGACTCCGAACAGAACCTCTGTATAGGCGTTCAGGGCCTGGCAATCAACAGCAACGGTAGGATGAGCGGCTTTGTGGACCTGGATGGCTTCAAAGTTCGTACGTCAATCCGCTGGCCCTCACAAGCAGAGAGCTCTCGCAAATCACCCCTCGTCCAGGCAGCTGTCGGATTTACGAGGTTGCGTGTCAAAGTCGCTTTCGACTTCCAAGCTTTTGTCATCGCAGACATTTCAAGTTTCAACTTTCTCATGCACAACGTGCGTGTGGATCAGGAAACTGCCAAGGATCGACTGGTTGCAATCTTGGACGGCGAGAAAGTGCAGATATTCTGTACAGCCACAAGCGCCGCTCAGGGATACGCGCTATATCAGGCCCTGGAGCGCTTGATACAGGAGAACGAGATGGCTTACAAGCAGTCGCTGAAGGACATCGAGAAGTTCCTTCGCCGCAGCTCCACAACCGCGACAAGCCGGCCGTCTCTCGCTCTCCCCTCACTGAAACAGAAGGGTGAATCGCTCAAGGCTCCTATCTCTCTCCATACCGACGTCGTCGTTACTCTACAGCACATCAACTTCGGCGCCTTCCCAAGCACCTTCTCCGACCACCAAATCCTCAGCCTCGAAGCGCACGACGTACAAGCCCGTTTTGCCGTAGCACTCGAACGCCACAAAATTCATAGCGGACTCGGAATGACGCTCGGCCAGCTCAGTCTCGCCCTCGCCGCAGTCTCCCAGCCCAAAGCACCCAAGACCCTCGGCGAAGTCAGCCTCGAGGAAGTGGTCCGCAGTGCAACAACCGCGAGAGGCGGCACCATTCTCCGCGTCCCAAAAGTCATCGCTACGATGCAGACATGGCAGGAACCCGACTCGAACCACATCGACTACACTTTCAAGAGCGCCTTCGAGGGCAAAGTCGACGTCGGCTGGAACTACTCCCGCATCAGCTTCATCCGCACCATGCACAACACGCACACGCGCACGCTCGCCTCACGGCTAGGACGGCAGCTGCCGGAGTCGGCGGTCAAGATCGCTGGGCTGCCTGATGCGGACGATGCGGATGGCGGAAGCCTCGAGAAGAAGGCGAGCCCCGAGAAGGAGAAGATTACCGCGGTGGTCAATGTGCCGCAGAGCAAGTACAACTATACCGCGCTGGAGACGCCCATTATTGAGACGCCGCAGCTGAGGGATATGGGCGAGGCGACGCCGCCGTTGGAGTGGATCGGGTTGCATAGAGAGAGGTTGCCGAATGTTACGCATCAGATTGTTATTGTTACGCTGCTGGAACTGGCGAAGGAGGTTGAGGATGCTTATTCTAGGATTCTGGGATCTTCGTAACATGGCGTTTATCCTGTCTTGGGGTGGCTGGTGGCTGGTGGGCTATGTCTGTTCGGCGTTTCGGTGTACTAGGTACAATTTGGGTTTCCGGGCGCCTGGCGCATCGCTCTGCACAGTATTGTAAGTTCATTGTATATACACGTAATATACCCCGAAGACACGGAGCATCTTAGAATCATATGACATTCATCTCGGAGCAAACCCAACCAGCCCAATATTCGGAGAATTGCACAAACCCTTCCCGTTTCGACCAAGCCGCACACGGCTTGGACCTCCCGTCCCGCTGCAATCCAATACTCCGGGGTTCGGCGCCAAGTGCGCGTCACTGCAGCATCAGTCCCTCAGAGCAGCCCGCCCAGCCAGCATGAAGCTCTCATGCAGGCGGGGATCCATTTTCCATGCTCGAAGAGTGTCCCTCGCCGGCCTTTTCCAGCTTCGCCGCACCCATTGCTTGCCGATTGCTTGTCAATTGGACCTCTCTCTGAGCTGTGCCCACAATGGCAGCCTCAGCAGCTTTAAAAGCCCGCGTCCCACGGCAAAGCTACCTGAAGAAGCTCGCAAAAGCTGAAGACCTGATCGATTACTTCCCGCATGGCTCGTACATCGGATGGTCAGGTTTCACCGGCGTTGGCTATCCTAAGTAAAGCTCCATTGTCTAGCCAGCGCGTCCAATAATCAGAAGTATTTATCTGACTCGACCCTAAGAAAAATTCCCACCGCCCTAGCCGAGCATGTTGAACGCAACAACCTTCAAGGAAAGCTCAAATACAACCTCTTCGTCGGCGCCTCCTCCGGCGCGGAAACGGAGAACAGATGGGCGCGCAACAACATGATCGAGCGGCGGGCTCCCCATCAGGTGGGCAAGGAGATTGCGAGGGGCATCAACAATGGCAACATCAAGTTCTTCGATAAGCATCTCAGCATGTTTCCTGTGGACTTGATGTATGGCTACTATACCATGCACAAGGAGAACAATCGCCTGGATGTGGCCATCGTGGAGGCCAGTGCTATTACGGAGGATGGCGGGATAGTGCCTGGCGCATCTGTGGGAGCAAGTCCAGAGATCATCCAAATGGCTGAGAAGGCGAGTTGCTACAAGCACTTACTCAGTAACTCAAGGCTAATGGCCGGGCAGATCATCATCGAGGTCAACACTGCAACGCCGTCGTTCTACGGACTCCACGATATCACTATGACGGATCTGCCTCCTCGCCGGAAGCCGTACCTTATCATGTCGCCAGAAGACCGCATTGGGACACCTTACATTCCTGTGGACCCAGATAGAGTGGTTGCGATCATCGAGTCCGATTATCCGGATCAGACGCAACCCAATGCGCCTGAAGACGAAAGCTCCCGAGCCATTGCGGGCAACTTGATCGAGTTTCTGCAGCATGAGGTCAAGCACGGACGACTACCCGACAACCTTCTGCCCATCCAGTCAGGTATCGGCAACATCGCTAATGCCGTTGTCGGCGGTCTTGCTGTGCGTGCTTCGTTTCCAATCTTTCTAGCGAACCATGCACTGACAGTATCTTCAGTCCGGCGGCGCAAACTTCAAGAACCTCCGCGTGTGGACCGAAGTCCTCCAAGACAGCTTCCTCGACCTCTTCGACAGCGGCAACCTCGACTTCGCGACCGCAACCAGCATCCGCTTCTCGCCCGACGGCTTCAAGCGCTTCTACGACGGCTGGACTGACTACGCCCCCAAGCTGCTCCTGCGCTCGCAGCAGGTGTCCAACTCGCCTGAGATCATCCGGCGGCTGGGCGTCATCGGCATGAATACGCCTGTGGAAGTCGACATCTACGCCCACGCGAACAGCACGTGCGTCATGGGAAGTCGAATGCTGAATGGACTGGGCGGTTCGGCGGACTTTTTGAGGAGCGCGAAGTATAGCATTATGCATACGCCAAGTACGCGGCCGAGCAAGACGGATCCGACGGGTGTGAGTTGTATTGTGCCCATGTGTACGCATGTTGATCAGACGGAACATGATTTGGATGTTATTGTTACTGAGCAGGTACCGTCCCAACCCTCTCTCTGCCTTGCCACAGGTGTGTTACTTGGACGCTGAACCTCTCACAGGGGCTTGCCGACGTCCGCGGCCTCTCACCCAAGGAGCGAGCGAGGGTGATCATCGACAAGTGCTCACATCCTGACTACAAGCCTATCCTGCAGGACTACTTCGACAAGGCGGAGTATGAGTGTATGAAGAAGGGCTGGGGGCATGAGCCGCACTTGCTGTGGAATGCGTTTGATATGCACAAGAATTTGAATGAGAACGGGACGATGAAGATTGATAAGTGGGCGTAGGAGTAATTGAGTACTCGAGCACTCTGAACCGGGATTTATGCGGTATGGGTTATGAGCTGCAACGGGCAAGAGATTTTTGTTTGGCTTGTTCGCGGAAGGAGACTGAGCCGCTTTAGAGGAAGACATGCAAGGAATTTTAGCGCCACCACGGAGATCAAAATCCTTGCCATGGTCCTATGCCAACGTGCGAGATCTACCTTACTGTTCAACTTACTCAAGCTCTTGCAGGGGGTTTTTTCTTGAAGCCGGCTATTGAACAATAAAAGTCTATGCAGCTGGGATTCCTTGCAGTGTTCACTTCGACAATGGGCGAGCATCGTCTTGCATGCCACTGCATCTCGGGTTTGATACAATGAGGCCAGCCGGGGGATGAACATATTCTAACGCAAGCGATCTGATCACCGGTGGAACTAGCCTCAGGCGGAGCACATAGAACAGGAAACTTACCAATGTTTGTCTGTGTTGTGCTTGGACAGTCTCAGTACCTACTGATAGTCTTGTCATTGAGTATCTATCTTGTGTGCGGACGCTCCCCGGCTTGCGCTATACTGATATACTCATGAGGTCAGTGAGCAGTCGAAAGTAGCTCTACTGGCGTCAGTTCTACGAGATAGCAGAAGGCAGTCTGGATTACTGTCGGTCTCAAAATGTGCGGCCGTTTGGAAAATGAACTTCATCCACCCCACCCCCCCCTCGGTCGTCAAAGGCTAAAACCACATTTGCACAACGATCCAACACTTAGGATATAACTTAATACTCTTAAAAGGTGCAGCACAGCTATAGCTATTATCTTAGAAATTTAATAATCTACTAAGTATTAAATCGTTGTGTAAACGTGGTTTTAGTCTTTGACAATTGAGGGGGGAGGGGTGGTTGAAGTTCATTTCCAAACGGCCGCACATTTTGAAAACAGCAGTAAGCATAGCGTGTTGAGCCTTCTGCACCTCAGCGGCTTCCGGACACCAATCAGGATCACAAGTTGGGAGAACCCACTGCCTCGATAGCGCAAGGTTTCACCGGGATTGCCGCCTTGCCGGACTTGTGTCGCGTGGCTGAACGGGGGGCCGACATAGCCGTGCCGGTGGAGCGGCACGGCTAGTCAATCCGAACGCTTCTCCAAAACCCCGAGATCGTCCTTCGATCAAAGTGTCCTCGTCATATTGCATCCTCCACTCATGTACGAAGGACGAATCTGCGCAGTCGAGCTCTCGCTAATCATGTCTCAAATCCGGATCACTGAGCCGAGGATGGCGACACAGCTACCATCACGAGAAGTTGGTAGCAGTTGTCAAACGTAACAACGATCAGCATCCTTCTGGCTGACACCTGTGAGGACGAAGGCTCGCTGAAACTGGTTGGTAAACGATGCAAGCGACCCGACCGCTGGTGCAGCCTTTCACGTAGCAGACGGCTTCCAGAGATGCTGATGCTGGCAAGCCGCTGTGCCAGAGTTTTCGATTATGCATTTCATGGCTGGATAACGAAAGTGACTGCACGGCAGCATCGGCGCAAGTGGGTGGTGGGGACACTGACGGGTTATCCAAAATACTGTGGAGACAGGGTCGCTGTCGTTGCTGCTCGCATCCGAGCAAAGGGGCTCACGACGGCTATGTGCGAAATAGACGGGAAGCTTCGGTGGTGCTGAGCTGTGTGCAGCACTATATAGGTTGCTAGCTGTGATCGCTGGTGAAGAGTAGCTGAAGTGCAAAGAAGCACTTCTGATCATACGTGGTTGGGAGGGTCACTGAGTGAGATTCGTACACATAACGAATAATTTGCTCCGGAGCACCGGAACCGTTTGCCTCGTCTACGGTCTCTTAGCATGGCATAGCGACACGATTCGCGGACAATAAACAAGGCAAATTTCAGCTGCCAGTCTGACAGACAGCGCTTCCTCGTTTGCGTCGCGCGGTCCGCGGACTATGGCTCGAGGGGTAGAGCTTGTAATATACCTTACTAGTCAGCGTGCTTTGTTACAGTACCTCTTTAGGTAAGGTAGACGAGCGGTGTCCCTCATTCCACTTTACCGAATTTGCTGTTAAGTAACAGCTACATACAGTGGAAGGCAACCGCAACTGCGCGGTTCGTGGCGGTGCGCGTCATAGATGGCCGTCATTGCGGATCGTATGGGATTGTGGCTGATTGTGGCTGTGCAGTGATCCCTTAGCGTAGCAGCAGATTGCATCGCGAACGGGCCTCATGGTAGAAATCTGTTAGGGTAGAAACTTAACGCACTCCACGTCAAACATAAGATGCTCGCTTCCCAGTTAGTGTCGGTGAATATCTTGAAGCAACGTCCTCCTCACTTCTGAGATTGTGTTTCCGTGCGACTGGCAGGTCTTTATCGATATTCAAAGAATACACATCCTTAGATTAGGGCTGTTTAAAGGAACCTTACCCGGGCTCCGCTTCATTTCAGCCTACGCAAGACCTGTTGGACGGCAAATAACGCTCCTGAGGTCTTCAACCTGTTCGTACCACAGCTTGCTGATCGCTAGCCATTCGTGGCATTTAGCACAGCGACAAAATAGAGCGCGCCGAGGCTTCGGAAACGACTGGGAGACGCAAACGATTGATAGGGTCTAGAGGTTGCTCACTGTGCCGTTGTTTTCGACCGTTGCTTTCATGTTTAGAGGATACTCGCTTGATAGCTTATACCGTAGGTGTAATCTCAGATCCCTGTACCCAACAGCTTTACAATGTCCAAGACAGCTTACCGCGAGTGATTCCGGCTAATATGGTGTGTTTATTTATTAGACCGCTCAACCACCCTTAAAAAAGCCACTCTTCATAAGTTTAACTCAAGCAAAGCTCTGCCAGCCGCCCCGATGCCGCCAGTGCTGGATCAAGGCTTGACGAACAAAGACCGCTTCGAGATCGCATTTGGTGTTCTTGCATTTCTGCTCGCTAGCGTCTCCATCATTCTCGGCCTCGCGACATGGCATTTGCACCGGCAGTCAATAGCACGAAGAAGTATGTATATCAGCTCGGTCCACTATGGCCGTGTCAAGCGACGGATGGCTAAGATGACATAGATGTCTACGAGCTTGCCTAGGTTTCGCGGGGCACGACAAACTCGGTAGCAACGGTTTGTGACGGGCTTCCCGCCGCGCCGCCCCACCGGGATGCTCCGCGTGGCTGATTGGCGGCTATACCTTGTCCAGCTTAGCGGAATCTACCCTTTGACCTGGAACTGGAATCACGAAGATGATGTCGACCACGCTTTTCGGAATCTTGACGGCGATTGTGGGCAAAATTGTTCTCCTTATGTTGAATGTCTCGCCTAAATGTCTTTTTCGTTCCCTTACACCGACTTTTCGAAGTTGCTGAGTGATGGCCATTGTGTTTTCGATCATCTTTCAAGGATCTACGAGACTTTAAATACCTGTATGGATGATTGTATTTTTGGATGCAATCTGCTCGAACCTCAGGATTCTGGTCATCAGAGAAGAGTACAATTATGGTCTACGCTCGCAGTTGTGCAGAGATCCAGCTAGATCTCAGAGCCGAAATATCCATCCTCATGAGCTACGCCAAACTCCATGCGTGAGGCCTTTACAATTCCCAAGAACCCATGGCATCCTTCACAGTAGCCGCTTTCTCCTTCTCCAACGGTCCGAAATATTCCTTGAACGCTTTCGCTAGTATCTTATCACTCAGCTCCATATGCGCACCCGGCGCGTCCTCAAAAATCAAGCCCTTCTTCTCATCCAACCTCTTCAGCCCCAGCCAATCCTCCATATACATTGTCCTATTCCTCAACGGCGTCACCTCCTTACTCGTCTTGTTAACCTCCGCGAACCACCCACTCTCCTTCGGAATCACCGTAACGTCCTTCTCAAACACATACATCACAAACTTCTCCAAGCTGGCCAAATTCACCGCATACGTCTCATTCCTCTCCTCCCGCTCATTATTCACATCCGCCAAAAAGTTCGAATGCGCCAGATACTCCTCCGTCGGCTCCCCAGTTGAGACATTAACCGAGCGGTAATACTGCGCAGGCACGACCCGGCTCTGCACAAGCCCCGTCCACGTGTTCGTCCGCAGCAGCCCCATCGCGCCCTTGCATAGCCAGTCCGTCGCGCCACATGCCTGGAAATCTGCGATGCCGTTGTGCTGCGCGCCGAAGGTCACGAGGCTGCGCACCGGCGGGTTGTTGCAGCGCTCAACATAGGCGCGCAGGAACTGGCCGCCTTGGGAGAAGCCGAGGGCGTCAACCGCCGGCGCGGTAGAGAGGATAGGGTGTGCGGCGAGGTCGGCGCAGACTTGGGCGATTTGGAGGGTCAGGTTGCCGATGAAGGTGGCGGTGCGGTCGGAGGAGGGATCTTCATTGAGGCGGATGTTGTAGACGAAGGTTCCGGGGTGGATCTGTTCAGCGAGCTCGCCAACCTCCTTTAGGCCATCGGCGGCGTAGTTGTCGCCCAGGCCGTGCCATATGATCAGGGGGAGGGGCGTGTCGTCGGAGGAGAGGGTAGTGGGAGCTGGTAGGGCGGTGGTGAGAAGGGGGAGGGACAGGGCGAGAAGAGTTGGAACGAGCATTGTTAAGTCGCAGGGTGAGGGTAAGAGCTGCGAGAGAGCCTGCGAAGAGATGATCTCCTGGCACTTGAAGGGACGGCGAGATGGCTGGCGTGGCTAAGGTGGCTGAGTGATTGGGCCGAGATTACGCTAACCCGTATAAAGCAAAGCACTGATCTGCGGCACGTTGCGTCCGCATTGGCGTGCCGAGATTTGACATTTTAGCCTTACCCGGGTTTCTGGAAGACGGGAGACCTACGGACACCTGCATTGCACAACAACACGATAACTGCACTGCAAGTTACGGGGTGTCATGCTGAACTACCTTTCGACCCTCTCAAAATCCAGTGGATCGTGGCCGAGGTTGGCTGCTGGCTCATCGCGCCTAAGGTGATACTCCATTCGAAGTTTACCAAACCGACCCGACTATGCGCACGAAGAGTGACCGCTTATCCAAGAGCACCGTATCAAATCCAACGGTGTGACCATCACGTCAAGTAGGATGCTCCTTCCCGCAAGCTTGATGGTTGAGGATCACGCTCGAAGGCCAAGGATACTTTTTTCTCAGATGCATGGTCACTACTCTTATCTGAGCCAACCAGCTAGCGGGGTGTGTATAGCGAGAAGAAGTCCGCAAGGGTTCGCTTCACAACTCTACAGTCTGGAGACTACACGGCGTGGTAAATGCAGACTCTGCTCTCACTTTAGCAGATCATCCAGACAGCGGACGAAGAAGTTCAAGAGACCGAAGCATTGGCTGCGTAATAAGTTTGTTTTGTGGTATAAATATGTGACTGCATCGCTCATCTAAAAGCGAGTCACGCTTGGTCCCGGCCCTATTCGAAGGTAGCTGGCGCGCTACTGTTCCGCAACGCCATCAACGCCTTGCAATGCTCAACAGCGAAGAAGACTGAGGCCATCCATGCTCGGTATAGCCCAGTGGAACCCCTTTGGTACAACATCAGGCGACAATAGCAGCCTTGCTCTTCTTGTTCTTCTTCGCCTTGACTCCATCAGCAGGTTGCACAGCACCAGCCTCGACAATGGCGTCTTCCTTCTGCTTCCTCAGCTTCTCCTTTCGAAGCGCGATCTCCTTGGCAAGATCATCATCGCCCGACTGCTTGCTCTTCTTCTTCGGCTTCTCAGCATCCACCTCCTCCACCGCATCCATCGATTTCCTTTTCTTGTTCTTCTTCTCCTTGCCCCCCTCGATCATCTTCGGCTCCTCCGCCTCCTTCGGCGCCCACTTCTTCTCCAACACGTCCGCCTCATCCTCCCACAGCTCATCCGCCAGCCAAACCGGCAGCGCCATCGTGTTTGGACCTTTGATATGTATCGCCCTGACGCCCCTCATCCCCTTCGGTATGATCTTGACCAACCCATCCACCACCGCTTCCACATTTTGCACCACCTTCTCCGGCGTCCAGCTCGCCAACCCAACCCTCACAGCCGTCGTCGTCGACGGCGAAAGATGCACCAGCGCCGCCGAGAGCGTCTTCTCAATCTCCCTCGCCACGTCCTTCGGCTCGCCAACCAAGCCCACCCCACCCGGCAGCGGCCTGCCCTTCGAGTCCTGCCTCTTCTCCACTGGGCGTCGACCCTCGGCGTTCTTAGGCGGCGGCTTCGCATTGCCGGTCAGGGAGACAGGTATGGGTCGCTTCGCGGTTGTGCCGTAGAAGACCTTGCCGAGGACTTTGGGGAGGAAGGTGATGACGCGGTCGTCGGCGAGGAAGATGTCGTATTCGCCGAAGAGCTGGCGCCGGCTTTCGTAGGATTTATACTTTGATTTTAGCTTGCTGATGTCGATCACGCGGTTTATGCGGGCGGAGAGGGTGGTGGGGAAGGAGGGGTGGGCGATTAGGTCTTTGTAGGTTCGTTGGGGTGAGGCGGTTCTGGGGGCGCATGTTAGCTTCTGGCCTGTGGTACGGAGTTCGCGATAGCTTACATCAGACATATCCGACTCGTGGGAGAGTTGTGTAGGCTGTGGGGAATCGGACTGCGACTGTCAGCATGTGCTCAGGGTGGTTCAAGGATGCGAGCGTACATCGCCTTAGGTTTGAGCCGCTACACACTCTGTTAGTAAGTGGGCAATGTAACCTCTGGGTATTCACCGCCAACCTTCTGGTCCGTTATATGCTTCTTAGTCGTCACGCTCAGCCAGATTGGTACTTCGTCCTCTTCTCCTGCTTCTTCATCGGAGCCGGTATTGTCGTTCGCGAGTAAGTTCCTCTTGGTGGACTGCTCGTCCGTTCGCTTCGTCTCGGTACTGATGTGCTTGAGAAGTGCTTGGGCTGCGCGCAACGTCTGGTTAGTGTCCAGCTGGTATGGGGTGCCGGACTGCGGCTTGGTAGTAAGGGCGGAGGATGCGGGAGCCATTATAGGGGCTTCGGCCGTCGGGGCACTCGTTGTACCTAGGTGGCCTCTGTTTGAGCCGTGGATTTCAGTATTGTAACTGGCGCGTCGTTTAGGGAACCTGAAACTACGGCGCAGCTTGAGATCTATATCACCGAAAATTTCTGGAGTTCGAGGTTGGCGCCAAGATTTCGTGACCGGCTTGGTTCATTGGTTCGCTTAGTCTCAGCCCCGGTCAAGCCCCAGATCATCTCACGTCGCATCTGCGCGTCCGCGAGTGGTCACCAAAACGCGGTGAACAGCCTCAGCCATTACCTGTCGTATCGGCGCGTCAAATCTATCTCGACCTCTCACTAGGAAGATGGCATCCTATCGAGCGCGGAAACGATTGATGAGAATGTATTGAACGCCCTTGAGCAGCCGGAACTTACATGAGCAACCCGTATGCCATACTGTCGTCTTCTGGCCTTAAGAATCTACCTAGGTACAATGCTTTCTGCGGCAGGGTATTGTTCGACACTTGCATCACCGGCATATCATCTTGCATCGGTCGTCGTTGTTCTTCTGGCTGATTGCAGGAGAAAGCGGAGGAGATGCCTCTTTACTGGTATATGTACGAGAACGAGAAAGTCACAGTCACGGCGCGTAAGAAGGCGGCCCACTAGACGCGCTCAGCGTGGGGAAAGCGATGTCGTGAAAGCCGTGTTGCGGAAGGCTGGGCTTGACTCGGAAGCACCCGAGGTGGATAACTGTGCTATGCAAACATCTGCTCAGGATGCCTGAGGATTGCATGTCGGTCTCTCGCAAGAGATCCTGATATAATGCGTGTATCTGAGTATTCCTACAGATTCCCTGCAAGTACCTTAATGTGAAGGGACTTCGTGCATCGTTCAAGTGGTTGAAACATGTGCGCTCGGATTGTGGTGCACATCTAATGCCGCGGCCGTGCTTTATGCCGCTTGCAAGTTCCTTGGTGGAGTTGCTTCACCCAAAAGCGTGTCTCGCGTACCGCGACGCCCGCCAGACATTCCTACATGTTCAGCCCGGCCTGCTCAGACGTGACCTCTCCTCCCCCCAATTGACCTCGCGTGTCCTCCATCTCGACCTGTATCTTATGCTTGTCTAGTAGTTCCTTCAGTAAACTCGATATACCAGCTTAGATTCGGCCACTGCCTCAGGCGTCGAGGCATCTGCGGGACACCTCGCGTTCTAGTCCAAGCAGAAAGGAACGCTCTACATCGCGTCTTCAGACCGTCTTCCAGCCGGGATGGACTCTCCACCACACAGAGAAGCCGCTCAATTCTCTGTCACGTCTCCAGCGCGACCGAGCATGACGCGGCAGCCGTCGCTCCTACCCGCGTTCGAACCGCTCTCCTCCTCCCCACTGCCCCGACCTTCGAAACGCAAGTATGCCGAACATGCTGAGCTACCGAAAGCACAACTCAAGTACTACCCTACTCCGGTCCCGACATCCTCAACCGGTATGCTTCCGTCCTCGCCGCCAGCGCGTCCGGCGCTCGAGCGGACCATGTCCACGCTCTCCGAACGCACCCCGCTATCCGCGCTTCCTACCATCGATCTCCCCCTCGACGGCGAACCCGTGCTCATGGGACGGTCAAGCAACTCGTCCCACCATCAACTATCCGCTAGCCGTCTGATATCACGCGTCCATGTCCGTGCGTCCTATATCGCCCCAAGCGCCAGCCATACCTCCGGAGAAGTCGTAATAGAATGCCTAGGCTGGAATGGCTGCAAAGTGCACTGCCGAAGTCAGGTGTACCAGCTTGCGAAAGGGGATACGTTCTCGTCAGACAAACCCTCGGTGGAGATCATGCTGGATGTGCAGGATGCTCGCGTGCTGATCGCGTGGCCATTTGGAGAGCGGCAGGCTTCAGTGGTCTCGACTCGCTCGGAGTTGACCCAAATCGAGGATATGTCCCCATCGCGTCGTGCCGCAGGGAAGGGTCGTTACGCGTCAAGTCCCCCGCTCATGAATCCGCGTTCGTCTCCATCATTGTCGCCTATTAGACAGCCCGCCTTTACCGAGCTTGGAACCTTCATTGCAGCTGACGAGGAAGAAAATGTGGACCATAATGCCGTGCAGGTATACGAAGATCGTGCCTCAGCCGAGCCGGTAGCCGCAGCGGACGATACGGCGGACTCTTCCCAGCTCTCTCAGACTTACCCAGACCCAAGCCAAGACGTGTCAAGAACCTCTCAAGCCAGCAGTCTCTCCTCTCTAGCCTCCGATGACTTCTCAGACCGCGACGAGGAGAACGACCCCATCATCCACTCCTTCTACAACGCCGGCGACAACCTGCTGCCGCGCATGTCGTCGATAACCGCCAGCAGCAGCATTCTGAAATCACCTGAACAGCCCCCTCCGCAACGTCGGCGAAAACCGCTGAGAGCAGCTTCTCCCCATCTGAAGTCTATTCCGGAAAGCCTGTCGCGCCAACTAAACGACTCGCCCATTAAGAACCACGTGATCAATCAGCTCGCTTTCTCCCGCTTGCACTCCCAGCCCCTGTCCACAATCCTCGGCAATCTACCAGCAGAGATGAAAGGCGAGAGATCACTAGCCGATAGCGCAGCTACGCTGACCGAAAAGACGTTTACTCAGCCCGACGACGCCACGCTGACCGGCGCAGAGCTAAAGCGGATTCTGGACAGCATCCCCTGCGTCGGCGAGATCAGCCGCGAGGGCAAAGACGCGGCGGGGAAACCGTTGGAGAACGAGTTTTATTATATCCCGGAGATCGACGCAGATGAGATGAGGAGGGAGACTGTTGTCAATAGTATGGGTAGGACGAGTATACGGGCGGCCAGGAAGCAGCACAAGGTAAGGACTGACGAATGCGAATTCAATCTTTGTGCAGACGTGCTGACTTGGTGTTGTAGCAATACTACTGGAAGAAACCGAGGCACTAGTGCCACTGCGACAGCCTTTCGGGATTAAAATCGGCCGAGTACTGTCCTGCAAGACGCTTCATCAATCTCTCTCAGCAGTATACGATCCGTTCTACGAACTTCCTCATGTTCACGCATGCGTTCCCGACCGCGCATCTGACCGTATGCCTCGTGCAGCGTCCGGCCTATCTGGATTACCTTCTTTGTTCATTACTTGCATAGCGAAGGAGCGAGTTCGATACCATTCTGTTTTCCCTTCTTTCCCTTTCCTTCCACTACATCCATCCTTGCTCGTCGCTTGCTCTTGCCTTGATTGGCTACATGGCACTATTGCTGTTTCTCACTTGCTTGCGAAACATCGTTGCATTGTCCGCACACATTTGCTGAACCGGTGGACTTGTATGAGGGGCTGCTGTGTTGAACCTTCAAGGGGTACAAGGGTACAAGGGTACAAGGCAGTAACAAAAGCTGGACAAAATGCAATTCCATCATTCTGAACTTCATAATAAACACACGATGCGTGACGTCATTGCTATAAATCACGAAGTCACATGACCATTCCCGAATCTGCTGGTGGCGAGATTGATGTGCTGAGCCATGTGCAACACTGTTCTCTGAAGACTTTCAAAGATGTCTTTCGTTGTAGGTATGAGCTGTGGTATTCAGAGAGCTAAGCTACTAAGCTATAGCTCCGATCCACCGCCCAAAAATACAATGCAGCAAAAGAACCCCTTCCCCAACACCTCCTGATAGTCGAGTCGCCTACTTTAGCTTCTTCTTCGGGCGGAGCTGGTTGCTGTGGCCGCACTTCTTCTTGCGGCAGTTGGTTGCTCGCGGCGGCAGGCGTGCCTGGAAAGCCAGAGAATTAGCATTCACACATAGAGAGGCAATCGCGCAGAGCAATGGTGTTGAGCGGCTGGATCGACGAGGCTGGCGGTGGCGCAGCTAGTAGTGAAGGGACATGACGTACGTAGCACTTCCGGCAGATCATCTTGTCGCAGTTGTACTTGGAAGCCAGAGCCTTGAGAGACGGCTCGATGATACCGCCACGGAGACGGAGGACGAGATGGAGAGTCGATTCCTGTGAGCAGCATCCGCGTTAGCCTCGGTATTCAACGATTCCTTGACGTATCGCTCGGGCGAAGCCATTCCATGCCAGGATCTTCGATATCTCCAAACTCCAACCTGAAGAAGAACAGCTCCACCGGTGGCGAGGACAACTGTACCTTCTGAATGTTGTAGTCGCTCAGCGTCCGGCCATCCTCCAACTGCTTGCCGGCGAAGATCAACCGCTGCTGGTCTGGCGGAATGCCCTCCTTGTCCTGGATCTTGGACTTGACATTGTCGATGGTGTCGCTCGACTCGACTTCGAGCGTGATGGTCTTGCCCGTCAGGGTCTTCACGAAGCTGGAGGATCACTGTCAGTGGCGGGGTCCGCTGAAGGTAAGGATGTCGTGGTGGAGCTCACATCTGCACTGTGAAAGGAAGTTTGTTAGCAATTTCTTGATCACAGGTAGTAGAATAGGTGGGGCGGTATCTCACTGTTTGCGGCGTTGATTGAATCTTGCCTCGTCGTCGCGGAAGTGTGCGGCGACTGATGTCGACTTGCTGAAGTCGCTTTTCGGAAGATCGGCAGCCGTGTGCCGAAGTCTTAAGCGAGCAACATCATCACAACTTCATCAGCCTTGGCGCCTGGAATGCTAGATCCGAGGGCAATCCTTGCACCCAAAATTCAGCTTTAAATAATATGGAGCTTTGCTCAGCTGGGAGCAGATGGCAGAGGGTTACAGAGGGAGGGCTCTGAAGACTGGCCAAAAGCACCTAGTCTGGATATGGTGCACCGGAGAACCCACTCTTTCTAAAATCGGGGGCTGCCCAGTCATTACTCCTAACCCTTCATCGCTGAGAAATTGAGGAATCAAAACACGCACCAGCTACTCTAAGTCTTAAAGGCATCCTTCAGCTGCCCAAAATGACGTTTCATCTCCTCCGCCAACTTCCCATCCGCGTCCGCAACAATGGTAGCAACAAGCGAATAGTTGTTCTCCAAGAACCTCTCCCTCTTCCTCTGATCCCCGATCCCCTTACTCAACTTCGTCAAGTAGGCTTCAAACTCCGCCCTCAGCCGCCCCAGACTGTTGCTCACGGGCTCATCATCGCCCGCCTCCGAGCTCAGCGCCAGGATACCATGCATGAAGTTCGCAAAGCGCTGGGTCAGTGGATGCGGCGCCGTTGACTGCGACGAGGCAGGAGAGGAGGTTAGTATGCTAGAGGCGGCGGGTCGGCCGGGGAGAGAAGAGGTGGCCCGCCGAAGGCTGTCGCAGTGGAGATCCATGACGATCTGGAAGCGCGGCCAGAGCAGCATGTTAGTAGCGTTGATGTAACCTTCGACTGCAGGCACCTTGCGCCGCTGCAGCTCGAATGCAAAATGTTGGTTCAGCCGCACGCAGAGGAGGATGCCGAGAGCGTCAACGGTGGTGTCAATGAGTGACCTAGTGAGGCTCTCGGCGAGAGAGAAGGTGGGGGAGAAGATGGAATAGAAGTTCCTCGATATGGCGTGGAAGCTTTGTGAGGGGGAGAGGAAATTATTGAGAAAGGTGTACTCAAAGGAGGCGTTGTCGATGAGGGCGAGGTTGAAGGCGCGGAAGGGTGTCTCGAGGTAGTGTGTGCTTTTGTCTTCTTCGGCGACGTAAGACGTCAGTGCCCCTTTTGACGGGTTTTTGAGAATATCGAGGCGTCGACCTATCGAGAAGGCATCATGGGGGGCGACCGGTACTCTGTTTGAGCCGAGGATAGTGCTGCCGCCTCTCTTGACATTGGAGTCATCGTGCGCGAGGACATCGTGCTTGTCGATAACGTGAAGCTTGAGTTTCGAGAGGGCGTCTCGGTAGCGTGTGAAGTTGTGGAGGTAATACCAGCGCATAGTGTTAATGTAGGCTTGGATAATCTCCTCCGCCAGTTGTGATTGATGCTTGGCAAGGAATGCAAATAGCTCTTTGTACTTTGCAAAAGCTTCCTGTTGGATGGTTTGAGCGTTAATGCTTGGTGAGCGGATTGCCTTGATCTGGGCTACCAAGTAGTCACGTATTCGCTCCACAGCCTACACACACCTCTGTCAGTACTCGTTGCGAAGACGCTTTCTGGTTCCTTACCTTGTTGGTCAAATCATCCAACAGTGGCTTCAAGTCTTCTACGGCCTTAATTTTCCTCTGCTCCTGGGACTTGGCCTTGATCGCTTTCGAACGCTTCTCCAATTCCGCTAGAGCTTCTATCCATCCTTCGTCGATTGGTCCTTCGGCAATCTTTTGCACAACAGCTGGGGAGATGCTAAATTCTTCGAGAGCAGGACCAAGCAGCTTCTCGACTACCCTTCGGTTCTCCAGCTTTGTGTTGAGTGAGGTTGACCGCGATTGCAAGGTCTCAATCTCAGCGGAGACAGCACCTAAGTCTGACTGGAAGCCAGTTAAGTACGTCTCGACAGACTTGAGGACTTCATCGCAGGCCTGGTCATGTGATCAGCTGCATGTATAGGGGCATCTTTCATGGGAAATACCAGTATTGACCGGTGCAGGTCCTCGAATTTGTCTTTCTCCTTGTCGTCTGCAATAAGGCATTCATAAGCATTGGCAGAGACAGGGTTCTCGCGACTAACGTACACTCATCTATCGATTGTGCGCTATGTATATGTGTATTGGTGGGATGCCGCGTTCGTAGATCGCCTCCATCCGCTTCCAAAAACGCTTCCAAGCTTAGTCCATCGAAATCGACATCCTCTACTAATCCTGGGGGCCTGATGATGGACAGCTCCCCATCTTCGTCACCTGGTTCGAGCTCCTTCTTCTTTAGCGGCACACCAATAATGCTTTCCAATACCTGCACCGGATCAGGGACATCGTCAGGAGGCGCCGCGTACACTTGATTTCTTAGAGCTGAGCCATTCGGTATCCGCGCAGTTATAAGGTCTGTAGTCGATGAAGCTGAGGAAGCAAGCGAAAGCAGAGACGCCGACCTTGGATTGGTCCCCGACCGCGGCAGGGCAGCACCAGGAGTTAGATATGGTCGTCTCGGAGCCGGCGAGTATGATCTGCCCTGTGGTGGTGGTGTTGCAGAGGGCGTTGAATGCGCCGAGAAGCGGTCGAGCCACATCAGAGTTCTAAACGGCGCCCAAAGACAGATCTAGCTGTGCGTCCGTCCGATGCCCCCCAGAGTATGTATGCAATAAGCCCCGAAGTAAAGTACTCGATCACAAGCACTCCCATCAAGAGGACCTGGCTCCAAGCTGTCACCGGCGAAACGGTTTTGCCGAAAGCTTTGAACTTTTCCCAAAATTGCGGGGCCAGGCCTTGTCGAGTCTCTTTTCGACTCTCTCTCCCACTCCACCACACCCAAACCCACCAACTCTCACAAACACATCGCCTCACTTCTTCTTTTTGCTCTCACCGCTTCCCCAACTCTAATCGCATCACCAACACTCATTTTCATCATGGCCGACAACGATGCGCAGGTGGGTTCTCCAGTTCTTCCTGTCCCGCGAGCCCCACCTCACACTCTATCGATTGCCGCCACGCCAGTCGCGCGCGCAAATATCAAAATCTTCTCGCCGCGCCGTTATCAAACAGAAGCTGACAGGAAGCCCTGCAGCATGAGCACACCTTCGAGAGCGTCGATGCTGGTGCTTCGACCACGTACCCGATGCAGTGCTCTGCTTTGAGGAAGAACGGTTTCGTCGTCATTAAGAACCGCCCCTGCAAGATTGTCGAGATGTCGACCTCCAAGACTGGCAAGCACGGCCACGCCAAGGTCCATCTCGTCGCCATCGACATCTTCACTGGCAAGAAGTTGGAGGATCTCTGCCCGTCCACCCACAACATGGACGTCCCCAACGTCCGCCGCCAGGAGTACCAGCTTGTAAGTTGCTGAAGCTGTGTGTGCGTGGTGCAGTGGCTAACCCGGATCCTAATAGCTCGACGTCACTGACGACGGTTTCCTCTCCCTTATGTCCGACGACGGCACTCTCAAGGACGATGTCAAGGTTCCCGAGGGTGAGGTCGGCGACAAGATCACCAAGTTCTTCAACGAGGACGGCAAGGATACCAGTAAGCACACCACAGATCGGGCTGTAAGGAAAGGCAAGAGACTAACAAACACCCAGACGTCATCGTTCTCACTGCCATGGGTGAGGAGGCCGCCATCGATGCCAAGGAGGCTCCCCGTGGTTAGGTGTTTGGCTTGTTGGATACCCGACGCTACTCTGGCTAGGATGGTGCTCTGGGAATATTAGCGAGTTTAAACGCGGACTGCGGTCTTACATTTACGAGCACCAAGATTACAAAACTCATCACGTGCGGTGTCATGGTATTTTGAGCGTGTGGGCAATTTCTGTTCGGATATTCTCAAGGGAAGGAAGGAAGGGGGCTCGGCAGGCTGCATTGTCTTTATCATGCAGCTAGCATCGTGGAGCCGTATTCAATGATAGCATCGACCCAAGAATGCGCGATATAGATTGCCCAATGCGTGCATGATTAAAATCTTGATCCTAATGCTGCCAGCTACCAAATCAGGTGAAGCCTATAATATCATAATGCAGTGACTGAAGAAATAGAAACTTTGTATGGCGCAGCCAACCAAAAAAGGTACCGGATATTTCCACCTGCTGAAACAGACTACATCCGATTTGCGCACCTTCTTCTCCCTTCAAACGACCAATCATGTCCGCTCCCGACGTCTGCGAAGTGGATGGCTGCTCATCACGCAGATTTCGCCGCCGCGAGGACGCCTACTATTACTGCAGTAACGGACACCAGCAAACTGTCAGTTCTGAGTCTGGAAGTTAAGAGAAACAGGAACCTGATACACTGTGTAACAGCTAGCTGGACCTGCAGAGGGCGAAGATGAAGACAATTTTCGGCAGCAGGGCAGGGTTCAAAGGGCGAAGAGGGAGAAGGTGGAGAGGGATGAGAGGACTGGTGAGTGGGGGTGCAACACTCAAACGTGAACTCTACTGTTGGAATCTGGATATCGAATATGGCTTCGTGCTATTTGAAAATCCTTTCGCGGCGATTCACACGCCCTGCAATTCTCTATAATCCTGAACTACTCCTTCTGACTTTCCTGTCTGCGTTACTTGAAATCCTTTATCCTTTGTAGTCCATCTTCATACAGTCAAACTATTGCTCGTTCGTACTTTCGTTTTCTGCCGCTTTTTCAACTTCCAAGTGTATCATGGGATCAAGAGTTGCACTGTTGCTTTAGAGTTGGTCTTCCTCAAGCGAGCGCAGATCAGTTTTCGTTTATAGGCTTGGAGGTCCTATCAAATCCTCAAGCGTATGTAAGGATTTTCATATTGAACCGGAGGTTAACTTGTTCTGTAGTCCTCTCAGGAAGCGCTGCCTTTGAGCTCTATATTCTATGTTATCAGCTCATCCTACGGAAGCAAATTTGGTATCTCGTGCACTCGAAAGGGTATCCTGCCGATCTAGAGGTGAGTGATGAAGCACCATTCTTCTGGAGGCGAGATATCTTGCTCGAGATGCGCCCAACCCTTCAATATCAACACGTCCGAAGACCGCTGAATACCTACCGCGAAGGCCCTCGTACTGTCCACTATCCAGATGTCGTAACCATACTCAACCTACGCCCCCATCCGCACTAATGTCATCAGAGAAGCCATTGTCTCGACTGACTTCCTCCCAGAAAATGATCCATCACCTTTGGTCTCTCCGCCTGCGCGCGCTCTCCCCCAAACTCTCCACCGACGCCTCCACCGCCCCAGAACCCCACTCCCAGCTCTTCTCCTCGCAGTTCTTCTCCTCCCAGTCCTCAGCCGCGACCTCCGACCCCGACGCCCCGCACCCCCGCCAGCGAAAAGCCCGCCACGACTACAGCACCGCCAGCACGCCCCGCCTCATCGACACCCTCGCCCTCCTCTACCTCGCCATGCTGATCCTACGGCTGCCCCCTAGCCTCGCGGACCTGCTCCGCTGGGCCAACAGCGGCGCGCTGGCCTACTACCGCGCCATCCGCGCCGTGCCGCGAGAGATGCGCCACGCGCTCCCGGTGCAGTATGCACATGCCCTCGACCCGGATGCGCTGCTGCGGCCGGACGCGCTGCGGATGGCGGTGCAGAGGCTCGTAGGGGCCTATCGCCGGGATTTTGGTCTCGAGGTGCCGGGGGTTAATGTGCCGTTGGTGCTGTGGCGGTATGTGGGGGAGCTGGGGATGCCGTTGGATGTGTATCCTGCGGCAAGGAGGGTGGGCGGGTTGGTGGAATGGAGTTTCGGCTTCCCTGGTGCGGCTGTGGAGATGGGGAAGAGGAGGAGGGTCGCGGATAGTCCTGAAGTGCAGTTGATGGCGTGTGTAGTTGTGGCTGTGAAGATGCTGTTTCCGTTCCATGAGGGGGAGGGAGGACAGAAGGTCCAGACGGATGGGAAGACGGGGCTTGTGAGGGTAGATTGGGATGAGTGGGAGAGCGCGCAGGCAGAGTATGAGGAGGCGCTTGAGAGGCCGAGGAGGCTGGGGTTCGAGGATGCGATGAGAGCTAGTGAGGAAGACGTGTTCGGCATGACGGACGTGCAGATGGACGACTACCTTGATTGGTACGAGGATACGTGGGTAGAGCAAGAAGAATCGGCGAAAGCAAAGGGCGCCCATTCCACTACTTCAGGACGCCCCGCAAGAGACGAAGCCGACAGGAAAAACGCACACGCACAGAAGCTCAATGCCGTACAGGGTGCCATGAAGCCCAGGCAGCAGGCCTCGGAGCCGCGAAAGCAGCGCAACTACAGACTATACCGCACAGCGGAGGAGCTTGCGCACGACGCGAGAGCGAAGAGGTTCTATGATGTCGCGGCTACTGTGGCCGGTCTGTCACTTGAGACGCTAGTGAAAGGGGTCTATCTGACGGAGTCGAAGCTCTTCCAGAAGATGCGAGATGAGAAGCGGAGAAGGGTAGAAGAAGACTTGGAGGAGGGATAATGGCTTTGTGTCGTTTATGGCAGTGAAACTGAGCTGGAATGCTTGAGCGTGGTCTGCGTGCTCAGGAGATTCTGGATGGTCAGTGTGTAATAGCTCCAAGCGGCTGAATAATTCATAGTCGTTATCGTTCAAGATTGGTATGGCCTTGTAGCCACCATTGTGGATTCTTAGTCACCTCTGTCGCTTGCCATTGCAGGTGGAACACGGTTTGTCACTGCGCGAACAGGACTCTGAGGGTATAACTGCATCTACGTTCTAGTGGCCAAACCTACCAAAGGGTCCTAGACCGTCATTGCAACCTCTTCCAAGCCCTCAAAAACCCACGGGCATCCAACTCGTATTCCCATTGTTCAAGCAATTCCCATCATCGTCATCATCCAAGATGGCACTGTTAGAGCGCGCGCAATTCCAGAGCACTACCTACCTCCTGGGCCTCGCAGCAGGCGAAAACCGATCAACCATCGGCTCCTTCGCGATCGCCTCCCAGTCCTCCAACAGCCCACTCGGCAGTCTCTTCTCCGCCAGAAACTCCAGCGCGCAGATAACGTCGTAGGGCGTGGGCGTCGTGAGCGGGGGGACGGATGGATCATCGCGGGCCTCGCGGTGGGCGTCTTCGATCGCCATGATTTCGGAGGGGCGCAGGCGCAGGATCTCTTGGACGGGGTAGTACGGATCCGCGAAGGTGTCGTAGGCTGCAGACCAGAGCTCGTGGATGATCGTGTGTTTGAGAACGCCGTGGAGGGCGTGAAAGGCGGACTGTGAGGTGTTAGCGGGGGGTCGGGTGGATAAGGTCAGGTGACCGCGAAAAAGCGTTGTTCACGAGGGATGCGGGTGTTAGGCGGGGCGAGCGAGGCGGCCGCGACGGCGCAGAACTTACATTGTCGGGCTCCACATCTTCATCCTCGTCGGAATCAGCCATTTGATCCGCCAGTAGTTTCTCAGTCTTTATGCCCTTGGTCGGTCCATAATCGTTCCTCTCATCAACGGGAGGTTCGTGGAGCAGCTCCGCGACGCTCTGGCGATGCTTCGCGAGATCCAGTTCGTATTGAGTTTTTCCGGAATTTTTGCCATTGACGGTCGCCAGCAGGTTCGCGACGTCGATCTTACGCGCGCTAGCTTCCTCGCCAGAGAGACCCAAGAGGCGGTCATAGCCTTCCGGAACACCGTGAACGCTCATGAAGAGCGCTGCGAGAGCCTTTCCATCACGGTAGTCGGTGCCGTCGCCTGGCAATGGGGTTCCTTGTACCAAACCAAACAGCGAACCGATCTCCGTATTGGCGGCGGATGTAGAAATGGTGAGGCCGGGATTCTTGAGTGGCCTTCCAGGGCGTCTGCGCGCGGCAGATCTGCCTCTGCCAAGTGTAGGACGAGGAAGACGAGAGCGTTGAGTGCCTGCAGCAAGATCGCTTTGGTCAGCCGAGCCGGTCGCGCGTTGTTGTGGCTGAGTTTGGACTGGAACAGCTGGCGTAAGAGGCGGAGAAGCAGGAGGCAGCCCGACAGGGCGCTTTTTGATGAACTTGATACGCGCCATGGCGAAAGCGTCTTTGGCTCCAGTAGGCGTGTCTGGCAAAGATGGAGGGTCGTCTTCTGGGGGCGCGGACATTTGTAATGAAAGCGGTCCTCGTTTCGAAATAGAGTTTAGGTAGTCTGGGCTCTCATCCAGGCGTTCCGGTGGTTTTCTTGACTTTCGAAGTCCCATCCGCTGGTACGGTCCCGCCATTAATGTACACAACTTAAAAATTCGAAAAATGTTTCAGGTTGTACTGCAGAGTGTAGTTGCGGAACACACAGAGAAGTGCTGTAGTGAAGTGAAACAATATCTCGATGATTACTGCTGCTACATTCGGCAGCTGCTCCTAGCATGAGTGTAGCTTTGGATTGTTCCTGCACCTTCAGCAGCCTCGAGGTGACGGGTCCCGGTGAACGAGGATCGAACAGTACGCGCTGATTCTAGGCTCGAACTGCGCTTTGTTCCGGGCTGGTGGCCATCTGCTCGCAAGATAAGAAGCGATGCGTCTGTTTATGTGCTCACGCGCACGCGGATGTCATAACGAACGTGATTAATGAAACGCGTTAGATTGACCATAATGTCCATTCTCTGGAGGAACCACATGATGTATGTGAGCACTGCCTACTGCTCTGCGTATTTGGAGACCGCTAGAGTGCCAAGTATGCGAATCCTGCCATCACCATAAACTGAGAGGACTCACGGGGCAATCCAGAGGACAGATGATTCAGTCGATCCTGTGTGGTTCCCTCCCAATACCATTCAAACAACGCCTATTCCACTGACTATCCCATCAGCAGTAAATGCATACGGGTATCTTGCAGCAATTAAAGAATACCACCATCCCAGACGCCCATTCATGCCATTGCCGTGAACTCATGCATCGCGGAAGGGCGCATAGCCGTTCCCGTCAAACCTCGCAGCATCCATGTTCTCGTGAGCAGTATCAAGTTCCATCCCTTCATTCCAGACTTCATCAACTCCTCGCTTGTGACTGTCATTGCCGTTCTCATGCGAAGAGATGTCGTCGGCGAAGGTGTAACTGAGTCCATTCACAGCGCGCTTCGCCTCCAGAATGTCGTGGTACGACCGTAGCAGCATCTTCAGCGCATCGTCGAAGTTGACGCAGAATCGCCGGGCCTGGCAGAGCTGCATGGCGACGATATGGTCGACGTTCTGGAACATCTCCATCAGGTACGCTGCGACCACCGCCGCGGATCTCTCGTTCCCGGATTCGCATGTTATCAAGACCTTGGCGTTGCCTGGAGTGAGAGCGACGTGTTCGTTGATGAGCCGAGTTGCGCGGGGGAAGGAGGGTATCAGGTCTTGGACGTCTCTGATATCGATGATTTTCTTCGCGATCCCTAGAGCATCTGCTGTTTTGATAGCGCCGCGCATGTTCGACCCGCTCTGAAGAAGCAACACCATGGTGATTCCTTCCGCCCTCAAGAAGTCCCGGTCCTTCGCTGGGTACACTGGCCCAAGGTATAGGAAAGGTAGAATCTGCTGAGCCTCACGACGCTTGACGTATGTCCACTCGGCCATGACACCCCTGCTGACGAGTGAATGAAGATCGAGATGTTTGGTAAAGTCGGTTGCGCCTGCTGGCCAGTCGTCGTGACCGCGGATAGGCACTGGCGGGAACTTGGGTAGAAGCGTATGCTCGGTGAGGGGTGGCGGAAGGATGATGCGAGGAGGAGTCGGGACTCGGTACGTGTATGTCTCTGACTGTATCACGCTTGGTGAGCGATCAGGAATCGCTCTGTACTGGTGGCTGATATCCATGCCAAAGAGGAGTATGTGGGTAGAGATGCCGATGATAGAGAGCCTGGGTGGCCAGACAGAAAGGAAGCTTCAGAAGCGACCTGGTTGAACGGAAATTGAGAGGGCAGGAACTAAGCGCCTGCTCGAGAAAGATCGATCTAGTCGGGGGTTCACAGGCTCAAATGCACACTTCAGATCAGCGTAGGATGCCAGCTGCCCCAGGACGTCTGTGGAGCACGCAGGAAGCGTCGTCGAACTCTTGATGAATGGAAGCGCATCTTGAATGGGCCATAGGTAGAGCTTTCGCTCAGGCTCCAGGCAGCGCCCACGGCCAGGAGGTGAAGTTCACATTGACTTGATCCCGACAATCTGGTTCCGAACGCCACCCGCTTCCCGCCGTCCCCTGCGCGTCCATGTTCACGGCCATCGCATTTTGGCAAGCGTCCACCCACATAAACCATCGTCTTCGTGGGCGCTTGGAGACTCCGTTGATTCGGACTCAGAGCTCACGTTTTTGTTCGCGTTCACAGTCAAGCGCCTCATCAAACACGAACACATTCTAGTCCGAAAATCAAGGCGTTTCTTCCGTTTTCCAATATTGTCAGTGCCCAAAGCCACAAACTTGTGATATTCACAGGATTCCTCGTCTACACATCACAACCTCTGTTACTCATCAACATCAGTACCATTGCTCAGCTCCTCAAACCTCTTCACATTATCTCCATACTCCTCCAACTTCTTCTTTATCGTCTTATACGCATCCGTCCCGACCACGCACCTAAGCGGCGGGTCCGGCATAACCGCCAGCTGATACCACGCCTTAGCCGCCTTATAGGGATCGCCCGCCTGCGTGCCATGGCGCTCACCCATCGACTTCTTGGCGTCCATGTGGTCGTACGCCGGGTTCTTGTCAGCAGCAAAGTCCATGCTGCGACCCGCCCAATCGGTGCGGAAGCCGCCGGGCTCGATGCACGTGAAGCGGATGTTCCACTCGGGCTTTACTTCTTTGGAGACGGCTTCGGTGAAGCCTTCGACGGCCCATTTGGAGGCGCAGTAGATTGAGAAGGCGGGGACGCCTGGAATGGGAGAGGGGGTGGTCAGTTGTTCCATCATCAAGAAACAAGGTAGGGGAATAGGTAGGAGATGATGGGAAGGAGGGGAGAGCCTCACCAATCTGCCCGCCAATAGACGTGATCTGCTGGATCACGCCCCCCCTCCCACTCTCCCTCATAACCTCCATCGCCCTCCTCGTCACGTCCACCAGCCCGAAAAAGTTGATCTCCATCTGCGTCCGTATCTGCTCGTCGCTCAGACTCTCAAACTCGCCCGCAAGTCCATATCCCGCGTTATTCACCACCACATCCACGCTGCCGAACTTCTTTAGCGCAGCATCGAAGGCGGCGTTTATCGACTCCTTCTTCGTCACGTCGAGGTCCACGGCGAGGTAGTTGGAGTCATCTGTGCCATCGAAGGAGAGCTTGGAGCTGTTGCGCGCGGTTGCGACGACGCGGTCGCCGTTGGAGAGGACGACTTTGACGAGCTCGGCACCGAAGCCGGTTGAGGTGCCTGTTATGAGGAAGACGCGAGGGGCTGCCTTGCTCTCATCATTGGGGTCTTGCCGCTGTTTTGCTGCAGTGAGGAACATTATTAGAGGATGGCTCTATGGAGTCAATGTTAGAATCGGGGATTGTCCGTAGACAATATAGGCTACTCTAACTGTAACGGTTTTAGACACGATGGAGCCTACGAAGATTTTAGGGTAGATCTAACGAGGCTCAAGGGGAGCGTCGCCGATATATTGCAGTACGGTACACTTCGAGCTGCATCCGAAGGGTCCGGATGCATGACGTCATATTGATGCTGCAGCACTTCAAGGTGTCTCACCCAAAAGGGGTTATTTAAAGCGCGGGTAGAGGTTTGCATTGGTAGACTCCTGTGTTGACAATCACGATTTGTTGGCCAAGTCATGCTTCACAGCTCCAAGGTAGTACTACGTGTGCAGGACGTATACACAAAACACAGCAGAAAGTATGTTCAGCTTGACGACTGCAAACAGCGCAAGGAATGCCCAATCCCCCCTGCTATACCATACAGTGTGCGTGGTTAAGCACGTAGGTCTCCAATGATGAGAGATAAGGTGAAGAGGTCGCCGAGCTTGCTAGCTTGTACGGCCGGCGAACAAGCTCTCTACAGGTAGCGTATTTGCCGTGAGGTTCAACGCAACCATATCTCGACGTGCGTGGGTACAGTGATGCAGCGTGCTTCGAAACTGTGACGGAGGTCCATGGAGATCCTCGTACAGTCGCCGGACGACCCCGTGCACCCATCATAAAGACTTCCCTACGACCCAGCTGAGAAAACAACAGCTCGAACACGGCGCGGCGCTGCACGAGCCAGTTTGAACAGCCTCCGCCGTTAAACAGTCTAAGAGTCCGATACTGGCTGCCGAGCCAGCGCAAGCCCTGTCGGCATTCTTGATAGCCGTGAGCAATCTCTTCCTAGACACTCAGGTCTTGACCGAGCTCATGGAGTCCCATGCCTGTGCCGTCGCGGATCTCGAGCTATAGGACGAGAATGGCAGAGCGGGGTTTGAATCTCGAGCAGACCCAAGAGTCTACGATGGTACTTGGCTAAAGCTGGGCACGGACGGCCTATGAGGGCGATCGTGGCCCCGACAGTGAGCCATCCTGAAGGTAGATATCCGTAATCTGTTGGATGGCGACATGTCAAGCTGCGAGCCAAGTCCCTCAGCTGCTCTGAGCGTGAACGAGGGATGCAAGCGCAATCTTCTCATCCGATCTTCCCAACGCCTCTCAGGCTGAGATATACATCCGTGCCCCAGCCCCAAAGACTCTGCACCGCAATGCCGCCGCCGAAGTACTCGGCGTAAGCTCTTCCAAGCGGCAATCCATACCCCAGCCCGGCCAGGGAACTTCCGCCTTGTGAGTTAGTTATAGCGTTGAACGCATCCATGCCGTTGCCCTCAGATGGCGAGCCGTCCGAGAGGGTGGAATTGATCTGATCCTCGCTAAAAGTGGTGAAGCTGTATTCCCAGATGCGGGCGTAGTTCTCGGGCGAGATACCACCGCCACGGTCGCGAATGCGGATGGTCACGCCTGGTGTGGACTCTTCTAGGGGGCGGATGTGTGCAGAGGGGCTGGGATAGTTGCCTTCGATGACGTTGGTGCCGCCAATGGTTTTACTCGCTTCGTCCAGGTTGCCTTGGTCGAGGTTCCTGATGCCTTTGTCGCCCTCGTTCACGCTAGGGTCTTTGGGCAACGGTGCAATGGTCACTTCGATGGGCTCGCGCTCCATGCCTCGCTCGATGGTTGCTCGGAATGCGTTCTTGAGAAGCTCGGTGACGATGTATTCGAGATGCGTTGGGATGTGCGCAAAGCGGTAGTCGGGCTCTCCGTTGATGACGACGGTGGGCCGGACGCCGTATTTGAGCTCGCAGATATCGCCGACCATGGACTCGCAGTGGCGGACTATGCTCGCAGGACGCAGTTCGGTGTCGATTACCCCGATGTAGCTACTGCTCGGTTCGTTATCGTTGTTCTGGCCGCCGTGTCCGTTTTTCGAGTCCTTGTCATTCAGCTCACGGTGCGGCTTGGAAGAGAAGTGTAAGGCGATGTGCTGCTCAGCGATCAGACGGGTCCCGATTCGGGCTCGTAGGTGCTCGTCCAGGAAGCGTGTCACCTCCTTTGGTGAGATGTATTTGCGAGCCTCGAGGAAGCCACGGGCGAGTATGGAGATAGTGTTCCCATGCGTGTGCACGAGATCTGCCATGACCTCGGTGAACTTGACCTCGTCCTCCAGGGTCTTTATTTCCTTCTCCGCCCATGGCAGGAGGGTTGATAGTGAGTGTATGTAGTTGTTGTGGATCTTGGAGACATGAGGGTTTGAGACCACTATATAGGGCAGGTTACGGAGGGATTGGATACGGTGCGCAAGGCGAGTCGGGAGGATTGATAATGTGAAGTTTGCTGATTTGTATAGGGCCTGAGCGGAGAGGGGTGGCCGGCCGTGTCTAGAAACCGCAACTTTAGCCTGACAGTAGACTCAGACTCAGTATGATTCGAACACGCACTTCACCAGGTCGCCCAATGTGAGTGGATGGAGAGGCTTCGCAGCCAACTCTCGTATATCATCGTCGGTCACTGACTTTACCGTCAACGGTCGGTAGAATTGACGAGGGAATGAGAGTCGCCCGCGAGATAGGTTGTAGGTTTTGGCTGTCCGACACGTCAAGAGAGCAGTGGATGAATTGGCCGCTGCTCTCTGTAACAATGGCATGGCGGATGACTGGTCGTGCGAGGTGGTTAACAGCTTTCAAGAGGCCGCAGCTCGGAGCATCCAACCGCGGCTGGGCGCGATGTCAGAGTCACGTGAAAGTATATTCCCTCTATCAGAATCAAGATGTAGGCTACTGAAGAACAGATTAGTCGACCAAGCTCTCAGTTAGCACTATGGCTACCCGGCGCGCTCGATGCTAGTTTGTTGAGTTGCAGAGGCACTTCTTATATCAGCACGTATGACAAGAGCAGTTGAGGGGGCAATACTGAGGGAGCAGTGATGTGTTCGTGGTGGTCGCTATCACTCTCGGATACAAAGCTCGATTGTTCTAAGGCAAGACTTAGACTTTATCGTTTCTTGGACGAACGCTTTGTTAACACTGGGGCGTCCTCCAGTATCACAGCAGTGTCCGAGGATGGTCTAATGGTCTCTATCCCTGATCATGCATCCGTACCCGCACGCTCATATGCAAAGTCCCGATATGCCATGCCTATGCCGATCGGATTACCACTCCTTGCATCTACTGTGTCGTGACCGTCTGATCCGGCTCCACGTTGAGGTGCTGGTTATCTTGCAGGGTCGAAACAGCGTCGTCCGGGACTTCGGCACTACGTAGAGACGCTGCATCAGTATGTGACACATGGAGTGTGACAACTCAGTACACGGTGGAAAGGGGTTGTGTACGTGAAGCCCTTGATCAGCTTGAACTCGTGCGTGATCTTGCCGCCCTGGTCTTGGATCTGCTTCTTGAGCCTGCGAACGGTCAGCTATGCCGTGGGAATAAGGCTCTGGAGCCCGACTTCTCCAGCTCCCCGGCATCGCCGCCGTCCTTGACGCTGACCTGTGCAAAGATCAGCTAGGGCTCAGGTGGTTTCCAGTGCTGGAACAGCGTACGTTAATAACCTTGTTGGGCATCTTAAGCTTGGTAGTAGTGAGTCTGCGGACGAGGCTCCTGGGAAGTAGAATGATTGTTGGGGTCGAGAGCGTTCAGTACGTGAGGTCTGGCGGTGCTGGCTCCTCTTATGCTACGGTTGGTCAAGCTTGGAAGAGTGCAGGTGTTGACAGGCCCACCAGCAACGACATGCGCGTCATTTCAGGGTCAGCCGATAAGATAATGCTGTGCTGTGCTGTGCTAGCGGCATATACGCGCCGGAAATGCGGCCAGAGTCGGCGTCTTGCCGAGAGCACACTGGTGTTGAGTTAGGGAAGGGAAAGCTACTGTTACTGCGTATCAGAACGTCTATCTCTACCCAGCCCAAGTTCAAGCACATGTGCAAGAGCGTGCTCCGATGTGAATTCACGTGAAGCGCGGGAGCGTCTCGAGTTATGCGGGGCATAGGGCTGAAATCGATTAGCCGATCGCGTCTTGGCATCAAGATTTCGCGACCTTTGCCAAAATCTCGAAGCTTGTGAGCTGCAAGAGGCGCAAACGACAGTAGCAATGTCGGACCAAGCAAACCGGCCTCATCGCAAGGCGAAGCCAGAGAAGAAGTCCACCGGAGGCAGGTCGTCAACTCAACAACTCCCCATCGTACTCCGCTGACCTAAAACAATAGGCCCAAATCCCAAGGCCTTCGCCTTCGCAAAACCAGGAAGACTCCAGAAACAGGCTGCACGCTCTCACGATGTACGCCGAACAGACCCCTGAAGATACTACTATATACTCACATCCCAAAGGTCCGAGAAAAGCGCCTCCACGTCCCCCTCGTCGACCGCCTCCCCGAAGAAGCGCCCCCCATCATCGTCGCCGTCGTCGGCCCCCCCGGCGTCGGCAAAACCACCCTCATAAAGTCGCTTATACGCCGCTACACTAAGCAGACCCTCTCGAGCCCGACCGGACCTCTGACAGTTGTTACCTCCAAACGCCGGCGCCTCACGTTTATAGAATGTCCTGCCGATTCGCTCGCAAGCATGATCGACATCGCCAAGGTCGTGGACATAGTGCTGCTGATGATCGACGGCAACTACGGCTTCGAGATGGAGACGATGGAGTTCTTGAACATTCTGAGCGCGAGCGGCATGCCTGGGAATGTGTTCGGCATTCTGACGCACTTGGACTTGTTCAGGAAGCAGGATGCGCTGAAGGCGCAGAAGAAGAGGCTGAAGCATAGGTTCTGGAGCGAACTGTACCAGGGCGCGAAGCTGTTCTACCTCTCCGGCGTTGTCAACGGACGATACCCGGACCGCGAGATCTTGAACCTGTCACGCTTTCTATCTGTGATGAAGAATCCGAGGCCGCTTGTGTGGCGGAACTCGCATCCGTATTGTCTCGCCGATCGCTTTTTGGACCTTACGCCGCCGACAGCTATGGAAGAGAACCCGAAATGCGATAGGACTATAGCACTGTATGGATACTTGCGAGGTACCAACTTCCCGGCGCAAGGCGCAAGAGTACACATACCCGGCGTCGGAGATCTGAATGTCTCGATGATCGAAGCACTGCCGGATCCATGCCCGACGCCGTACATGGACCAAGCCGTCGCGAAAGCCACAGGAAAGACTGCGCGGAGACGCTTGGGCGAGAAGCAGAAGCTGCTATTTGCGCCCATGTCGGATGTTGGTGGTGTGCTGGTCGACAAAGATGCCGTATACATTGATGTCAAGACGAACACCTTCAACAGGGATGCAGAAGAACAAGAGGAGCGCGGGTTGGGCGAGCAGCTTGTGGTGGGCTTGCAGGGCGAGAGGAGGCTCTTGGGAGAAGCCGACGCGGGTGTAAGACTCTTCGCTGGTGGCGAGCGTGTCGACGCAGGGGCAGACGCCGAACAAGCGGAGGATATGGGTCGAAAGTCAAGGCGTCACGTAAGAATCGTTGAGAGGGAGGGTGGAGATGAGATCGAAGATGACGAAGGGTTTGGTAGCAGTGAGGACGACGAAGATATGCTAGAAGATGGCGCCTCTGATGACGAGGACGACAGTGGTCACCTTGAAGCAGACGGCATTGCAGAGGACAAGCTCGGTCGGTCCTTCCGAAAGGCGGCAGACAAGTTAACTGATGGCGATGTTGCTTTCGCCGATAGCGATTCAGATCTAGGCTCCGTATCGTCAGTGAATGACCAGGAGTTGGAGGATGGTGAAGACGACGAGGAAGACTTTTCAGGTGATGATGACCACGGGGCAATTAGATGGAAAGCGAACTTGGCCGAGAACGCTAGGGCTCGACATGGTCGCAAGGTACCTCGGCGGACGGTAGATCTGGCGCGACTAATGTACAACGAAGCAATGACGCCGTCCGAAGTAATACGAAAATGGAAGGGTCTGGATGACGATGTTGAAGAAGATACACAAGACGAGGACGAGGATTTCTTCAAGAAGCCCAAGCGTACAGCCGATGAGGATGATCAAGAAGACCGCTCCATACCCCGATACGATTTGCAGGAGCTGGAGCAAAGATGGACTGACGAGGACAACCTCGAAGCTTTGCGGCGGAGGTTTGCGTCAGCGAACCTGCTCCGAGAAAAAGAAGACGGTGATGAGGAAGAGGGTTTCGACGGTGTTGAAGATGGGGACGACGAGGGCGATGGTGCCTTCCAGGACCTTGAGACAGGCGAGACATTCCAAGGCAACGAGGCCGCCAGCGAGCTGAACGACGAAGCAAAGGCGATTGAAGCAGAACGAGAGAAGAACGCTCGCCGGAAAGAGGAGCTTAAGCTCAGGTTCGAAGAGGAGGACAGAGAAGGGTTCGCAAACGATAAGGCAAATGCGCGAAAAGAAGACGGCGAGCAGCAAGAATTCGGCGAGGATGAATGGTACGATGCCCAAAAAGCGCTAATCCAGAAGCAGCTCAGCATCAACCGGGCCGAGTTCGATCAGCTAGACGAGATGTCTCGTGTCCGGTTGGAAGGGTACAAAGCTGGCACATATGCCCGAATAGTGCTTGAGCAAGTGCCTTACGAGTTCGCTGCGAGCTTCAACCCGCGACTCCCTGTAATCATTGGAGGGCTTACACCGACTGAAGATCGCTTTGGCTTCGTCCAGGTCCGCATCAAGCGTCACCGATGGCACAAGAAGATTCTCAAGACCAACGACCCCCTCATCTTCTCGCTTGGTTGGCGTAGGTTCCAGACCATGCCCGTCTACAGCATCTCCGATTCACGAACGCGGAACCGCATGCTGAAGTACACGCCGGAGCACATGCATTGCTTCAGCACCTTTTACGGCCCGCTGATAGCGCCAAACACTGGTTTCTGCTGCGTCCAATCTTTCTCCAACAGCAATCCCGGCTTTAGGATAGCAGCTACCGGAGTAGTGCTAAATGTGGACGAGAGCACGGAGATCGTTAAGAAGCTAAAGCTCACCGGGCATCCCTACAAGATCTTCAAGAACACGGCCTTCATCAAAGACATGTTCAGCACTGCGCTTGAGATCGCCAAGTTCGAAGGCGCTAGCATCAAAACGGTATCAGGCATTCGCGGACAGATCAAGAAAGCACTGAGCAAACCAGAAGGACACTACCGCGCTACGTTCGAAGATAAGATCCTCATGAGCGACATCGTCTTCCTTCGGGCATGGTATCCCATCAAGCCCCACCGCTTCTACAACCCCGTCACCAACCTTCTCGAAGCGTCCGGCCCGGAGAGCGCCGAGGCGGGCAGCGGATGGAAGGGCATGCGCCTAACCGGCGAAGTCCGCGCCGCCGCAGGCATCCCCACGCCCAGCGACAAGAACTCCGCGTACCGTCCCGTGGAGCGTCAAGCGCGCCATTTCAACCCGCTAAGAGTACCACGCAAGCTGCAGGCGGAGCTGCCGTTCAAGTCGCAGCCCGTGCAAATGAAGCCGCAGCGGAAGGAGACGTATATGCAGAAACGTGCGATTGTGGCGGGCAAGGAGGAGAGAGTGGCGAGGACGCTGATGCAGCAGGTCATGACGCTGAGGAATGAGAAGGTGGCGAAGAGGCGGGCTGCGCAGGAGAAGAGGAAGGAGCCGTACAGGGCGAAGGTTAAGGAGAATGAGGAGAAGAGGGCGGAGAGGGAGAAGAGGGAGAAGGATGAGTATTGGAGGAAGGAGGGGAAGAAGAGGAAGAGTTCTGAGACTGCTGGAGGTGGTGGGAAGAGGAGGAAGTAGTCTCTTCGTTCTAGATGAGGGGGATGCGGTATGGTGTTGGGTTGTGTTTGTGAGCGATCGTATTTCTGCATGGCATGGCTGGCTGCATGTTGGCGTTGTCTGTTCTGCGCATTTCCGTGGCGCTGGGATGCCACTGTGGTGTTTCCTGAGTACAAAAGCTTGACCGTGTCCCACCTACACGGCCCCTCGTCTTCGATAAAATTCTGCTTCTGCCGGAGGTCTAAGGCCTAATATGGCATGCCCTACACATGATGGAACAGCGCAATGTAGTAGTCCACGCTCGAAAGCGCATTCCACTATATTTCTCGAACGGCTTGCAAAGTTCCACTTATTCCCTCGACGACGCTAACGGTCTTAGCTACTGGTTCAACAGATCTGCCGTGGTGAGGATGGCAGAACCCCACAGCCAGAGGCCTTTGAGAGGCCCCGTACGCGCCCACGCGCAGTCGCGTGACGACGTTCCTACAAGCGGGGGTTTCTTCCACTCGAAATGCCGCTCTTTGTCACGTCTCACGCTGCTGAACGCATCCATTGCGAACTGTACGGCCGTCGAATATTCCTACCATTCAATTCGAGTCCTCTCTACTTCTGTTGTCTATCCCAATTCCTTGCAGTCTTACTGTCCGGCCTGCCACGCGTCCGGCATCGGTATTACCGCGTGCGTGGCCTGCGCGACCTTGATCGCCGCCTCACAGTTCGTCATCGCGGAATCCCAGGTCCCGTGAACACCGCATCGTGCGTTTACAGCGAGAGCCTCGGGGCTGTGTTCTTCAATGGAGACTGTCTCACCTGCGGCCCATGAGCCGGCGAGTATCCTTTCCTCATTCCAGAGTCGCGATGCGGGCGCTGCGGGTCGCGCCACGTACCCCACTATCAGTAAGTCGCGTCGTCGAGCCCGGCTGTTCCCCATGCGTATATGTCCTCGTTCTCTGTCAGCACGTTCGAGGATGCAATAAGTCTCAGAGAACGCGTTGGAGATCATTACCTTTACATCGCTATCAGCAACACCCTCCGTGTTCCCGTTGGAGAGCGTCTTTCACTGCCTATACTGACCGAAGCGATATCACACCCCAACGGCTGGCTAACCACGCTTCAGGTACATCCAACGAGCGCATCAAAAGCGAGAACAAACTCTCGCAAGTCCACCAGCAGCCCTTACCTAATTCGCAAGAGTCTTACGTTTCCACGTCGAGCAGTACCAGCGCGCCTCGGCTGCAATCATCCTTGAGCGATCTCTCGAACCCGTCTATACCAGAAACCGCACTGACCTCGCCAACCGCATCGGATCATTCGCAGAGTCAATCGGAGACTCCGCAGAAGAGCCAGCTGGCGGAGAAGCCAGCAAGCAGCGAGCGCCAAAAACAGCCTCGAGCTAGAACACCCAACATTGATATTGCTGCGGCGAACGCGAAGCGTGACAGCGTAAACAGCACCCAAACGAGCCCGATGTCCATTGACACCCCAGGCCTGACCCATGGCTCGAAAAGGACTGCCAGCGGACTGGTCAAGCCAGCGATGCCTGACACCCCAGCAAGCCCAGTCACGGCGACGCCTTGCAAACACTCACGCACCACTAGCTTAGACTCGAATAACGGACATCGGATCGGAGAGGTGAGAGCCCACATACACAGCGTATTTGGCGCCACCAGGCTAACTTCCCACTCCCACAGCTCTCCGCCCAACTGAAGACGCGACTAACGTACGCAATGCTTAAAGTGCAGCACGGCTGGGAAAACCGGACCCTCGACGAGCTCGAAGTCGCAACCTCCCAGCACACCTCTCCCCTCCTCTCGACCCCCGGCGCCGGCCGCAGCCAGCACAACTCCGACTCCCCCCGCGCTCGCCTTCCGAGTGCTGTCTCCGACACCTCCGACCAGCCCTTCTTCTCACCAGGCAGCTACACCAGCCGGCGCTCGAGCGTCTCCCACGCACACAGCGGCGGCCCCTCCTACCACGCCAGCACCGCCCTCCACGCCGCCACCGGCACCCTCTACAGCCCTTCCTCATCCGCCCCAGCGCTCGCCCCCGCGCCCGACTTCACGTCCGGCCCCCGCAGCCGGCGCTCAAATCCCACGCGCGTCCCGCCCATGCTCTCCTCGCTGCAATACCCGACACCGCAGCCGAGCCGGCTGGCGGAGCCGCGCACCCCGACGTCGGTGCCGCGCCAGGGCATCTTGCGCATGCCCTCGCAGCAGGCCGAGAAGGACGCCGTGGATAGTCTGCTCTTTATGAGCAGTCCGCAGAACTCGGCGTATTTGGCGCATACGGCGAGTGCGCAGCCGAGTCCGCTGAGGACGGAGTTCGGGGGGAGGAGGGTGGTTTTCGAGGGGAGGGAGGGCGGGGAGGGGTTCAGGGGTGGGGGGCGGTGATGGGAGACCTGGAATGTGGGGCGGAGGGGTGTGTGGAGTGGAGATGGAGCTTGTGTGCGTGCTTGGGATTGTTTAAGGGGCCTTGTCCGAGTTGAATGGGCTGGGCATAAAGAGGGGGTGGGGAGAAAGATTATGCATAGAGAAGAGAGGTTCATCGCATATAGGGCGTCTGGGCGATACCCCTACTATTACGGGCTGTTGGGAGCTATCATTAGTGTGAAAGCGGTCACTGGGCGCACAGTGTATCGGGAGGTGTACATAACGAAGTCAAACGAAGCGTCAAAATGGGCAGTTGCAACCACAAACTCTCTGGCAGGTGTAAATGCGAGCCATGTGCTAGCGTTGCAAGGGCCCACACATCAACGGCCGTGCCCTTGGAGTCGAAGAACCCCAGTAAGTAGCCAAGCGAGCGCCAGGTTCATAACGAACTTTCTTTTATCCAACCTTTACAATTTCAATACAATAAACCTCCCTCAACCGTTCCACCCCCTAAAGCTGCTCATTAACAAACAACCCCGCCATCCCCATCCCCGTCCCAATACACATACTCGTCAAGAGGATCTTCTTCTTCTGGCGCCTACACTCGCTCAACCCGGTAACAATCTGCCGCGCCCCCGTGCACCCAAGCGGATGCCCGAGCGCAATCGCGCCGCCCCGGATATTCATCTTGCTGTGGTCGATCTTCAGCTCGCGCAGGCAGTACACGGCCATGCTGGCGAAGGCCTCGTTCAGCTCCACGACGTCGCAGTCGTCGAGCGAGATGTTGAACTTGGTCAGCAGCTTGGGGATCGCGATCGAGGGGCCGATGCCCATGATGCGGGGCGCCAAACCGGCGACGGTGGCGCCGACGAATTTGGCCAGGATCGGCTGACCCATCTCCTCGGCGCGGGAGCGCTTCATGAGAAGTACGGCTGCGGCGCCGTCGGTGACCTGCGAGCTGTTGCCGCCCGTGGAGCGGTCGCCGTGCGGCATGAAGGCCGGGCGGATCTTGCTCAGCGACTCGTAGGTGGTGCCCCAGCGGGGGCCCTCGTCCGCGGTCAGCGTGACGGTCTTCTCCTCGCCCGTCTTCGGGTCCTTGGTCTTGACGGTGACGGGCACGATCTCGTCGTCGAACCAGCCGGCCTTCTGCGCCACCTCGGCCCGCCGGTACGACTCCGCCGCGTACCGGTCCTGCATCTCGCGCGTGATCTCGAAGTCCTTGCCCACGTTCTCCGACGTCTGGCCCATCGGCTGCATGCAGTCGCGTGCTTCCTGCGCCTGCAGGATCTCCGGGTAGAAGGGCCGCTCGAGCCGGTCCCCGCCCGTGGACATGTGCTCGGCCCCGATGGCGAGCCCGACCTCGATGCTGCCCGTGCTGATCTGGTTCGCGATGTTCTGGACGGCTACGAGGCCGGAGCTGCAGAACCGGTTGCAGGAGCTTGCGGCGGTCGTGTTGGGGAAGCCGGCGCCGAGGGCGGCGGCGCGGATGTAGTAGGCGGCTTTGGAGTCGGAGACCTTTCGCGCGTTAGCTCGTGTCCTGACTCGGCGCTGACGAGAGGCGGGACGAGGGGTGCCTTACATTGCCTAGGCAGATGTCCTCGACCATCTGCGGGTCAATCCGCGACTTGCGGACCACTTCGCAGAGCAGCTTGTAGACGATGCCATCGAGCGGCGTGTCCTTGAGGCCACCCTTCTTGGCCTTGGTGAGCGGGGTGCGGATTGCGAGAGTGATGACGACGTCGTCGGGGTTCTTTGTCGTGCTGGTGTCTTGGTTAGCATGTGCTGCATTGAGGCAACTTTGCGGGGCAAACGGGAGCTTACATTGCGTCGAGCCCGGAGGTGCTGGGCGTGATGTGCGAGAGGACAGACTTCAGACGTTCGGTGGCCATGGTGGATGTGTGTAGAGATAAGGATGGGAGAATGAAGATAGAATGCTTCGTTGCGGTGGTGTTGAAGACTGGATGCTCGTCTGGGGATCGTTAGCTTTTAGCCCGCTCGCGGTGGATTGATGTGGGGAGATGCCGAGGCATGCGGCACGGCACCTCGGGGTTGAGACGCGGCTTTTCACTGCTTACTCCATGCTGCTCAATGCCTCGTCTTAGGCTCTGAAGACAAGGTGAGGGTAGCGCCCCGCGCAAGATCCAAGGACTAAAGTTCTAGAGCATCTCAATCACTGTCATTGGGAGACATGGTAATCTGACTTCGCGGATATAAATCCGACATGGCGTAATGACCATCATATGGGGCCTCCAGGTTGGAACATCAAGAATGCAGCAGTAGCTTGTTGAGCCGTAAGTCTACCTTTGCGTATTTGACGAACACAACGAGTTTTCCAGGACAATCAACAACATCCTTAAGATAATCACAGGGTATATTAACATCCTTCCCAAAACGCCTTTGCAACGCCATTCCCACCCCTTTGTTCGTGGACACGATCTACACACGAGGCAATGCTCTCGCAGCGCACCTCCTGACTACCCAATACTGCCTTCCTATCCTTTTGCCACTCATTTATCATGCAGCTCACTCTTTTAGGACCACCTCACGCAATTCCAACAACCCCTCTCCGTCGGTATCAAAATCACCAAAGCTCCGCCCCGTTAAGACTGGACGGGCCCGCTTCGCCGTAGTTTAGGCGGCTGTTTCTTAGAGCCTGCATCATTTGTTGCTGATCCCAGTTCTCCTCCCCCTCCTCCCCCTCCTCCTCCTCCGTCGTCAGAAGGCTCGACACCGTTAACCTCGAAGTGGACGCTGGGAGCGGAGCTTTTCGTGGAGTGGAGATCGGAGGGGCGGTCGGTGGGAAGTTTGATGGCGGAAGGCCGGATGGTAGCCGGCTCTCTTGTGGGAGGATCCTTGGTGCTGGGAGGAGGGTTAACCTTTGCTGGTGGTGAAGGCTTTTTGGCGAGTTTGGGAGGTTGTTGAGATGAAACGGTGGGCGCTGGCGGTGCTGAAGCTGGAGCTGGAGCTGGAGTTGGAGCTGGCGCTGGGGCTGGGGCTGAAGATGGAATTGCAGCTGGAGCTTGAGCCAGAGTCTGAGCCGGCGCTGCAGTGAGCTTGGAGGGGCTCTTCTTCTTTGCTGGGGCGAAGTGTTACTGATGCGCTTTCTCCTCCTTCTACTAATGCGCAAATAGTGCCGGGGGAGCAAGGTGAGGTAGGTGTAGGCATACATGCTGCATATATACCCTCTACGCTGTGGCTCGGGTAATAACGTAGCGGTATTCAATTACCTTGTCTAGCTTTCCCCCTGACATGGCAGTTGGGTCCGTTGTCATGGTCATGATACGCGCACTCGTCGCCGTCCGTCGGGTCGTCAAACAGCACACCGCCACCGATGCCCCATTTGATCGCGTTGACGAGGTCGACGGCGAAGTCGGGGTTGCCGTCGAAACACGCCCGGTAGTTCTCCGCGTCTTTCTCGCTGTCCGGGTCCATGATCTGTCGCGCCGCTATCTGCGTCATGAGACGGCGAAAGGGGGAGCCTGCAGGGCTCTGACGGTAGATGTTGTTAATCTCCTCGGCGTCAGGGACCAGGCGCGAGGTGAACAGGCCTTTGCGGTATTGATCAATGGCCATGTTTTTGAGCACAGGCATGTCGAAGCGCTCGCAGAGGAGGTACAGCTTGTGGCATGCGACGGCGTAGTCGTATTTCTTAGCTGCATCGGGCTGCAACGAGATATCGTCGATTTTGCCCTGATATAGGTATTTTACGAAGAGGGCGAACCCGGCGGGGTCGGCGTCTGGGAGGTCGAGCCGGTGGTTGTCGCTGCTATCGCCATTGCCGACTGCGTTCGTCATCGCAGTCGGCTTTTTCGGCGTCCTAGGCGATTTGGGCGGCGAGGCACCATCGACGGCATCGTGCTGCTGTTGCTGCAGCTCGCGCGCGAGGTGCTCAGAGTGATGCGCCAGCAGGTTACGATGCAGGGACCACCGCCGCTTTGAGGGTCCAACAAGGACGTCGACGACAGGGCCGGAGAGGAGCCTTTTGCGCAGAGCTTTAGCATGCGCCTGGGTCAAGAGACGAGACGAGTTGATGCGATGCGCCAGCGGAGGCCGTCGGCCCCTGGGCGCTGGCTCTGCAACTGCAAAGCTGGGCATGGAGGAATAATCAAGAAAAGGGTCGTCGTGAGGGAGAACGTACTCGGCAAAGGTCTGGGCGGGAGCGTCGCCGATGTTGTCGCCGTTGGCCATGCGGAGGATTGTCTTGCGCGTGGAGGTGTAGGCGAAGTCGCGGTAATACACTAGCGGACCGTTCTCTTCCCAATGGCCCATACGAAAGCGTCGTTAGAGTCGGTGGCATACGAGGTTGACGGTGGGCAATGGCGCATTGCGGGGCGATGATGCTGGGAGTTGGAGATGCGACGGGAGAGGTGTTGCGACGACATGCATGGCCCTCGTCAGGTCGAGGAGGCCGGGAGGACGTTGGTAAGGATGCTGCCTTAGTGCATTAGCGGGGTGGCTGGCCTGCGGACTGGCCGGCAGCTCCGGTGCGGGAGCGGCTGGTGGTCTTGTCTTGGTGGTCTTGGTGGTGATTGCTAATGCGCGCTCGACCAATCCGGGTGAGACGAGGCTGCTGATCTTGGTGTCTTGGGGTTTTGGAGAGCGTGGCCGTGGTGTCTGCGTGTTCGTGCAAGGTAGATTGAAAAGCCGGTTGCCGCATTAAGAGCCATCCGTCGCCCTGGAGCTGGACAGGCCTCAAGCAAAATCCACAGCTTAAAGACACCTTAGGCGATCGATGCATCAAAGAGCTAAACTGCCAACCGCCTTTTGCTCTCTATCGCACAGGATTGGCCAGCTGCTCTAGACTTGACAGGATCGCGAGTCTAGTTTGATTGTGAATCCGATTAGGAAAACCACCAACCGAGCAGCGGCAACTCGCTTTTCAGCTAACTTTTGGTGCCTTGCAGCCTGAGGACCATCCCTCTCTAATGGCCCGACGAGCCGCCGCAGCACTTTACGCGAGACGCGACGCGCCCTCCTACAGCACCGTATCCCGTCGTGGATATCTTTACGTTACCGCTATTTGTGCACATGGTATATCTTGCTTTCGAGCTGGATGAATCCTTCTTCGCCGCCTCAATTTCCATCGTCTTTTGATCCTGCATTGCACCTGCACTCTGACGCGAACTGCGACGCGGTCCCGCACGGAGCTACGTATTCGGACGACGTCGAAGCCTGGCACTTGGTAACGGCGGAAACAACTGCGGAGAAAAACAGGCAGGGCATTGTCATCCAGCATCGCTCTTGGAAACTGTCCGAGGTCTTTCGTAGTGAAGACGACTACAGCATCGGTCAGTATAGTTTGAGCAGCTACACACCACAGCACTGCATTGAGCAATCGAAGATTATTGGGAGTGTTATGCTGATAGTCTACATAGACACGCCCCTCAATCCGTCGAAATACACGCAGCAATTGCAAACACCGAGGCTTTTCGCGCGGAGCTCAGATTTGCTGCCATCCTCCCCGCCTGTAACAATCATGCCAGACATCTCGTCCCCTGTAGCTTACCCAGCGACGTCATCTCCCACCCGAGAGTCACCGAGGAAGAGAAGGAGAATTGAGGCGCCAAGGGGCCCATTACAAGATGCTCCGACCAAGCACAATACCCAGACGGTGGGAGGATTTCTTATGGAGGAGAGTGACGATGAGGATGACCTTACGGCTATGATGACACTGAAGAGAAAAACTGTAACCAATCTCGATATAACAGCAACACTTAAAGAATCCGAAGTTGTTGTAGTGGAGGAGACCGGCACAGCCTGCCCCGATAGCAACATCGCAAATGTATTACCAGACGTGCAGCAACCAGAGGAATACGAGCTACCCCATGCTCCCTCGCCGAATCCACCACGAGAGCCGCAAGAATCGTCAGCTACCAGCAGTAGACCGCTCACTGTAAAGCTTTCTTCTGGCAAAACGTTCTACCTCTCAGAACGCCGAATCGCTCCCACCACGACCTACGAACAGCTCATAGCCTCTCGCTCCACCACTGCTCCCGGCCGAGTCCAAAAGAGCTACTACGGAATCGACATCCACCAGCTCATGGATGATGCAGCTCGTGAGACCGAAGCCGCCATTCAACTCAACCGGAAACAGCAAGCAGAAGCTCCTCAGCCATCTGTCGAAGAACCCGCACCGACAAACAACAAGACTGGCAAGTCCAGTAAAACCCTTATGTGGACTGAGAAGTACCGCGCTCGCAAATTCACCGACCTCATCGGCGACGAGCGCACGCATCGCTCCGTCCTGCGCTGGCTCAAAGCCTGGGATCCCATCGTCTTTCCCGGCTTCGGCAAGCCGAAACCAAAATCGATGAGGCAATCTGCCGCCGACGGGAACGAAGAACGCACGCACCGTAAGATTCTGTTGCTGACTGGTCCACCTGGGTTGGGAAAGACAACTCTGGCCCACGTCTGCGCTAAGCAAGCTGGGTATGAAGTTCAGGAAATTAATGCCAGTGACGAGAGAAGTAAGGACGTCGTCAAGGGCCGTATTAGGGATATGGTCGGTACGGAGAACGTCCGCGGAGCCGAAACTAAGACTGCGAACGGCAAAGTCAGAAAGGCCGGTCGTCCTGTGTGTGTGGTTGTGGATGAAGTTGACGGTGTAGTCAGCGGAAGTGGCGGGAGCGGTGAGGGAGGCTTTATCAAGGCATTGGTAGACCTTGTCAATCTGGATCAGAAGAATTCGAGGGGTCTAGGCGAGCAGAACGAGACGTCGACAGGCAAGAAGAAAAGGAAGGGTGACAGATTCCGCTTGCTGCGGCCCCTGATCCTCATCTGCAACGACGTATACCACCCCTCGCTGAGGCCGCTGCGACAAAGCTCGATCGCAGAGATTATACATGTTCGCAAGCCGGCGCTGAACATGGTGGTTTCGCGGATAAAGTCGATCTTCGAGAAAGAAGGCGTCCCCTGCGACGGCGACGGGGTCCGGCGACTCTGCGAAGCGGCCTGGGGCGTCAGCAGCCGCAAGGAAGGCGGCAGCGGCAGCGGAACGGGCGAAGGCGATATCAGGGGGATTATGGTCGTAGGCGAATGGGTCGCCGGCAAGCTTCGGGCTACTTCCAACTCCGCTGTCTCCACCAACGTACGATTGACGCGTGGGTGGGTTGAAGACCACGTGGTAAATGACCTCTCTCACGGTGGAGGAGCGGCGCGGAGTCTGGGACGGGGAGGCGCGCGAGAAGTGGTAGATCGCGTCTTTCGCGAAGGCGCTGGCTTCCCAAAGACTTCTTCGTTGACCGACTCTAAGGCGAGTCGTATAGGGGGCACCGGCGTAGTAGGCGTAGCAGAAGCAAGTAAGCGTGTCGCCATGGACCGACTCCGCGAGATGGTCGACACGAGCGGCGAGTCAGACAGGATCATGACCGGTATGCTTCTCCTATAACCACCCTCCCCACCCCCTCCCCCTTACTAGGTCAACAGACCACGAAACTCACAGTATTCCTCCAGACTGCTTCACGTCCTACCCCCTCAAACCCTTCCAAGACGACACCCTCCTAACCAAACCCACCACCGCGCATGACTGGCTCCACTTCCACGACGCGCTCTCCTCCGCCGTCCACGGCAGCCAGGAATGGGAACTCGCGCCCTACCTCTCCAGCTCCGTCCTCGCCTTCCACCACCTCTTCGCCTCGCCCGCCTCGCAACACGGCGCCTCTGTCACCGGCGCCTTCAACAGCACGGCTTCCAAGTTTGGCGTTGCTGCTGACGATGGCGATGGTAGTGGAGAGGCTGAGTGCCACCCTCTGGCCGGACCGGGAGCAAGCTTTGCCGCGACAGAGGCACTCAAAGCGAACCGCGCTCTTCTGCAGAGTCTGCAGCCGACGCTGTCGCTCCCGCTGGCACGGATGTACAGGAGCGCCGCGGACGTGGCGTCGGAGCTCGTGCCCTGGGTGCTGCGCATGCTGGCGCCGGACGTGAAGCCCGTGGCAGTGAACACGGCCTCCGCTTCCGCGTCCGCAGCTGCGGAAAAGTCCAAGTTCAACAACATCGCCACCGCCTCTGTCCGCCGCGCAGCCGAGAAGGCGCTGGTGGCACGCGCCGTGAACGCGATGGCGGCGACGGGGGTGCGCTTCGAGAAGACGAAGGTGGACGGTGGACACCATGAGGGCGGGAGGCCGTATCAGCCGCAGAATAGTGCGCAGTGGGTCTATCGCATGGAGCCGCCGCTGGAAGAGCTGGGGAGTTTCGGGACCATGACGGGGGCGAAGAGCCAGGCGGCAGTGCGGTATGGCGTCAGGCAGGTGCTGGAGGCGGAGTGGAGAAGGGAGGAGGGGCGGAGGGGGGAGGCTGTCAGGAGGGCTAGGATGGGTGGACGGGGAGATGGAGCCGAGGATGTCGGAGATGGTGCAGATGGCTCGAGTAAGGGCACTGAGAAGAACGCGGAGGGAAAGATGGACGCCGTACCGAGGGGAAAGGGCGTCAAGAGGGATTTCTTTGGGAGAGTCATACAGCCTCTGGGAACAGAGCCTGCGGGCACAGAGGCCGGCGAGGGCGATAGCACGAGAAAGAGGAGGAAGCCAGCCGACGAGGACGCAAGTCAAGGAAGGGTATGGGTAAGCTTCAATGAAGGCTTCTCTAACGCGGTCAGGAAGCCTGTCACGCTTGCCGAACTGATGGCGGGTTTGTAAGATGAATGTTGATGCAGAGAAGATAGAAATGTGGTACGCTCATCCATGCGTTCAGCGGTATATTACACGATGATCAGTACATATATCACATACCATCCATCCAACTCTTTCTCTCACAGTCCAAACGCACATTTACTTAAGCTTCTTAATGATAGCATCCGCGTACTCGTACGTCTTGGCCTTGCCGCCCAGGTCACCCGTTATCGTCTGCGATAATGTCAGCGTCTCGCATCTTCAACCGCAGCCAGTCTCGGACTAGGGACGGAAAAGAAAGTCTCACCTTGCCCTCAGCCAGAACCTCGAAGATAGCCTTCTGGATCTTGTCCGCGTGCTCATTAAGGCCCATGTGCTGCAGCATCATGATACTGCTCAGCAGCAACGCGGTCGGGTTCGCTAGCGCCTTGCCCGCGATATCTGGCGCGCTGCCGTGCACAGCCTCAAAGATGGAGCACTCATCACCGATGTTTCCACTAGGCGTCAGACCCAGACCGCCAATCAAACCCGCGCACATGTCCGACAGGATATCTCCGTACAAGTTCGGCATCACGAGCACCTTGTCGTTATACGGCGTCGGATCCGTCACGATCTTCAGACACGTGTTATCAAGCAGCTCAGCATCAAACTCGACATCCGGGAACTCCTTGCTGATCTCGCGGGCGGTGTTCAGGAACAGGCCATCGCTCATCTTCATGATGGTCGCCTTGTGGACCGCGCGCACCTTCCTCTTCCCGACGTCCTGCGCGTACTGGAACGCGAAGCGCAGGACCCGCTCCGAGGCCTCGCGCGTGATCAGCTTGATCGACTGCACCACGCCGTCCACGACCACGTGCTCGATGCCGGAGTACTCGCCCTCGGTGTTCTCGCGGATTAGAGCTATGTCGACGTTGTCGTAGGGCGTCTTGTAGCCTTGGATTGAGCGGCAAGGACGCAAGTTTGCGAAGAGGTTGAAGGTCCGGCGGAGGGTCAGGTTGAGGGAGACGTGGCCTTTGCCTATGGGAGTCTGTGGGGAGATTAGTATATGCAGGTAGGAAGTTGTGGGGAGGGACAAGGAGAGGGGACATACAGCTAAAGGACCCTTCAGGGCAACCTTGTTCCGCGTCACGCTGTCGATCGCCTCGTCGGGGATCACCGTCTTGCCGTCCTTGAGCTGAGGAGTAACATCTACGGGTTCCCACTTGATCGGGACCTGCGATTGCTTAGTCGCATGCTCGCTTCAGAATCTGCGAACCTTGTATCTAATCTTACATTCGCGGCAGAGTAAATGTCCTTGACGGATTGCGAGATCTCGGGCCCGATGCCGTCGCCCTCGATGAGCGTGACGAGGAATTTTCCGTCATTGCCCTTCGTGCCCGTGAATACGGCGACCTTGTCGGAGTCGGAGGTTTTGGCATAGCCTCGCCATGAGGCTGCGGGTGTCATGCGCGGAGCTGCCCGCCGCAGGCATTGTCTCGCCGGCGCGGCGAATGTGCGAGTGGCCAGCATCTTGGTGATTGACGGAGAGGCCAATTGACAGGTTGCAGTGGTGGTGAGACCTGCAGCGCGGCTGGTTGTGTGGGAGGGATACCTTGGGGAGGGCGGGGAGCGGTGGTGGAGCTTGATGCAGGTCGTGAAGAAGCAAAGCAAAACGGAGCTTGGGCGTCTGACGAACTGTGCGGCATGATCAGTTGCCAGAACCGTTGCGCCGCGAACTCACGCAGTCGCCGAACTCTATTATGTTGCCAGCTACAGAGGAGGAAGCTCCAGAAATCTAAGGGCACTGTCAATCATAAGGAAGTTCCAGCTCCTTGCCATCTGGATTTGGTGGCTGCAAACACCCATGCCTGAGCTGTACGAAGCCGCCGATTTCCAGATATAGCTCCCCTATACACCCGCCTCAATACCACCCCAGCTGTCTATCAAGTGACACTCCAAGTCGGAGCAATCTATAGCAATATGGCGGACACTGAGCGCTTGCTGCTGAACCACTACAATCTGAAGACGCTGTCCCCTTCGCAATGGCCTGCCGAAAAGGATGACAGCGACGCCTCAGATGAAGAGCCGCCGCGTAACCAAAACGTGCGCAGATCAAAGTCAAGATATTCGGTTCTCGAACGTGGCGCGAGCTATCGCAACCGCAGCAGCGTCCCGGGCACGCAAAAGACGAGCGAGGGGAGAGAGAACCTAGTCCAGCAGGACGAGCCAGACCCACTGGGCGCGTCACGAAGTGTAGTCCAGGTGCTCCGCCAGCGAGGGCTGCCCGTCGACGATGACTTGGAGCTCAGAAACCGCTTCCTCCTCTCCTCGAACACCTTCGCCCCTACGTTGTTCCTCTCCCAGGTCCACAGCGAAGCCTCAACCGAAGCCCTCCTCCAAGGCCTCGACTTCCTCTCCCGCTCCATCGAGAAGAAGTCTGCATCCCTCAAAGACCTCGTGGAGTCCAACTTCGAGCGCTTCGTACGCGCTAAAGCCACAATCGACAATGTCTACATGGAGATGCGCAACCAAGGCGCTGAACCAGAGCAAGTCCGGCCACGTTCAGGGCACGCACGCACAACAAGCAGGACTGGCGGGCATATGCGGAACGTAAGTAATCCGCTCAGTCCGCTCAGTCCTACACGGGGCATGGATAAGCCGTGGCCGAGCGAGAAGAAAAAAAATGCGCTGGCAAAGGAAAGCGAGTACGGAGTTCTGGGTATAAAGGTGCCGCTCCTAGAAGCAGCTGTAAAAGCGGAAGAGCTGTGGGGACCGGCGCTAGGTGAGCGCGCTAGGGAGGAGACAATCAAGGCTACGCTGTCCACAATAGAGCAGAATCGGGCCTTGTTCGAGATTGGCGCCTCGATCCACGACTGCATCAAGAGGAAGGACCACACGACGCTCGTGGAGGAGTATGCCAAAGCTCGAAGGTATGCAGAGAACGCCAAGGGCGTGGCAGACAACGCGGTGCAAAACCGGGTTCCCCTGACAGATCCACAAATCCATCAAATTATCGTTACGGCGCGTATGTGGAGTGATGTGGAAGAGCAGATCGAGGGCTTTAGGAGGGATGTCTGGCGGCGGCTGGCTGGAACTCACTTTACCAAGCAAAAATCTACCGAGGAAGACAAGCCCGAAGAGCACATGGAGCTGATCAAGGTCCTGCTTGAGCTGGGTGTCGAACAGAGCCCAATCGACGTCTGGCTATTCAGCCGTTACGACTATCTCAAGAGCAAGATCACGGCTGTATCCGAAAGGATGAGAGTAGAGATAGAAATCTTGCGCCGACGTCTGGCCAATAGCGATAGGCCCAGCCAGAAGCAGCTTGCGGCTCATCTCCGCTCCGTTAAGGAAGGTGGTCCGACAGATGCAGCGCACCTAGACTCGCAGAAAGTCGTTGAGTTTTGGGAGTATACTCACGATTCGCTAGCAGGTTTGCTCTCCTCCAAAGGGGGTGTGCTCGGCGAAGTCATCGAATTTTGGGAAACCGCCCAATCCTTCATCGATGGCAAAGCGCAACGCACACTACCCGTCGGTCTCGATGGAGGGAGCCGAAAACATCACCGTCTATCTACCGACGGCATCAGAGATCTACACGAGGGCGCCCGCGAGTTAGTCAAATTACTCCGTGAAAGTGTCCTGTCCTTTTTCATCGATCCCCCAATCGACGATATCTCGCAGCTGTACTCCCCTGCTACGCCCGACACACCAAAGACGCCTTACTCAGCTACCCTGACCCCGCTCAGCGACAAACGCTTCAAGTTCGACCCCAACAACCTGCCTCCACCTTCGCCAAGCCGCGGCGAAGCATGGGAGAAGTACGCATTCTGGCCGCCCTATGCTACTTCTCTGAGCGGTGCCCAGTACCTCAGCCGCATCCTTACAACCATCGGAACCGCAGCATCTGACCTGGCGAGGCTTTCATTCTTCCGCGATGGCCGCACCTCCCCGGACGAGCTACGCCATCTCGTCAGCACCGTCAGAGAACGCTGTAACAGTGCTGTGTGCGCAGCCTGGGACGGGGATGCGGCGCAGCTCAAGCTGCTTGAAACCTGGACGCGATCGGTCGACCACCCGCATCTGACCACAATGCCTGAGCGCTTCATGGCTTTTGAGATGTTCATGCTGAACGGCATACAGAAGATTACGTATCTCAGCGACATCAGAGGGGCGGGAGATGTCATTGCTAGTCCCAGTGCGAAGACTGCACAGGTTCTCAAGAGTACCTTCATGAACAGCTTGTATAAGACGCTTAGTGGAATGGTGGAGAACGCTGAGAAGGGTACTAAGAGTGAAGATGAGGTTGAGGATGCTGACGGGATTACTGTACCCGCGAGTGGCCGTAACGGTGGATCTGACACCAGTCTCGGAGCTGTGGATGCAAGAAAGAGGGTAAGAATCCCTTCCTCCTCTCTTCTGATGACCGAAGTGGTCACCACCAGTCCAGCACAAGGCGTGTCAGGAAGTCTTCCAACCACGTACAAACCCGCAGTCGTCGATGATTACGAACAAGATCAAACTAACGCTCCCCATCCAGTCAATCCGCCTCCTCCTAACCCTCAGCAACCTCCAACAGCTCCAACGCGAAACTGTCCCTCAACTCCTCTCCCAATATGAAACCCTCTTCTCAGCCAGCCTAAGCACCGAGTCCCAAACCCTCCGCGACGTCCTCTCCCAACTCGAGTCCCGCCTCTTCACCTCCTACCTCCAGCCGATCACCCACTCCCTCTCCCGCACCATCCACGACGGCATCCTCTCCGCCTCCTGGCCCCCAACCTCCAACCCCACCGACGCGCGTCCCTACGTCTACGACACCCTTCTGACCCTCGTCCTCGTGCACACCGAAGTGTCGACCACGACGCCGCCGCTGACGTCGACGGTCCTCGCGCACCTCCTCGCTGAGATCTGCACGGCCCTCATCGAGGCCTTCAAGCTGAGAGAGCGATACAGCCTCCTCGCGCTCATGCAGGCGACGCTGGACACGGAGTTTCTGGCCCAGACGCTCGGCGCATACACGACGGATAAGGCGAGCCAGGTCCAGAGTGATATCTACACGGAGCTGGATGCACGGACAAGCGAGCACGCGAGGCGCGGGCTGCAGAGTGAGTTGGGCGGGCTGAGGGGCGTGCTTAAGGGGTTGAGGGAGGGGACGAGGGTTGAGTTGTGAGCTTCCCATCCCGTTTCTTTTCCTTTACTTGGCATGCCAGGTGCTTCGATGTGGTAACGTAGAATGCTGACTAGCTGGGATCGTATAGTGCGTGTTTTAAAAAGCAGAGGGGGAAGACGGAGAGGGGTGGTGACCGGCCAGTTTCGAGGGCTTGAGAGTTGTTCTGCTGCATAGCTGGTATTGATCTCCCCAAGCCGATGCCGCAGTCAAGGTAGGAGGGAGATGGACAGACTATGCATTGCGCGCTCCATAGCAAGGCTACGGAGCGAATTGATCTCGCGGCTAGGGGCGAATCTCGTGTCCGGCTCATGTTCTTGGGTTGGGGTCCGACACAAGCGTGATACTCGGTAAATCGTCATAGAGATAGAAGAAGTACCGCGTCTATACTATTCATAGTGATTTTATGCTACGCTGCGTGTTCTGGAGCGTGAAAACGATGATGCGACGCTTTCTAAAGACCTGAGACCGATAGAGATGGTAACCGCGCCTGCGAGCAAGAATGTAGTGGAGACCGCTGAGAAGTGTGGGGTGTGTGAGTGCATTGACTGGCTTGTTCAAAAAATTGTAGATGACTAGATTGGAGTCACGAATAGGTGATTTCAATTAAAGGGTGATTCCGCTCAGGAAGGCGCAGCGTGAAGCATCATAAACTTGCGGCTTAGAAACTTACGCTCATGGCAAGATGGCCGAGTGGTTATGGCGCGTGACTCAAGTTTCTTAACTTGGCTGCATAGCAGTCTGCGTTCTCGTGGAGAAATCCGCGTGGGTTCGGTAAGTTTACGATTCGATCATTCCCAATATCCAAACGATGCTAATCAGAATAAAGAATCCCACTCTTGTCACCATATTTTTTTTATCTTTTTTCCGATGCCTTACCCAAGATCCTTCCTTCCCGCATCATTCCTGTCTTTTTGCGAGCTGGCAGACACTGCAATTTGGACACCATATGGGCTAAGGGCGGACTGAATTAACCGCGGCCGTATCGGGCTACCAAAATGCCGTAAACCGGTACGGCCGCGATTAATTCAACCCGCCTTTGGGGGATATTGTTTGCCGAGGCAAAACGCCAGATTAGCTCCAACCTGCCCCCTCACCCTTCATCTCTCCCCACGAGTTACGCGTCAACCCAGCCCCTTGCAGCGCGGCCTCCACGACGGTCCCTTCTCCGGTCGATCTCCCGGACTTTTGATGATGTGGGCCAAGGGGCTCAAACAGGTACGGCCGCAGAGAAAGCTGGGATGCATGACGATCAAGCGCGGGGAGCTATTGCAGACTAAGTTATGGGGCTTCTAATGGCTTGCTCGATCCGTATATAGATCGCACCCCTCTCATCGAAGTCCTCTCTAAGCTTTTCATCCACAATAAAACAGACACTTTCGTTGTCAATCGCTCTCTGCCGCGTATCAAGACCAACATGCGTGCCTCTACTCTTAGCCTCAAGGCTGCAACAGCCGCCCTCATCCTCGCCAGCGCCGCCAATGGTCAGGAAATTCCACCTGACTTCACCATCAGCTCCGATACCCAGCTCCTCGCCGCCTACGGTACTCCCCCAGATGTCACCGTCGTCGAGCCTGGCGTCCTCCTCGACTTCGCCATTCCCCGGCCCACCCCTCCCGCTCTCGGCCTCGCCGCTATCCCCAGCGGTACCACAGGCCCCTACATGATCGTCATGACCGACCCGGACGCGCCGTCCCCCCAGAACCGCTCCTCATCTGAGATCCTGCACTGGATCCAGTTGGACGTCGCTCTCACCGTCAACCTGTCTCCCTCTGGATCCGGCGCCGCCGCCTTCCCGTACGTTCTCGCGAACACTTCGGCCCCGCTTGTGCCCTACGCGCCCCCGGGGCCGCCTGCGGGCTCGGATCCGCACAGGTACATCTTCTTCCTGTGGGAGCAGCCCGAGGGCTTCGCGCTCCCGGAGGGGTACACGCAGTTCAATGCCACCAATAGGCGGCTATTTAATGTCTCGGGCTTCGCGGCCGCGGCTGGGTTGCCCGAGCCGCTTGCGGCCAACTATTTCTTGTGTGAGAGGCCGGATAACGCGACCGCGACGGCGACGGCGACGAGCAGCGGTGTGGCGGGAGCGACGAGTGCGGCAGGAAGCGCGACCACTTCGTCACCGGCTCAGTTCACGGGTGGGGCGGTGGGTTTGAGTGTTGGCGGTGCAGGTGTCTTGGGGGTGGTGGGTGCGTTGGCCGCTGCGCTTTTGTGAGAATGTAGTGGAGTGTGAGGGCGGGAGGGGGCTCTTAACGGACTGAGTGTGTGGTGGGTCTGGTACGTAGAACAATGTAGCTAATCGGAAACATGAAAGCCTGCAGCAATGGAGAGGAGATACTTTCACGAGTTTATACAAGCAGCGCCTTTGTAGTGGTGCTATATCACTCGTACAATTTGGGGTTTGAAAACGTGCTGGGAACAATCCGCAACACTTGCCCAGAATTCTTCAAGCCTCACAATCCATCACGCGCAGCTCATCTGTCAATATTTTCTTGGCCATACTCTCGGCGTCGCTCACACTCTTTGCCATATCCACCCCACCTCTTTTCTGCTTCTTTCTGCCCCCCTTCTATTTTCTTTGCCTTCCGTTTCACCTCCCTGCTCTCAACATATTGATTCCACTTACGCAAGAGCTTCCATTCCACCATAGCATACTCAATGCCGTAATCCAAGCGCACGACCAACTCCACGAACATGACGGTGTCGCCCGGAATATCCTGGAGCAGCCGCCACCGAAGACTGCCTTCCGGAAGATAGCGACGGTGGTGGCCGAATGGCGGTTTGGAGATCCCTAGGGCTGCTGCGAGGCTCCGGTCACGCTCCCGGATCTTCATCGTGTTGTCTGGGGTTGTGTCGGCGGTGGGAGCGATGAGGGTTGCGGTTTCGGGCATGGGAGACTGCCACGTGATCCCGCTCATAGAAACCCGCTCATAGAAACCCGCTCATACATTCCCGCTCATACAAACGCCGCTCACACATCGCTCATACAAACCCCGCTCACACATCGCTCATACAAACCCCGCTCATACAACCCCGCTCACACAGCCCCGCTCATACAATCCCGCTCATATACAACGGCACAACCAGCTCCTCTTACTTCCTTCCGGGGAACTTCGTTCACCTAAACCGCGGAAGCTTTTCTGGAGAGTTCAGCGCTCACCGATATCCCGTGTGACCCCAGCGGGATAGAACTTGGAACTACTTTCACATTTCTACATGAATGTTACCGAGCCGTATCTACCTTTTCCAATCCATTGGAGGCATCAAGAAATCCACACCAGCTTCGTGTATGCCTCCAAACGCCAAACAAGCCCGAGCCGGAATTCATCAAGCCTCCCCTCCACCGTCCTTCCGCCGTCGTATCAGCACGAATCCTCCAGAGAAACCTGCCTAACAAACACACCACACACGACACCACTCTCCGTTCCTCCACTTCCCTCTCATGCCATCCCACTAACCTTCCTCTGCACCAACCCCCTCCTCGCCCACCCCCCTCTCCCCTCCTCAGCGACTTTCCCACTAACATCCCGCCGTCCCAACAACGCACTTCCCAAATCCCCACCCTCGTCAAGATCCACGCCCGTCCTGCTAACGACCCTCGGACTATCCCTCGTCCCGTTCCCATAGTTGCCATACTCAGGTGCCCCGACGTACTCCGGCGCACCAACGAACTCGTACTGCGACTTGACCGACTTGATGGATGGCGCGTTCGTAGACCCCTGCCGCAGAATCCCCTGCGTCGCGGCCTTGAGGTCGCCGTAGTAGCGGCCCTTCGTCCCCGTGCGGGTGAGCGTGCTGGGCCGGCTGGAGGTGCTGTGCTGGGAGGAGGTTGTTAGGGCGCGGCCGATGGGGGAGGGGGCGTAGGGGTCGTGAGAGAGGAAGGCGTGCTGTTGCTGCTGCTGGTAGGAGGGCGTGGTTGGGGTGGGCGGGTTCATTTGGAGCGGCTGGAGCGGGAGGGAAGCGCCTCTCTCGCTGTCAGAGTAGTCTTCGGGTGCTTCATGGCCGTAGGCTGGTAGGTGTTGATAGGAGCGTGCCTGCGGCTTCTTATAGTTGAACGGGTCGTGCTCGCTGTCGGAGTCGGAGCCGGAGGAGGCGTGCACGAACCAGTTGTCGTCGGTCAGCGATGTCTTCTTCTCGTGTGATGGCATTGATTTTAGAGCGGGGAGTGGCTTCTCGTCGTAAGCTGCAGTCTGGGGTGGTGGCCCGGAAAGGAAAGAACCCCGCTTAGACTGCACGCCAGTTGCTTGCTGCGGTGACGGTACCCTCGAGTTTCGGGCTGAGCTGGGCATGGATGCTATGTCTGCGGCAGTGGGCTCAAGGAAGGTCGAGGCACGCTGGCTCGGTGGACCGCGGCTCCTGCTGCGGCTGCGACTGCGAACTTCGTCAACTCTGCTATGGCTCCTGGAATGATAGCTCGGCGTGGGTCCCCTGCTACGGCTTCTTTCGCGAGAGTGTAAATCTGCCCGAGAAGTGCGAGCGGAGAGACGTTCTTGGTACACTTGTTCAGGGAAGTTCGTGCGGCTTAGACGAGCGGTTTCTGGGTTGTGAGGGGAGAATGTGGACGAAGAGTCTGTGCGGCTGTGGAAAAAGGACATGGCACGCGCATCTGAGATCAGTGGCTCTGCGGCCTGAGAGAGGCGCGAGGGGGCGCTGAGGGAGAGAGTGCTGCCAGTCATGTCGCTGATGCGCTTCTCCGACAGGTTGCTCTGTACGGTGATCTCGGAGTTCTTGTGCTTATGCTTCGAGGCCCGCCGGGTCAGGTTGTCTTCGAGCGGGTTCATGTCTGGTGGCAGGCGTGCAATGCGGCGGAAGACGACGACAAGGTAGAGATCCAACAAGAGGGATATCAGATGCAGGCTGCCCTGAGCCACGGCTGTGAGCCACGTTGCAAGGAGTAGTTTTCCTGTTGCACTATCGGAGTTGAAGAAGCTTGTCCAGCGTTGGTCTGTCTCTGGCGCTTGGCCGTACTTCGAATTGGCCATCATGGCGATGAAAACGTAGAAGGGTATCATGCCGGTATCCATGAACAGAGCGAAGAAGTGATAGCTAGCGGAGCTGGCGGGTGTGCGACCCTTGGCTGGACGCATGAGATGGTAGATGGCGTAAAGTGTAATCAGGAGGTCAACGCCCGGCTGAAAAAAACAGGTCAACAATCTAGTCTAGCAGAATGGATGGTGCGAAGGTCTCACGGGTATCCTGAGGATCCAGCCCTCAGCATCTTGCGTCCCCTTGATGCAGATGACGCAGACCAACATCCCAATAGCACCAACGAGCTGCAGTATCCGGAAGCCTAGCTGGACCCATCGGGTCCATTTGATACCATTCTTCGTATTTGGATTCAGCGGCTTAACATTGGTCTGGCCGTACGGCAGGATCAGGTAGCTGTCCGGATGCCGGTTGAAATTGACAAGTGGTCCCTCTTGCTTTGGCCTAGGCCTCGGCGGCGGCGCTCTGCTGGCCATGGTCGCAGCCTTCGGATTGAAGCCATTGTACGGGTCCAAGGCTGAGTATCTCGCTGGCTGTTCGTAGAGGTACGGTTGGCTGCCGCCCATTGCAACGGTACGGTAGCGAGTGCGTGCGTAAAGAATGTAGATGCAACACGTGGAGTACGAAGGAATGCAATAGCAAGACTTGTTAAGACAGCGAATGGAGATCGTCTCAGCCGTGGAGGAATGAAAGCTTCACGGATTAGAGGGACTGTAAAGGAAATGATGTAGAGTATAAACGGCGGTTCTCATCGTTTCCACAGCAACAATCTCACCTTGTCAAAGCTTGGCCTCCAGTCAAGGGACGCCATGCTGAGTCCTGGGGACTGCAGTCTCAGGCCAACATGCGGGGATCCGAAGACGCCATCGGTTCTCCAAGAGAGAACGGGCGGTGGGCACGTCTATCATCTTGTGATCTAGAGCGGTGTTGCTGCGGCGAGGGTCGACCTCGGTGGCGTTCAGAAAAGCGAATTCGCCAGAATCTGCCGCTTGATCCACCATCATCACCATGTCTCGAGAAACTAAACCTTGCCTTATCGTGCCTCGTCGCCTTGGTCCTACAGGGCTTAAATGCGAGGGCGCTGTTTCGAGGTGGAGGTGTTGGTGTTTTGGAGCCGTGACGTAGTTTGAAGTCTTCGAGCCGCCGCGGCAAATCATCCTCCAGGTCATGCAACTATTCCGACGAAAGCAATATATCTGCACGAGCTGCGCTGAGGCGCTCAAGTCGCCATCGCGACGGGGGATCACTAGCAGTATCCATGGCTACCGACGCCCCTACAGCAGTACGGTGCCAGGTAGAAAGCCGCTTCGCCTGGCGGTCCTCGGATCAGGCCCAGCGGGCTTCTATACGGCATATCGGGTGATGCACAAGCTTCAAGATGCTGTGGTGGACATGTACGAGCAGCTGCCGGCGCCTTACGGGTTGGTGCGATATGGCGTTGCGCCAGATCATCCAGAGGTCAAGGTACTACGGTCGATTGGATATGAGGAGTCATGTACTGACAAAATCTCACGCAGAACTGCCAGGACAAATTCGAAGAAGTAGCATCATCGCCGCGCTTCAACTTCATTGGGAATATAGACGTTGGCCATGACCTACCTCTGACCTCGCTCCGGCCGCATTACGACGCTATACTCTTCGCTTATGGTGCAGCAGAAGACAAGAGACTAGGGATACCCGGTGAGGATCTGAGGAATATATACTCTGCCCGGGCTTTCGTAGGATGGTACAACGGCCTCCCCCAATATGCGGGCCTCAGCCCAGTGCTGGACGCCGTTGAGGAGGCCGTCATCATAGGCCAGGGTAACGTAGCAATGGACGTCGCGCGCATCCTTCTAAGCGACATCGACGCGCTGCGAAAGACCGACATCACCGAGTACGCCCTAGACGCCCTATCCCGCAGCAAAGTCAAGAACGTCAAAGTGGTGGGCCGGCGCGGACCAATGCAAGCAGCCTTCACGATCAAGGAAGTGCGCGAGCTCCTGAATCTCCCATCCGTCTCCTTCGAGCCCATCCCCTCCGATCTCCTCCCTCCGGATCCGAAGAAACTCCCCCGCCAACAACGACGCATAGCAGAGATCCTCGCAAAAGGCTCGCCAACCCCTCCCTCCGCCGCGACCAAATCCTGGGCCTTCCGCTTCCTGCACGCGCCCTCCGCCTTCAACCCCTCCCCCAACAACTCCTCCACCCTCGCCAGCACAACCTTCAACCTCACGCGCTTCACCCCCGACTCCAATCCCACCGACCGCTCTGCCCGCGTCGAGTCCACGCCCGAGACCGTCACGCTCCCCTCATCCCTCGCCTTCCGTTCCGTGGGCTACAAGTCCCTCCCCCTGCCCGGCCTCTCCGACCTCGGTGTCCCCTTCGATCGCCGCATGGGCATCATCCCGAACGATCTGTACGGCCGTGTCATCAGTCCCGAGATTGGGCCCGGAGTCCTGACCGCCGGCCACGTGCCCGGTATGTACTGTGCCGGGTGGGTGAAGAGAGGGCCGACGGGCGTGATTGCGAGCACGATGGAGGATGCGTTTACGTCTGGTGATGTCATTGTGAGCGACTGGGAGAACGGGGTGCCGTTTTTGAAAAACAATGGGGAAGGGAGTACGGGGATGGGGTGGGAGGGGGTTAGGGGAGAGGCGGAGAAGAGGGGATTGAGGAGGGTGAGTTGGGAGGAGTGGAAGAGGATTGATGAGGTGGAGAGGGAGAGGGGGAGGGTGAAGGGGAAGGAGAGGGAGAAGTTTACGGATGTCCGGCAGATGTTGGAGGTTCTAGACTCGTAGATTCCTGGATCGCAAAGTCGATGCAACCGGGCATTCAATTGGAACCCAATTGCCTACAGCGAGTAAGACGGGTGCGTGCGAACCAAACCCAGACGTGATTTTAACTGGACGAGAAAAGGCTGCGACGGTCTGTTTGAAATCAGGTGCTTCGCGTACATCCGCACGATCCTCGTCAAAAGTATTCCCCCGAAGATGTCTGCAATGACCAACTATGCCGTCCGCACCATGCTGCTTACAGGAGTCGTAGATCATGTATTGAAGCATCTCTCTGTGTATCTTCCCAAGTGCCAAATAGACTCGAAACAGAGCGTCATGCCTTACAAGCCGGATGTGAGTGTCTCGGAGGCATCACAGGGAAGCAGCTCGGAATCGACCACCACGAAGCAGTCGTCGGAGTCGTCAGATGCTTCGGAGTCTGTGATTACAATGACTTCAGCGCGCTCTGGAGTGTCGACATCGTCTTCGGCATCAAAGTACTCATCGACCTCAATAACGTCCTCTTCATCAACGTCGTCCTCGGTGTCGGAAGCAGACTCCATGGAAGCGTCAAAGTCAGATTCGTAGTCGGACGGAAGGCCATCTCCAGGGTTGCGGTGAACGCTGGTTTCCTCAACTTTGATGTTGTGGGCAAAAGGCTCAGGCGAATCTTCCTTGAAAGGCGTTCTCAGCTTCCAGCGACGCCTGGAAGCTATCAGTAAGCCCTTACAGAAATAGCTCGATGATAGCCTACGGTAGGTTTGTTTCCTTGCGGACTTCGAGCGGGATCTCTAGGACAATCCTCCACTGGCCGTCCCGCTCCCATGTCGGATGGACCAATGGGGCGCGTGCCGATGGAAGGCGTCGGTAGGCTGCCTTCTATTTAGTTACAAAGTGGTCAGTAGGCGCTCGTAGAATACCGACAATCAGCATGTATCTTTCCATGACATAATGAGCAACTTACAAGCTCAGCATCCATCTTTCCGACGCGGTCCTTGGGAAGAACCTCGAACTCGTTTAGATCAGAGGGGTTAATGAAGCCAAGTCTGACGCCTTCAGCTGAGAGGTTCCTCCAGGTGCTCACAAGCCATTGGTCTTGACTGTACATCTTGACGATCTTATGTAGAGCTTCTTGGCTGATAGCAGCATTTTTCTTCTTCACCTTGGGCATCGTAGCGATAGTTCGATGGCTGAATGGAAGTGTGGAAGTACGATGCAAGAAGACGAGAAGGTCAAGATTGAAATAGATCGGCCTTGAAGGCCGAGTGAATGACCACAAGGCATCCGATAAGGCAGCAAGCGGATTAACATTGACGAAATCCTGCAAAACTGCAGAGGATCAAAGTGAAGTGAAGAAACGAGATCACAATGTTCCTATAACCTTCTGGCGTCGAGAGCACAACGAGCTCGAATTCGCTCATTTGTACAACATCCGATATACGTGCTCGCCGATAGCCAGCGAGCTGGTCAATCCGGGGCTTTCAATCCCCAACAGGTTGATGAAGCCCTCGAACCCATCCTCCTTCTTGATGTAGAAGTCCTGGAAGCCCTTCCCAGTGGCGACAGCACCCAGCTTTCCAAGCTTCGGCCTGATGCCCGCATAATCTAGGCCCACGGCATCTCGGTCAATGCCGGGCAAGTATGTCTGGATGTCGTCAAGCGCTTCTTGTAGTCTGCTGCCATTCACAGCGTAGTCATTTGGATCCTCAATCCACTCAACATCAGGCCCGAAGCGTATGCGACCACTCATGTCGATTGTAAGGTGGGTGCCCAGGCCGCCATGGCCAGGTTGTGGAGCGGGATATACGAGTGTCGAAGGCTTCGGCTTTGAGGACGAGTAAGAAAAGTACGAGCCTTTGGCGTAGTACGGTTTCCTATGCCTCTCCTTCGGAAGAATCATGTTTGACAACGGTATCGCGAATAGCCCAGCGGAGTTGATAAGAACGTCTGCGGTTATGGCGTCTTCCGAGTCCTTATCCCGAGTATCATCTGGCTTCGTCCATATCTTCCAGCCACCTTTGCCATTGTCCAATGCTTCGATCCGGACCACTGGCGAGTGAAAGGCGCATATGCCTCCCCGGTCCTCGAAGTCGCCTTCCAGAAACTGCATGAACGAGTGGCTGTCAATGATCCCGGTCGAAGTGCTCTCCAGGATGCCCTTCTCAGCACGCACGTCCGGCTCGCGCTGCTTGCCCTCGTCTAGCGGAACAAAGCGCGTCGGTACGCCAACGGACTGGGCGAAAGAGTGGACCTTTTCCAGCTCGCCCATCTGCTGCTCGTTCTGCGCCACTATCCACTTGCCGCAGTTCATGTGGGGAATGTCGTGCTTTTTGCAGAGGTCGTACATCATCTCCTTGCCTTGGAGGCAGAGCTTGGTTTTGAGGGAGTCAGTGCCATAGTATAGGCCGGCGTGGATGACCTGGAAGGTGGAATAGCCCAGATTAGCATCAAATTCCGAAGCATGGTTTGAGGACGGCAGTTAGCGGGCTGTTTACCTCTGAGTTTCGGCTGCTCGTCTCTGTGCCTACGCTCCCATGCCGCTCTATAAGCACCGTCGATGCACCGTCCTTCTCTTGCAGCTTCCGTGCAATCGCTAAGCCTACTGCTCCACCTCCGATCACTGCATGTGTGAAGTCTGCATTGCATGCCGCAGACGTGGAAAAGGCACGTTCGATGTGGGTAACCTGCTTCCGAACCGAGCGCGCAAACATGGCTGATAGAGTGCTTCTTGGACTGGTCGTAAATGTGTATGTATATACAGATGGCAGTTGCGCCGGAACCAGCAAGTTAACGCCAACCCTCGAGAACGAGACAGAAGAGAGAGAATATATACAGTGTAGAGCTGTGTGTCGTTGTCCGTCCTAAGGTGACGTCGGGGGCCGCGATAAGCTCCCGATCTGTGACAAGGATGCCTGATGAGGTGGAGGAGACCCAATTGACAGCCACGTGACATTCGGCTCTATATCAATGCTTGCCCGGAGGGTCAAAGGTGGTCTCAATCCGGGCACAAGGAACTCTTCGGATCAGCTCAAATTGAGGTCTATCAAAGGCGCTTTCAAGACTACTATTATTTCCTCTCTTGAAGCTGGTATAGACACATCTGCGGTATTACTACAGAGTACTTATGTTCAGCCTCAGGATGGTACGCCCTCATAGTCCCACCCATCATCCCCTTTCCTCCTCCTCCCTCTCCTTGAGTTCCGCCTATTAGCAGCGCACTTCACAAAGACCGTTAATGCTGCCAACACAAAGACGATGACAGCAGCCACCGTCGGCACCACCACCACTCTCGTCCGATCCGCTTCCTCATCGTTCACGTAAGGACATGTCGAATTGATGCCCGAGACCCAGCAGCCGGCTTCATCCAGCGCATTGAAGTTGACCCATATGGTGGCATTCCTGTCCTCAGCGGTTTGCCTAGCCGCATCCAGGAGGTACGTGCTTTCCAGTGCAGTGCGTGGAACAGCGAAGCTAGAACCGTCCGGACAGCTGTTGCCACTGGAACTGTAGCTAGCCTCATCCGAAGATACGCGCCAGACATAGGGCTGGTTGTTAACGCGGCAGGCAGCGCGGTGGCGCTCGGAGCATCTGGTAACGCGCCAGCGGCCGGTTTCATTGACATACATGAGCGCGCAGCGGTCTCTACCTTCAGAGTCTTCATTGTTGGTGATGTTGCGAGGCTCGCCAGTGGCCCATGACCAGATGGAGCTGTAAGCGATCGATTTGTAGAAAGTGATGTTCTCCCCGGCTGTGCTGTTCAAAAGCGTCTGGTTGAGGAGGAGAGAAAGACCACAAGAGGTAAGATTAGAAACAGATGCTATCGTGGTGTTGTAAGAGCCACTGCCAAGTTCCGGTACCCTGATGTTAGAGGAGAGCGCCCACGATGAGTTTACCGCTGAGACGGTAGAAGCATCTGGATCAAAGACGCATCCACTTGTCAGTTGACCTGTGGCACCGAAGGTTGTACCGCGGAGATCTTGAATGTATCCCGGTGGGAAAAGGATACGGCTATCACCGGTGAAGTTATACTCGGCCATCTGAGGATCGACTCTACCAAAACCAGCGAGAGCTCGAAGATACCGGCCGAACACCAGGTATCCTGTCCCCGGCCAACCGTCGGAGCTCGTAGCCACGTTAGCCTGCCGCATTGCCGTGCTATAGTACACCGAATCTGGTCTGGTGGACCGGAGTCCGGTATACCAGGTTGAGTTGATATCGGCACGGCCTTGCTGGAGTGACTCAGGCGTGTAAAGCCAGGCGGACAGGTTCGCATTTAGGAACGTACCAAGTAGACTGTCAGAGTTCGGTAGAGCATCAGCAACTGGCGCTTCAGCGGGCTCCAAGGGTGACGATTGGGATACCGCTGCATGGATGTTGAAGACCAAGTAGTGTATAGTAGCCTGCAATGTGGTATCGGTGTCGTCAAAATAGTCTCTTAGGATCCCTGTGAGCAAGGGAAGCCCGACTGTTCGGGTGCAATTGTACGGGCCAACTTCAATCAGCATTTGCCCGTTTGGGGTTACCGAAGTTGGCAATGGGATAACCGTGGAGCTCGTTGTAGTGCCACTGGTAAGGTTGCCTGCTATCGAGGATGAGGAGACGGAGCTGAGGTTGGTGTCCTCTGTGGATATATTCCTGACAATAGTGCTTGTTGTAGATGCCTGACGAGCCTGCAAGGGACTAGAACCCGCTGATTGAGTTGGCACAAGAAGGGAGAGTGGAGCACTTCGATCTGGTGCGCCATTACTGAGGGTAGCGCTCTGAAAGGAATTCGTAGACGTGGATGAAACTAGTGTCGCGCTTGTTTGCATATCATCCTCAGCAGGCACGAAGGGTAGCTGTGCAGGACAGAGGCTCCATACCGCCCGGCCTGCATCCCAGTAAAGGTCGATGACGAGCCTTCTGAAGCCCGCTGCTAGGAGGTTAGAAAGACAGAGGCTTGCTGCCCGGTCTTCATACTGGTTATGAGCGAAGCATGCCGCGGTGAGCGAGACCCCCGGTGCGGTCACATAGTTGATAGGGACTTGAAGAGATAGGTCCCGTTGAGACTATCCACCAGATTAGCACGTAATCAAGCAGGATCGGTTCAGGCATTATATTGTCAATAACAGGAATCTATAAGAGCGGTTCATACCAAGAAAGCTGTACTCCATGGGTCTTCAACGCGTGCGGTGTTACTCGGATCATAGTCGTACTCGTGTTCTGTCGTCATGAATGGAAGAGAAGAGGCCTATTAACTATGTACTACCTGGGAAAAGCATCCACAGCGTCTCGAATCCGAGAGAATTGCAATATCTACATTGCCGGCCGCATCCCAAGATGTCGTAACGTCGTTGCCCTACGATCGTCCGCTGCGACTCCCGAGCAAAGCGGGAACAGCCGAGCCGAGGGTTTCGGGCCGACCTCCTCCAACTCAAACCCGACTCCACGAACAAAACCTTTGGAACTCTCAAATGAACTCAGTGACGGTATCGTGTTCACGATGTGTAACGCGCAACGCCTGCAGCAACCGATAGCCTTGGATACACTGTACTGCAGGGGCCCAGGCGCATTCAACGCGTAACGAATCATGGGGGAATCCACCACTTGACTCTGTCCCCAGTCCCCCACTCAAAAGCACTTAAATGACCCGACAAAATCACATCGGCACAGCCGTTTCATACCCAAGTCAGTTCCTGCCGTTCCACGGGAACCGCTCCCCTTGATCCATGGTAGAAGGGCAGCGGCATGTACCGGGAATCTGTATCAGTCTAGAACACTGCAGTCATCTCATCTCAGCTGCTTGGGAAGGTAAGAACGCGCAGCCCCACGCTCCAGCCCCTTCATCCCGTCCTGCATCTGGTGCATCTGGAATTCCACGCACTCGCGTCACGCTGCTTAAACATGTCCACGCGAAATGCAGCTGCCCTTGTCGGGAATTCTGTAAACTATGAAGCCGGAATTCTGCAGCTCGCTCCTGTGACGTGCGTCACTAGCGCGGTCGAAGATTTGGAAGGACTTGCATCACTAAGAAGCGGGCCGCGGAGTGCTTCACGAGTCATGTTGATGGGGTCAGAGTACCGTGGGTAGTGACAGTGGTGCTTTTGCCCAGATTTTTGATTGCTGACGACCTGACTAACGGTCAAGCCCATGCGCGGGGGGTTGAGCAGCTTTACAAATGATCTATCCAGGACTGCAGTGGGTATCCAGATATGCCCCTTGGCTGTGACGCCATCAAGAGAACGCCATTACATGATCGAAAGGATGGACGCGAAACGCGCTTGTCGGTAGAAGAAGACTCAACCTTTTTGGGCGATCGGACAAGAGTGGTATCGATGACAAAGTGAGCGAAGAACCAAAAGGAGAACAAATGGGACCGCCAAAACAACAACGCTGTACATGCCACCTTTCTCGTGACGTCGTGGGAGACGACAATATGTTGATTACCATCAACCAGTAAGCTCGTGCAGTACGTAAACATGTAATGCAGCGTCGACAGAGTGATGTGGGCTCGCAAGAGCTAGATGTTCCGAAAGTTGTCAACCATGTCCGACAGAAGGAACCGAACACCATAGGGTCTGAGTGAGTAAGTCACGACAGGTATGGTGTACGATGAGTTTCTAAGCAGGTCGACATTGTTGCGATTGCTAGCCCTTAGTGTTGTGTGTATTCATATAGGCAAATCCAGAGAAATGATCGACGGTAGCTGCTGCAGAGGAGAGATCGGGGGAGGAAGCGGCCGTTGCCCAGCGGGCAAGGGTGGCGACGGTCCTGTCGGCGGGCCTTCGCAGCTGAACTGTGGAGGTGGTAGATGCAGTGCAGGTTTAGGGAAGATCGGATCAGAAGGGCTGTAGCTTGGTTGGACTGGCTGAGGGTGGACAGAGACTGTCTGGCTGTGGCTGAGATGTGTAGGCTGATGGTAGAACGAAGCTGGTCGACTGTAGTCAACTGGTCTAAAGGTCGGTTGCGCTGTCGGAGCGCCTAGCCTTGGTAGCTCAAGGGTTGGACACGATCTGTCGCCGACAGGTGCTAAATGAGTCTCCTCCTCCGTGGCAAAGCCAGTGCTGCCGTTCCTCATGATGAAGATTTGGGAGTTGCGCCTCTCTTCGCGCGAGCCGATCAGTGGAGCAAGCACGTAAGGAGAGTGAGTGCGATTTGGCGATCTTGAGTCCGAGCCATTGTCGGACATCAGCGAGGGGGCGCCCTCAGCTGAGTGCATCGAAAAGGCAGGAGAGGGGAGAGGTGTGTCGTAAGAACGAGGATTGTCGTAAGCGCGAAGCCGTGATTGCGCGTAAGGGTTGATTTCAAGCTGGTGGCGAGGATGGAAGGCAGGTTGGTCGAGGTTGTGTGGTGCACGAGGCGGAAACTGCTGATAAGGGTTGTGAGGTTGAGCGAAGTGATGGTGAGTAGCTATGTCGTGCGGATGCAGGCCGGCTGGAGCAGGCGGTGCGAAGTGATAGCCCATCGGTGTCGCTTGCGGCTGGTAAACAATCTTCGCTCGTGCATTGTCTCTCGAGCCGCGACGAGCAGTCTGATTACGCCTTCTTCGATTCTGGCCTCCGTTCCACCAGTTCTTAACGGCATTGTCGCTTCGTCCTTTCAGGTGTCGAGCGATTTCTGCCCACTTCTTGCCCATCTCCTTGACAAGCGTCTCAATCAACTCGCCTTCTTGAGGAGTGATTGGAGCATGGTTGAGCTCAGACTTGAGATTCTGGTGGTATCTCTCTCGACATTGCTTGGGCGATCGCGTACCGATTTGCTGCGAGATGCGAACCCAGTTGTTGGCGCCAGTCTGATCGATGAGTTGGAGAAGGTAGTTGTCCTCAGCCTGCGACCAAGGTCCGCGACGATGTCCAGGCATTTTTATCTGGTTGCTGTGCCGTACAAGATGATTCTCTGAACAAAAACTTGCCAATCTTCTCAAGAGGCTGCTGTAGGGCGATCAGAAAATGTTCAAGGCAACCCACAACAGGAAACACGAATAGAACGATGGAGATTAGAATAGCCTCAACCTCGGCGCTGCAACGCAACTTCCGATAGACGTGACTGATACAGGAAAGACAGGTAGAAACGTAATAGAGCGGTGTATACCTTGACGATGACGAAAGTATTACAAACACGAGAGGTGTCTGAAGAGGAGACTTGACGAGACAGTGGACCTTGGAAGCGATCGCTGTTTTCTTTCACTCAGTCGCTGGAAAGTTGAGACGTAGGGATGGAATGGCCCGCACCCGTGGGTCAGGAAGAGTGCATATAAGAAAGGCTTTCTGGGCAACGGGAAACGGCAGCACGGAAAGCGTGGGTACTTACCGACACAATGTTAGCAGAGATTGTCGAGGCTTTAGAGTTTAATGGCTTGCGTCGTCTGATGGTCCTGGCGAAGGCTGTACAAGTCCCCCGGTTGCTGATGTCCCGGACCACTGCTTCAGAGGGTTTGTGATTTGCTGCGGTGGTTGGTCAACGCTCGCAAATGGGTGACGTTTCGGGAGGAGCGCAACGCTGGGTCGGGGCGATGTGCTCGGCTTATGAGAGACGAGGGAATGGGACAACAGGAAAGGTCGCTTGGCAGGCTGGCGGCTACTGCGAGTGAGCGGCGCAAAGCTCCTGACGAGTAACCCCGAAAGGACTTGTCGAGCACGCTCGCTCCGGCATCTGGTCCGCATGGTGGGTGCGCCTATCCAGATCGCCGGGTCCTCGATGTGCAACCAGGGTGCATGAGTCTGCATGGATCAGGGTGGTGACGCCGTCCGGGACGTGACCATCTGCGTTCCCCAGCGTCCGTTCCATCTCTCCCGCACGCCAACGCTCTCTCACGGGCTACCCCTTGCGCCCCCCTCCTATCGTCGGAGGCCCGTAGCGAAAAACGCGGCCTGGCGCAGCGAAGGCCCATGCTGACCCAGCGGAGATGTCAGATGGCAGAAAGTGAACCAAGGCGCTGCCCGCGGGAGCTCATATCGTCCTGTGCGTTAGCCTCTCCGCTACCAGCGCCAGCAGCTGTTGAACCAGCGGTAGTCTGGCTGTGGTGCTGTCGCTGCCGAAATCAACAAGGTATTATTTGGCATCGCAGCGCGCCCGCGACAAACCCTTATTAATCTCTCGCGCTTGTCACAGCCAGCCAACGTGTATCGTGGAACTAAGATGACCTAGGGTTCCCCCAAGCGCTGCAACAATTTAGAAAATGGCTGACATCCCTCTCGCGGCGTGCAGCTGTAGTTGGAACTTTCAGCTGGACTCAGCAGCTCGCTTCCCTGTCACTCGCTGACATTGCCTGCATGAGGACAGCCCGCTGAACCCTGGCTTTGGAATCAAGGCAGGCGAAACCTTGACTGGTTTCATGGAACCAGGCTGGACGTCAAGAGCCCAGTCGCTGCCGACCAGCGCCGCGTGTCCAGACTGCAGAAACGATGTCGTTAAACAGGTGCCTCACCATCGCTTCTCTGCGGTTGACCTTCCAAGTTGGTGAGAGCTAAGGCACCATTTCGACCGTTGCTGCACATCGCTCATCGCAAGCAAGTTGCGGCAGCGGAGCGGTTGGTCGATCAAACGAACTGTCGGTCAAGCGCCGCTTGTCGTGGCCGCAACGGGCAGCTTGGACCTTGCGTTGAATGTCTCTTTCATTACGGCCGTAAGTGACTGGGTCCCGGTGACTTCGGTGGTCGCAGCGCAGAGGAGAGCCTGAAAGTTGAGGCTACAAGACAGCAACGCCCACACCCCTTCGGAGACGCGACCGGCCTGTCGGATAAATGAAGGAGAACGGGTTTGAACGTTGGCGCTCTGACTGCGTCATCGCAGAGATCGCGCCGTCGCCTCGGGCCTCTCGGTTTTTGATGAGTCTGGAGGCCAATGGGTGCTTGAGGATGAAATACAAATACTCCCCTGCCGCTCTAATGCCGGTCAGTCACTGGGGCAGTTTCCAGTAGACGAAAATGGCTTAAGCCTATCGGCGGATCAAGCATAGCGGCAAGCCACGCTTCCTCAACGGAGCGCCAACGACAACAGATGCTACTTTTTGGGAAGTTTGGATCGGCTGGCGCGAAGCGCGGATGCCAAACGTTGACGTTCGCAGAGACATCAGGCACATTTGCCAAGGATCGGCACCAGCAAAGGCCGGCTAAACGAGAAACGCCGCCCGTGTCGGTTAACGAAGATCATCGATCCAGCAGCTAGCGACCTTGAGCCTGCTTGGAGTCTCCCTAAATAAATGCACCATCATCATCATCTGCCGCGGTGAGCGCTGCCTCTTCTGGCGGATGAGGCCTGCGTTGTCGACGACATCCACGCCAGACAGCCCTCGACGAGCTGTCCCAGACTGCACACCTGGAGTCTTTCGCAACGACCAGGCTACGGTGCAACGTGCGAGCTTGCGAATAGGTACCTAGGTGGTCAATGTACTCGAGACAGATTACAGCCTCGGGGACAGGGGAAGGATGCGAGAGCCACGGAGCGAGGGCGTACAGACGGCGACCCCGAAGAGTGGACCATGGTTTGAGTGAAGCTGTGGCTAAGAAGATCTGGGGTTCGTTGTCCACTGTCTTGGGTGGGTGGCAGCTTGGCCGTTTGGATACCGCAGGACGCCATCGCTCTCGCACGCTCGTCAAATTATACCGCCTCGGGTAAGGCGCGGCCCGCCGCTTTGGAATGCCGTTGCACACAAGGAGGGGACGGCTCGTCGCTCGCTCGCCCCCCACGGCTCAACGACGACGTGTACAACCTGGAAGTCTCCGAGTCGTGAGCCACGCGAACCTACGGATTACCTCAGGGCAGCTCAGCTGTGTGTTGATCTCGTTCAATAGTGATCTGACGGCGAATAGGATGCCTCATCTCTCTGCCAGGGATAACGGGCAATATCGTGGACCAGTCAAGGAACATGCCGTGCAACTGCGCTTAGCCGATCAGCTGGGCGCAACGGCCGCCATGGGCGATCCTGAAAACGGCCAGTGCCTCAAATCAAAGACCCGGCCGCGTTGACGACGGGCCCTAACCCGGTTTTCATGCATGAGTTCGTTTTGGGCAGTCGCGTTTCTTTGCCTGTGGAATCCCCTGTCTGAACGACAAGGATCAGTAGGCTTTCGATCGCTCTCTGGGCTGGACAGGAGGTCTTTTCACAGCAACGCTCATCGAACAGGTCTCCTATGAGCGACGACGAGAATAGCAGTTACAGTTGCTGCAGCATGCATCTCATTCAGGATCCGACCCTTCTCTGTGGGCTGCCGTGGTCAAAGGATCACGGTAAGAGCACATGCACATGCACTGCCCTCGTGTGGTCGCACGCAGCCGTGAGAAACGCGAGCACAGCGGTCATTTGGCATCGTCGCTTAGCGGTGTTGCATGCAATTTCAGCTGCGAGAGAACAGCTCGGTACCGCGTGTCACCTAGACGTTTGAGCATTTGCAGGACTGGGGAAAGCGAGGGTGTTACAGGCGTTCCTGTCCACGGGTGTGTTCCTCTCCTCTGGAAAGCCGTTGAGCCAGCGATCGGAGCTGCGGCTGACACTGTATGATGAGCTGCCACAAGAGCCTTTCGGACTTCTCTGGTTGTCGTGCAACCGCCAGTCGTGACGTCGCGGACCAGATGGAGCGCCCACCAATAAACTGCACAATAAACTGCACATGGTATCTTTCTCCATTGACAACTTTACTTACTGGAGCATCAGCAAGGGTGACCAAAGCAAACCCTTCATAGCAGATGCCCTAATACACCAGGCCAACACGCAGTGTAATACAGAGAGACCCGAGGCAACAAATCTGACGACGGAGCCGACAGCAACCTTGTTGGTGAGTGCAAGGGCAGAAGAATGCGACGATATCACGGCAGTTCTTCGTCGGTCTACCGATAGGATTTCCGACCCGGGTTTCAAGCGCGGCAGTCATCTTGAGTTCCGCACCCACGGCCGCCACCACAATCTTTTCGTATCGCGACTTAAAATAGCCTGTTCAATCTCTTGGGATATTGAGCTTCAAGACTATCTCACAAGATTAATTGCCTGAATCCTCTGGCGCCCTTAGTATCCAGTCGGCCGGGGCTCAATGATCTCATTAAAGTAACACAGGGATGCCCTCGGCGTGGTAGCGGTCAAACTTAATCTTGCATGGTTAGAGCGCAGCCACTCCGACAACGATGAAACTCCAAACAGAGCAGCGGGACGCTCGCAGTCAATGCCGCGAACCCTCGGCTCGCCGCTCCAGCCCAGCAGAGAGGAAGCGAGGACGGTGCTGCCCGCAGGCTCTGTGCTCCCCAGTCGTGCACGGCATCAAAGTCCCGAGTGTCAGCGGCATGGGCGCTTCAAACCACCCGCACCTCCACGCCTTCCTGTAAGTCAAACTCCGGTTCCATGGATCCGATGTTCGGTTACCCCTCCATTCCTGAGATACGGCAACAAACCTTCAGTAGTTCAATCGAGCCCCTAATACTATCATAACATGCACTAACAAACGAGGATAACACCGCCGGACTCTAAAACAGGGACGGCTCGACTCGGGTTACAGATCTCACTCTCAGATCGCCAAGACTGATTCGCATCCAAGCGAGCCAATGGTGGCTTGCATCCCGACACCCAGGCTCTGTGACACCTCCCACCGCTTTAGGAAGCTGCTCCGCGCCAAGCTCTTCGTCTGTCTTTCTCGCATCTCACCATCTGTCAACCCTTGTACAGCTGTATAATTATTTGAGATCCTTCAAGCGGGTCAATATCGATCGCTTCACCCTCTGTGAACGCGCACTTGCCCTCGCCTGCAGCAACCATCAAGGTAAAAGTAATGGCTCATGAAGAAAAGCAGCAGATATTCGGCGGCGCCCTAACCACGAAGCAATAGAAATCATCAGACGAAGCCCCCTCGGGAATCCCTCATCATATGCAAGTCCCAGTTGTCTTGCACCCTCTGTGGAGCACTCTCGGCCGTTGGGATTGAAACATGCCCAATCAGGTTGTGATCGTGCCGGTAGGTGTGTATCTGGTGCGGTCTCCACGATCCTGCAGCACCACGGACAGTACCAGATCTACGCGTCCCTACTCGTCGCCATACTCCACCGTGAAGCCTACCGTGCAGTTTGAACATCCACTAGATACCATTGACGTCGGGGAGGGGGTGTCCTGGTCGTTGTGGGGGGTTCGCTTTAGAATTGGTTTTGACAAGAGTTCGCAAGACTCAGACATGGAACGGCAGCCTCGCATAGCTACTCGCATGCATCCATCCTAGATACGGTGGACCCGGGATAGACTCGGGTTCCGTATCATATGTCAGCTCAAAAGGCGTCATGTGGGGTCCTGTATTCCGTGTTGTCCTCAACCGAAGCCTCAACAGCAATCGTTTGGATATTCGTATTGCTAATGAGAATCTCTTCTCTAAGCCCTGTTCCATCTCATTCTTATTACGTTCACTATCAACCTGGAGCCTTCCGGCGCCCGAAGATCGGAATCATGGGGGAGCGGCAGCGCATTGCACCAGGCAACAGTAGTGCCTAAGAAGACCTGGCTATTCCAGCCATCAGATACTATTAGGCTTTGCGGGCTCCAGAAACAGCTTGCTTGATATCTCTAGCAAGTACAGCAAATGACTATGCCTAAGTGTCGTACTAGGAATTTTTCCTGTCTCTTCTCCTCCCTCCGCATGTCAGTCGGGCCCAGCGGCCATATCCACTTCTGACTCCTATGTACTTTCCGTCGGCTCACACCATTTCATCGCAGAAGAGGTCAGGCCTGGAGTCTAAGCAGTGCTGTAAGTGCTGAACTTGTTTTTACAGCCCGTATGTCGTGCTCTGTTCACAACAAATCAATCGTGTATCCAGGGATCCTGTCTAACTCCAACGACCGGAGGTCGCGCCTATGTCCTACCCTTCCGAAGATCCTCATGATGGACGCCCATACATTCTCTGCAAACTGCCTCGGAAGTCCTGCGCGGACGGCCCGGATAGTCCCATAGCGCGGCGTCAGCGGACTGCTCGGTGTTCTGAGCCGGGCTCTCAGCCGTCTCCAATACGACCACGGTAAACGAACAGAGAGCCTCATGCGCGTGAGAAGCTGCCAGGATCCATAGCATCCCTCGTTTCTCTACACACAACGAGACTCGCAACGTTCACCTTCCTCCGACATTCTCACCACACTACCATTCTCATGGATGAATCAGAATATGATACGTGGACTCCTAGACTCTAGTTATAAGCCTCGGGCGGACGCGTAAAGGAGCAACGCGTGCCGTCGAAGGCAAGGCCTGAGTGCGGTTCAGTGGACAGCGGTTTGGCTCCTAGCCACAGACTTGGAATGGATTGCCGATGCTGTGGTTCTGTCTCTTGCTGGTGGTTGTTTACTTTGTCACAACTCGCACGTTCATCGTGTGACTTTCAGCGATCAAACATGGCATCCTTTCGTGATCGTTTTCGTCGTAAATGCTTATGCTGCACCTGCATCACGATGAGAGGTGGCAGCTAGGAGACTCTCTGCCTGCTCTGCTGCAAGGTATCAGTCCGATGGGAGGTGTGAACACCTGGCACGTCAGCCATACCCTGGTCAGTGTCAGCTTGATAGTGCCGCAACTCTAAACGCTGGCGTTTAGGCAGTTTCCTGAGCCAGTAACATCTAATCGTAAAGCTTTCTATGCTTGGTACACTGCTTGTTCATCTCAGCATGGTGGTCACGAAGTGTGTTCATCGCATTCCTCCGGCATGCAAGTAGCGTGGGCGCCTTCTGTTCCGACTCAGCATGGATGTGCTAACGAGGTCTATGTCGCCAAACTGGGTCAGCTTGTCACGATCCTGACTTCAACGACGCCTTCTCAAACCGATCGCTCTCTTCAATTTCATTCCTCACTACATTTAACCATTCCTTCTACCTCATTTACCGAGACAGCTCTCAACATTCGTCAAGATGCTCGAACTTTTCGTACAAGGCAACGACCCCAACAAGAACCGCTCCACCCCATCACTGCCGGGGCGAAGCGAAGACGGGCAGGACTTCAGGGCTACGATGCAGCTAGAGACAGGAACTCATCGCTTTGAGGAAGCGTCGCATGTCATGTCTTGTCTCCGCCAACGAGAGGAAAACTCATGAACGGGAGGGTAATCACTATCGCACTAGCGGCGCATCGAGGTGGAAATAGAAGCTGCTTCCATGGCCTTGGCCCCAACATCGCCTCATCAAGACTGAGATAGAGAAAGCGCCGAACGGACTCGATGGCGACGGGCTGATAAAGACGGTAACTACACGTGAGAGGACCTTGCTACTGCATTCTTTGAGTGGCTTTGAACAATGTGAGATGTTCAGATTTGGACGTTACGTTCCAAGTCTCCTACATGTGACGCTGGGTATGACACGGCTTGCTGCCATAAGGTGTTGTTTATGCCAAGACTGTGAAGAGCTGGCCTAGGTTAATAGCATGGAAGTCGCTGGCGCACCCGTGCTGGGTCGGAACTAGAACAGAGGGTGCTTACGGTACCTCCGCACGGTTAACGCTAGTCATGATCAAGGTAGGGAGTGTGCTGAACACACTTTATGGCTATCACGCAGAGAGAAAAAGTAGCGACACTTAGAACAGAAAGCTTCACAAGCGAACTGCCGAAACCCTAGCTTGGGCGCTGAAGGCATGCTTCTATAAGCTGCTCTGGATTCTCTACGCGTAGTGTCTTCGTAAATGCACTGAAGTTGCCATGTTTCATTCCGTTGCTGCTATGAGAGGTTCGGTAGGCACTGTTAAGAATGAAAGTCTTCCACGGCCATCGATACAGCGTCCCACCTCATGTCTGTATCTCCAGTCTCGTAGGGTTTGTCGAAATGTAGGGCATACCGAGAACGATAGGTTCTCTCCGTTCTCGTAGGCCTGCCGAATCGCGCCAGGTTCGTGGGTCATGGGGCTGCAGTGGCGTGACAAGGCGATAAAGTTCATCCACTTTGGATCATGTGGCGTCCGGCCACTTCCCAACTGGTGCCATGTGTTGATTACCATCCATCGTCCCTTAACTCCCCGGTCCAGGATGATGACTTCGTAATCAGTGAGACAGAATAGGCAACAGTTCGATCTCCGGCGATAGCTGTAAGGGCCATTGATGCGGTCACTTGCTAACCGGTGTTCAATAAGCTCCGGAAGCCGGGGCTGGTTGCCCGGAAGGCGATGCGTACCAAGGTGACCGCAAATGTTGATATAGTTTCTGTCAACGTATTGACGTACTCGGTCTGCATCTTTGTCGTGAAACTGATAGGTCGCTGCAAGAAAAAGTTCATCGCCAATGATTTTCGGGCGCCAAGAGTGTCTTATAGGAAGCCCGGAAAGCCATTCTGGAAGGCTAGTTGTTGATCTCAGGGCACTTGGTGAGATGCCGTGAGAGGGCCCAAAGAAGTGCCGGTCCATGACTAGCTGAAGCTGGTGGAAATACAAGCTGTAATGCCCGCCGATGTCCGCCCTGCCAGACTGCGATGTACAATCGTACTTCGCTTGGAGGTGTTCTTTATACCCCTTACTGGGCCTAGTATTCTTACGCGGCCGATGGAACCGCAGGCACGTGTGGCACACGTACACCTTCGGCAGATCCTTTTGCAGAGCGGTGAGGAACGCCCTCTTGTCTTCGCTTTTCAGTGGGCTCCAAGCGGTTCCGATGACGTAGTACAGTCGACGACAGCTCAGAGCTAGCGCAGCTGTATCGCTGGCGGGAAGAAACCCGGCGATGATCTGAACAAGTTCAATAGGTATAGTCGTGATAGAAACAGATGCGACATCAGCACCACATGTTCGACGCCAGAGGCTGTGAATATCGCGTAGTAGCGAGTGAACCGCTTTTGTAGCCTGAGAGCGAAGGGGTACCTGCCGATTCTTGGTTTCCATCTCGGTGAGGTTTGAACAGGAAAAAGAACCAACTAGGGTTGTAAAGAATTAATGGACTAGGTGTGCCGAGAAGATATATTTGTGAGGAACAGAAGGGCTAAAGGGGGTAAAGCGGAAAGAGACGGTCGAATGGATTAAAGCAAAATGGGTGTGATGTTCTGAGTGCGTGAAGCGGACGAAGTAGTCCTACGGGACCTTACTCACGTGCCTATCACGTGCCTATCACGTGCCTATCATTCCTAGATTTAAACCAAACTCATATCGCGATCGCTCATGAAGTAACTACGCTAGGGACCATAACGCTATGAATGGAGTCGTTCCGCTAATGTGACATCTCCTGATCGGAAAACTCGGTCGAGGCTCCAGCCATCGCACAAATGCCGTAACACCACCCTTCGTTTTAGTGATGAAGCTGCTTGAATTTTGTAACGCGATTCTTCACTTTGATGTTCGATAAAGATGCTGAAAAGTGTCTATTTTTCAGCTTCTTAACTGTTGCTAGAAGCTCAGATTTGGTTGTAAATGCATAGTTCTACTTGTTCATACGCATGTACATGGTTTCCTTTTCATGGCCATAACGTGACGGCGCAACTGATACCGGTGCCTAACAATATCACAGCTCCTCACAAGCGCATCAACTGTAAAGGTAGCAAGACTAGGAATATTGTGCAACATCACACGATACCCGCAGACATCTGGTATATCCAAAGAAAGCTCCTAAACTCCAATGCTTATGAGCCGTCCCCCGTCTACCACCACACCCTGTGTCTATCGTGAATCGTTCACCAATTCTCCCTAGCCCAACACTGAAACCGTCGGCACAAATGCCCCCCTCAGCCCCACTACCCGCTCCCACTCCCCTCCAACCAGATATCACCGCCCTCACCCCTAACCCACCTCTCCCACGCAATCCCATACGCCTCCTCAAGATCCCTCACCCACCTCCTTGTATCAAACAACGCACTGCTCCACCGGCCCTCCCAAAGCATTTTCCTCAGCTCGCTCAGCCTGCCGCGGACCCTATAGCCCTCATACCAGCACCCGCCGGCGAGCCTAACAGCACACTCCTCATACTCCTCCTCGCTCTCCGCCACCAACTCCCTCGCCGCCCTCTCCCCCTCAACACCCCTCGGTAAGGCGCCCTTAAGGATACTCGCCGCCATGCGGCTACACATCTTGTAGCTATACCGCGGCCGTGTCAGCAGCGGGGTGCCGCTCCACAGGACATCCGCGGCAGTGGTGTGGGCGTTGCATTCCGGGGTGTCGAGGAAGAGGTCGCAGATGGCGGCGCGCGAGATGTGCTGGTGTTTGGGGGCGACGTCGGTGAACAGGATGCGTGAGGCGACGTCTCGGCCCGCCCAGGCGCGTGCGGTGGAGAGCAGCTCGGATTCGCCGAGGTCCGGGAAGCGGAGGAGCCAGAGGATGGCGTTGGGGAGGCGCGAGAGGATGCGGAGCCAGGTGCGGAAGGTTGTGGGGTCGATCTGAGATCGATGTTAATTACGTGACCTTGAATGGGAGAAGGCGCTGTGCGTAGGGTAGGGAGAAGGGGGAAGTGGCAAGCAGAGATTCGGGCAACATACCTTGTACAGCTGGTTGAAGTTCCCGAGGATGATCGTCCCCTCCTTCAGTTGCGGAAAAAGCTCCTTCCGCATTTCGTATCTGCGCTTCATCTCGCCCTCCCAATCCAACCGCTCGTCTTCAGCATCCGGTGCGCTCTGACGGTGATCGCAGCAGAAAAACGTGTCTCGGCAGAAGATGATGTTCTCCCCGTAGATCCAATCTTCCTGCTCGCCGCCACTGTTATCATCCACCAGCTGATCCTCGAGATCGACATTTCGCCTCCACGGCCGAAGCGTATCGAGTGGGATTGCCGTTTCGTCCGCAAGAAGGTAGTCGCACCACTCGGCGCCTAGAGTGCCTGCGAAGCCCATGAAAGACATGTGGATGGGCGCTGGACGGGCGGCGAAGACTTCGTTGCGCGCGCCACGGGTGTAGCCATTGAGGTTGACGAGAATGTGGATACCATCTCTGACGATCTGGCCTACTAGCTTCTCAGCTGGCCAGGAGGAAGCGTCGTAGAACACTGGCGCCTCCCTCTCGATCTGCTGGCGGTGCACGGAGTTGTCGCTGGCGGTCGTGGCGTAGCAGTAAGCCTTCACCTTTTTAGTGTCATGTAGTCCGAAGACTGATTGCATTAGGTGTGCGAGGGGGTGGTTGTTGAAGTCCGATGAAACGTAGCCGACTTTAAGGTAGGGGTTCGGTGGTGGTGGCGGCGGGTAGACCGTCGGAGGAAGCCAAGGTGCCTTTAGCGCCGAGGTGGAGATGCGGAGTGCGTTCCGTTGTGAGATAAGTCTGATTTGCTTCGCGGACATAGGACAAGTGAAGGTATGGAAAGGGAGTACAGTGGGCGCGGCCGGTACTGGAAGAGCGGAGGGAAGACGGGGCCGAGCATAGACTGCTGAAGGGCGCTGGACTCTGACGACGTATCTATCTTGGTACCATTGCCAGCCTAGACGGCGAATTGCACGCTCGGCGAGACGGACTAGACGGGCTCCTTCCCACTTTTGATTGGACCATGATGCCAATGTCCTTCTCATGCTCTCCTCTTTCTCCGTAATGCTGTGCGAGTCGGAGACATCTACAGAGAGATGCCGGATTATACCGCGCAAGAATGTGTTGTCAAGACTGCCACGACCCCACTCCTCGCCATCAGCGAGCTGCTTCTCAACGAGATCAACCACGCGCTTGATCCAGCCTGAGCTCGAAGCTCCGGGAAGCTTGGCGTCCAGCAGCATGCCATTCTCGTCGACATGCCAGCGGTCGCGCTTACCCCCATCGGCAGCAACCCCACCTCTTCCAGCCCAGGCGCAGACCGAGTTGAGTGCGTTAGCCAGGCCGCATACAGCCTCGGCAAAGTCGGGACTCGCCTTGACGGCGCGCTTGTAGTATGTGATAGCATCGCTGATCCGTCCTTGGTCCTTTACGGCATTCGCAAGGTTGGCCAAAGCGATGTCGAAGTTGCCATCACATGCTACCGCTTGCTCGTACATCTTAATCGCTGCTGACAGTTGCCCGATATCTTTGAGTAAGCTGCCCAGATTGGTGAACAGATGCGCGTGCCTCGAGTCCAGAAGGAGGCCATAGTTGTAATATGCTAATGCGAGCGCGATGCCACTACCAGGAGCGATGCCAGGTATAATGGGTGAGTCCCTGGCCGGTAGGGTATTCTGCTTTGGCTGTTGCGACGACTGCACGCTTGCAAGGAGAATGCCGACATTGTTGGCAGTGGAAGGGCTCGGCTGCAGCGACAATGAAAGGTAGTACAACGCCAGAATTTCACGGACGCCGTACGTAGTCTGATATGAAGCTGATTTTGGCGAGTTCGATACCATGCCGTCCTGGAAAATCTTGGCCAATGAAAGCAGAGAGTTGCTGGTGGTTGATACGGCGGCCTTCAGAGCCATACCCTCCGCAGACACGTATCGAAGGCCTGGAAGCTCGCCATGGTTCGGAAAGCACAGACGCGCAGTCAGCAGCGCTTTGTCTGGAGGTAGAAGTATCGGATCGCTTGACCCTTGAAATTTCTGGCCAGTGACGAGTCTTTCTGAAGTGTCTTGTCCCACGACGGTCAGAATATGGTTGATCAGACCGCCAATCCCTTGAATATGTCGCCCAGCGCCAATTAGGACGGCGCTTTCGAAAGCCTTCGCTGCTCCGACATTGTCTCCCAGCGCGTAAAGCATATTGCCTTTCGCATGCACAAGAGCTAGTATCCGTCCGTTCTCGGACCCGGGAATAGCATATCCACTCGAACCGAAGCCCTCTTGGGTCGAACCAGGTAGCTGGCGCGTCTCGCCGAGATAACCGTCCATATCACTGTCAAAGTCGAAGAAAGCCTTGTCAGAGGCGTCCGATAAACTTGGCGATCTACCATCGGAGGCCGAGCGTTCGCTCTGTCCATCCGCACTTCTGACAGAATCACGCTTTGGGGTATATCGCAATGAGCGCTCTACAAAGTCGATGATGTTGACTGCATCTTTGCCTCTTTGATCGCTACATAGTAGACCGATCAGGTGCTCCACAGCCTCAAAGTAGCTGGGGCGTAGCTTGATTGCGCGAAGCCAATATCGCTCTGCTTCAGAGCGACGATTGAGGGCGAGAAGAGTAGCGGCAAGATTTGAGATCGCCTCGGCATGGCTATGAACATGCGCGTCAGCATGTTCCATTGAATCAAACCGCAAAACTTACTCCGGGTCAATATCGAGGATCTTTGAGTACCAAGCTAAGGCCTTCTGATACTCGCCAAGAGCATACGCCAAACATCCGCCCACTAACATACCATCCACCCAGTTCCACGCACTGTCCTGCACCATATTCGTCAGAGTCTCCAGAGCAGAGGCGGCCTTAGCGGTAACGCTGATCTCCTGGTTGATCGGTGGGTATGTAGCTGAAACGGAGAGACCGGAAGTTCGCCGTAGCGTTCGAGGTGGTTGTGCGGATGGCTGTAGCGGCGTGACACCGGACAGCCCCTGTTGCCAGGAAAGACGTCGCTGAGCCTCTGGACGAGTGTGCTCGTTATTACCACTAGACCACAGTGAATGTGATCTGTTGTGAAGTTGGCCCGGTCTCTGGAGTGCCACAGCCTGGTTGGTGACCTGTGAAGGGCTAATGTCGTCTTGTTGCATTGCCGAATGTGAAAGTTGTGCATCATTGGTGGATCGCGTCCGCGCAGTGGGTGGGAACGTGAAGCTCGAGTTTGGCTGACGGGGTGGCTTAGGATAAATATTTGGTCGATTTGAGCTTTGCTGGTTACCGGGATGTCTGGTGTTCAGAGCAGCCCTTCTGGTCTGATGCAAATATGTCAGGAGCTCGACATAAATGGAATGCGCCCAGTCAAAAACTCGTTCCCTCAGCTGAGCATTGCTACTCTGAGGACCGAATTCCGCTAGGGACGTCACAGCTGGCGGCGTCTCAAAGCCACGCGGCGTAGTTTGGCCCGACGAATGGACCGATGAATAATGATCTCCAATGGGACGAGGCAAACCTTGCACATATGACTGGCTAGCTACTTGACTTGCCAGCCTCCGGTCCGTGGGAGTATACTGTTGGTCGAGATGTCGATGTTGGTCAATGCTTTGAACGCTTAACGAGGCCGGATAATCTTGATGAGATGGAATAGCATTGTATCCCATTGCTGGCGGTAGAGGCTTCCGCGCCTGGTAGTGGGTATGAGCTCTTCGCACCGCGTTAGGATTCACCGCTAAGTCAGCGGGCTGCTGCCAATTTTCTGTTGCCCGACTGAAATAAGGATTGAGCTGATTCGCAGTCCAGTTGGTAGCCATGTGCTGAAACCGAGGGTCGCGTAGAGCCGCCGGGCGGTAAGGCACAAAGGTACCATTCGGCCAGTACGGCCCATATGGACCTTGCTCATTCGATACCGTTGGCGCAAACTGGCTCTGCATAGGGTATTGCATGTTGCCACAGAAGTAAGAGCCATATTGTGCATACGGTACCAGCGGAGGCTGAGTCGGAACCTGATTCAACATAGAGTCGATCTGCGGCAGGAATTGTTGTGGGTTCGTCCACTTGCTGCCAGCAGCATCCAACCCCGGTTGCACACCGGAGTTCCATGCAGAAATTGCGCTCTGCTGGTTGCCAAAAGTGTACATATCACGGCTAAAGCTTGGTGTTCTCAGAGGAAGCTCCTGCCTGACGCCATGGAACGATGGGGCCACGTTCAGTGCCCCGGCGGACGTAATGGGTAGCAGAATGTGTTTCATGGCGTGAGGCTTGTCAGTTTGCTCAACAGAGGTACCATCGTACGCAGCGGTCAGTATACCATTTGGCGTCTTCCGGCGCAGCATGTTTTCCGTTTGCTTTGAGCTAATTTGTCCATCATTCGTCCCCTGCGCAGGATAGGAATTGTTTCTTTGAAGTGGATGTGCATAATGCTGAGGTAGTTGTTGCTCCGGTGCTAGGTACTCATGTGTCGCAAGGCCGCCGCGCTGCGATGACCGTGGTGACGCTGGTAGGGAATTGTAGGGCCCGCCGGAGGAGATATAGTCGAATGGCTGCGGTTGCGATTGCAGCTGGGGCGGGTATGGCCGGATCGTAGTCATTGTTGCTTCCGGCGCGTGGCGAACCTGGTGGCAAGGGCAATAATACAAACAGACTGTCGGTGACCGCTACAGAACGACCTCATGGGCTTGCGCAACGGCAAAAACAAACACTCGGCGGGTTCACCAAGAGCGGCTCGTGCCCATGCCGCTGCGCAGTTTTCTGTTGCCCTCCTCGCAGGACATTATTCTGTGTATATGGCGATCGAGGAAAGTCAAGCTGGATTTCTAAAGCTGGCTAGGCGCCAGGCTCCGATATGGGTGTGAAGGGCGCCGGGAGCGCGCTTGGGAAGGTTACAGGCGGTCGTAGATATGCAGCGGACCGGCCGATTAGCGACACAACGGGATTCTGAAGGAACGGCGGAGGTGAAAAAAAAAAGCGAAGCCGGCGGTCAAAGGAGCGAGGCGTGGTGTTTGTGAGACGCGCGGTTGCAATGCAAGGGAGCTCTATCCAGTCTGACGACGCACCCTTCGCGAACCGCGGCCTGGTGTCATGCAACTCGCCCGAGGCTCCCGACTCAATGTCAAGCAGCCGGATGCTAGACGACCGCCGGTAGGCCCAGGACGCGAGCAGCCAGCGGCTCTGTGGTGGTATCTCGATCTGACGTTCTCTGGGCGCGCGGGAAGCGGCGTACGGGCGGTCACAGCTGGGTGACGAGAGGCGCAGCGAAGGGCGTCTAGCTGGCGCACAAAGACGCCCGCCAACGTCTATCACGGGCCCGGCGTCGGAGGAGAGGGCGGAGTTTGTGACTCGCAAAGCGCAGGATCTTCGCACACGTCGCTGGTGGGGCAGGATATTTTTCCCTTGCGGAGGGGTGTTGACATGATATGTAGAGTATGCATTGGAGGGCACAGGCGTGGGCGGTGCTAACGTTAGGCCTGACTGTCGGCTGAGGGAAGCCAGGGAGCCCTGTTGGACGCTCGGCCCTGCGTTCCTCTGGTTGGCGGCACCCATGTCTTCCACGACTCCCACGACTCCCACGACATGCACATGGGGGCGCCATCAATGCTGCTCACGTTATCGGGCAATGATAGGCATGGGCATGTGCTTGATTGAGATCGTCGCGAGCGGTGTGGAATCGGGTCGTGTCGGAGGCTTCTCAGCGGAGCGCGCAGTCCTGTGCTGTGCATTCCGCGCCTTCCTGGTGGCTGCGAGACTCGGCGTTGGTGGAGCAAGAGGCCGCGTGTGGCTTGACATGGCTTGACATGGCTTGCATGAGGATTGCTTGAACTGTGTGTGAGCTGCTTGCAAACGGCATGGCCGCTGTCAGCCAACAACTCTTTCCGGCCGCTAATGAGCGCCACGGCGAGTGGTGCCAGCCTTGGAACTGCCTGGGCCCGCGTCCGCAGTAATCGCAATGCGACGCGCCATATCAAATGTATGAAAGTCCACGGCGACTCTCACTTTTGTGTTGTCAGCCTCGGGGTTTGTAGCATATGCTTCCGTCGGCCTGTCATGATCGATGTATAATGCAGCCCTAGGTATTGTTTCATGCTGTGTACAGACCCAGCAGTCAGCACAGCATCGTTGCGCCTGTGTTCTCGGGAGCGTTCATGCGCGGCTTCGTATCAACAGTAGGCGATCCACCCACATGCAGGATCGAAAAAGCCCAGCACAACACCCGGTCTGCATATCGTTCTAGGTGGCTAGCCCATCCGACTCCACATTGAGTGTCTGCACAGCCATGAGACCAATGCAGGTGTGACAAAGGCCATACACCAACAACGCTGCCAACCCCAGAGAAACTGGAAGTTCCATGGTTGAGATGTAGACCGATAAAGATGGACCACTGTATCCACACCCATGGGGAAGGATACCGCGGTGAGTAGTTGGTCAGGAGCTTCCGTCTCCTTTGCACCAAAATAGGCCTATACCATGGAGGAATGGGTAAGGGCCAGAGTGTTGGCAAAGTGCTGCAGGCTCTGAGAGAGCTGCTTGACATTGTCGAATTCAGGCTAGAATGGATGAAGACAGGAACGAGAAAAGCTCCAGGTAAGCCTTGGTCTACATGGATCCAAGTTTTTGCATAGATAGCTAACGTGTAGCGTATAGCTGCGTGAAGTGTGGAGCTGAGGCAAGAGTAATGATACAGACAGCGGCCTGGAGTGCCCAGGGTGCGAAGCCTAGCCTCAAGACGAAGCTGGTCTGTTCGACTGCGAAGAGTTTTTCAGAGTCTAAAGCAGAATAGCAATGTACATCCTAGGCGCTTTTGACAGAGGACTGACAGTCAGCGACGACGGCTGAACTAGCGTCTGACCATCGCTGGCTGCTCGTGCTTTTCGCTGGTTGTTGCTTCAAATGAACATCAGAGAGTTGCGGGACCATAACGAAAGCGTAACCCAGTTGACGGCTGAAGCAGCTAGTAGTTGTCTCAAGATGGTGAGTGAAGGAGATGGAGATGGCCTTCGCACGGAAAATTTCAAGTAAGCGCAGGCAGGCCCGTGCGGGCTGACTAACCACCGCCAAGCTGTCGCGCCTCAGGACACGAAGCTCACGTAGTCCGTTCTCGAGATGTGGCTTCTTCAATATTCGACAACAGCGCATGTAAGTTCTGCCAGCTGTAGCGCACAATTTCCGCTCTAACAGAGCGAACAGTCACCCAAGCAGCGTTTCCAAATCCGGCAGGATCTCGTAGCTTTCATCGAGCTGCCGGGAACTAGCCAACGGCCTTTCAAAACACCCTCACTGCCCCGGTGAAGCTCGACCGAAACGATGAGCAACCCCCAGATGGGGCCTCAGCCGGGTCAGCAGCCGTCTCCCGAGCAATTACGCCAGATGCAAGCGCAGCTCGCGGCAGAAGCGCAGAGACACGGAATGTCTGTACAGCAGTACGTGGAGCAGCTCAAGGCGCAGGCGATGCGTCAACACCAGATGCAGCAGCAGCAACAGCAACAGGCCGCCCAGCAGGCGGCGCGGGAGCAGAATCAACAACAGCAGCCAATCCAGCCAGGCCCTCCTAAACCTGAGGCTCTTGCCGTCGCGAACTTCTTGCGGAGCCAGGATCTCAAAAGCCGGACATGCATCTTTCAAGAAAAGCGCAAAGACATGTTCAAAGGTACGTCCACCCCTCCCACCGCACCCTTCTCACCATCGCGCTTACCCCCTCGCGTTCTTAGTAAAACGCGCCCTCCGCGCCCTCCAATCCCCCGCCTACGAGAAAGCCTGCAAAAAGAACTCCCTCCTCCCCCACGTAACCGATCGCGCCTCCGCCGAAAGCACCTTCAAGCTCCTCCCTCTCTCCCTCCTCGCGCTGCGCGTCCAGAAGTCCGACCCGCACGAAGGCCACGACCACGCGCCTGCCAAGAAAACAAAGCGCACCAAGGGCCTCTGGACCGTCACGATTGTGCAGCAGCAAGACACCGACGACGCGTACCACTACATGTGGATGTACGAGCCGTCGGACTGGAAGACGAAGCTCTATGCCGTTGGCGCGCTGGCGGCTGTGTTTGCGGTTGTGCTGTTTCCGCTGTGGCCGCTTATGCTGAGGCAGGGGGTGTGGTATCTGTCGATGGGGTGTCTGGGGCTGCTGGGCCTGTTTTTCGCGATGGCGATATTCAGGCTCATTTTGTTCTGCGTGACGGTGTTTACGACGCCGCCGGGGCTATGGCTGTATCCGAACCTGTTCGAGGACGTGGGGTTCTTTGATTCGTTTAGGCCGGTGTGGGCGTGGCATGAGGTATGGCTCATCACTCTCTTTCTCTCTAACGCTTTAAGCTAACCTCCTGCGACTTAGTCGACAGAAGAGATCAAAGCCAAAGCCCGCTCCAAGAAGGAGGCCAAAAAGGCCCGCCGCGCCGCCGCAGACGCTGACGGCAAACCCTCCAAATCCAAGATCTCGAGACCCGTCACTGCGACTCACACGCACGCAGCGCCCGAGCACGCAGCGGTACCCAAGCACGCAGCAGTATCCGACGATGTAGGCGGATCTGATGTCGCGACTGCAGGAAGCACAACAGGCGCAAGGACGGTGTCGCCGGAGGGAGATGGAGAAGGGATGGTGCAGCGGAGGGGGATCCAGGCGAGCGTTGAGGAAGCAGAAGAGTAGCGGATGTGGCGTATTGTCCTTGAACGAACGTAGGGTGGGAAGGGCGTTAATGGGGATGAAGGATTTCAGCATTGCTACGGCATTTGACATCCTGCATGATCAATAGGTCTAGGCCCTCGCCGCATGGAGTGAGATGCAAGAAAGCACTGAATAGACCCAGCTGCACAAACTCGATCTAAGATACTTTCTTGCTTCGCCATGTTCATAGGTCTCTCTATGATTAAGACTCGTCCATAACCGTCGACCGACGCCGACCCGATGCGCCCAGATCGTCGTCGTTCCGTAAGGTCACAGTCCACCCAACGCCTGATGTTCCAGCTTTGCCGAAACGCTCGTCGCTCCGAAACCAAAATGTTCGTCGAAGCTAGACCGCCCTTCGCCAGCATCGTAAACCCTGAAACACCTAAAGAGCCTGAAAACGCACCGAGACTGGGATTCACGTCGTGACCATAGAATACCCCATCACTCTCCCCCACCCCCTTCTCTGCCCTCGGCCCCCGCCCCGCTCTCCCCCTCCGACGACTCCACCGGCGCACTGACCAAATTACTCGACCTCCCAGGGTCATGTCCCCCAGCTCCCCCTTGCCCTCCGCCCCCACTCGCCGTGTTCATCTCCCCCACCAACCGTTCCAGCTCCCTGATTCTGAGCTTCAGCATCTGGTTCTCCCGCACCAGACTCTGCGTCTCCGCCTGGTAGTACGCCGCATCGTCTCTATCCCTCGCAGCGGGCAGGCCGAGCAGAAAGTCCTCGCCGCCGTGGCTGCTGTGCGGGTGCAGCGGGTGCAGTGCCGGAGAGTTCGAGGCGTGGCTGCTTGTGCGGGATATGGAGGTGTGCTGTTGGCTCGGGTTGCGGGAGGGGGCGTAGGGGGCTGGGGAGCGGGTGCGCGGGATTGGGACGGTCGTAGTGGGGTGGGCCGTCGCCGGGTGAGGTGCGTGCGAGGGGAAGGAGAGGGAGCGCTCCGAAGTTGGAGTGCTGTCGTCGACGACGGCGGCCGAGGAAGAGGGTTGGCTGGATTGGAGCGCCGCGATCTGGGCTTGTTGCGCGCGGATCATGCTTAGGAGGCGGTTCTGGGAGCCGTTGTTAGCGATTGGGCCAGTTACAGCTGGCTTCGGTGAAGCTGCTAGGGAGGCGCTGGAGTAACGCACCACCTGCCCTTCCTGCTCGCTCTCCAGTTCCTGATGCAGCTCCCCCAGACTCGGCGTCCGCTCGTGCCGGGGACTTCCTCCCCATGTCATGCTATGGCGCAGCCCAGGGCTCATCTGTAGCTCGCCAGGGCCGGGGACGCCGGGGTCGTTCAGGTGCAGGTTCATGCGGATGCTGGATCTTCGGCGCGCGTTGTCGAAGCTGGGATTGCGCGCGGAGCTGCCGGGCGAGCGGCGGGCTTCTTCGTTGTGGATTCCGGCGTTGAGCGCTGCGGCTGCGGCGAGGGAGTGCGAGGGGGAGTGGGTGGATGGAGAGGCTGGGCTGGAGCCTTGAGCCATTGTGCGGGTGTTAAGTGGGGAGATTGAGGGTGAGCGTGAGGAGGGAGGGAGAGAGTTGATGTCCGGCATGCTGCGGAGCTTGCTTTACGTGGACGCGATTATGGTGCCGTAAGCAGCATGTGGTGTGATTGATCTGTTGATGGTCGAGTGGAAAGGCAAGCCGGCCGTTTGTGGAGCTTGCGTCACACCAGGCCCACGTGATGGGTGTGATGGGTTCGCTGCAGGCACATGTTGTACTCCAGCTTTCAACAACACCACAACGCTCTATCATCAGATTCAACATGGACCTCGAGAAGGGCAGCAGGTCCACAGGGAACGCCAACCGGAAAGAAAGAAGCACCGGTAACAGCTTACCGGCCCTCCTTCTATGCCCCTTCGGTTCCTTTTCCTTGCAACGCGCTAGCAAGGAGATCGTCCCGGCGCAAGAGGGCTTGAGCCATCCGCGCCATTGACAACGTGCTGATGCCGGGCTATCCTCGTCAGAAAACGGCTCGTGCGAGTGGCACAGAGGTCGAATTTCTGGAAGAACAGGTGGAGTACTCCGTAGCGACGTCTCCAGCGTCTCCGTGAGGGTGTTGGGTAGTTGTTCTACTACCATCGACGCATGTTCCGTTTATCCGCAAATACCCATTATCAACTGCGCAGATCATCGTTCTCTTCATGAAACGTCAAGCATCCTTGGTCGTGTTTTTCCTTGCAGGGGCTTTTGCTGCCCAAGCTGGATGCGTATTGGGAACAGCCTTGCGCCATGCGCCCACCTCCAACCCCGTTTCATCATGGGAAATCCCCCTTCCCGTCACTGTGACCTAAACTCGCTTCTTCCCCCCATTGCGCTCTTTACATGTGCTTTTTTCACTTGCAATTGGCTTCTTGTCGCTCATTTCTAACACTTCTGCGTCCTTTGATCGGTTCCAACCTGCCGACAGTCTCTTCTTATGGATTGCGCCGGCTCTGGACGCTTCATCCCGGACATTGCTGAACCGTAGAACTCGTTTTGCTCTATCAAGCCGGTACCTTACCGTGGCCTTGAATTCACGCTTCAACCGACCAATTCTTACGCTTGTGGCACATCTCCATCATTCCACTCCTACTCTAATCGTCCAGGATACGCATAATCTGACAGCTGCTCATCCTCCTCCCATTCGCGAACACTCAGTTGTGGCCTGTCTCTAAGTTGTCTTATCGCTCGAATTACTACAAAGCAAACCGTGGGAAACACAGTTCGAGAAGCGCTGCTTGAAGTTTTCTCGACTTCCGCCGAAGCCATTTCACCTGGGATCGTCATGCAATACCAAGAATCATCCATCCATGAGGGTCGCCGACTTTTCCACCCAGTTCCATCAATGGAGGCTTTCCTAAGCGAGACTACGTCTCAATCACGATGGAAACACGCTCAACATCTGGCCCCGGCGCATCCACCATCAGAGCCGCCTGCGCAGGAGAATTGGCCGCTCCAGCCTAGTCAACCATCATTAGAACGACGCTCTTCAAAGATGTCCTTGTTCACCCTCTTCAGCAGACCCAGAGTAGAACGGGCACGTGGTCATCGCGACCACGACCTGCCTCCAGTATCGTACAAATCACGCTCTCCGCCTCGACTTGTGGAAGCACCACCACCTCCGCCTCCGAAATCCGCAATCTCGTTTACCAAAAGGCCGGAGCCAGCCTTAAATACATTGAGAGCGAGGGGAATTGGGGCGTCGCATCAAGGATCTATCTCAAGGCGCACACAGAAAATGGCGGCGCACTGGGAACCCCCTCCACTTTTCCAAGCATACCCCCAAGCCGTCAAGCACGCCAGACTTCAAGCATCGCACCTGTCGGCGGAAGGCATATTGAAAGAGCAGAGGCATAGAAGGCAGTACAGTATGTTACAGGAGAAGTTGGAGAGCAAATTAGACCTCCATACCCTGCGGTCAGACAATCAGGACGAAGGGGCGATCGACATACAGAGCGTTCGGAACGGAGACAAGGCCAGCCAGATAAGACTCTCGATTAATTATGAGTCACCGCCGGTCGACCTTCCCACAAAGCTCTACATCCTAGTGACGTCGGGCTGTCTGCTGCAGTACGCCGGGGAAGGCCCGTCCGACAGACTACCGGAGAAGATTCTGCAGCTTGGAAAAGATTCTGCAGCATTCGCGTCAGATCTAATACCTGGAAGACACTGGGTTTTGCAGATATCGCAAGCTGCAAAAGAGGACGGTACAGCCACCGTAAACCATCCGCGATCCCTGCTGGCAAAGTTGCGCTTTGGCAACCAAACTGCAAGGCGAGCAGTCACAAGTTTCCTTTTAGTGATGGAGGGCCCAGAAGAGATGGAGTCTTGGCTGACGGCGGTGAGAAAGCAAATCGAGTTGCTAGGCGGGATGAAGTGCAACTCTGAGCCGGGCTCAAGACCGCTGACCGCCGATTCGAAGGAGCAAAAACTGCACGAAAAGCCGAGCCATCGCTATCTGGTCCAGCGTGACCCCAATCGCATGGACAAAGAAAAATCACTGGTGCCCTTGCCTGTCGATGCGGCTACTAGTGTTGCAGGACCGGACTGGAATGGAAACACTGCGAGATTTTCCGCAATAGTATCCGACGCAACGTCCTTGAAATCGCGGCAAGCTTCTGTGCGCCAGTCAACGGATGCGCCGTCCGTGTCTACAACGACTGTGTCGAACGAGCAGGTACAACTCAACAATCTGCGAGAAAGCTCGCGCCTATCGATCATGTCTTCAGCAACGTCAGGCACGGGTACAATAACGATCGCAACATCTCGCGCTTCCTCAGCGCCAACGTCGCCCGTAACAGACGCTTTTGCAAGTTCGGATAGGGATCAGGTGCGACACCAGAGCATGCTCAGACCTTTTCACATAAACACCGAGACGGTTAGCGCGAACCGGCGAAGGTCTGTCCAACCTCTGCCAACCACCGACGAGAACACTTCGCAGTCGGTAAGCGCTAAGCCTCAAAGACCCCTACGACTCTCAACATACGGCACCGTTGGGAGCACTGCACAGCCTCAAGGAGAATCAGACTCACGGCAGGCTGCGCCACATCCCGGCCGCTTTCCGATTGCCGTCAACCCGTCGTCGACAGCATCGTTGGCAAACGTAAGGAGTAGTAGTGCCCCTAACATTAACCGGCCGAGATATTCGCCACCCGCAATGCCCGACCGGAGCAGTTTCAGGCCTGAGTCAACCGTCGGCGACCTTCCCACATCTACCAGGTTCTACTCGCATGGGCAGACATCCTCTCCAAGACTTGGCACGCCAGGTTTTCGACCCATACCGATCCGCACCTATGAACCTACAATACCGAGGCGCATGTCATCGCTTCCACCTGGTCCACTGGCTTCGTCTAATCGTCTAAGCAGCATGCCCGCGCCGTCCTCAGCACAATTAGCATACTCGCAACCTACCCAGCATTCTCCACCATCACCATCCCAAGTTTGCGCGCGTCAACCAGCAGCTCAGGCTCTCCGTCGCCCTACGAGTATGCAAATCCGTTCCGATCCTGTACCATTCTTATCATCCTCGCGACTCGTACCAGCCTCCTTTAAGGCTCCCAATACGCTGGCTCCATCCATAAATCCACCGTCACCTGAAGCTTGTCTCACTCGACCCCACCCGTATGCAAAGAGTAACGCCGTCGAAGCCGGCATTTCATATAATCCAACATCCGCCACCGCCACCGCATCGTCATCCGTCTCTACTTCCTCATCCGTTACCACGACGGCTGTAGTTCCCCCACCCACCTATCCGTCCAAAGCAGCACTTGCAGCCTCGAAGCCGAAGATGAAAATGAGGCAATCGCTGCCCACAATCCGTCTTCCTCCGCCGCGACCGCCGCCTAATATGCCTTTGCCTACGCTACCACCGCCTGATATGCCGCTACCGCCTGTGCCGAGGCCAGTGGCTGTGTAGCCTGTTTTATTGTTCTGTATATATGTTTACGATTGGCTTCCCGTTGCCTGGCGCTTCTGAAGGCGAGTTTGGAGTAACTTTGGGGAACGGAAAAGTATTGAGATATGCTGATGTTACGGATACCTTGACTTGTATGTGGGATTGGACATTTCGCGGTTGTGCTGGGGTTTCTGGGGCGTTGTTTTGGCGTAGGAGTTATGCTATGGGTGACGAAGCAACGAGTGCATCCTTTGACGTTCTCTAGCGGCTTTAAGGCCGCAATACATTGGTAGGGCCTTCTACTAGAGAACACGCACAGCTACAGCTGTAAGATGCTGCGAGAATCGTATTTGAGTGCCACGCACTTGCTCCAATCGCCTCGTCCGAATGACTCAGATGACGCTGTATCTGCTTCTTTACATTCACTTGGGCAGATTTAATTATGCGGCTCTGGCTTACACGACCAGAGCTACGTCTTTCCGCTCAAAGTCCGCTTCACCATACCGCAGAAGCTCTCGAACAGCACGCTGTCCCTGCCCCGAAGCCACCGGACAACCACCGCATCCTTTTGCACGCTGATCTTGAAGCCAAGCGCCACTTCCTCATCCACGTCGCTCTCCATGTCCATGTCCTCTTCGGTCTTCTCATCGGCCACTTCCAGTCTCTTCTTCTTGCGCCGGGCAGAGCGCGACCACACGTTCTCCCTCGCCAGCCCTACACCAGCCATGAGGTTCTCTCTCCACATCCAGCGCAGATCCAACGCGTTGAGCGCTTCGTTAATAGTCACCGCCACAGCCTTCCCATCCCCTTCGACCGCAATGACATATTCCGTCGGGAATGGCAGCACGTCCTTGATGCTCATATCCCTCCTCGCGACATCCTGCAAAATGTTGGCTCCCACTCAGCCCCATCATCCTCGTACTTCTACCTTCCCCATCCCCACCCTAACTGCCTGCAGAAAGAAAAAAGAATACTCACATTCCTCGGCCTCATGTCCCCCCAACTCCACGCAACAGCCCACCGCCGCGTCTTCTGCCCCGCCCTGAGGCACGCAACGGCCCAGTTCCCGACTCCGACCTCCTTGAGCCTCTTCACGACCACGTTCACAGAGGACAGCTTGCCCAGCATGCTGCTGTACCACTGCACTTTTTCCTGCAGCATCCTGCTCTCCTCGATCATGCGGAGTACGAAACCGGCGTCGCCGCCGATGTTCTGGGACGTTGATGGTGAGGAAGAGGAGGGTGCGGTAGGAGGTGCGTATATCATCTCGACTTCCGCGCCTGTGCAGACGGCTGACGGCTTCGCGCGCTTCCCCGTTCCGTGGAATGCGTCTCGCATCTCCTGCTCGCTGGCGTAGAAGGGCGGGTTGCAGATCGTGAAGTCGAGGCGCTCGACCTTGAGCGCGTCAAGCGGGACCAACGGGTCCGAAGCTTGAGTATGGAGCAGGCGGCACCGGGGGGCGAGGTTGTTCGCTTCGATGTTCACCCTTGCGGAAGCTAGGGAGATGGCGTCGATGTCGGTGGCGCATGTGCGGTAGGTGGGCCGGGTCTGCAGAAGGAGGAGGATGTAGATCGCGGAGGCGCCGGTGCCGCTGGGGCAATGGTCAGCGTGGTATCGCTTTGGACTCATTTTGGAGATGGAGGGTGGGGACGTACATGTCGAGGCCGATGACTTGACGCTTAGGGTCATGTTGGTCGGAATACGTCTCGCTGGTTGTGTCGAGGAGGTCTTGGATCCAACGGACGTAGTTGTAGCTAGAAGGGGAGTGTTGGTTGATCTACAGCGCAAATCTCTCTCATGGATAAAAGGTGCAGATGACTTAGATACTTCCCAACAGCACGAATTAGACCGGCACAAAGACGCGGACTCGGTTGAAACTGAACAACGTTCGCGACGCCGGTACGCGTAGAGTATTGACTTGGACTTCGAGTATGCAAGACATCAACGCTTCGAAGTAAAGTACTATGAATAGCCCGCCCCTAAAGGTGCAACCACAAGCACTCACAGTCACTGGAAATTGACGCGTACGAGATTTATACCTACCGTACCGGAACCTATCCCCTCTCACATCAACTCTTCATCCAGAACTCAACCTCCATCTCCATAGAACTTACAGGTGGACAAAGCCGATTATCCGGCAGCTCAACCCTCAGGTCGAAATCACGTTTCAGGAGGCTTTTCGTCAACTGTCTGCGCGTGGTTTAGCATTCAATCTAGAATCGTCAGGTGTCAGCTTGTACTTCACGGCTTGTGGATTGTGAAAATCTATATGGCCCTTTGGGTCGAGCACTTTCGCGAATTCGGCATCCTGGAGAGCGAGGGCGGCAAAATCGATGTCGTCGTCATAGTTTGGGGGTTTGAAGGTGGTGGTCATGGTGTTGTGAGCGCGAACCTCGATGTTGAGGAAGAATCAATAGTTATGCGGACCGATATCAAGTGGGTGATCAGTGACTCAGGGGAGATGATGGGTTTGAGTCGAATTAGGTTGTTCACTGGAAGTCAGGAACAGCTTGCACCGCAGGTGATCAAGTAGTTGCATGTAGCGGTGAGCACATTTCAGGCTTCTGTGTTGTTCGCTCCATCACGGTGTCCATCACGATGTTCCATACATGTAAACCCCCAAGCAGCCGGCCGTGTTTGGAAAGTGTGTTCGACGTGGATTGAGGTTCGATATAGAGATGCCGGTTACACGAGCCCACGAATTTCAACATCATTGTGTTCGTTTCATAGACACAAGCATATTGATAAGTTAGGTTGAAGCTGAACAGCCTCATGCAACTACTTCAGTCAAACATGAGTGGTAAAGGTCTGTGTGAAAGCAATGATATCCTAAATGTTTCAAGTTGAGTTTTATTTCAGATCTGTACTGTATACGGGATTACTGTTATGCACAACTGCAAGCCATAGTCACTTAGACGTAACATCGTCGAGAAACTGACTTCGAAACACCATGCTAGGAACCTAATGTGAACAACACGCCACCACGCATTAGCAAACCACAGACCAGCCAAAAGACCCGTCGAACTTCCAGACGCCAGGTTTGTCTCCGATGCGGATTTCTTCGAAGCTCGGCACAGTGCCGGGCTTGTAGAAGCCAAGCAACCGCTCCATGTCCTGCTCATCCATCTCGACCAAATCTTCTAAACTCCAAGATTCACAGACTTTCGACATCCTGTACCACGACGTTAGTCTGTGTCTACCGCAAACCCATCACCCCTCCGAGAGGCTTCGACATACCACTGCATCCTCTTCGGTCCCTCCTCGATTGCCGGCGCCACCTTCCTCAACTTCCGCCTCAACATCCCCACCTTCTTAATCGCATCCCCAATATTCTCCGGCAGATTCGCCGCAATCTGCCTCCTCACTATGTTCGCCAACTTGGGTCCATTCCCATTCGTGCTGACCATGATCTGCAACGGCCCATCCCTATGCACGCTCCCAAAATAAAAGTCGCATTCCGGCGGCACATCGGCGATGTTGGCGGGGATACGGCGCTCCTTGCACAGCCTCCAAATTTGCGATGAGGCCTCCGGATCGTCGACGGCTGTCAGCACCATGTCCGCATCGTCGAGGTCCGAGGGCTCGAATTTGCGGTCGTGGTAGGTGACCTGGCCGCGCTCGATGCGGTGGGCGACTTCGGGGTTCAGGCCGGAGCGCGGGGACACGACCGTTACTTTGGCGTCGGCATTGAGGACGTTGAGGATGCGGCCGGCGGCTACCTGGGCTTCGGTGTCAGAATCAGCATTTTGGGTGTAGCACGTGCTTATGGAGAGGGTGGAATATTACCTCACCGCCACCGACAACGAGGATTCGCTTGTTGCGGACTTGCCAGGCGAGGATTAGGGAGCCGCCGCCTTGGACTTCTGGGTAGGATGGTTCTGTCATGGCTGGTGGTTGTTGGAAAAGGTGACTACATTTTGGTTTGCGCTGTCAGATGTAAGAGATAAAGAAGGCGGATAGCGTCATGATGCCAAGGGTAAGCGGCGGGGCGGACGACTTCCGCGGAGCCGCACGGCCACCGGGCTGAAGCAGTAGGTAGTTTGGTGAACGGAGCGACCCTCTGGCTTCAATATATTGACGGCCTATGGGCAAGTAGTATCGCAGAGTATGCGAGCGTCGCCTTCTTCAGCTGCTCGTCGTTGGTACGAGGTCTCCCAGTCGGACATGAAGATGCCTGAAGTCTCAGCCCTACGAAGCGTCGCGTGGCCAAGCGCTCCCGCTCACTGACAGCACCCCACTACCACCTATTGTCTAGCCCTACCGTACCTCAAGCTACCCGCGGCCAGGGCTTCTCTACTTGGTTTCGGAATGCGGCGACACTCAAGAGTGCTTCCCATGCCCCAACCCTACCTCCGTCCTTCGCCATGACGTCTAGAAGGTCTCTAGGAGGAGGGCGTATCCTCGGAAACGGCAGGTCTATTTCGCCCGCTGTTGCGCCTTCCTCCCCTCTACTCAAGCCTCAACACCAGCGGAATGTCAGCTTGCTGTCACCCTCGGAGAGCTCTGTCTCGCTCAGCTCCCAGCCCTCTACCTCGCCCGCGTCGACCGTAGACACGCAAGACATAAGCTCAAATGTTGCGCTGGACCATCCGGACAATGCGGCGGCGGCCTCCGCCAGCTCGAAGCTGGTGTGCCCAATATGCAACGAGGAGATGGCAGGCACACAGCACGCTTCACATTGCAGGAAAGAGCTAACCTCTGCCTAGATGACCCTTCTACAACTGAACAGGTATATCAACGCCCTCTCGCTCTTTCCACGGAGATCGCCCTAATCCTGTACTAGACACCTTGACGACCTCCATCAGAACCTCGAAGAAGTCGAGCAAGATGAGGTCAAGACGTGGTTCAAAGCCCAAATGACCAAAGCAAAGAAATTCCAACCCCTCGCAGTCCTCAACCAGAAGCTCAAAGGCTTAGACGTCTTCGAGTCAAACGACCCCCCCGCGCCTCCGGTAGCCTCCAACCCCGGCAGCGGCACCTCGACGCCTGAACCCCGACGACCAGACCCGGATGAAGTCGTGACACGAGCGCACTGGCAGAAGCCTACATCCTCCGTCTTCGGCGACGCCGTGGACACCTGCTCCGAACCCACCTGCGGAAGACGATTAGGCGTCACGAACGGGACCGTGAACTGTCGAAAGTGCGGAAAGCTCTTCTGCGAGGATCATACAATGTACCAGATGAAGCTCTCGCGGTCAGCACAACACGAGCCGGTCCGCGGGTTCTGGTGTCGGGTCTGCGAAACGTGCTACAAGTCGCGGGACGGCTACAATGACCACGGCGGTTTCACGCGCGATCATACGGAGGAGTTTGTGGCGCTGCGGAGGAAAAGAGTGGATAAGGCGTATCTGGAAGTTGGCCGGCTGGAGGCGAGGCTGACGAAGCTGACGCAGTTGCTTGCGAGTGCGCCAGTGGAGCAAGGCGCTGGGGGATATCTAGCGTCATGGGGGTTATCAAGTGTGAAGGCGCAACAGCGGCAGCTAGAGCAGTCGATCATTGCATGGGAGGACGACGCAACCGTACCGAGATGCCCCTTCTGCCAGCAGGAATTCTCCCAGTACTCCTTCCGCCGACACCACTGCCGGCTCTGCGGCCGCGTCGTCTGCGGCGACCCTCGCACCGGCTGCTCCAGCGAAGTCGGCCTGAACGTAGCCGCACGTGAGCTTCGTCTTTCCCCTTATTTAGACCTCGCTGATCACATACAGTAACTAACACCCACTATTCAGAAAAGCCCCGCCAGCTCGCCCTCGATATCCGCATGTGCCGCGACTGCAAGCATACCCTCTTCTCCAAGAGCGACTTCGCCCGCGAATTGGCCCAGAAACCACCGGTCCAGCGCGCCTACGAAAACCTCCAGCAATTTGAACGGGGCATCCGCCTTCTGATGCCCAAGTTCCAGCGCTTGCTCATTACGCTGCAGGATCCTGATCGCCCGCCCTCTTCGCAGCAGCTGCAAGACGCGACGAAGACGAGAAAGCGGCTCATGGATGCATTCGCGCAGTACGATACTGCGGCTCGCCGGATCAGGGATCTTCCGACCGAATCGGCCGTGCAGCAGAAACTGCAGAAGGCCGTGTATACGCAGGCCTATAATTTCTTGAGCTTGCACATGCTGCCGCTGAAGGCTTTGCCCAAGATCCTGAAGCACGCAGCTCCCAACGGCGCGGTAAAAAGCCAGCTCCTGAACGGGCGCCCCTCCTTAGCAGCCATCAAGCAGCTCAACGGCGACTCGGGCAGCGTAATCAGTTCCTCAGCGTCAGTCTCGCAGATGGAGGCCGAGGAGAAGGAACTGAGAGAGCGGCTAATCGTGCTGGAGGAGCAGAAGTTCTTCGTGCAGGAGATGCTTGCGGATGCGACGAGGCATCGACGGTTCGATGAGGTTAAGGCGTTGAGTGGGAATGTTGAGGACTTGAGTAGGGAGATTGATCAGATCAATGGGCAGTTGGGGCAGTTGGACTTTGCGGCTGCTTATGCGGGAGGTTGAGAGTGTGTAGGGGAGATGGCTTGGTTGCCAGACTGCTAGATGGGTTGCCCGAGACTTCGCGGGTGAGGCCTGCAGCGCCGTGGCGGAGATGAGAGGCGCCAGAGTGGGCTGGCGGTGGTAGAGCAGAGGGACTGCTTTGAGGCTTCAGATCTTCCAATAGACGGATGCATGACGTTGAGGAGCTCATGCATTGGCATCACATAGAGCATTTGTCGGCGTCTTTGGCAGCTGGGAAACGGTGTCTCAGGGGCTGGAATTCTCTTCAGAGGCAGTTTTGCGTCTCGAAGAGTGTATGCAAGAAGCTCCTCATTTTCACTTCACTTCACAACCCCTTGAATGTCTTCCCACCGTCAACCCCCCTCCCTCCCTTTCCAACCACCAACCCATCTCAAAAAACCCAACCATCACCCCCAAAGACCTTTCTCGAGATAAAGCTCCTCCTCCTCCTCACCACCATGCTGGCTGCATCAGCAGCTCAGATCATCCCGCGCATCTGCTGCCCGCGCACCCACTTCTTCAAGAGGTGGGATGAGCACCTCTACGACACCGCCCACCTCTACCCCATCACTCCGCCTCCCACCAGCACCGTCTTTCGTCCTCCTCCGCCGCCGCCAACACCACCACAAAGCCCCCCGCACCCCGCGACGCTGACGCCGCTGCCCGCTGCCGTCACGCCGCCGCCAGATGGTGAGGCGCTGCCGAGCCGCCACCAGGACCGGATGACCACGTGGAAGGCGACTTTGAGGACGGGGTAGGGTGAGTAGCTCGCCATCCTGAAGATCTTGAAGCCTCCAGCGACTTGAAGCTGACTGTTTTGGAATCGTAGATCGAGTTTAGGTTGTTGGGCGTGGGGTTCTTGCTGGGGGCAGAGGGAGGGTGGAGACGGGGGATAGGGTATTTGAGGGTTTCGGCGTTTGGAGTTTGGAGTTTTTGATTTTCGGGTCTGTTTCTGAATGTACTAATAGCGAAAAGTGATTTCAGACGCGTTTCTTGCACAAGAGGGTCTTGATTGATGTGGTGATACACTGAGGGATGACCAGTCCGTGACGATGGCAGATCTTGAGATGATGGCGCTGAGACGACAAACACCATGAAGCTGGCTATAAGGTTCTGGAGCATGCTATCCATTTCAGAGATCGGATGGCAAAGACAAGACGTATTTTGCCTCATCCTCTCTCTAGCTTTCTGGCCTGGGGCTGCATGCTGCTTTGAAAGAACGTCATATCTCCCTGTTTCGTCATCCGCGGAGGAGAATCCTATTCCAAAACTCCAAAAATGACATCCAGGCACGTGCAGATACGCTTTGCTGGCAGCAAAGATACGTGGGCTAGCTAAAATGCATGCCAAGCGGCGTGAATGTCCTTTGCGATTTCATCCCGCGCGTGATTGTAAAGTCCCATCTCAGAAGCGTGCCAAGGCAACAGGACAACAACACAACAACACGATTATGGGCTGCAGATGACGATTTGCATCTCCCTAAGAGACACGGATGCCGTATCAAAGCTCTGCGAGCAAGATCTTGACGTAAACCCAAAACTCCAGGCTCACGAGACACGGAGGAGGCGATGGAAACGCATCGAAATAGGCCGGAGCAGAATGGCGATCCCGCGTATCGTTTCAGAGCTTCACAAGCAGTGCAGCATCCTTGTCCGGCGGAATAACAACATACTTTCGTCACTGGAGGTCCAGGAGTGGTAAATATGCTCAGCGAGTCCTCATGCAGTGACACAGCCAGCTCATCCGCTCCGGCAGAGTATCCAGGCGGGTGCGCCTGACCGAGCTCCTAATCTTGCTCATGCAGGCGCTGCATACTGTTGTCCTAAGCCAAGAGGCTAAACAGAGCCGCAGGTCGAGGTGAAGGTGACGAATCCGGGGCAGATAGGGCGCTAGGGCCGGATGTGATACCAGCAGACGTCCTGATTAGGTTGCCGGTGCCTGGAGTAGTTGTGAAAGCCCACGTAATTCTGGCTGCATTCACCGTGACTCCGCCCTCGTCTGAAATTGCACAGATTTCCGGGGCGTGCATAAAAGCCCACTTCTTCCTGACCTCGAGTAGAAATTTTGAACATCCTCACATCCTCTTACTACACAGCGTCCAATACTCTTGCCAACCCAAGCATCCTCGCTGCTCACTCTTCTCTTCACCATAAGCTCGACGACGCTCTCTCTTGCTCAGGATCCTCGTCGGTCGCGATCACCTACAACATGCTCGGGTCCTTTCAGATTCCAAAGCCCGTATCAACGTCCATGGCCACCATGGCTCCAGATCCGACTACCTGGCGGCATCGAGGCGCGGCTGCCGGCTACAAGAACGGCGATGTCAACTCCAAGTACACCAGCAACGGATATCGCATCCTGCCAGAGACCGACAGGGATTGTGAGTAGCATCGGGAGGGACCAAATTTAAGACAAATGGCTAACATAGGTGATTTCCAGGGCCTCTCGATGGTTCTCCAGCGCCCCAGTGCTTCAGAGCTCACCATGACATCAACGGCTCATCGGTTGTATATGACCAGCACAATGCCGTCTTCGACCTCTGCCCCAATCCGCGTCAAGGCATCACTCCATACCACGCGGAGCTTATCGAGCAAGGTCTGCGTCTGCCGGAGAACAACAGGGTCGCTAAGATACTGGCGGCCAGTGAGGGTGCTGCTGGATCCAGCCAAATAATCGGTCCTGCTGTTGAAGCAAACGCCGCTGGTGAAGCGATGGCCATGGACGAAGCGGCTTCCACTGATGGCGCGAATGCTGGTGAACGAGCAAATAGCGCTGTCGTAGCAAGTCCCGCTGGTGGGGCAGCTCCTGCTCAAGATGCGACTCCCGCCGATGAAGCAACGGGAGCAGCCGCCGCCCAGCGGGCGAATGCAACGGCAAATGTTGCAACCGTTGCGGCGCCGGCCACCAGGAGGCCGTTCAGTCGCTGCCCGCTCGGCGAAGTAAGTTTTGAGAGCGGTAAGTAGCACTACTTGTGCTAACCCAGGGAACAGTTGAAGCCTGTGCGGCTCACCCAGCTACCCAACAACGTCACCAACGAAGAGATCATGACGTAGGTAGAGCTCAGATCCGTGGTGTGACACGTTGCTAATGAGATGTAGGTTCTTCCCCCGGTCCATGGGGCGTGCGGAGGTCCTCAGTCGCGTAAGTCCGCTGTTCTGAGAGTGTCTTGGACACAACTGATTGGGTCTACAGGTCATGGATAGATACCGCTTCAACGATATCGCCATGTACGTCAACGGCGCTCACGGACATCCCGACTCAATTGCAGGTCCCGTGATTGAGAGCTCGAGTATCAGGCACGCGGCGAAGAAGACGAAGGATCCATCGAAATTTGGCCCGTGGAAATTGCCGCCGGGGGGCGCAGCGGACGTCCTGCTCACAGATCTCGTGCGTGGCGTGGTGAATCTGCCACCAAAGGGCATGGGCGACGGACGATTGACCAAGATCTTAAGGAGGGTTCACTTCTTCCCCCCTGGTGCAACACTCGGTAGCATTATGCCTCTTGTGGAGGGTCAGGACAAGCTCGATGCTGCTTCCTTAAGGAAGTATGCGCGCCAGCTCGTGAACAACGGCTATTGAGGCATCATGCTTAGCGAACCGCGCTCCTAGCGTTTTGCGTAGGCCCGGTTCTTCTCTGCATAGAAGTCCTTTGGGTCGAATGTCCTCCTGGTCAGAAGTCCTTTTGCTCGGAGATTCTGCGGTGGAACTACTCTTGATGGGTAGAATCTTTCCTACTGATACCCCTCTGTACTCTAGCCTTTGCTCTTTTCTTTCTTTTGCTTGTTGCTTTTAAGGGGTTCATGATGATCTTGCGACGGTTGCGAAAATGGAGAGCGGAGGGCGATAATGGCGAGTGGAAGACACGGATGTGTAATGGAACCTGCTTGCTTTCATGAATGAAATGACTCTCTGCTTGATTGAACCACAAATATGCCTGCTCTTATAGTATATGTCTCGTTGGAACCTGATCCCAAGTATGGTGGTCGAGTTACGGTATTGCTGCACGTGACTGAATTGCTGGGATCCCCTGCTACCGAGACCCATACGGCTCACACCTCAACCATGGCGACGAACCTCCTGCTCGAAGGCTGTTGAATGGCACCACAAAGAGTGCTTAAGCGGCACATCAGTATTTGCCAGCTTGCATCGAGGTTCGCAAGGCTCTGAAGCCTCCGGCTGGATCACATCTTCAACGTCGCCGGCGTGACCCTCGACTGAAAATTCAATCCACAGCGGCGGATCGGAGCGCTCTCAACTGTGCCTCTGACACATCAATCCCACTTGGACCGTACCGGAGCACCTTAAAACATCCGCTGCTGGATCCAACATATAGCAAATGGTGGTTCAAACCCATATATCGTCCAGGACGATGCCTCCGAGGGCTCAACATGCCACAGGTCCGGTTCGGACACCCATGAGGCTACGACACACAATATTCGAATATTCGGGACAGGACCCAGGCTGAGCCCGCTGCCGACACATCTCAGCGATATTGAACCGTATCGTATCATGCTTGGAGCCACTGTGCTCGCATGGTGGGCGACTCCAGAGATTCCCCAGCTAGACGGCTGAGCCGGCACACAACTAGATCTTATTTTGCAGACCGCACATGGCCCCGAGCCAGAACCAGCACAAACTTCTTTGTTCTCGACAATGTCAGAACCGGGCTGTCAACACTTGTACTTTTCCATACTGAAGAATACGGAGCGGTCGTTGCAAGCGTTGCCCCATGCACGACACAAGCGGGTCATAAGGAATGGAGCTGTATCTTCTTCTCCGATGTGGAATCTGGACTCTTTGCTCTTGAGTTCTTGCCGGCAGATACTACCGTGAGGCATTTGACTCGCATTTGGTCGCCAGGGACCCAGCTATTGAAGGGCCACTTCTGTGTGAGGACAATATCTGCCAGCGGCCTGTGGATATCATACTCTTGTTGTTGACCGATGAGTAGATAGGGGCTTCCAGGCCCCGTGCAGGACGTTACAAGGTGCTAATTCGAGGGCCCCTACACAGACGCAATGTCCACTGCACGGGCTGATGTATTTCTCGAGTCTCAAAATTCCTATCACATAGTCACTAAAAAGATCAGGATTCGTATGCTGAGTTAGGATTTGCACACAATATATTTCTTTTGGTGGAAATAGTGTCTTACCTAAAGATACCGTCTCCATGTTCTCTTCTTGCGCCATCTGGCCACTCCCTTTGCTCAGTCCTCCTAGCGGTCTGCTTATTGCCGACTCCACCAGCATTTCTTGTTTTTGTTTCTTGATTCTTAGTTGGTAGGTTCATCGACGGCTTCGTTCCATTTTTTGAAGCAGGCTCTCCAAAATGACTCGTGATTTCCGTGGTACCATTCAAGTGCGTAGGCAGCCGGAGCCGAGACTAGGACCGCTTGGTCGTATGGTACTCGCTCCCTCCGGGACTCTTGCTTCTTCCACTCTTCGTTCTTCTTCCTCTCTGCATGCTTCTCTCTCTATGCGCGCTTCTTCCTCTATGCGTAGTTCTCCCTTTTCTTCCTTCGTGGGTTCGTCTAACGGATCGTGTCCGAGCTAGTTTTGATTGTGCACCTCAGGTTCCACCTCGTAGTTACTCCTGAGAGGCTCGCCGTCTACGAATGTCACTAATAGTTTTGGTTTTTTCCAATCTTCTGGCTCGGCGTCCTGCCAGTCTGGGCGTGGACCTACCTGCTCCTCCGGCTCGGCAGGTCGTAGTAATGGCGTCATCACGGCTTCTGTGGAGCATTCGACCTACGTAATGCTCTTGAGTAGGACTTCGGGGTCATCAGATTGTAGTTCGACAGCCGTGCGACTATCCGGTATCAGTATGTCATGGTGATGGATGGGAAGTTCTGGCTCTATACTACCAACCGTACCGGCGGCTTACGCTTTATCGACTTTGGTGGAGATACGGTGGAAAGTAGCGACAGCTTTGTCTTCGCCGGGAGCCGCCGGCTTGACTGGGAATGACTGAGGGCGGACCAACCGAGTACCTTTGATCTTCCAGTTCTCGGGGTTTGATAATGGGGGCGCCATCGTCGTTGGTCTCGTCGAGGAAGGTGGGCGCCTGATAGGTCTTTCGGCTGACCCGGTCTGGCGCTTGTGTAACAAAAGCTGACGAGCATACCAACCGCATAAGGCTGTGAGAAGATCTCATGCTTGATGCATGGATCAAGACCAAGCGACAGGTACTGGTATAGGCAAAGCGGCTTGTCGCATACGTATGGCTTCAGTGCTTCCAGCTCGCCACACTAGACAGAACTCTGTGCAGCGGACGAGACGGCGGAGCAAGTATTGCATGGCAATCAGAGGGAATGAGTGCGCACTACCCATGCGCGAGTCGCAGACGTGGTCTCACATTACAAGGCTTGGGTATTCGGCGCTGGTCTAGAAAGACAAGAGAGATTCAGGTGACGCCGGAGTCGCGCCTTGGCCGAAGATCTGCATCGCGAGCTCATGGACAGAATAGAGTACTGGTAAAATCGTCAGCCAGGACTGTGGTCGTCAGAGGACCACAGAAAGTCGAATGTGACGGGGATGCAGCGAAGCGGTTTCGCTTTGCCCGTCAGTCGAGGCGGCGGTCTTGCCGGAAGTCACCTGCTTGAGCTTTGTACTGGCCCGTACGTGCTTGGATGAGGAGTTCTATACGAAGATGATGAGCGGCGGTGAGAGGTCGACGCACTGCTGTCGACCACATGTCGGGCAACCTGTCGTGTCGAATGACGCGATTGCGGTGTGAGTGCGCGAAGAAGGGTCTTGTCCGTCCTGGTCACCCCGGACTCGTGACTTCGACCCATTATCCGGAAGGAATATACTGTTCTGGAGTCTGAATAATTATAGGAGTAGTGTAAGGGGAAGGAGGGCTAGCGCGCAGATGACAAGAAGCCATCCACACGCTGCCCTGATCATCAGAACCTGCGGATCTTGCGGCCTTTTATTCTGCCATGGCTCGGCGCACATCCTCAGAACCACGTCACGCAAGGCTTTCACATTGCTCCTTGATCGCACTGTGTGGCATTGAACGCGCCCCATAGGCTGATACTGTTACCGACGTATCCTACATTCTATGGAACAATGGCATTGAAGTGATCGAACAAAGGGGGAAACAGGGGGCCAGAAGAAGCAACGAGCCTCGTCCTTGCTGTATCGCCATTACTCGACATAACCAGTCCTTCCAGGTGGCCAAACCCATTGAGATGCTCAGCGGACCCTACCTAGCCTTGTGATGCTTAGGTTTGGTCAAGGCTCCGGAAATACCACACGCGTACTTGTTCGGGTTGAGCCACGGGCAATCATCAATACTAAAAGACACACTCTACACTGCTACGGAACCACTGAGCATAATATTCTGCATATGTGCTCATCGCCACAAATGTAGCATCATTATTGGAGCAGTTAAACACAATTGATCGATACCACGAGCCTGAGGCGGCCCACCGCTCCGGACTCGAAATCCTCAGGACTCGAAAACCCTCTCCGCTTGTTCTTTGTCTCCACATTGTCATGCCACCACTCGTCCCCAGTCTACTGGCCTGTGGACAAAGAGGCAACCGTAGCTTCCTCCGCGTCATGTGTGGCTCGTCACCAACTGTGCAATCCGTCATGTGCTACAGAATCTCCGCTTGCCGTTTGCCCCTTGCCAACGTGGTATTCGGCTCTGGTACAAGGATTTCATATAAAGATGCGCCGCTCTCACAGTTCTGTATTGCAGGCTCAGAAGGTGCTCAGGTGATGATGCTCTATCCGCCGCAGTTGAGGTTTGCTGTCACACAGTATGAGGATGGCTCGATATCTGCTCCATTCTTTGTCGTTGAGGCCGCTCGAGTGCTCTACTCAGTATGACGAAGCATCAGTGGCAGCTAGCTTAAGCTTGTTTGGCTTGTCGCCCCTCTGAAGAGATTGATTCATACCTGTTTGTATCCACAGCTCCTGTCGTATTTTCCTTAGAAAAACCCTACCACCGTCTGTTTCAACAGACAATTCTCCCTGCATACCACGCCCATAGCGTACTCAACCCGATTGAGTGTCATGATATCGTCGGCCTCCCGGCAACTGTCTTACTGGTATCCTCGATGTTGCCGCAGGCACGAGTATAGTTGGCGGGCTGAACGCTGTGCAATCCGTTTAAGAATACCAAGCTGATTAATCCAAGATTACATACAGCGCTGTGAAGTGCTTGACGCTTTAGGAATGCTTCCTCTGCTTCACCTAAGTAATTTCAATTCAGGGCGCAGCTTCACCTGTAGGCTGGCAGTTTCTTCGAGTTTCGCTTGCACCACTTTCAGATTCTATCATAACAAAACCACTTTCGTTTCATAAAATCCAACCACAATCTCACGACACTCTTCCAGCAACAAACCGCTCTTGATCTTTCTTTGGCAATAGGATACTCCGTTTCTTCTGTACTCGTTCTCTCCCCCGCATACAAAACGCACCAGACGAAGGATACCCGTGCGCGTCAAGATGAACTTAGGAGACGCAGCTTCCAGCCAGCACGGCGTGAACGATAGTGCCGGCGAGCCAGAGACTCTACCAAGTGCCGCTTCCACCGCTCCTGTCGCTGCTCACCACGGCGGCGATAGCAGTCAGATCACGGCTGCTGGCTCCGGTCCAAGTGTTCAAGCAGGCCCTGAAGCCTCTGTCCAGGTCCAGCCGAGTGAGTGAAACGGACCATGGGGCGACCTCAATGCTATCAGATACTAACGATATACCAGATCTGAACGGAAACGACCCCCGATGGCGCCTCAGGCAAGCCGTACATGGAGTCTTTCTTCGCGTCGATGGAGCCAACTACATCGATCCCCCTACCATTCCTGCCCCCGGACAGTCGCGTCTGTCCGTTGAGTTCCATCGCAGTTTCTTCGATGGACACAGAGCCGCTACGAGCCAGCGGCTTCTTGCCACTCCTCTCACTGTCGATGGGTTGGAATGGCAGGTGATTCCACAGGGTGATAATGGCGTGCAGTTCAGGCACTGCCAGAGCTGCCGTGATCAGGATCTTGATTGCTCTCATGGCCGTCCTTGCATCCCTTGCGACACATCAGGGAGGTTCTGTAGCATCATCAATCTCTTCTTCGACGCTCCTACAACTCACTTCTTCTACGCCAATCGATGGATGGCAAGGGCCAGCGCTTCTCCGGTCCCCCTCTATGTGCTGCTGGACGACGTCTTTGGTGTCCAACTGCAAGAGAACGGGGTGCCCGCCGTCGACTGGGAGTTGATGCCGGCCTCGCATCAGTCGATAGGATCTGTCGCCTTCCATGAGTCGTTCGATCATATATTCCCACTCGGCGACCGATTCAGGGCCAGCAATGGGGTACAGTGGGCCGTCATCAACCGCCGGGAGCGAGGAGTCCAGTTCCGGTACTGCAGCTCGAGGGATCCCGCGAACATGACACTCGACGAAGCCGCTCCTTGTGCACGCTGCTCAATCAACAGAAGCTATTGCACTGTGGTGGAGGTTATGTTCGACGGTGAATCGGATTCTCTGTTCGCCGAGCTTGTAGGACATCAGCTCCTATCGACGCCGCATGCCAATCCATATTGGCCTTACCAAGGACCCACTGAAGATCAACGACCGCAAGCAGCCCAATCCCAGATGCCAGCGCCTGCTGCTCAGAGCTCAATATCGGGCCAAGCCACGGTTGTTGCTACTGCTCCGCCAACACCACAACAGCCTCACCAGCCTCAGACCACCACCGCGGTAAACCCCCCGACGGCGGCAGTAGGACAGCTAGCCGCAGCGGCCGGAGGGCGGCAACCACCTCCACCGGGACCTCCCCAAGCTCCTCGACAGGTCCGCGTCCGATTTATCACCGTACAAGGAGCGCCATCAGTCACCTGCAACCCCGTCGCCTGCTTCCTCACAGCCATGGAGATCCTGATTTACTTCCCGGAGTGGCTGCTGTTCGACGAATGCCTCATAAGGCTCATAAACGGTGGATGGCAGGCCACGGAAATGGCCCGAGCCATTGGATGGGGTCGAGGCTGGGACGCCCGTCAGTGCCGCAGGTACCGCAGCACTATCGCTCATCGAATCCCGAAGGCTGGCGCGAGGGTGTACCAGGTGAACAACTTCGTGCTGAACCAGCACATCCTCACTCCACGGGCTACTGACTTCGATCCGACAACCTGGACGGTGGCGTTCGACGGGGTCGAGAATAACATGACGGACTACCGGTTGACAGACGTTCTCACTGGGGTTCAGAATCACCCCACTGGCGCCGACGCTGGAGAGTTGTCTCGTTGCTTGGCGCACCAACAAGCAAACCCCGGTCAGGTCCTGTGGTTGTCTGACATTCCGCAGCTCTTGCAGGCTAATCCAACGTGGCGGACGAATCAAGCGGCTCTGGGAGCGAATCCTGACAATGCCGCTTTGGGACGGTGGTTGGTCAACCCGGGCCGCAGTACCGTCACTTAAGGGGCTGCTAGATTGTGTGGAGTTGTCTGATGGCAGGCGGAGCTGAGGAGGAAGACGGCGATTCTACCCTTGTTGTCCTTCATGGCTTGCATTTCGTTAATGTGCACGCGTCTCTAGCGAGAAAAGATCACGGAATGACGTCAAAGTATCGGCGTTCTTGGGCTGCTGCGTCGCGTGCCGAATATACCCCTGAGACTGGCTTCTTTGCAGATAGACATAGAACGCGTTCTGTTCAATCACTGACGTATGCGCTGCGTCTTGTGAACCTGTGACGTTGCACAAAGCTAAGTACTTATTGATATCTAGCTCTAAGAACTTCCGCCCCCATTCTGCCCAACTCTCACCAAGGGTACGACCTGACAAAACCTGTCATAAAGCACAGCACAATGACCATATCCATACAAGCAGCCCCGTCCACACATCAGTCTTCCTGCCTCATAAACACAGCGTCCGCAGGCCCACTCGGATCGTGGCTCCAGCAAAGCTTCTCGACCTTCCCATCCGCATCATCTTCAAACCGGACGAGATAATGGCGGGCCTGTTCGTTCAGGTACCTGCCACGTCTGGACAGCTCATCTCGCGTCAACAGCCAGGAGAAGGTGTCGTGCTCGTGGTGCTTCAAATCAAACGTCTCGTCGTCACGGCCTTGGAAGGACATGGCGAGTGCCTCTTCCCGGAAGGCAATGACGATCGCGAATGTCTTGTTCGCGGTGACGTATCATCCGACATACCGCGTGAGGTCCTTAGGCCCATTCTCAGGCGTCCGCTCCGGCGCCTCGAGCTCTGCAGCAATCTTGGCGTAACGTCCACGCTCCGCATCCGCAACCCTTTTCGCCCACATCACGTAGTCGTTCTTCTTCGGGAAGTCAAACAGCGTCTGAGTCAGCAACCGCATCGTATGGTCTGCCGCATCGCAGAGCGACGAGGAATTAGTAAGGACGACGATGACGCTTCTACTGTCCGGGAAAAAGCCCATCCAGGAGGAGGATCCAGGCATACCGCCTGCGTGGCTGATGACCAGTTTCGGTGGTGCGCCATCACCTAGCACGGGGTCATCGCCTAGGATGGATCTGTAGGCGCCTAGGGATCCAGGGAGCGAGTTCCGGCACCAACCCAGGCCGTAGGACGCTTCACGCGGATTTTGGACAGGTAGGTCCATATGGGCTGACATAATCTTGGGGAGTTCCTTGAACGGTGAACCGGTCGACGTCTGTCCGTTTGTCGATTGATGGCTGTATTCAGCTACGATAGCTTGATAGAGCATCAGCATATCCTTGACGCAGCTCTTGACGCCGCCTGCTGGACTGATGAGGACGTCGCCGCCGAGCTTGACACCGGAGATGAGTACTGGTGTGCCATCATCCAGAGACATGTATGCCTGCGCCACGTTATCGAAGTCTCCGGGCCGTCCGCGCGCATCAGTTCGATGAAGTCCAAGCGGCTCGAAAATCTTGGAGTGAAGCAGCGAGTGCCATGTTTCTCCAGATATCTGCTTGATGACGTGTCCAGCAATCTCGTAACCCCAGTTGTTGTAGATCCATTCCGAGCCTAACGCGGCACGCTGCTGGAGATCGTTGATGAGAGTCATGCTATCCGATTGCGGAAACAAGATGCTGTTCTGGCTTCCAAACCAAACGCCGTAATTCTCAAGTCCTGATCTCATGGAAAGAAGGTCGATTAAGGTGGCTGACTCTCTGACTTCCTTGGAGCGCGGATTGAAATCTGGAAGCATCTTGGATATCGGGGTGTCCCACTCCAGCTTCTCGTCCTCAACAAGCAAGCCGAGTGCGGAGGAGACAAGGCCCTTGGTCATAGAGGCTATGGGGAAGATGGTTTCCTCGTTGACGGGAAGCTTCCTCTCAAGATCACTGAAGCCAGCATTGTCGGTGTGCACGATCTTGCCCTCATGAATGACTCCGTACGCAAGACCGACCGTTCCGGCGGCAGTAAGAATCTCTTCGATGACAGGTCTTATGGCTGTAAGACGGGACTTAATAGCATCGGTGTCCATCTTTCGAGAAGCGAGGGAAGAGCTGCTTGAGAGCTTTTGAGAGGTGTTACTTCTGTAGGAGAATGGCTTTGACTAATAGTAAATGGTATTGCTTCACATTTAAGCATTTAGTGGCAAGCAACGTTGCAAACGTTATAATACGCTTTCGGCAGGCTGCTCTACTAAGACGTGTCCACAGCTTTTGCATTGTTGCCTGTTGGTAGCTCTGAGTAAGGACGCGCTATCCGGGAAGAATTCCGGTGGCAGGGATAGAAGAGAAGCGCAGTGCCAAGGCCGATCCGAGAAGTATATTTTTTGAGATGACTTCTGTTCTGCTCATCTGGATGACAAAGATCGCCGGACTCGAAGAATTCTGTGTCGATTGTCGATTGAGGGTTTATCCTCATATACCATGATCGACCCAAGCTGTAGGCCTGGCGCAGGGCGCGTAGACAGCTTCGTAAGCCTGTTCACGCCCTATCTAGAGGTGAAGCGGTTGGACCAAGAGATCTTTATAACCATGGCGAAGATGATGAATCTTGGTAACTGTGGGGTCGGGCTATTGCTATCATCGTCGTGCGCCTCCAATCGCGGACTCAAGCGCCATGGCTTTTTGGCTTGGATATAGTGACTTCGACCGTGAAGAGACGTGAAAACAGAGCAAAATGGTCATTTGCAGCATGAGCACGCCTTTGTCGTGCATCCATAAGTTCGGTTTGATGACTTGCTGTCTTGCCATCTCCTGGGCCTATGCCCAGGGAGGATGCATCTCAGCAGCGCATTGAATTCCGCGGTCCCAAGATCAAACAACGCGACTGCCTTACGCGTCCGCCGCTACTCCCCCTTATCCTCGCATGATAATCGTCCTCTCAAAATCCGTCGAGCACTTCTGCCAACACGCGCGACCAGTATCACTACTCTTGAATTGTTGCACGCGTTCCACCTCTTCTAGATCCTTCCTCATCCTGCCCTCGTTCGTCGTGCCATTCAGAACAGACACGTTTCCGAGCCCGATGACCAAGGAATACAGCGCCGCTTGTACACTGATCTGAGCCTCGGAAGCAAGCGTTCTGACAGGCGAGGAAACCAGAAGGTGAGGGTTCGCTGTAAGCGTCCAGAAGGACTGGTAACGGATGTTGTTCCCGTTGCAGAATGCGCGCACCATCACGTCGTAGTGGGTGGCCGGGTAGAACCTGTTCTGCACGACGGAAGGTTTGATTTTGGCATGCTCATGGACCGTTACCAGTGTTCGTAAGTCCGTGTTGGAGATTCCAAGAGTGCGGATCTTGGATGGAACGAATGACTCCATAGCTGTCCAGGCCTCCATCGTCTGGGACAGGGTCGGTAATGGGCTGTGGAGTACCAGACAATCCAGATATGGCTCTTGATCTGGTCCATCTGTCTCTAATAGTGAGCGGAAACTGTGCAATGAGCTTGCGACAGACTGTTGGACTTGCTCCGCGATCGTGGCGTGGGCGTTGTAGGGAGCGTCTTCTCCCGCATACGGCGAGTATTTCGTCTGGATGTACAACTCCTCTCGCCGAGCAAGACCATCGCGCACAGCTTGCCTAACTCCATCCCCTACAAGGTCTTCGCGGTAATGCTTCGGCTGTGCAGCGGTGTCGATGCCCTTGAAACCAGCTCGGAGAGCTTGGACTACAAGCTCAGTGGTGCGTTCTTTCTTCCATGCTGTGCCGTAGATCAGTGATGGAACTCGGTGGTTGAAACCGGTCGTAGACGACGCCGCGGCATCTGTGTGTGAAGACATGGCTCTTCGAGACGTCCAGTCATACAAATTTCGCTGTTGGATACCGTATACGGCCTTCCTATTCATGCAATCAGTGTTCTTGATGCGGATGCTGCGAGGAAGCCATGGACGCATGTCTGTGATCCGGAGGTCTTGTCGGCAGACGGTCGCCCGATGACCGTACCCTAATCTTTGAGGGAAGAGCGGGTATCCGTACGGTAGAGCGGTCTCTCGAAGACGGTTTGGTCAATGGGAGACGAATGCATCAAACGCTTTATGTAAGGTTGAGGTCACTAGAGCCGCATGCCAAGCAGGGGTCCAGGAAAGGGTTCTGGTCCGATAAACTAGGTATAGAACGACACCGTCTCATCCCACGGGTCATGTGATACCTCGCTCCGCTTGAAGCGGGACTATCACGGGTCTTGGCATGGCGTTGAGGCGGGAGCTCATTATCACATTAGCGCTGGGATGTTCCTTACACTTGATTCATGGGAACTGCGTTACCAAACACTTCGACACGTTAAGTTGTCTCCTAGTTGACGCTGTGACATTCAGATGGGTATATACATGAAGCAAATATTGGCTGAGGAAGGGGCGACCGCTGTTGGTGACAGATCAACATACGAAAGAGGCTCGGTAGCTGGGAATCGGAGCATAAAAGAAGCATCTTCTAAACCAAAAGCGTCTAAGAAGCCGGCTCCGACTATAACAGTGCCCGTAAAGCCATGGGCATGAGTTGCGCCTTGAAGAAATCCGGTTGCCTGACATTCAGGTATGTCCATATCTCAAATCCGTGACCGCTTTACCATGTTTCCTTGAAGATACTCCAGCACCTGGCACCATTGTTAGCAAATAATCCTTAACCGACGTTTCGTCGAAAACTCACCTTCGGATCCAATCTCCCCTGCCCAACCAAATACTTCACTAACCCCCTCACAACCTCCACCACCTCCTCATTGTTCAGCCCTTGCACCGCCATCTCAAGCACACCGCCCACGCTCGCCTTGTTAACCGCAATAAAGCTCTGATAGTACACAAAACTAAAGAACCCCATGATGAACTGGCAGTCCATGCGGTCCGTCATGCCGCCGTGGCCGGGGATACTATCGCCGAAGTCCTTGATCTTGAAGGTGCGTTTGAGGCCGCTGGCGAAGAAGCCGCCGAAGGGCGCAATCAGCGAGGCAAAGGTTGCGAAGACGAGAATGTGGAATTGCATTGGGGCGACGGTGAGGGTTTGGGGGAGGTGGGTCCAGCTGGGTGCGTTAGTGGAAAAGTGGGGGAAAGGGGAAGGGAGAGGAAGAGCTTACGTCGGTGGAATAAACGGGAGGCGGTAGGTGTGAGGGATGAAGACTGGGTTGGGCGTGCATTCGAGGCCCGTCCACAAGTTTGCGCCGAGATCCTGGGTAATGTTAGTATCTCGTCGTAAGCGGAGGAACTCGAAGCCTCAAGGAGCCAAGGCTATGCTCGCACTTACGTTGACTGGACAGATGAAATACTTATAACGCATCAAGATGTTTGTCAAGATGACCCCGAAGAACATCGTGAAGATCCAAGCTCCAACAAAGCCTTCCACTGTTTTCTTTGGTGACAGCTTGATCAACTGGGTCCGGCCAAACGTTATCCCGCATATGTATGCCCAGATGTCGTTCGTGATGACAAGAGATACTGGTAGGAAGAACCAGATCATGCCTTCAAACAGGTTGTTCATGATGAAGTGAGCCTGGAACACAATGATGAGGAGGGCCATGTGGGTCCAGGCGAATTGTGAGAACTGGAACTTGAAGTGGCCCTGTTGTAGGGAGCCAACGAAGAAGACGAAGCCTGTCGAGGGTTGTCAGCCTAGTCAATCTACATACCCTATGGCACAAAAGATATTATTGAAGCGGTCGCCAGAGCCATCTTACCTATCACATAGAGCATGAAGCTTATAAACCGGTGGTGTGTTGCGAACGGCAGGAGCACCCTGTCAATGAGGATGATGTGTTTGAAGTAGTATATGACACTCTCTCCGTAGAAAAAGTACATCGTCGTCCCCAAGAAGTACCAATTCAGGGTCTTGGTAAAGCGCAGACTCCTCGCTCGGCTTGGTACGTTCGATATCGCGATGACCTCCTTGAAGGAGATGATTTGTATTGCGGTGACAATCATTATCATGTATATGTGCCCAGCGAACATACCGCCGAAGAAGATGCCTATCATGATCAAAGTCCATATTGTGCGGGTGATGAATGTTTCCTTCTTCTTCTCGTAATCAGACTGGCTTTTGGGCTGTGGATATAGTCAGCGCTGGGAGCCGGCGTTTGCAAGGGGGTGCTAATAACCTCTCCCTCGCTTTTTGCGATGACGCCATTTCGATCGGCAGGAGCATCGGGCTCAGAGCCTGTCTCGCTAATGTTTGACATGCTGCTGCTGGGCCGTCGCGCCTTTCCGTTGCTCATGCTCCCACGATGTTGAAACTGGACGTTGCTTCGCGGTTTGGCCATGGCGGGCAAGTGCCTCTAGTGGCCTTTGGGATGGCCTGTCTGTCGCTCAAGCTCTTCAACGGCGCTTCTCACTGGGTTATCTCGCTGTGACTGTTGCCTTGATATTGGAGACTGCTGAAGATTTACCCCCGAGCCTGCGGCTGGACCGGAATTCGTGGGCGTCTAGTCGTCCGGTAATGCGTCGGGGAGATGAGCGCGGATGCTTTGTGCGATCACTACGATTAAAGCAAAAAGGGAGTTTGCAGCTCAATTTCTGGCGCTGATGGTGCTTGATGTTTGGTGTTGTGGTGAGGAGCAGGGCTCTGATGTCAACTTGCGCCTTCCAAGCATCGGGCCGGCGCGCATGTGAACGCCGACTGCGAGTGCAACACCAAAACGTCTATCACCAACTTCCCAAAGTGCTCCCATTCAAAAATACGGCCAGCCCCGACAATGTGTGCTTCTTGGAATGGCTAACCATGGCGATGACGATGACGACTTCGACTTTGGCGACGACGACCTTGACGTTGCGACACTCCAGGAGCTCTCTACCCAAGCCTTCAATTCGCCGCAGCAGCAGAGGAGTGCGCCGGTAGCACCTCCGCCGCGAAGATGGCAGCCTCCAGTAGTGTCGACGAGGAGTGCGCCTGTGCCCGCAGCTCACGCCGACTCCGGTGCTGCAGTGAGCAAGCCAGGACCTCCGTCCTCCGAGTACGACTTCGATGACGAAGACGTGATAGACCTTGATCAAGCAGATGTGCCCCTCCCAGCAGTGGAAGGCACAACCATAAGGCATCATACAGGTCAGCCGCAGCAAGGCACGGGACAGCAGCTCCGCCAAGAGCCCTCGCTCAATTCTCAGCAGCATGCCTCCACTGGTCGATCATACCAGCTTGTTGACCGGACTGAGGCGCAGCCGAGCAGGTGAGTAGCAAGGACACCAGTAAGACCAACCTCTGGAGTGCTTCAGCCATTCTGCTTGCACACCTCTTGGTCATTTCCCTTGGGCGGGCAATGTGCTCACACCTATACTCAGGTCTCGGTCAGTAACAGCTGCCGAACAGTCTCAACGCAGCAACGACCAGTATACACTCGGTGATGTCGCCTACGAAGACAACAACGTTTTCGGGGGAGAAGAGCCTCAGAACCAGAATGGCGAACATATCGATGTTAGCGCACTACGCGCGCAGATCGAGGAGGTACACCACCCTCCACCTGCTTGTCCACCCTTGTGTGCTGACTCTTGCAAAGCTCGAGCGTGACCGCGAAACTCTTTTGAAAAAGGTGGAAGTTGCACGGTCCGACGCCCAAGCCAAAGCTGGCGAAATCGCAATCATCCGACGGAACCAAGATAAGGCTAATAAAGAGCATGAGCGACAGGTCTCTGTTCTGCAAAAGCTGCATGCAGAAACACTGGCTAAGCGGGAGGCGGAGCTAGAGGCAGAAAAGAAGGACAGGGAGAAGGTGGAGACTAAGAACCGGTTTCTAGAGCATGACCTGGTTCAAGAAGCTAAACGGGCAAAACAGGCTGCCCGAGCTGCAAGAGATGGTGGTAATGCGAGGATGAGGGCTGCTGGACAAGGCAGTCCTGCGACGACTCCGAAGAAGGCCAGGGCCTTGCCTTTTGGAGATGGTTTCGATGACGATGATATCGTTATGGTGTCTCCGTCGAAGTCCCGCGAGAGGCGGAAGGGCTCAACTCCGAGGGCGGGTGAGAAGCGGAAGCGTGCTGGTACGGAACAAGGCTTCGCAAGCCCGAGTCAGTCGCTGTCTTTTAGTGAAGCAGTACCGCTCCCTGTGGAAGAGCCTACTGAAGCGCAAGGGATCGACAACGTAGTCGATTTTGCAGCGCACCTTAGCAAAGAAGACGAGAGGTTTGAAGTAAGTCAGTCAATTTCCAGGTTCTCATCATCAATAGTCACATCCTTGGGCGTAACAATTTCTTCGTACGAAAACCTAAGGTTTTTCCAGAATCAAGAAGGTTCACCGCTAAGGAGGCTTCTGTGTCCTGTTCCCTGGCCAGCTTCATGATCTCGAGGCGCTCCACGGTCCACTGCGGATTACACTCAGCGAACAGAGGATGCCCGCTAACTTATCCATAGTTTATCCAGAGATTCTTCAACCACCGCCCTTACGCCGGTCATGACAGGATGTTTGAAGTTTTCACAAAAATTGCCTTTCCATCGGCACCTACGAAGACACTGTCTTCAGCTGTTCTCGATGAACTACCATCGCTGAGCAGGAAAAATGCTGAAGAGTTCCCGCACGCATTCTGTAATCTTCTACTGTCGTTATGGGAGCGATGCTTGAGCGAGAGCTATGTACGTGTCCGCCTACAAGTGCGTACTATCGCGCTGACTTCTCAAGTACGCACCAATCTATCTCCTGATCGATACCCTGCAATTCATCCTCGCCCACGAGCCCCTAGACCTAGCCGTCACCCTCATCTCGCAGCTTGTCCCCCTCGCCCTCCGAACCGCCGACCTCGTCGCCGTGCCCATCGGCCGCGCGGCCAAGAACCCCTATCCGCCATCTTTGAAGCCCACCGAGTCTCCAGCCAAATCCCAGATCAGTGAGCAGATCAATGTGCTTGACTGTCTCTTGCTGCTCCAAACCATCGCCATGAGCTGCGTCCTGGACTGCGACGCAATCACCCGCTTCTGGCAACACATGCAATACGACTTCATCCTCGTCCTGCTCCTCCGATCCCAACCGCTCCCCGAGATTCAACTCATGCTCGAGCTCCTCGCCACCAGTGCGCTTGAGACAACGTTCGGCGCCATCTGGCAATCCGACCTCTTCAACCCAGACCGCCAGGCAAAAGCGGAGAACGAGGCTCTGGATGCAGTGACCTCCCTCCTGTTTGCGGTCCCCTTTGCGCCCACGAACGCCGAGCCGTGGACGCCGACCGAGCTGATGAATCTGAGGCTCGAGGCGCTGGGCGTCCTCGCTGCACTGTGTCGCACGGAACACGGGTCCAGCCTCCTCAGAAAGAACCGCAACGCCATCGGCCTCCTGGTCCGGTTCCTAAACGACATGATCGACGCACTATACGCGTTCCACCCCGCCCTCCACACGCTACAATCCCGCGCCGTGAACAGAAGCATGCGGATCCTGCATCACCTCCTCACTCCCTCCCCCTCCTCCAACAACAAAGACAAAACCGCCGATCCCCCCTCCCAGTCACCGCGCCTGCTCGAGCGCGCGGAGATCCAGCAGAAACTGCGCGTGGTGCCGGGCGGGAACCATAAGTTCCTGGTCGCGCTGACGAGGCTGGCGTTTAGTGAGCCGTATGTCCTCGAGGCGGGGATCGAGGATGTCGTCATGGATATGGCACATCAGATTCTCGATGAGTTGCTCAGTCCGGAGGAGGGGGAAGCGTTGATGAATGTTTACTCAAGCTCGAGGAGTGGGGTCGAGGGATAGGGGGTAAATGAGGGGATAGAGGGGGTTATAGATTTGGCGTCTGGGTCGCGTAGGGTTTGATAGGCGGCGAGAGGGTTGTTTCGCTGTCACGTTGCTGGTCATAGAGGATGGGATCCTGGCGTGAGGGCGGAATCTGGGCGCTTTAGTCCTGTTGGCACTTTGGGCCGTATTGTTGAGCGGAAGCCGCAGGCGGCCAAGGTGCAATGCTCGCAGCGAGAGGCGGGGAAGATGCATGGACTGGACATGCTTGGGTTGCACGGCCTGTACACTTCTTCCTATCTCAACATTACGGATTCAAGTCGTACGCTTTCACAGCATCGATCTATTGCTGCTCGGTCGCAGTATCACAGGCTGCCAAGGCCCGTGTCAGTATCTAAGCTAGGTTGTTCCAGGTTCGAGGATATGCTACTCCTCACACGACCATGCCCAACACCTTGTTTTCCTTCATAAATCTCTCAGCTCGACACTACCGTCCAAACCCAAACCACCCCCTCCTAACCGGCTTCTCCTCTACCCTCTCCTCCTCCTTCTCCGCACCATTCCCCCCCTCCACCCCATTCTCCACAACCTCTCCCTTCGCACGCCCAGGATACTCGACATAATTCCACGCAACATCGAAGAAGAGCGGCTTCACCAGCACAGGTCGGAGCCTCGGCGGATACGTGACCAGATTCGCCAGATCCACGCCGTGAGCCGGATACTCGTTGAGGCGTTCGACGAGCGGTGCGGAGGCGGTGGTGGTGGTGGCCGCGGTGGGGGTGGACAGGTTGTGCAGCGCCACGAGGCCGCGATATTGGGATATCAGGGCTTCGAGGTGGGTACTCAGTGCTTCGACGAAGGAGGGCGCGATGTCGAGGTTCGGGGGTCCAGACGGGGATGCAGGAGTCTCGGAGGCGGCAGTGGAGGCCTGGGCGGCGAGGTCCTGCGCGCGGACAAAGAGCGCAAGCGCGTTTTTGGGCGCGGAGAGGAGGGCGTGGGAGTAGCCGATATTGAGGCACTTCAACGCCTGGAAGTACGCGCGCTTGGCGTCCAGCTCGGCGATGAAAGCGCTATCCCGCACCGCGCCGCGAAGTTCTTTGATCGAGTCGAGGGACTGCAACGTCGCGTCGTATAAAACGACTCGTTCGCGTAGGCGGGCGAGCTTGCGGCCTGTTCCCTCTTCTTTCTCGACCCACTCTTTGCCGTCCTTGCGCGGGCGCTTGGGCGGTTTGCGTTTCTCGCCCGCGAGGGCGAGACCGTCGTCAGGTCCGATAAGGACGCGGTTGCGCCCAATGCGCCAGCTGATGAGGGCATAGTTGACAGCGAGGCTAGTGACGCGGAGGTCTTGCATGCGGGGGTCGCCTTCGGGGACGCCTTCTCGTTCGAGCTCCTCGATCGCGCGGCGCGTGGCGTCTGTGACGTCTTGGCTGGCGATCATGACGGAGTCGTAGGCGGCGGCTTTGTCTTTGGAGGGAGTGTCGGGGCCGGCGGAGGCGAGGAAGTCGGATAGGCGGGCTTCGGCGGTGGAGACGGAGAAGAGGGCTTGGCCTATGGATGCGTCGACGATGTTTGCCGTGCGGGAGCGCCAGGTTATGGTGTTGGGGACTTTTTCGGCGCCTGGTTTTTGACTTGCTGGGATACAGGTTAGCTCTCTAGACTGCCGCGATCATATATAGATACTCACCTGACGCGGCTGCCTCATCGTTCAAAGCATCCGCATCCAGCTTCTCTACTGCTGCGACTAGGTCTGAATTGTCTCTGGGAAAGTACTGTTTTGCTACCGTTGACACGGCCGTCGTACGAGGGAGTTTTGACTGGTATGCCGCATAGCGTATGCTCGGGTCGATGGTGCTTGCCAGGATCTCCTTGAACAAGTCCTTCTCTGTAGCACGCAATAACGCATTGTAGATGACGCGGGCCGCCGCAAAGTCCCTGAGACACAACTCCCAGTTCCGCTTCTGTGCGTTCCCTTCGGATTGCCTCTCGAATTCTTCCGCTCCTGCCATCGAGTATGCGTAGGCTTGCGCTTCCAACACGTCGGTATCTGTGGCTCCAGTCGTATTCTGGTCGGCTAATAGGCTCGCCAGCTCCTTGGCGCACTTTGCTGCCTTGTTCAGACGCGATATGATGTGAGTCCGTGTAGAGCCGGTGATGCCCCCTTTCGCATTGTCTTCGGAATGGGAAGACTTCATGTGCATGGCGTGGGCCCACGCTCGCTCGGCGGTGAGTAGGAGTAGGTGGATAAACCTGAGCAATGTCAGGCTGTGAAGTTTGTTTCTTGAGTTTGGTTGCAATTACTCGTGATCACGCCCAATGTCCTCTGCGGTAATGGGTGCTTTAGGCGCATATTTGGCATTCTTGGGCGTTGTTCGTCCCAGTCTTCGACGAATTGCGGGCAGTCGACGCGAGAGCTGAGTTCTGTAGGTGCTGTAGTCCCCTACCAGCAGGGCGGCGTCCCTGTGAGAGACTACAAACTGGGTGATGTCCATGGTGCTGTGTATACAGCTGCAAGGTGGGACAGTGAGTGTTGGCGGGGGGTGGTGGAAACGGTGGTGCCGACAGCGGCAGCGGACACCCCCGAGGCCGATGCGAAGATGGGCCGTCAGCCCTACGACATTTCTCGGATCGATCCATCATCGATGGCGGCTTGAGATACAACTTACGCAAGTCTGTATACAACCGCCACTTCGGCTTCTAGCCTCCACCTCTGCTTTATTTTCCCCGCCAACCCTCCGACAAAATACCTAGAGACTACGACTCGTCTGTGGCACCATCTCGGCCGTTACGCCTTGCCCTCGTAGGGGCATGTTGGAGAGAGCGTCCTCATGCCTCAGATACGGAGGACAAAGTACCTTCCGCGGCTCGAGAAAGAAACTGCGCAGTCGACGGCTGCTACACTCCTCCTTCTGGCACCATGGCGCCGGTGACCTCGATCTGCCGTCTTGGTGGGCCACTATACTCCAGCCCTCGACAACGGCTTCCGGTTCGACCAGCGACCATGATGCTTCGAACTGCGCCAGCTCGAGCCTGGACATGCAGATGCACGCCGGCAGTGGGCTGTTCCTCGACTTCCTCTATCCGGCGAAGACATTGGCATTGATACAGTCCATCTCCTCATACCGATGGGAGCCGTGGGAAGGCAGGCGAGCGCGCCACTCCGCCGCTGCCCGACTGCGCCAGTACTCGTCCATGCCCGGTACGATCCAACAAGCGCAGATCTCGATCGAGGCGTCCGCGTCAGACAATCAGGAAGGTGTCGAGTTCAGTCTACGACGGACCTCCGATGGTGCTTCTGGTTCGGGCAATTCTTGGGCACGCGAAGAGCTACGTGGTTTGCTCCAAGCAAAGAGCAAGAAAGAGGACGACTTCGACGAGGCCTGGCGACTATGGCTTGAACTAAGCAAACATCCTCAAGATTGGCAACTCGGCGCTGATCTACTGGAGTACCTGTCGTTGTTTCGACAGCCGGAAAGTCCCAGTCGGGTTCTTCAGGTCTTCTCAGGGCTCCCTTCGGATCAGCGCCGTGCCTCCTCATATCGCGCGGCCGTTGCCGCATGCCTCCAATTATCAAGTACAGCTAAAGCCACAGATACCACCGGCGAGATGAAAGATTGGGCGTCAGAATATGTTCAAAAAGCGGTTGAGTTTTTGAAAGAGGCGATCTCGCGCAATATAGAAGAAGACGTCGGTGCTAGTTCACTGTTCGCGATGTGCGTCGCCATCAAAAACTGGGATCTTGCACGAGCAGTATATGAATGCCATCCACAACAGGGGCAGGTCCAAGAGAGTGAGACGGACATTCCAGATATCTGGCAACATGCCTCGCAATCACCCGATCTCGTTAGCACTGTATCCTCGCTGGCTACTTTCGCAGCGAGGACCAGCGCCGGTAATATGACACGCGAATCAGAGGGCGCCGCGGACTTGGCGAAGCAGTTTCGTGCGAGGTACGGCGCGCTCCTGTACGGTCTAATGTTGCGCACCTACAAGCAAATACCGTTCGCCCTTCCTGAAAAGGTCTTAAAGCTGTTCAGACAGCTCGGCAAACTCGGGCTGTCGAAGGGAACGTACTATGAAAGAGCAATCCTAGAACTGTTGCATTCACCGGATAAGTCGCAGTACAAGGATCACACGAACACTGCCATCGGGCTGTATGACCTTTTTCTGAAAGTGCGCAGTCAAAGCAAAATGCGGAAAAGGGTCTACGAAGACAAACTCAAGCCGTCCGAAAAGATGTTGTTCTTCCTGCTCAAGAGGCTTTGCGATGCCGACGTTACTTCCGGGCCTGTCACAGTAGAGTCCGTTATTGCGGACTGGCGTCACTATCATGGCCAGCTCAGTCAGTCAGCTACGATCATGCTAATGAACCACTACGCTGAAAGAGGCGCGCTAGTGCAGGTTCAAGAGCTTTTTGAGCATCTGGAGTCATCCGTCTCAGGAGCAGTGCAAGAAGTTGGCTGGCTCCGCCCTCTGTTGTACGTCCGAGCTCGACGAGCTGAACTGCCAGAGGCCATACGGGAATTCGAGCGGATCTCGCGGGACTTCCGCCTCGAGCCAGACAGGCACTGCTGGAACATTCTTCTTTACGCGCACTCCAGGGCGGACGATCTGGATGGAGCCCTGCGCTACTTCAGAAACATGTTGGATCGAGGTATCAGCATGGACATGTACACTTTTGGGCCGCTTTTACAACTCTGTGCTGATCGCGGGGACGTCGACAGCGTCGAAGAGTTGCTAGACCTCGCTGCTTCTCAGAAGCTGTCCATGTCCGCAACAATGATGGGCAGCCTGGTGCTCGCGCACGTCAAGAACGACGACTTGTACGCTGCGGAGCGCGCAGCCGGGGAGGCATGGAAGGCACAGCACAATCAATCACTCACAGGCGAATTGACAATTGTTTGGAACACACTGCTGACTGCGCATGCCTTAAGAAGAGACATAGCTTCCGTTCAGAGGCTGTACAAGCGCATGCATAGTCTCGCAATACCCGTCGACCGCTTAACATACTCCGCACTGACGCATGTGCTGGCTCTCCGACGGCATACAAATGAGGCGTATAAGATCTTGAAACATATCATGCCCGCGCACCACGTGGAACCTCAGGCCTTTCACTATGCCATCGCAATGGTCGGCTATGTAAACGAAGGCAACGCGGAGATGGTACTTAAGGTTGAGAAGCACATGCAGAGCCGGGGCATCGACCATACCCTCAGCACCCGCATTGCGCTGTTGAAAGCCAAGGTTCTGGCACTGCAAGAGGCTTCCACAAACGAGCGATCCAGCCCCACCGAAGCGCAACAACTGGAAGCCGAAGGGGACCGCTTACTTGAAAGCATGATTGCCATGAACAGCACCACTATCGGCAGTAAGCAGCCCTCGTTAGGCCGAGGGTCAACGCCTCCCAGTCAAGCGGCAGAGGTGTCCCTTGAGCTCATCCTGTCTCTGTATAACCCGGAGCAAGCACACGTAGTCGTCCAGAAGTTCCTCGACAAATACATCGCCGGAAAAAGCGGCTCGAAAATGGCGCCCTCGATGCGCCTCCTGAGCACGCTGATGAGCGTTCGCTACCACGAAGGCAACCATGTCGAGGTCGAGAAGTACTGGCAGCTTGCCGTGTTCGAGGCTGCAAAGTATGCTCGTCTTCTCCCACGAGGATCCATCCCGTCTAGTCAGGCCGCACCTGACCCCATCTCGTCCGGCTTCACATCGAGTCCGATGTACGACTTCGGCGATACCTTCGAGCCAGACTATACTCCAAACACTACCTTGAACGAGCCGAAACACTCAATCTCGAACAGTGATGACTCCGAAGTCGACGCACCTCGCATCGCGCCCGCCCGCCGTGCCATCCTCTCTCGTCCGCTCTCCGTCTACCTCCGCAGCCTCATCGCCCAGTCGAACTACCCAAACATGATCAACACGATCAAATCCCTCACCACATCCGGCTACACCTTCGACTCCAAGACCTGGAGCCTCTACGTCCGCGCCCTCACCCGCGCCGCCCGTCGCCCTCCGCCCGCCTCTCCGCAGGCCGTTGGCCGCCCCGCCGCCCGCAGCCGCCAGTCCACCCCCCCAGCAAGTCTAGCCGACTTCAACGAACTCGACATCGACGACCCCGACCCTGACACCGACAATCCCGCCCTCTCATCCCCCTTCTCCATCACAACGCCCGAATACCTCCACGAAGCCTTCACAGCCTGCGAGACCCACCTCATCCCCGCCTTCCCCGGCTGGAACTACCGCGCCACCCATCCCTCTTACCGCTCCCGCACCCCTCGCGGCTACGAAGCCATGGCGCTCAAGCAGGCAGAGATCCACCCCGGCGTCCTGAGGCCGACGTACAGGACGCTTGCGGTGCTGGCGTATGTGGTGAGGATGTTGAGGGGGGATGTGTGGGGGGAGAGGACGGGGCGGAAGATGCGCTTGGCTCGAGAGGAGCGGCGGGAGGCGGAGAGGAGGAGGGAACTGTTGAATGGGTTGAGGAGAGCGGCGCCGAGGACGGTGGGGGTTGTGGAGAAGATGCCGAGGGTGTGGGAAGGGGGAAAGAAGGCTAGGTGAAGTATGTCTCGGTTGTTGGCGTGTTCGGGGGGGCATTTGCACGGTTCGGAGTTATCGGCCATCTGTACACTGACAGGACGTGTATAGAGCATGTTCGATGCATTTGAGCGGATCAGAGCTGTACATTTTCAGGTATTGCACAATAAGCCATTTTGGCTCAGCCCGACCGCTTCCTATTAGTACATGGCGTCTCACTACCGTCCGTTGAGTCGCCACCGTACGATGCAGAACCGAGCAGGCGACCAGATCAGTCCCCTCGTTCGCCGAACATCCGGCGCCAGGTGTTCTCTTGTCACCGTGGTCTCAAGCAACTACAAGTCTCCCCAACAATATAGCTGACGGTTCTGTGGTCTCCTCACGGGTTTCTCCTAACCCTCAGGATTTCCACCTTCTCGCCTCACATCTTGCTATACGGTGTCCCCCTAGCATACCTTTTCATCGAACTACCACCTCCCCTTACTATCTTTCGCCCTACCGGCCTCTGCTTCACGTTTCTTCGGACTCCGCCGCCGTATAGCCCGCGCTGACGACGTCTGGTTCTGCATACCTCCATTCTCAGCATCCTCATCTCCCGCCCTCCACACGCCTGCTCTAAACACCCTCACGGCGCTACTATACTCACTCATCTCTCCCATCCCCTCCCCCGCCCCCTCACACACGCAATCCCCCCTCACCGCCGTCCTCATCCTCCTCTCCAGCTGCTTGACCCGCTCGCTGCGCCGACTCCACTCGGTAGAGGTGTCGCTGAGGTATTCCTGCCACTCTTTGCCGGGGAAATTAGTGTTTTGGATTGTCTCGCGTAGCCCGAGGGTTTTGGGGGGGTGGAGGGCGCAGACGCCGGAGACGGAGAGGGAGCGCCAGAATCGGAGCGTCCAGAGGGAACGGATAAAGTGGGTGGGGACGGCACTGGCGCGTGATGCCATAGTACCCCCTCGCTGCCCCAAACATCCACCTCACGCACCCGCCCAGCCGGACCAACATCCCAGCCGTCCATCTCGTCTCCTTTTCGTTAATTCCACCGGGCTTGAGGTCGAAGCGCCAACACGCGCGGCCGTAGTTGAGCTCGAGGCCTACGCTGCCGATGCGACGCCGGCGCGAGGGGTGCAGCAGCGCGAAGAAGAAGGGGAGGAAGGCTGGTTCGGCTATGAGGCGGGTTACGAGCTGCAGGCTGGGGAGAAGGAGGGCGTAGGTGGGGGAGGGGAGGGTGAGCAAGCGGGGGGCGTGGAAGAGGGGGTGGATTGGTGTAGGGAGCTCGTTGATGAAGGGGCGGTCGAGGTCGAGGGCGCCGGAGTGGTGGAGCTCCCGGAGGGAGAGGGCGGTGAGGAAGGGGTTGGGTCTAGGGGCCGTGGTGGCGAGGTGGTTGGTCGCTATTGTTGGCTAGGCGGAGAAAAGTCCTGTATGCAGAGGTAGAGGAGAGTGGCATCTGAGGCCAGGGAGGAGGCCGTATGCAAAGTGCTGCCATTGTTGAGATGGTCTTCGACCACTAGGTCCGGATTTGGTTCCTTGTCCTTTGTCTCGAGCTGCAGGAGCGCATACTCGATTCATGTAGTCGCTCGTTCTGGTGAGGAAGGTCCTATTTTCGTATGTGAACAAAGACATTCTCAGTCGTTGCTGGGCGATTCCATGCGGAATTGACTCTCCAGAAGAACACGGCCAAGACGTAAGAGTCGGACTTTTTCTGCTACACATCTTGACTTCGGGACTTGCTGATGGGTTCCGCACCCGTGTAGAGGCGAGAAGCAATCTGGCAGCGACGTGTTTTTGGCGGTCAGAGAAATAGCGTTAATAGTACACAAGCATTATGGATGCGCATCATATCTCCACATCCGTAGACTTTTGACACCCTGAGACTAGTAGGAGGTTTCTACCATACAATCTGAGTCTGCATGACGGTAAGGCCAGAAATGCGAAAAGAGGGATGTGATATAATTTATATCTGAATTAATTGCTTGAGAAGTGTGACACGAACCGAAATGGTAACTGGAATATCCATCTCTTTTTTTTATGGCGCTGAATATCCCACCGCTGCTGTTACGAACCATGTCCAAAAGAACCCAGTTTGATGTCGTCATATACTCATACCAGAGTTCGGGTATCAAGACTTCAGCCCGCACTAACCCTCCTCAAACTCGTTAATCCCGAGCTCCCCGAACTCGTACTCGACCCACTCGAGCCCTTCCTACTGCACTCTTTCCTCACCTTCCCTGTTTCTCCCTCTGCCTCCCCCTTCCCCGGCGGCTGCACCTCAAAATACTCCTCCGATCTTCTCCCTTCCCTCAGCTTAACCGGGCTCATCCTCACAGCCTCAGGGTTCCAACTCCCCCTCAAGCTCGGCCCCGTCAAACTCCTCTGATGCCTACGCGTATTCGGCGAGACGACTGCGGGGAGTTCCAGCCGGCTATTCATCCCGATCCACAGGGCCTCTTCTGAGCCGTCGCCTGAGGCGACGCGCCATCCGCCCACGCCTTCGTAGTCGCGCGCGGGTCCGAGGCTGCTGGTCAGCGAGGCGAAGGAGCCGCTTTTGGTGGGGTGGATGGGTGGGAAGCCGCTGCTACCGGCGGCGGGGTCTTGGGTGGAGGCGGTGCTGGCGGTGCTGGTGCGACGGTTGGCGCGGGGATGGCGGGGGCTCGTACGGCCGGGGGAGACGGAGTAGGGCGGGGTTCGAGGGTAGGAGCGTTTGGGTGGGGGGACGAAGAGGTAGCTGTGTAGGAGGGCGACGCCGAGCTCGAAGTAGACGATCGAGACGCGGATCAGGAGGGTGCTGAAGGCGAGGGAGGTGGTTATTATGGCGAGGAGGGCGAGGGGGATGGAGAGGGAGAGGAGGACGGGCGGGGCGAGGAGGTGAAAGACGTTGGGCATCGTGGCTTGCTGCTCCTCTTTCTTGCTTTGGAGGTAACAGATAGCATAGTGAAGACTGTCAACAACGTCCAAAGTGGAGGTTATCTGATTGCACAAAGGCGGAGGTGAGAGCTTGGCGTGGTGTTGTTCTTTGCATGTGACAGTCCGGGGAAACCTTCCAGAAGCGCGGCAAAGTGGCGTCACTGTCCGGGGAAGCACTGCCATCGAACAACACCAGAAGATATCTCCATCTCGCCGGTTTTCCTACCGCGCTTGGTCGAGACAGCGGGGGCCATGGCGGAGAACAATAACAATGACGGCGACGAGCCATTCCCCTGGCACCTCGGTGTCTTCGACGCCCACTGCCACCCCACCGACACCATGTCCACTCTCTCCTCGATCCCCAGCATGAAAGCCAAAATCCTCACAATAATGGCCACACGAGCACAAGACCAGCACCTGGTAGTCCAAGCCGCCTCAAAACTCGGCATACAATCCTCAGACGCCGCAGCGAGCCTCGAGTCTCTCAGCAAAGAAGAGCGCGTGGTCCCCTGCTTCGGCTGGCACCCCTGGTTCTCGCACCAGATGTACGACTCAGCCGCCTATGCCGACAAAGAGACCCTCAACGATGAAGACAAGATCGCGCACTATCAATCCGTACTAGATCCTAGGTCCGAGGACCGAGACTTCTGCCTCGCGCTTCCCGATCCTCGCCCCCTTTCGCAGTTTCTTGAACAGACAAGACGGCACCTTGAGCAACACCCTCTCGCGCTAGTGGGAGAAGTTGGGTTGGACAAGTCGTTCAAGATCCCAGAGGCCTGGATGCCGGAGCACCAGGAGCAGCGAGACGACTCGCTCACGCCTGGAGGCCGGGAGGGACGGCGTCTCTCGCCGTACCGCGTGTCGATTGAGCACCAGAAGGTCGTGCTGCTTGCACAGCTACGACTGGCGGGGAAGATGCAGCGTGCTGTCTCCGTCCACGGCGTACAGGCCTCTGGCGTCCTGTTCGAGACGCTGCGAGAGACGTGGAAGGGGCATGAGAAGGTCGGGAAGAGAAAGCAGAAGAAGATGCAAGAGAACGAGAAGCACGTGGGTACGGATGAGAACGGTGGTGCAAAGTCGCCGAAACCGTATCCGCCGCGCATATGTCTGCACTCGTATAGTGGGTCCGCGCAGCAGTTGAGTCAGTATTACCAGCAGTCCATTCCTGTAGATGTGTTTGTGTCGTTTTCGACGGCGATTAATTTCTCGGGTTCAAGGCCGCCCGACGCGGTGGAGGAGGCCATTAAGGCTGTCCCGGATGGTAATGTACTGGTGGAGAGTGATTTGCATATTGCTGGAGAGCACATGGATAGGCATCTCGAAGACATCGTGAGGGTAGTGTGCCGAGTCAAGGGATGGAGTCTAGACGATGGCGTGCGGCAGTTGGGCCAGAACTGGAAACGGTTTGTTTTTGGTGCTTGAAACGGATCGTTAAAGTCTTGGAAAACAGCGGAAGACAGGAAAGAAACCTAAGCGACTTGAGCCAGTGGCTGCGCACGCAATGATGATCGAGCGCCACTGACTGCTCTATCGAACGATTCCGAGCTCCTCAGCTGGCTGGCGCATTCAGTTGCAGACGAGGCGCGGTATCGCACTGCGCAATATACGTCCACGTGGAAGCCTTGCGCTGTATACGCTGACAGTACTGGATCTTCCTGGTCTTCTCACAAGAAGAAGCGACGTTGTAACTGTCCGCACTCGAGATACGCTCGTAAATCTCGCGTCTTGTAGGATATCAGATTGGCGGCATAGATCTGTAGTATTTTAGATATGGCTTGTAAAGAACAAAGACTACATCGGCTGTATCTACGAAGCCTAGGCGCCATCATTGAACGCATAAGATTTCGCCCACCGCTTGTCCCACTCCTTGCTCGAATCGACAAACCTCAAATCCGTAGCCAATCGAATGATATTATTCGGGTCGTGATTGATCGTCGAGGCATGAATCGTATAAGGGGTATGCAGCACAACATCACCCGCCTCATACGCGCTGACCAACCAGCGCTTATCGTACTTCTTGGCCCACCTCGCCGGGCCTTCGTCAAGCATCCCGGAGGACATCATGTTGCGGTTGAAGGCGTACTTGGCCTCCTCGTCTGTGAAGCCCGAGTCTTTGGCTTTGGTGGTGAACTCGTCTTCGAGCTCCTTGCCAAGGATATGTCCTGAACCTTTGTTAGCAACCTCGTCCCTCGCCACTGCCACTGTCGCCGCTCATAATACCTGAGCCTCCGCCCTTTGTTACTCACCATTCTCCAGATAGATCAGCCCACCTCCCTGCACGTCAATATCCCCCATTGGCACCCAAGCCGTCACACTAGTCGGTTCCCCATACCGCAGAAAGATCTGATCATAATGGACACCGATCGCCTTGGTGCCCGGGATGTTATTCCTCAGCAGCGTCCGCCGCACTCCCAGCGTATTATCCCCCCACCCCGAGAACCTTGCCACAAAATTGTACAGCGCAGGATGTTTGCAGAACTCATCACGATACCAATTCTGATAATGTGCTTCCAGCGCACGGTCTATGAAAGTCGCGGTATGATCGCCTGGCCGAGCATTGCCGCCCACGGCCCCTGCGCCTAGGCCGGGGAATTTGTCTTTGTCTTTGGAGGCGTCGAAAACCCCATCAACGGGTGCGGTGTTGGGCGCTAGTACGCCAGATGGCGAGATGAAATCAAAGTATTGCTCGCGTGCCTTGAGAACATCGGCACGCGGTATCACGCCTTTGAGGAAGAGGTAGCCGTCAGTCTCGTAGCGGCGGCGGAGCTCATCGAGTGGGAGATCAGGAGAGGAGGGTTTGAGCTGCCCAGCACCGAGGAGTGGGCCGTCGTTGACGAAGAGGGATGTGTTTGGGAAGTCGGTGGATTGGGGTTCGGGTGACGGGCTGGCGGCGTGGGGCATGGTTTATGGCAAATTATAGATGGTAATGACTTGGACAGTAAGACGGACTAGAGATGGAGAAGTAGAGAACACGAGGTGGAAGAAACAGTTGTCCTACTGATATGTATCTACGGCGGTTGCACCGAAAGCTGCCCCACTATGCGAATGCAATAAGCACGGCCTGTGGTTGGTGGTGGGCCTTGGGGGTTCTTAAATAGCCGCCAACGGAATTACTTGTTTGGATCAAGAAGGAAACCGCGGACCGGGAGTGCTGAAGCCCAAGAGCACGTGACTTTTACTTTAGATGACACAACAACTCAAACCTTCAGCTCAAAGTACAGTTGTTAATCGGCGTGCTCTGCACAACTATGAGTTGTATTAGCGACAGTTATCAGCATAGTATGCTTCTAGCACATGTCTACAGTAATCCCCCTATCCCCTGTTGAGATTCTAGGTAAGCGCTCTTGAAGTTTCCTTTTGTATAGTGCCCTACGAGTAGACAGCTCGTCCAGATATCCAAAGAATGCACACAGAACTTCCAAGCTAGAAATGCGGCGTATTGAGCGCCATTGCCGTCAAAAGCCCTGCAATCAGTCCAGCCACTGGCAACGTGAGCAGCCATCCGCCAAATATCCAAGCCAGCTGCCTCCAGTTGACAGCACCCAAATCGTAGTTCATGAGAGCAACGCCCATCGTTGCACCGACTAGCGTCTGTGTAGTGCTGATGGGCAAGCCCAGTCTCGATGCTACCAAAACCGTGATGGCGGCGCCCAGCTCAATACTGAATCCACGCGTGGGGCTCATCTGGGTAATCCTGTTGCCCATTGCGCGGATGATGTGGTAGCCGAAGAACCAAAAGCCGAGACCTAACAAAGCTCCCGCCACGACTTGTCGACGTTAGTTTAACGCAAATGATAGGGTCTGAAGGCCTAGGAGTCTGGAGGAGTACATACCGAGTATCCAGACGGGCGTGTCTGCCCGTGCCTCCACGATGCCATTCTGGTAGGTATTATACGCCGCAACCCATGGCCCGACCGCATTGGCGACATCATTCGAGCCGTGTGCAATGGACATCATCATCGCGGAAGCAACTTGAGCGTATGTCCAGAGATGCTCGACACGGTTGTCGTATACCTTCGCCAGGGCATGCGTCTTGGCTAGGGCCTCTGAGTGATAATTGACGCAGTCCCGAGTCACGCCCTGGAGCAGAACGTACTTGACGATGGACCAGATACGAGCAGGTTTGTACCATGGTAGATGGTTTGTCGGCGCAAGGAAGCGTTCCTCTGGCTCAGGAGGAATGGCGATGATCTTAACAGATGCTGGAGCAGGGCCGCCCTTCTCCATCACTGAAGGATTTTCGCCCGGCTTCCCAAGAGAAGTTCCGTTGGCTTCGATGACAGGGCTGTCTGTGGGTAAGGAGCCGTCGGATCTGTTTTGACGAACAATATGCGATTTGGCGTAGTAGTCCTTGACAATCTCACCATCCTTGGCCGGCCAGTAGAGAGGAGGATCCTCGCGCCACAACAAGGGGCCCAATGGTATGTGGCGAGCTCTGACGCGAGAGTCTTCTTTCACCAGACGTCGGTGAAAGTACGGAAGAAAGAAGACGTATGCGATGATCAGCGCCCCAGCAAAGACACCCAGGATGATACCGACAGCCTTCCCAGCCCCGAACTCTTCAAGGGAATCTGAAGTAGGCGCCTCAATGACGATAAAGAGTGCCAGGATACTTGCGGTGAAGGCAAGGTAGAGCGGTATCAGGCGCAAAGCCCATTTGAAGGAGTCCTTGCGCTCAAGAACGCCGTACTTGAGGGTTGCAAAGAGAATCGCGGAGAAACCAGCCGCGATCATAGGAGCAATGCCCCAGGAGGCAGCGATTTGCGAGACACTGCCGCTGGCCCAACCCCATTTGATTTTGGCCTGACAAGCGATGCCCGATCCGACAAGAGCCCCAACTATCGTCTTCAAGACCGTAGTCAGCTTTCTGTAAACATTCAGGTGGTGGAGAAAGGCTTTGGCACTTACCTGAGTGGTTGAAACGGGGAAACCAAACCTGGTGGCAACCATTAACCACGTCGCCGAGGCCGTTTCAGCGCAACCCATAATCAGGATGAGGGTTGCAGGCGTTGCAACGAAGCGGTCCAGGTTGATGATGCCGTTCTTGATAGTGCCGGTCACTCGAGCTCCCAAAGCCACAGCTCCAACGAACTCAGTAATCGCCGACAGGAAGCCGACCTGGGGCATCGTGAGCGTCCTGGCAGCCACCGATGTAGCATAGCTGTTGGCAACATCGTTGGCTCCGTTACCGAATGCACTGAAGCAGAAAGCGATGGATATCAAAGCAATGATCCAACTGTACTGGGTAAGAACTGCCATGGCGTAAAGACCGCAGGTAAATCAGAGATTCTCGATCCTCGCGTATGCGAGACTCCGCTTCCATTCTTGCCGTGGAGCTCTTGAACTATTATACCAGCATCGAGAGCCACCGCTCTCTGATGCAAACGCAACACGAGACGTTCAGAAGAGTTTTACGTCCAGGATACGCACTTTTTGGGGCCAATCGGATGGCTAGACCGAACAACGTGCTTGAATGAAAGGGAATGCGAGATCTACCAAGAGGGCCCTTCCTCCTGCCAAGCTCCGGCTCATCGCCAAGGATGCTTGGTTGCCGTTTCTCCGAGGGCCCTGCCTCCGTCGAGAGCACTAAACGGCTGTACTTCTCTCGGCGGAATCCGCAAGTCAACCGTGATCTTGAAGTGGATTGGCTGCGGTGCCCTTTGCATATCAGCAAACCCCCATGGAGTCTACCGATTTAGCAGGTGGGTGAGCCGCAAGTTCGCTTGGTACAAAAGCGAGCCCACTGTCTGATTCAATTCAGGCTGAAGCGTTGCAGGATGCCCCTCCAAGGTTGTCGGAACCTTGGAACTGCGCTATTGTGACACAGCAGCGTACCTGCTTCTTTAAGCTGGTGTATCTCTCCGAGGAGAAGAAGTCTTGTAAAGGACAGCCAAGTCCTTTACAAGACTTCTTCGCACAAGATCAGTCTCAATCTCAAGTGCCATGCATGCAGCTGTAGGGTAGGCTTAGGAACCAATTCGATTTTCCAGAGGGAGTGACTGATTTGCTGACGTAGCAACATAGAGGGGCGGTGGTGATCCCACCTTCTTTCATAGTCCTTCGCCGCTCCGCACACGATGATTTTAGTTACATGGAGACGTTCTCGCACAGCTTAGCTTAACCCTCGCTAGTACTTACGCTAGTGGCCATCCCTAGTACTATATCGTCAAGGTTGTTGACAATCGTATGTCCCTTGAGCTGGCTCCTACCCATACGTTGTAGTTACCCCTCTGCAACTCCCACTGCTGAGTTACCGTGTTCCAAATGCTTAAGTCCCTTCTCTTGATCTCAAACACCGCCTCCTTGCTTCTCCCCACGCCCAAAGGTCCCACCCTCTCGAATCCCCTCAGCTGTCTAGATGGCGCGTTGGGAATACCGAGGTACAATTGCGCAACCTCCGCGCCCTCAAGACCGCCTGAGTTAGTGATAGTCGCGCGGATAGTGTAGAGTACGTCCCAGAGATCAGGGTGGCCGCCTTGAACAATCTCAAGGTCCGGTGACGGATAGGGTGAGGTGTCTGCGCCGTCCACAGCCTCCAGACTAAGGTTTGCATAGGTGAATGTGGTGTACGAAAGGCCGTATCCGAACTCGAAGCGCGGTGTAATGTTCCTCGCGTCAAAGGCACGGTAGTCAATGTACAGACCCTCTGAGAAATTGCTTTGCGGGAAGGCAGAAAAGTCGATCGTAGAATTCAGCACGGAACCGTAGTCAGATTCATTTCGACCCACGGTGTAAGGTAGACGACCACTAGGGTTAACAGCACCGTAGAGAACGTCGACAAGCGAGTGGCCAGATTCTTGACCTGGAAGGCCTGCAAAGACGACAGCTGTGACGTTCGGATGGTCGATCCATGCATCTACAACGCGGATCCCTGCGGAGTGCACAACGACAACAGTGTTACTGCAGTTCGTTGCAATGTTTCGAACTAGCCTGTCACTCCACGGGTCCGCAAGAGTCGTACGATCATAGGACTCGGATCCATAGGCATTGATGAAGACGAGGCAGGCGTCAGCGTTGGCATAGATGGTAGGGTTTTGGCCAAAAAAGTCCCAGCGTAAGATGCCACCGTCGGCGATGACGCGGTCATGGAGCGCCTTGAAAGGCGAGATAACATAGGGAGGCGTACTGCCGCCAGAACCGCCGGCGGTGATAAGGGTGCCATTGAGAGTTTGCCAGCCGAAGTTTACTTCATAACCTACAACCTGTCAGTTTGCGGAGATGATTGGCGGATGCGGAGAGGGAAGGGGATTGCCAGAGTGATTGGGAGGCTAGTGGCAAAGATAGTTTGGGAAATTGGTGAAGCGATGGAGATTGTTGAGATCTTGGTGTTAACTGAAACGACTGATGATGATGGATTTGAGCGCTGAGTAAAGCTTTCGAGATGCCAAGAAAGGAATGATGGAGAGGTTTTGTAGTGTTTCAAAGAGGTGGACTTACCTCCTCCGAAGCGGGCTGGGTTGTCCCACGGATTGGCCTTAACCTCAGCATCGTAGCCGTAGATGTTGAGAAATCGCGGCTTGAGTAGTGGCAGTGTGTTGTTCACATTCTTGACGAGAACGTGACCCGCAGCGCCAATCTCGCGGATAAGTGAGGCATGCTGGTTGCGGACGTCGATGATCGGATGAACAAGGTTGTAGGCGAAGACGCCGTTCTCCGGGAAGTCCTCACCCTGCCCAGTGAAGAAGTGGGCAGCGAGAACGCGTGTGACCATGTCGTCCAAACGTTCAACTGCCACGGATCCGTTGTTGACGGCACTGGTCAGGTTTTGGCCCCAATAGCCTCCATCAGGCATGACAACATCCAGGCCAGCATTCGCGCTTGCAACACCTGCATGCTGTGCCGCCCAATCGCTGACGACGAAGCCTTCGAAGCCTAGCTCGGTCTTGAGGATGCCGTTCATGAGCTTAGAGTTCTGACAGCCGTAAGAGTGGTTGGTGCGCTGATACGAGCACATAACGCACCCTGCGCCTGCCTTCAGAGCATCGTAGAAAGGCCAGGCATACAGCTCATGAATTGTGCGATCGTCCGCGTTGGAAGACATTGCTTCACCAGCAGAGCTGGGAAACCGTCGCCATTCTTGTTCTTGCAAAAGCCAGTGCTGCAGGTGTGAGCTCACTCTCCTTGATAAGGTGATATGAGCACGTACCTTGGGTGTAGCGATCACACCAGCGTCCTGGATCCCTTCTGTTATGAGTCCACCACCTATACCCCCAAGATACGGATCTGGTCCCAGCCCTTCCCAATTTCTGCCTCCCCTCGCCACTCTCCCCAAAGGCCCTACAAAAGGTCCCAGCGCGACATGAATTCCCTTACCGCGATACTCATCGCCTAGCGCTTTCCCGTACCGATACATCAGGTCCCGATCAAATGTTGCACCAAGATGGATGCCAGCTGGGAAGGCAGATACGAACTCCTGTCCTCGAACCCCATCTGGGGCATCAGCGAAGCAAAGTTCAGGGACGCCGAGCCGCGGGACCGCGCCTGAATTGCCGACACATTTGCCCACATGGCCGCGTGTGACGTTCGATTTCTCTTCTAGTGTCATTTGGGAGACAAGGGAGCGAGCGCGGGCGTAGGCGGCCGCCCAAGCGGCGGAGGTGGTGCCATTGCCCTGGGCTACGATAGGTCAGTCTTGTGTTGGGAACTTCCACGAAGGACGGGGTTTGTATTAAGAGAGCGGACGCTTGGCGGTGTGCGATCAAGAGGCACTAGAACACAGTATTTCGGCACTTGCAGAAGGAGAATCGAGACTTCAGAGGCCTCTGTGGTCAATAGAAGCTTTAAATCTCCATCAGATTACCCAGTTAGTGGTTCTTTGCTGATGTTGAATGAAGGATAGCCAAGCGAACGCTTCTTTGATACAAACTTTGTCCTTCGTGTCCCAGACGTTGAGAGTGTAGGCGAAATCATTGTGGACTTACGTGTTGGATATACAGGCGGACTGAGACCATAAAACGGGACTTCCGACTGGTTCGTTCGATGATCCGTGTAATGTTGCGCGGAAGCCCTGAGCAATACAGAAGCAAATGCCAGCAAAGAGAAACCTGTAGCCTTCATTTTTGCTGTCTCCGCCGAACTCAACAGCTACTGCTGTCTTGACGGGGCCACATGCTCCTTTTATCTCTTTGCTCCATGGCTATGGTATCCACCGGCTTGTTACCGAAATGAGGTATTTTTGAGAAGCAAGCACACAAACATCTCCGACATCACATCCGACTCGGCTGAACCATAACATGGTATCCTAGCAAAACGCGGGGAGTACATGGGCATGCAGCTCATCCTGCGCATGACAACTGAGCATCCGACGTTGGTCCGCATCCAGGGAAAGTACAGCGATGCGGAGAGGTTCAGGATACCATGTTCCTGCTGCTAGGTTTAAGGATCGACATGAGGCAGTCCCCGAAATCGCTGCTTGGGGCTGCAAGGTGCTAGGTAATATAGGTGTATTTGAAGGGTATCACGACGGTACGTTTTGGGGCCGAGATATTTGCCGACAGATCCAACGTCACCAAGAGTTGGTTGAAAAAGCCGTTGCCGCGTAGAGAGCTTGTCATGAACATCACAGTGGATGATCTAAACGGGCAATTCTTAGCCCAAACACCCCTCAGGCGATTGATGCGTGAGAGCTCGACACTGCCAAGTAACTTACAGCCTCTATGGCATAGAACCTGTCTGGTTCTTCCGCTCTCAACAGGATTTCAAGTCCAGCTCAGTCGTGACTTGCCCTGAAAACGGTTGCGGCTACAGATGCGGCTATGATCTTTTTGAGCGGCCCTTGCCTGTAAGCGCTCCGTCCTCACTTGCCTATTCCCGATCGCAGTCAAGCAACGACACTAGAGACGCAGCATCACCCGCTAGCAACGCAAGCACCGGCCCTCTTCTTCCGTCCGTCACAGCGACGACAACCGTCTACAAAATGCGTTGGCGGTGAGAAGGCCGCAAGTTTTGATCCACGAAGTGCAAGAGCCGCCGACCACGTGATACCTCTGCGCAACATCACCTCAGCCCCAGACTGCCCAAGAGGCAACCGTGTTGGTATATTTTAGCATGGCCTCATCGGCTCAGTGATAATGCCTGGTTCACCTGCTTACGCCACTCTTCAGAGCATACTCTGGCATCTGAGCCGATTCTTTGACCCCCAACCGAGGTTTTGAACAATTCTTTCCGCCTTGCCAGTCACGATACGTCAACGTGCTCTGCCATCGCCGGAAGCCGTGGACAGCATTCTGAGAGTATCCCGATGTCGAAGAATGACCTATCGATTATGGGCAGGTACACTCTCTGGAGCACCGCGTCCTTGCCGCCACAGCTCACGAATCTGGAGCTCTTCGCCTGCTGCATTACCAGGCTAGCTACGCGGCGACAGCATTCGAGCCACCCTCCACCTGAGCTCAGATGTGGTCCTGTATGACAGGGCCTTGTTGCTGGTGTATAGCTGAAGGCACGGCATGCACACTCGACAGTCCGCTCGACGATGTCTGAGGGACAGGAACGCTGTCGTCAGGGGCGGACACAAATTTGTTCTCAGGCTTTTCTCGTCGGCAGCAGAACCCATCCTCTTGTCAGACCCTATGGTATTGTTCCACACTCTTGCGGGATGTGAAGCGTCCATCGAACACGATCCGTATTGATTGCTAGCTGAACGCGTTACAGCTAGTGATTGCCTCTAGGATGCGGCAGACAACCCGATGCTCGGAGAGTTCACAATGGCTTCGACCACAATCCGGAACCAATGCTGATGACCAATATCTGTTCGGCCTTCATCTTCTTTTGCCAACTTCTCTCGAAGCTATGAACGGTTTCGGTGCTCGGGCTGAGGTTCATTAGCGGGATGGCCAGTTCGATGCCAGAAGACTCTCCAGGACTTCCCTAGAAGGGTCTATTTAGGTCTATGGTTAATTTCGCGTGACAAACAATGCTCGGCAGAGATAAGGGTCGCGATTCTCAGGATGCAGACAGAACACTTCCTAGTTGTACAAAAGGTTAAGTGCACATAGAATATTGTTCATCTCTGAGTGTTTCTGCCAACTCAGAGTGCTCGCCCTTCACTCGTAACCTACACGTCACTGGTGCCTGCTCAGTCGTGCGGACCTGCAAAACCTGGTCACGTGCTTACATTCACTGAGTTGTGTCTGTTACGGAGATCTTCGCATCAAACCACTTTCTGGTAACAGCATTGCAAGACCAAGTGAATCTAATCTGCACTGTTGCAGGGTTTGTGGCCCGGAAGCTTTGCTTGAGAGCGCAACTGCACCTGCCAACAACACCACACTACGAGAATCAGCGCCGGAAACTCAGTCATCGCGGATAACCAGGAAGGCTTCTCGGAAACCGAGCATTGCCTAATATGGCCAGGAGCAAGGGCAAGAGGGCGAACCAAGATCCGGCCGTCGCTGACGAGGCACAGGCCGCGGAGCCGGTTAGAAAGGTGAGACCATCCGCAGAATCCCACCGAGCTTCTGCGAGGTTGGAAGCACGGTTGCTCCAATGAAGAAAGCAGGACTAACGACAGCCAGAAACCACGCCCAGCAAAGATTGTCGAGTATCTCTGTAACATCTGCGCCCATAAGAAACCCTCCGACAGCTTCCCCGATGCCAAATCTACCAACATACCGCCCTCTTGCCGAGGCTGCCTAGGTACAGACAGCGGCCGAATATGCCACTCCTGCGTTTCTAATTGGACGTCCGAAACCGCGGCCAAGTACGCCGGCAGATCGCCCGAAGAGATCGCCTGCCTCGCATGCGGCGATACATGGCCATATGAGTACGTCAAGATGCATCTGAGCGGAGAGGATCTTGACCGATACGAGGCAAGGCTTCTGCGGTACGCGCTGCGAGAGGACCTCAATTTCCGCTGGTGTCCGGCTGCCGATTGCGAAGCGGGCTACATCCACGAGCGAAACACCAACAGATGCCGGAAGATCACCTGTGGCGCTTGTGAGGTGGCGAGCTGCTACCACTGCGAGATAGTGTGGGAGGCTAGACATGATTGCAAGGAACACCGCGGCGAGGTCGACCCGGAAACACTGAAGACGCTCCAGGAACAGCAGGCCAGGCAGTGTCCGGAGTGCGGGATCGCTGTTACCAAGATAAGCGGATGTGACGATATTCACTGTAAGTTCAAGCTCTGTTTTACTGGATACGAAGGGCACTGACCGGAACGACCCAGGCGAGAGCTGCGGAGAGAGCTTTGACTGGGCCAGTGCCAAACTCGTTGGAGGGGGGTGATGAGTCGGACACATGAGCAACGATCGCTTCAGCACACACCGGACACGAATGGACGATGTCGATGTTTCAGTTCTTGCAGGCGTTCGGAAGCTTCTAGGCGAGGTAGTTGCAAAGGGGAATCTCAATTCATACACGAAGACAGACAAAATATTGGACATGCAATTGCTTCGAGGGATCAATCACATTCATGACTTGCATCAACTCCAAACAGAGCCGGCCCCACTCACCGCCTCATCGTGCGCCGCTCATCTTCTTCTCCGGATGGTCACTCCCTTCAGCCCTTTCGGAACCAAGTCCCCTGCCTTGTATCCAGAAACGGTTACAGTTCGCGCGTGCTGATGGCTCTCCCTCCCTTAGGCGCGCTTGGATCCGACAGCAAGCCCCACAATCGTTGCAACGGTGACACAATCGGAGAATTCCTGCTGCACGTACCCGCATGCAGATGCGGGGGCCGCGAGGCTGGGCTGATCGCAGTACTCGAATGACGTGCAGAATAGTTTGCAATCGATGGGATGGGTGGGGCCTACATAGCTGGATATTGGTCGGAGACTCGGAATGGGCTAGGTGAGGTGGTGCTCGTGCCGAGCAAGGATGGGAAGGGGAGCGTTGGGTGGAGCCAGGACGTAGATCTCTAGAGTGAATTATTGAACGGCGTATTGGGTTGTGGACATGTGGGAGGATTGAAATCGAATCGGCGAGTATGAAGCAGAGGCGTGTTGATCCTGGAGCACCAAGGTCACCTTACGGTCATGTTTCCATTGCTTGGATGATGTTGGAGAAGCGGCGATCCACAGTCGCTGCTGGTGGATGCGCAGCGGAAATGTGAGTTCCCAGAATTGAACGGGCTCGGTAGGTAGAATGTGCGACAATAGGGCTATCGTAAGCAGATCTCGCAAGCATCGCTGCAAAAGGTCTTCGGCTGCAGAAAGAATTGATTACGTGGCAGTGATTGCTTGTGCGAGCCGAGCGTCGACCGTGTCTAACATGCAGCGCAATACATTGGGAGATTGGAACACTGCCGGCCGTACATGATGTAGGTAGACAAAAGGAAGCGAAGCAAAAGCAAACAAACCAGAACTGGCCGTGGTTCCCCTGGTGCAGAGTAGGGCGGTACAACATGCTGGAGTAAGGGTACTGTTAAAGAGGACGAAGGAAAAAAGCACAATGGGAGAAAATGAACGACGGTGTGCACCTGGGACAACATGGTACAGCCAGCCACTAGAGACAAACAAAAGCCCCAGTTCCAAGATTGGTCTACTCCGTTTAGGATTTTAGAACGAAAACAACGTCGCTTTTCGATAATGAGCCAAGACGCCATATTGCAAAGATCCAGAGGAGGCAAGCGTGCCAATGGACCAGGGATGCCATGACACCTTGCTGCAAATGAACCGACGACAGCGAGAGAGAGGGTGCTGTTGAAAGACGGGATCGTGGGGATCCCAGCAACCGGCACTGCGGGAAGACTTGTCGATGATCGGCAGCGCAGATCCTTGTCAGCCGCGTGTTTGACAGCGATCGCGCCAAGGACGAACCGTTGTCCGGTCTAGCGGTCTCTGGGTATCCCTGCTGCATTTAGCGTAGTTCCTCCACGATGATGTATCGACGAGTAAGTCGTCAGGAGGGAGAGTCCAGCTTACCGATCACAGACCTATGCCTTGAGTGAGCAAGGCCGGCAAGTCTTCAGCTTGCAGTGCTCGCACTCGTAGATGTACCAATGCGGTCCTGAGTGGCACATGTTGCAGTTCCACAAGATGAGCGTTGTGTCCGACTTGATCATCTTGAAAGAGTGATCGCAGTTTCCGGGTACAGCCATCGCGCTTGGGTGAGCGAGTGAGCGAACGAGGATACTGGCAGCGCTAAGTCTGAGAAATATATATATCCGTCAGTGTCAACCGCGCCCAAGCTCTTGCATTGGATGTACCTCAGGGACAGAAACACAAGCCGTGGGCAGATATTACAAGATTAGTAGGGGTGGTCTGCAAGCAGGAAGCAACCGAAAGGTTTGGGATCGAGGCGTGGTCGTCGGCGATTAAAAGCAAGGAAGCAATCGGTAAGTGAGCAAATGGGAAGTGAAGTGCCCGGCGCGGTGAAGATCTGCAGCTTTGGAGGAGTCTGATTCTGTCTTGACTGAAGCGCGGAAACGCTTAATCTTATACTTTTGACTCGATGGTGGCCCTTGCCACAACTCTGTATTCTTCTCTCCACCTTCTCGCCGCGGGTACGACCAGAAACACAGCAGGCAACCCTGGGGCACTTTCCCTAAACACGAAGAACACTTTTTACGGCCTCGAACGTCCAGGCTCTCGGTCAAATTTGGATGTTTCTTCGACCGATGCAGCCGTAGGTACACCGCTCGTTTCAAAGCGGAAGACTAAGGCGAGATTGTCAGACTTAGGCTTGCTGTTCCCGTTGCCGCGGCTGTGGGTTGCATCATGGATGTCCAGGTAAGTGGTCCTTGTTGCAAGGTAGCGTACCCAGGCTCATATCGTGTCTTATGATGGTAGTGATATGGGGTCTTATATTGGCGTATTATGTGTCACATAACATCAGCGAGCTCAGGGCGGTCTCGCACACAGCAAATATCAGACAGCGGAGCTCGGAATAAGTGCCAGCCTCGTTGAAACGTAGCAGAGCCTTCCAGAAGCAGACTGCGAGGCTGGACGGCTGGACGCTGACTACCCAGCCGTTCTGGAAAGATGGGGCCAGGAAGGAAGAGGCTTTCGGCGCGGTGGACCGCCGTTGTAACTGACAAGCCAGGTGGTTATGAAGAGCAGCTAAGGTGAGCGCCATGACCCACAGCAACCGTGCAAAGGAGGCTATCTCAACGCTCAAGGTTGTGGTCGGAAGGCAGATGAAGCCACAATCTCAAGGTTGTCATTGGGCGGTAGAGTTGACTTGGCGGATTGTAGCCGGCACCCAAACCTGCGCGGCCCACTCGAACAAGTCAAGCGCCTCCGCTTGGTGATCTCTAGGCTTGCACCTGGAAGACATCGGCGGGAAACCCACCAAGCGGAGGCGCTTGACTTTTCTGTGTGGGCTTCGTTGCTCCTTGCAGCAAGGCACATCTGCCCTTCCGTTTGAACCATCATTTTTAGGTTCACCGGCCGTCCCCGACCATTCCTTTGAAGCCACCAAACTTCCACACCCTGTTATGGAATGCGCTTTCCTCCTCACGTGTCTGCGTTCTTATGCGACTCCACTACGCCTCAGAGTCAGTTTGTCGGTTCCGTGCTCCCCGGCGCCTGGTGCATCGCTCCAAGTTCCCAGAGGCACTGAAGAAGCCACCTTCCGCCACCCACGCAGCGGCGTCTAGTCAAGGGAATGCGTGCCAGCGAGGTCTCAACCCCCCGTAGGACAGCATGAGTTGATCGCCGCGGCTGCGGATTCGCTTGCATGCCTGTCCATGTGGCTGTCGAAAGGCGCTCTTGGTAGGTAAGAGCAAACGTCAGATTACATAGCGGGCCCCCTTGCAAGCCTTTGCAATTAACTGTCCACCCTCCATAAGACACTCTGAAAGGAGCTTCTGGTTGATGATTCTCTTGACAAGAATTGATCGCGTTCCGTGGCCACTCTCTCTGAAGCACCCTGTTCCGTCCGTGAGTGCATTCAGCCACATCCGCCAGAAATGTAACTATCAGAACAAAGAACAAAGTCGGCCACTAGAAGCTGAAGGAGGCAGTTATTGCGCTCGTCTCGCTGCTAGGAGCCGACGTTGCGGTGAGGACGGTTCCTTTACCATGGGGAGAAGCTCGGTATGGAGCGTCTGGGGAAGGCGCACCGCCATCTTTGATCTTCACATCTCTCTCTGTCCTCGTACATGCTTCAACCTCCTCCTTCAGTCAGTCCTGCATTCTGGAATAGCTATCGGCGAATCATCGCCGGCCCTCGGCTATTAAGTTTGCGAGCAACTGCATTTTGCAGATCAGTGAGAATGAGGCCACCTCCTTCTATGAGTAGCCTGGCAACAGACCATAGAAGTGCCTGGCCAGGGTTGTCTCAATCTACAAAAAGCCTCTTTCCAAAAAGCAGATCGGGTTCTGGCTTCTGCTCCGGGCAGCGGCAGCCGGTCTTCCAACTCTGGAATAGATTAACTTGATCAGTCTGCAAAACATTGTCGTCGTCAGGGATCCCGTGGCTCGCCTTCGATGCATGCAGCTGGATGCACCTGTCGCGTCCTGACATCCATCTCCAGGTATACCCGACCGATTCTGCAAAGATTGTCGCACAGATCCGGGTGGCTCCGGCTTGGATCCTGATATGACACCTCAGGAAGCGAGTACATGTCAAGCCTTTGTGACGTTATGAGTCTTTGAAAGATGAGGTGCCCAGAGCTATTGCAAGACGCATCAACACTCCATGGGACGGGCTTGTAACCTCGATTGACCCACATGCAGCTCCGCCGCATCCCCGCACATTCAAGTGCCAGTACGATAGCGGCAGCAATAATGAAATGAACCGTCTGCCACAGCTGTGTAACACTCACTTGATCCAATGCACCTTCGCTGCACGGCGCGGGAAGGATTGCGTCTCTTTCCTTCAGAAAAACGCGTGTCTATCTAGGTCATTTCTTTTTCAAACTTAACTGACTGTCTGAGCCTACGCCTTCGCCGCTTGAAGCTGCTTGCCCATCAGCAAGTACTCATTTTTCTCTTGATGTTTCAATGGCTGAAGAGGTGATGGGTTCCATAGTCCATCACAGTCTATGTCGCACGCAACACGCACCGTTTTCTGTCAATAATTTGTACCTGCATATGTGTCACGATGAAGATCGGCTTTCCAGCCCTATCTGTAGTACCTGGACGGACGGGCCTGTGATAGATCTGGCGGTACCTTCACCTGCCGTCCCACTTGGGGCGCAAGCTTACTACAGCACCGTTTTCATGGTGCCACCGGTACGGGGGTGTACACGCCATACGCCTCCGCTGCGGCGGCACCTCCCGTTAAGACTCAACTGTGAAAGGTGGGCGGCGTTAGTCCAGCCGGCCTAGCCATTAGCATCTCGGCGCAATCAAGCAGCTCATTCACCCACGGTATGCTTCGAACTTACTTTCCACTATGGAAGCAAGGGACATAGACGGTTCATTCACGACATCATGCCTCCATAGGCTCTGACGCAGCCGGGAGAACCAGATGCAACGCGCGCTATCTGCCCTGTTCGCCGCCTTGAAGAAAAGTGTAGTTTGGAATAGTTCAATACGCGCCCTCGATCCGTCACTCCGCATGCGGCTCTGCACAGCATTTTCACAAATGGGATTCACAAACGAGATCCACCAACGGGAGCACAACTGGATCTAAGCGCCCACATGTTGTCGTAAGACAGGACCAGCCCTCATGTGGCGGCAGTTTCATCCCATCGACATACACGTAATGACCTGGCCGCACAGCGAGGCCTTCGGACTGTGGCCACCGCATCACGTACATGGGGTGATCTCCTGGGACCTCCGGGACCTATTGCAGCTTATTTAGCAGCGAACAGCCGACGCCCTTGTTCGTATGCTCGTCGTTGCACAAGAGCGTGATATCCTCCGTGTGTCTGTAACCAGCCTCACAGTTACGGAAGCGTGAAGCATAAGCATAGCCGGTATGCTTGCCGGTGCTGTTGTCGGCAGCGAGAGGTACGGCAGGTCTTGCCTCTAGACCTTCCATATGTCTTCCAGAACGGCAGAGTTGAAGATGTATTCAGTCGCAAAAGTTATGGCAGTCGTATGGACGGAATGATGGACGGACAGTCGCTTTCGACTGCTGGTCTCAGGCTGATAAGAAGCCAAAGCTACTATATAGTAGCTTTCACTAGCGAATGGCTGTTGGAGTTGAATACTGGGCTGTTCTGCACCCACGCCTGTGGTCGAACTGTACCTAATATACAGCTCCTCAGGAGATGCGATCGGGTGTTCCGAACTGGCTTGGGGAGCACTTGAATTGGAACAGAAGGCTTTCCTCAAACGCTTTGTTGTAATGAGTTATCACTGTAGCGTAGACAGTTACCACAGCGCAAGTTGACAGTCAGCTAGGACAGTGTTCTATTCAATCTCTTGTGATGCCTCGCAAGAGCTGTATCAGGCCTGATGTGCCTCGGCAAAACTTACCGCTGCTGGTGACGTTGGTCGTCGCATGTCAGTTCAAAGCTTCCCCGGCTTCGGCGAGCTCTCAAAATTTCTGTCCCGCTGCTATACCACCAAACTTCTGACAGCCTTGCAACAACGATGCGGCAAACGCAGATATTCTCCGGCTCTTCGCATCCTCGGCTGGTCGAGGGCATATGCGATCGGCTAGGGCAGAAGCCAGGCAAAGCCGAGCTCAGGAAGTTCAGCAACGGAGAGACCAGCGTGCAAATTCGTCAGACCACCAGTGAACAACAAGACGTGATGAAACCACTAATACCGCGCAGAGACATCAATACGAGACCAAGATGTCTTCATCGTCCAGAGCGGCAGCAGCAAGTATGCGACGCCCGCCCGTTGCCGTCTGTTCGCTGACCGCTCAGAATCAATGACAATGTCATGGAGCTGCTCATCATGATCTCTGCGTGCAAGGGCGGGTCCGCGCGGTCTATCACGGGTATGTGAAGCTTTATGTACGCTTGAGAGTAATTACTGACTGCTGTAGCGGTCATGCCATACTTCCCTTACTCCCGACAATCGAAGAAAAAGTCACACCGAGGCGCCATTACTGCCCGGATGATCGCCAACCTCCTCCACGTAGCGGGCGTCAACCACGTAATCACAATTGACCTCCACGCGAGCCAGATGCAAGGCTTCTTCAAGTGTCCCGTAGACAATCTCGTCGCCGAGCCTCTCCTTGCCCGCTGGATCCGAGTCAGCGTGCCGAACTGGCGGGAAGCGGTTGTGGTCAGCAAGAATCCGGGCGGCACAAAGCGCGTGACATCGCTGGCCGATGCGCTGAAGCTCAGCTTCGGGATCGTCACTACAAACACCAGGAGGCATCAGAATCGCCCCGGCGGATATGACGCCATGAACGGCAGTCTCATATTCGACAATCTGCGAGGCGATGGCACGTACGACGCAGATGGCATAGTCGAGCGGGAACTTGATGCGGAGCTTCAGATCAGTCCTACGGAGCCCACCGAGGAGAAATCTGCGGAAGTAAACAAACCTTTGCTGGAGGATGGCAAACCTTCGCGCGCCGCAAGGAACAGAGCGTCCTCCAATGCTCTCCGGCGACGGGTCGAGAACAGCGTCACAGACGGCCCTTCAAGCCCATTGGTGAGGTCGATTCGTCCGGGGTCTGGAACGGATTCGTCTCCTCCATCGCCAGTACGCCGCCTGCTACGAACCAGCACCGCACCAGAACGACCGCAAACAACCCGATCCACTACCGACGAGTTCAACGACGCAGTAAGCCAACTCTCTCTATGTTGCCGATTCCCCTACTGATTATCCCAGCGTGCCCGAGACGTCATCCACGGCCGCCTAATCCACGGGCACATCGTTGACGACGACTTCCCCTCCCCTTCCATTTCCGCACTGTCGAGCTCGACCGCCAATCTCCGTGCCCGCCACGGCTCTTCCGAGGACGATGACGAGCCCGAGCCACTACCCCACATGACAGCATCCTACCTTTCAGCTGCTTCTTCCTTCCGGCATCCGGACCACGTGTCTCTCGGCGAGGGCGCGCTCGGCGGTTCCATGGACGCGGCCGCCTCCTCCGAAGAGGAGGAAGAGGACCTCCGGAACCCCGATCTCGAGACCACCGTCACGCTCGTCGGCAACGTCAAGGACCGCCCTGTCTTCATCATGGACGACATGATCGACAAGCCCGGATCGTGGATCGCGGCGGCCGAGACGGTGGTCAAGCGCGGCGGGGCGACGAAAGTCTACTGCATGGCGACGCACGGGCTGTTCGGCAACGACTGCCTCGAGGAGATGGAGGACTGCGAGTGCATAGACGGGATTGTTGTTACAAATGCGTTTCCGATCCCTCCGGAGAAGGCGGCTATGACTAGGAAGTTGGTGGTCTTGGATGTGAGTAATTTGCTTGCGGAGGCGATTAGGAGGAATCATCATGGGGAGAGTATTAGTCAGCTTTTTATGCATTACGATTAATGTTACGCACAGCGGCAGCATGGGTTTGGGGGCCATCGGAGGGAGGTTTAGCGTGGGCGTTCGGGAAGGTTTGGAGCATCGCTCTTGCCTGAATCTGCTACCTTATGGTAGAAAAAACCGCCGTTGATTGCGGATTTTCATGCTTGGCCCGGCAAGCAACCAGTTCACCAGCCCTACGTGCGGCGTCGCCGCAGTGTACTTCCTCTCTGCCTCCTTCCCTCTTCTTCGTCTACCCTGTCTTCACTCTTTTCGCTTTTGCTTCCTCAAAAGCAGCTCTGAACCAGCGATGCAGGACTTCGGGTCCTGCAGGAACCCTTTCACTCACCCCAGAGTGGAGTTCCTAACGGAGCGTTGGAAGATCGAACACCATTGGGAATAGAAGGCGCTCCTCTCTGCTGAGATCCTCTGGGATCGGTGGGAGGAGCGCAAGAGAACCTCCTGAACATATGGGTCTTTTCTTCTACGGTCTAACTTGACAGGTTTCACTTGACGGGATGGTTTTCCGTTTGGAAAGATTCACAGAACTGGCAGCATCGATGTGTGGTTCAGCTAGTTGCGTGCGTGGTGGGGTTGCATTGGATACGTAGCCCATTTACATAGGAGCAAAATATATGCCCACTTTCCTCAACGGAACGTCAACCTCCCTCAAACTGTGACAAGCCCACAATCGCTCTTGTGGCCTGCAATCAATACGTCCTGAATCCCACCTCTTTTTTCTCCATCTGCCGTCACATTAGCTCAACCCACGACCCTCATAAGAACAACCAGACGTTGAGCGCAACTTACATCAAACACAACCCCCAACCCCCTAAAAGCCGGCAGCCCCAGCACCCACACATCCCTCAACCCATTCCCAGCCAACACGCCCCTGTCGCCCCCACTGCCTTCCTTTCCTCCTCCAGCCATACCACTGTCTCCGACCCCCATCCAACTCTCCACAACCGCGCCGACGCAGTATCCGCTCCCTTCCTCCAAGCGGCCGAGACTTAGCGGCCCGCCTGGCTCTGTCGTCCATGGTGTTTGGTCGTCGGGGCTGGCGGAGGTGTCTTTGGCGCCCCGCAGGACGGGGAAGTTCCAGCCCGCGAGCTCGAAGTGCAGCTCTGGCGGGTTGAGGCAGGGGAAGGCGTGGAAGTTGTGGCGAGGAGCGGGGAGACGGAGGCTGCCGGGGATGGAGGCGTAGAATGTGCGGGCGGCGAGTGGTGGGGCGAGGATGAGGGGGGTAGTGATCTGGAATTAGGGAAGGAGGTTAGTGTTGGGAGGAACAGGGTTTTGGTGGGGAAGAGAGGGTAATGGTGGTGAGAGGACTCACGTCGAGGATCACGGGCTGGTTCTTGAGTGTCTTGATCCAGTTGACCCAGACGCCGGGCATGAGGATCTGCCACCAGCCTGCAGCGCCTTCGACTTTGGTCCATTTCCAACCTGAGCGCCAGGTCTCGCTGGAGTCTTTCCCATTTTTCCTGCCCCTCTTGGCTAACCTGCGTGGAATTGATGAGTCCTCATCAGGTTGTGCGTCGGAGCCTTCAGTAGCATGGTCACGCTCCAGCTGGCCGAGCCTGTCGAGCTGCAGCTTCACCTGCTCCTCGGCGGCTTGCACTGCCTCCGCAGCCGTACCGCCGATGCTGAGTACACCCTCGTGCCCGTTGATGAACAGCAAGGACCATACGTACTCCTCGATAACGTTCGCCTCGAGCAATTACTCGATCAGCGACGGCGTCTTGATCTGACTCAAGCTCTTCGACGGAGCGAGACCGAGTAGGGATCCCGACGCGTCGAGTGTAGCGGACGAGTACTTCGACGGACGGCAGTGAGGGAACGAGACAGCGGTTGTTCTCTTGAGTATGGGAAGCAGCATATCCTCTGTTGCCATGGTACAAGAAGAGAATGGGCGCTGGCTGGACTTCCTGTAGCTCTTCGAGAAGATGTCGTGGAAGTGGCTGCCGAGCGGCGACGAGGTGCTTCGTACGAAGAAGTCAGACGTGAGCATCGACATGTCCATTTCAACCTGCTGTGCCGGGTCTCCAAGCTCGAGCGTGGTGAACCTGCGTCGAGCCACTGGAGTGAGCCAGAGACACCGAGCAAGCGTGCTCGGACTGTCTTACCAGCTCCCATTCTTTCCCACGTCGCCTAATAGCCTGTCATTGTCTCCACCGCCGACGCCTTGTGCCTTGGCTACGCGCACCACCTTGTTGCCGGAGATGGCTCGACGTGTCTGGTTGAAGCTGGCCTCGGCTTTGGCGAGCTCTTCAGACAGGAATGTCAGGTTCGCTATGCTGCTCGTTGGAAACGGTCCGCCGCGGCGACTGAGAGTGAAGTGGATAATGGGCGGGGAACCGGCGGCGAGAGCATCATCGATCAGAGGAAAGAGGAACAAGAGGACGAGCGGGAGGAACGTAGCTTGGACTGAATGGTGCGTTGACTTGGGCGGTTTGGGGCAGAGATCAGAGGTGAGACAGTCAGAGATAGTTGGAGCACGGTCGCCTGAGGAATTGCAGCGTTATGACGTGATATACAGCGATTATTGAAAGCATGGAAGCGCATACTCTAAATAGGATTAGAGCATAGGGAAGGTTTTATATTAGGTCTGTCTGAGGGCATGTTGTCGTTCTTCAGAGCCAGGCGTGTGTCTATGAATGAAGGGTGGATGCTTCCATAGAATTCGGCGGTGGTTGGTATTTTGCCTACACGATGCGTTCCTGTCCATGAGCGATCATATTCATCGCGTTGATTATGCGGTGATAAGGCGTACAGTCATGTCCGCACCGCTGCCAAAGTGGTCCTCAGTGATAACACCGGTCTACCGGCCGTGACGATTTGTGGGCAATAGTGTCACGGTAACTTGTACCCTAGTTTCAACCTTTGGCTTGACGTTACCAGGCAGCTTCTCCGCATCAAGACCCCCCACAGTCATGTTGAAGATGAACTTCGTAGACTCGTGCGGATGTTGCATGATCGTGGCTGTGATTGCCGCCATCCTTGAGTCGAGCATGGTCGCGAGAGCTTTCCTAGGCGATAACAAGCTCTATCATGCCTGACAGGTCCGTAGCCCCAGTGCAATGCAGTCTCCGGGCGCTGAGCGCATGGCTGACTCTTTCTAGGCTCGTGATCTGTACCAGATGATGCGAGACATCAGATTTGCTCGCGTTGAGTCAGGATGTGTTGGCTGGAGTGGAGGAGGACTTGCGTCAAGAAGCATCGAAGGGAAGGGAGGCTGAGGGAGACGTTACAGGTACGCTGCTAACCCTCCGTGGCGTAGGGATGAACCCATGAACAGAGGACCAGCAGTCCGAAGCCAAGGAAGATAGCGGGCTCAAGAAGGGCTCCCTCAAGCGCACGGCTCCTAGCTTGGACGATGAGGAGGCAAAACCTGCGAAAAGCGAGTCTTAGTAGTCACTTTGAGGAGAGCGCGGCTCTGGTTTGTCGAAGTGCACGACAGTGTGCTCAAGGGAACCTGGTGGTTCGTAGTGACTTTTGGTATGCGGCACTTGCCGAGGTCAGGCTTCCCTACTTGAGTGGTCCCTCGTTCCATACCTAGCAAAGTGTCACATATGACGAGGCATGAGAAGTTTGCTTTGAGAACAAATGTGGTATCTCAATTGGCAGATCTATATCTATATTGTGCCGCTTGATGCTGGTAGTAACGCTCATAATCCATCCCGTGATATCTAACCCAAACGCCAACCCATACCGACCGAAGCTGGACCCGTCTATCACAGCCAGCTGTCTAAACATCGTGATTACACTTTTCCGCCAGGAAGACAAAACTCCGAAGCTGAATGCGTGAAAGGGACCGGAAGACTGAAGGAAGACGGACGTCGATTACTCTTCGTCGGAGAAAACTTCTTCACCTGCAACGGGTTAGCGTTGATTCGGCAAAGCAATCGCGCGTAACTTGCCTCTCTTGCGACGTGCCATGCGGTCTGAGATAGGAAAACAAAGTTAGCATATAGTCATGTATCAATCAGTCAGGGTGGCTGGTTACCTTTCTTTTTCTGTACAACGAGTTAGCAGTGTTCAGTAGCGTACAAAGAATGTAGGAGTGTGACGTACCTTTCTGAGCTCTGCGCTGCTCAGCTTGGCCTTCTTCTTGCCACTCTCGATCTTGTTGCCCATAGCATCAAACTTCTCTTCCTCATCGTCCTTCTCGGTCAGGCGGGGACCGGCGCCCTGGCCTTGCACCCAGTTGTGGCCGGAAGGCGTCATCTTGCCGTCCATGACAGCCCAGACTTCCTCGGTGAGATCCTTGGTGAACTCAGCAGAGTGAGTGATGATGATGACACCACCCTCGAAAGCCTTGATGGCCTTGGACAGCGCACCCAGGGAGTCACGGTCGAGGTAATTGGTCGGTTCGTCGAGGACGATCAAATGCGGTCGCTGCCACGAGCAGGCGGCGAGGACGACCTTGACACGCTGGCCACCGGAGAGACCAAGCATGCGGGAGTGGGAGACGAGCTCGGCGTCCAGACCAAAGTTGGCGCAGTGGGCCTCAATCTCCTTGCGGACCAGAGGACGGAACTGGCCACTGGCGAGGGCCTCCTTCTGATCGACCTCGGCAACCATCTTGCCGTGCGAGGCAAGGATCTCGGTACGCGGGATCCAGGCGTTGTCGGCAGTCATCATGGGCGTCCATCTCTCGTTCTTCTGGCCGACGTTCTCGCCCAGAGCGAACGAGCACTCGTACTCGTAGGAGTTCTTGAACTTTCTACGCGAGTGGATGCCGATGACTCGTCGTTGCGTGTCCTGAATCTTGTAGATCTTGTCCATGGCCTTCTCATCCTCGTCGGTGATGATCTTGTTGGCACGATCCATCGTCTCACGGTCCTCACCGGTCTGGAAACGCCACTGAATGTACTCAGATGGAGTCTTCTCGAGATGGTGGTCAATGTGAGCGAAGGCGTGCTGCTTGATGTAGGCGATACGGATGTTCTCGTGCTGGTAGACATCACCAGATGTCGGGATGAGTTCACCAGTGAGTACATTGACGAGAGTCGACTTGCCGGCACCGTTGGGACCGATGACGGCAATACGGGAGCCAAGCGAGCACTGGAAGGTGATTTCGGAGATCTGAGGCTTCGAGGTACCGGGGTACTGGAAGGTCATGTTGTTGACACGGACGATGGCCTTGGCCTTGGTCTTGACACCCTCGAGGAAACCGGGTTCCGGGAACTTAAACTCCATGTCGGAGGCACCAAGCTCATAGTAAGACCTGGCGGACGGCACGCGCTTGACGAACTCGCTGAGAGAGCCACGGTAACGCTTCAGCTTGAAGCGCTCGTAGTGGATGACGTGCTGAATGACATGGTCCAAGAATCTGCTGTCGTGGGAGATGATGATGGAAGTGCAGGGAGAGTTGACGAGATACTGCTCCAGCCAGGCAACGTTCTTCACGTCCATGTGGTTGGTCGGCTCGTCCAAGAGGAGAATGTCGGGCTCTTCGAACACAGCGCGAGCGAGAGCAAGTTTCATCTTCCAGCCACCGGATAGCGAGGTGATAGGAGCCTCGAGCTGCTCCTTGACAAAGCCGAACTCGATAAGCTTGGCCTCGACCTCATCCTGGGCCTTGCTGATGCCAACGTCGGCGAGCTTCTTCATGGTCCAGCCGATGACGGTCTGCTCAGTGTCGGCGGAGTCGAGGTCGTGCTCCACGTAGACGGTCTTGACCTCATTCTGCTTGGGGAAACCCTCAACCTGCTCGTTGTTGATGGCGCGCATGAGCGTGGTCTTACCGGAACCGTTGGGTCCAAGCAGACCATAGCGCTGACCGCGCTTCAGGCGGAGGTGAGTCTGGTTGAGAAGGATCTTGGCACCGTAAGCCAAGTTGAATGTGCAGTTGCAGAGATCCTCGCCCTCTTCCTCGTCGGGCTCGACCTCGTCCTCGTCAGCAACGCCAGGAGAGGCGCGCTTCCGGAGAGCGTCAGCGATGCTCTTGGCGTCGGCATCACCAACGATGGCGGTGATGTAAGGAAGGGTGTTGGTCGTCCAGCTGATGGACTCGGTGTCCTTCTCGTCGATAAGCTGACCAGCGATGGCGGAGATGTATTCGAGAACCGGCTCGAACTTGCCGCTCGCGGCGTCCTTGTGCTTGGGCGAGAAGCACTGCTTAAGGATGGCGAGCACAGTGGAGATGTCACCAGCCTTGGAGACTTCAGGAATCTTGCCGTCCTTGACATCGCCAACGCGCACAAGGGTATCAAGAGCCTGCTTGGTCTTCTCACGAGCCTCCGGGTCAGCGAGAGTCTCGTAGTTCTTGTTCAAAGCGGGCATGAGCTTCGGCAAGAAAGAGGCGACGATCTGGGGATCCTCGACAAGCTTGCACATGTTGTCGACGATGACGGCAGACTTCCGCTTGATGGCAGTCTCGCGCTCGACAAGACCACGCTCAAGAAGGGGAACCATGATGGCGAGGGTCGGCTCGTGGACATCGGTGACGAAGGTGGTGGCACCGAGCAGGTGAACGGTCTCGGGAACGTTCTCAGGCTTGGCGATACACTTGATCAGCTCTGGAATGAAGCGTTCGATATCCTTGTTGGAGATAAGGGCGCAGAGCTTCTCCATGGTGCCGTAGGCGGCCTTCTTGACTTCGGGCTTGGTGTCCCACATCGCCTCGGAGATGACGGGGATGAGATCGGGGACGCGGAAAGCCATCTGAGCAGGTGCGCTGGCAGCGAGAGCCTCGATGCACTGGAGATCGGTCATCTTCTCGGGCCACTTCTGGGCGTTGCGAAGGGAGTGGACGAGGTGGGGAATGACAGCCTTCACGGCGTTGGCGTTGGAAGCCTCGACGATGGCTAGGGAGGCGGTCTGAGCAGCGGTCTTCACCGCGGACATCTTGTCGCCGACAGCGGCGAGTGTGGCCGGTAGGAGGGTGATGAGGTACGGCTCGACCGCCGGTGAGACGGTGGCATGCTGAGCGATAGCGCGGATGGCATCGCAAGCACGCTCACGGGCGAGCGCATCCTTCTTGTTGCCGAGTTGCTTCTTGAGAAGGTCGACAGCCTTTGTTGGTGCGTCCGCCTCCTCGATATCGCCGTTGATGAAGGTGGCGAGAGCTAGAGATGCAGCGTTGATTTCGTCCTGCGCCTTCGAAATGGTCAACTTCTTCAGGAGCTCCTCCAAGACCTTGACGGACTGCTTGTTTTCCGACTTGACCTGGCCGGCGGTGTGCTGGTTAACCTCCATAACGTCGACAGCGGGGGCCATGGGGACTGATGTGTGCAGGATTTGGTGTGTAGAGTGAGAAGGCGTGGTGGGGAGGGTATTGAGTAGATCGGCGAGGCCTGATGTAGAAACGCTGGAAGGCGAAATTTCTATTCAGTACCGGGTATCAAAGGGGTGGCTAACGCGATTGTGCGATATCTTCGCAGATCACGCTCTGTTGCAAATGCAAAGACAGAGACTCCTAAAACGAGGAGTAGAAACGTCTAAAAAGACAGGAGGGAAGTGAGAGGAGAGTTGTGTGAGTGAGAAAGATGAGTGAGAGGAGGAGGGAGGCTTGCTGGAGACAGTGCTTATATGTATCGCGAATTTCACGCCGCTCTGCAAACTCTGCTCCGAGAGAACACGGTGCTAAGCCCAAAAGGGAAAGGCGTGTCGGCCAACAGATCTCTTCGTCGTGAAGCGGTGACGACAGTCGCTTCAGGCCGAACTTCTTTGGCCGTCGGCAATGGAACAGGCACATTTCAAATCCTCACTGGCAATGCACTTCGATCTCTTTCTATCTCCGCGAAGATTCTGAACGTGTCACTCATGGGACGCCCGCGGCCGAGGCTTCTCAGCTCGTCGCCAGTGTCAGCGCCCAAAACAAGAGGCATCTGTTGCACCGAATCGAGGTTGCATGTCTGGCTGCTTGCGGCGCACGGTCTATATTTGCCACAACCATTCCCATCAGGCTGAGTCAACGGTGCGCAGTGCATCCCGTCTTCTGCAGTGCAATCACAGGTCTCAGCAACGACTCGTGCAGGTGATGGTCGCCTCCAGCGGCTGACGGAGTGCTGCCCGAGGCGTCTGCCCGTTCCTTCTTCAGATTTGCTGGGGATAGCCGGGAATTGCTGGGGTTGCTCCAGACGCCAAAGTCACTCGGCGGACATCCCGAAGTCACCTTCTGTAGCCACTGGCCGGCCAAGTACCCAATCTTTCAACCAGAGGAACTTTTCTGCAGCCTCTTCCAACTTTAGCACACGAGCTTATCGTCAGCCTTACGATACCCAGCCAGCGGATGCACAGAAGCCTTCGAGAAGGTGCAATGATCTTCGCAGGATGTGCAACCAATTCCCCGTGATCAAACACTCTCAGCTCTAACCATGCCCCTGCGTGTCAGGCAAAGACACATTCGAAAAGAAGACTCTTCCTGGGCTGCGGTTCCACGGTTTCTCCTTGGCCAGGCACATGAATCAGGGGGATTTGGGGCTGGGCGCTCGCTGTCTACATTCCGTCATTTCCCTCAAGCGGCGATGATAGGCCAGTTGCAACGAGACTATCACCGTCCGAAACCAGCAATTCACCAGGCTGTTCCACTCGCATCATCACATTCGATCCTCTCGGCCGATCAGGGGAGAAAAAGTGCAGCTGCCGTTTCATGGCGAGACAAGATCGGGCCTTGCACCCGCCATTCCCGCTCACCCTGACAGCCCTGTCCGCCGGCCCGTCAGCGAGCTGCGCCACAGCGCAGCCTTACGCCTGCCAATCGAAGCGTTTCTCATTGGCTGTCGGCTTTTGCAAATTTCTCACCCGCTTTCAGCCGCTTGTTGAACGGATACGTACTGCAGTTTTTCGAGCTGCTCCATGGCAAGGACGACTGTCGTTAATTCCCCAGATCTTTCCCACAGAGCTAAGATACGACCGATAACGCACTCCGCAATACGCTTTGCCTAACTAGAAAGCGGGTGGCGTTACACTGCCGCCACGGTGCAGGCTTGATCTGACTGCTCTTGAGCGCGCTCTCAGATGCGGACCTCTACAACAAGCGGTCAGGAGTCTTCGAGTTTGATGATATACCCGTTGACTCTTGTTACCATTCGTCGTCGGTTGCCCGTGCGCAAGCAACGACTCAAATTGCCCATCAGCGCTCCTGTATCGCGGAGAAAACAGCCTCACCGGATGTACGATGCCAGCCTGTTCGAAAATTTACCGAAATCTCAGCCTCTTGTATATCTGTAGACTGACACCAGCCCTTCCTGGATGGTCATTGATTGCTCGCGGGCTTTCCAGACCTTCTACCAAGGATGGGTTGTAGCAGCCCATGCGAGTGACAGAAATCGCCGGACTCGTAGACTACCAGACTTACTACTCACTTCTAAATTACCGAAATCTGTTAGATTCACCACGTCTTTGAAGGTGTTTACTCTAGCCATCCTACCTCTAGGTATAGCTTTTACATGTTTATGTGGCAGTATACCATGATGGATTACGCCTATTCATGACCTCTTTAAGCTGACTGAAGACCTATCTGTTTTTCGGAGTCAGCAGTTTCTGTCACCCAGGTGCAGCCTTAGCTCGTCGTATCCGAAATCAGTCCATCACTTCTCCACTTTCATCGAAGTCACGGTATTTCTTGGGTGTCGTTGTGTTTCGTGCCGCCGGTGAAAACGATCTGCCTCGGAGCTTGCAGTCGATCAGAACTCCTCCCATGCCTCTGCTTTTGCGGGCCAGGCTTTCACACGAGTACTGCTTTTGATCAAGTATTGATCCCCCAGATAATCTACATGGACACTGATCGCATAAGCCGTTGTTGTTGCTGTTCCTAAGGTCCTATGAGGAACACAATACCAGGGCGGATCAATCTCGGAAGTGCCAACACTTCTGCAACGTCGTTTGCCTGCCCCCTTTCTTTTGCTCGTTGTGTCTATCTGAGTACCAACCTTCGAACGCGACAGCATCGTCCGGTGGATCGCTTTCTCAGGTGTCTCCACGCACCAGAGCAGTAGCAGAGCTGAGGCCGTTAGGAGAATACAAGACTTGGGTTGTGGTTGGTGGGGTTCGCTAATCAAACCTCGCCGAGGAAGCAGAAGGCCGCCAGCAATGGGTAAGCTGAGCAATTATTACAAAGCCATCACGTTCAAGGAGCAAGTAACCAGTAATCAGATGCTGACCGTAAGCGTATAGCTATCCGTCACCGTTGTAATAGACTGGTAGAACGAGAATTCAACTTGTACGAGAGCGATCCATTACGTATCAGGAATACCCAAGCTATCGTATACAATGGAGAATAGACCCGAAAAGCCGGCCTTTCCGCCAAGTGCACAACACCATGTATTTCCAGCGCCACAGGGGTCAATATCTAGTGCAATATCTTGCGTAGAGGAATAACGTGGATACCTACCTAGATACAAGAGTCATGATCTTCCGCCACTAGAATGGACCGCCTCGCAGGCGGTCTCTCCTCTCTAGCCAACCATGCTTGTGCCGGCTACTACTTCAGACTGCCGACTTCTAGATGTTGATCATAGGTTGTAGCTGTCATAGTGGTGACTATCCTCTCTGCCCATTCTTTCTTCTTGGACCTCATCAGTTTGGCCGGCGAGATCACCGCAGCGGACTGCTGTCGTTTCCATCGAGCTTCACAGCCTTGCATACGCATGTGTGGTTCAACGAGTCTATGTCACTGCGGCACAATCTGGCGCGATATGTCTTCCGTTTGTTCAACGCTTGTACTGGCCCGGGTGGTTTGATTGGCGTTCGAATCATAGACAGTGTTGTTGCTGAGCGCGCAAAGGAGAATGAAGCCTATGAGAATAGACAAAAGCCGTAGCATGGAACATAACTTCACTTACGGGAGTCTCAGTGAATGTGCTGTCTCCACTTTCACCTTGAGCGTCAGCCCTGTGCACGGACCGTGTCATCTCCCTAACGACGACTCTCTGCAACCACCGCTCCGTCCTCTTTTCTCAATCTCCAAACCACTTTTCGTGTCTCCCGGCTTGCCGTGGGGTCCTCCGTTCTGCTGGTTGACCGCGCTACTGTCTCGTTGCCCCTACGGGCTACACCTTTTCTTCCTTCCCACTCTGGCACGTGTTTACGCGTCGCCTTTCTCTGTTGTGCGAAGACTCTTCGGGGTGTTCCACAGGACTGTGTACTCGCAGCTCCTTCTCTCTCTCAAAAGGCTCTTCGGGGCTTTTTTTTGGACTGTGTATTCGCAGCTCCTTCACTTCAAAAATGGCATTCAGTGCCTCAGACCGCTCCCCGGCTTCTCGCCTCCAAGACGATAGAATCGACGCGGAGCAGACTATCCCAGTGGCTCGGCTGCCATCAGCTCCCCACGTCGGCTTGCCTACTTCACTCCCGAGTGAAGAGAAGGTCATGACAGAGGCTTGGCCATCTGATCCAAATCCAAAGGGCAACGATGATATGGAAGAGATCGAGGAAGACGTTGAGATGGTGTCCACGAAGGTGAGACAACTGACGCGTCTCCCGAAGGACTTCCAGTACCAGGAAAGCAGGCGCCTTTATTCAAAGTCCGATGAAGCCTGTTCGTCGGAGGCGATCCATGAGTACCGCGGTAAAGGCCGACCAACTTTCAGAGTGAGCAAGAACAACAAAATAGAAGACCGGAAGAAGGCGATGATTGTCACTTATGATGGGAACCATCTGCAGACCTGGGGTTCATTCGAACAGACCTCGGAGACAGAGGTATTCATTCAGGCCTCATACACTTGCGACACTCAATACCCGTCTGTCAACCTTCGTCTCAAGGAGAACAAGGTGCACAAGGGGTGTTTGACGATCTTTCCCAAGAACTTGAACTGCGACCTGGGTAACGAGTCGCTCGGGCTCGTCATGTTAGCTGGGGCCCAAAACGCTGCGCAAATCAAGTCACAACTTGCTGGCTTCCCGCCAGCGACTCAAGCGAAACTGTCAGATATGGCTGACAATAGTAGGCTCTGGTCGACATTCTTGGATCTCACTACAGAAAGCCGAACGTGGCTCGGGCGATCGCAGGACGAACTCGATCTCATTTCAGCGCAGTTCGCGGCGGATGCGGGCGTGCTTTCCCAGACCGAACGCTGTATCGCCGCACTCAACATTTGCAAAGGCGTCGCAATCCATGTCCCTATTCAAGCAAGCGCTGAGGCGGGTAGAGCGTTCAACGATTTCACAGCGTTCTTCAAAAGCGCTATGTGGATGAGCGGGATGACTAAGCATTCGCTCAAACGCCTGGCAACTGCTCCGCCCGACGTCGGTCGAAGCGCTGCACAAAGAGCACTGGACGGGAAGCGGCTCCGTCAGGATACTTCAACCACGCCGGCTCAAGAGAACCCCATGAACAAAGACCATAGCTTCCGCATCGCCAGAGAAACCGTTTCGAAGATTCGGACAGCATCTGGCCTTACCAAAAACGAGCGAGCGCTGTTCCGCTACATCGAGCTCTTGGAAGACGAAAAGGTAGCGCTGCACAAAGCGGTCAGCCAGTCGAATGCTGCTTTACAAAACGCTCAGAAGAAGCTCCAAGCGGAGTACCGTGCCACGAAGACCGGTATGGAAGACGCTATCTTGGCCGCCAAGTTTGCCCTACGAAACCTTGAAGATACAGCTTTGTTCCTCCAGGCGAACAACTCTGAGAGCATTCTCTCCAGAGCGACTGTCACTGCGGAAGACAGCTTGACTGAAGCCGGCTATCTGGAGGCCGCGAGCAACTTCGCCTCCCTCAGACAGAACCACGAGCCGAAGAACGAGTGGCCGGAGCTGCATGCTACTCATCCAGATGGTTTGTTGGCGGGCCTTGAGGAATTTACAAAGGAACAGCTAAGGGAGGCGGAGTCTGCCGAGTGATCGATGCAGCTCTGTACCCCAAGTACCTCCTTGTATTCCCGCACATGGAGAAGGGCTCAACCCGCTTCGTCCTTTCATAACAGCGAACGGAAGATAGGACAGAGGCAGGGACTGAGGTTTGTAGCTGAGCATAGGAAAGTACTCATGCAGTTGCGTTCATAGAACCATTCCATCAGTCATTACCAGTTCTTCTGTACCCTAATACCAGTTCACGTCGGACGTAACCACGTCACATGCAAAACACTAGACATCTCGCTTGCCTCCCACAATATCTCGCCGTCTCATACGTTTCTAATCCTAGTCTTCCGCTCGCTATGTCCTGCAAACCTATCTTCCTAGCCATGATTCGCTTCTACGCTACCTTAAGAAGTCAGCCATTACACGTGGCGTTTCACTCGCGCCTCATCACTTCGGAAGAGGTTCCGCTCAGCTTGTTTGATCAGGTCATCTCAAACGCCTAGTAGCCTTGTGGCATTATCAGTCTCTAGGCTGATTGACTGCCGTCTTATATGGATACTGACCTTAGTGCTCTTGTGCATGCTCCTTCTGTAGAGTCTCGCCTTACTGCGAAACACAATACGAATTTGCAGTCAAGGTTAGGGATCATCGCGCTGTCCGCACTTTTCAGGGGCGTTTGAGGTGGCCGGGTCGATTAAGCTGAGCGGCCAAGTGACATTCGAAATATCCGTTGCCGCTTCTCTGCTGGTGGCTTTTTCTATCAGATTCACCATCAGAGTGGACTCATGATCTCGTCGATTGTAGAACAGCGAGACCGATTGCATGCAACAGAGAGTATAGGACGCTCAGCACTACAGCCCTTTGGTGCATTGATCACCTGAGATACCCTCAAGCTGTGAACTGCGCTTGCCTGCTATCCACCTTCGGTACGGGAACGGTCTTTTCGGGTGGCCCTTGGGCACCTCTTCCGAGGTGATGAGGCGCGAGTGAAACGGCACGGGCAATGGCTGAGGCGTCTCCATGAATGGTCAACTGCTCATTGTACCCTGTTTTCCCGCAGGTCATCACATCGCAAACAACCCCTCATTGAGCTTCACGACATCATTATTCATGCTACCGCCCCTGCACCTCCCCCGTCAACCTCTCATACGCCTCCCGATATCCCCTCGCGGTCCTCTCCGCCACCTCCCGCGGCATCTCCACGCTCTCCTTTCCCTTGAGCTTGTTCTCCGTAAGCCAGTCCCGCAGATACTGCTTATCCAGACTGTCTTGCGGCCGCCCCACCTCGTACTTCTCCTTGTCCCAAAACCGGCTGCTGTCTGGCGTGAGTACTTCGTCGACCAAGACGACCGAGTGAGGCGATGTGGACTCGTCGAGCGCGAACTCGAACTTGGTGTCTGCGATTATGATGCCCCGCTCTAGCGCGTAGTCGCGCGCAGCGCTGTAGATGCGGAGGGAGAGGTCGCGGATCTGGTCTGCGTAGTCCTGGCCGATGATCTCGGCGGCTGTCTCATAGTCAGCGAGTCGCTCCGTTCAATGCCAAAAGCGGCAGTCGTACCTTTCTCCGGGCTGATGTTCTCATCGTGTCCCTCCTGGGCCTTGGTACTCGGCGTCCATATCGGCGTCTCCAACATCTCGCTCTCCCTCAACCCCTCCCTCATCCTCATCCCATGCACCGTCCCTTTTTTCTCATACTCCGCCCACGCCGACCCGGTAATATACCCCCTCACGATACTCTCGATGGGAAACACCTTCAGCTTCCTGACCTGCATACTGCGGCCCCTATACGCCTCCACTAGCTCCTTGTTCTCCTCCAGCACGGCGGGCAATGACATCGAGAGGAAGTGCGTCCGCAGCGAGGGGACGAGAGGGGGAAGGACTGAGAACCAGTGCGCGGACATTTGGGTCAGCAGGCGGCCTTTGCCGGGGATCCCATTGGCGAGGACGACGTCGTAGGCGGAGATGCGGTCGGTGGCGACGAAGAGCAGGATTGTGGGGGAGAGGGTGTAGACGTCGCGCACTGGGGGGGTTTAGAGCTGGGGGCTAAGCTTTTGGGGGATGGGGGTAGGGGAGGTGGGGGTTGGTTACCTTTGCCGCTGGCGAGGAGGGGGAAGTAAGGTGTTAGATCTGTGGAGGTGAGGACGATGTCTGCGGACATGGTGGCTGTTTGGTGTGAAGCTTTGCGGAAATAGAGCGCTTTTGTGGGTGAAACGGCGGAGCTGTGTGGGGTATAGTGAGGCGGGAAGAGCGAGGGCAAGTGATGCAGTAAATAGATAGGCTATAAACTTTACGGAGTGTCTGTGAGAGGAATTGGCGTGTTAATGAGGAACTGATGCGTTGAGCTTCGACTTCAGAGAACTATGTGAACCCCTGCCATTCCGACCCCACCAAGCCCACGCGAGTGCGGGAAGATCCGAAAAGTGCATGGTCTGGGAGATCGATGACAGGGGTCCTTGCGTCCATGGTTCAAGGTTCCCAGCATCAAGGAATCCCCAGTCATTCGGTGCACTCGCAATAAAGTTCATACCGTCTTTCATCAAACATTGCTTGACATCAAGTCTTCCGGATTGTGAGTTGCAGTTAGAGTACTTCAGACCCTTGAATCCTGCTGTCTGGAGATGCGGCCTCACAGGGAAGGGGCGTAGCTGAATCATTGACCTACGGCGGATGGCCATCTCCTGGAAGCCAAACCTGGACTTCTATCCTACGGCCCACAGGTTGATGCTGCTTCCAGACCCGAGCCATGCATAGCATTGGCTTCCCTTCAATGCCGACTGTTTCTCCATCCTGTAATCTCTCGCATACCAGGCGCAACGGAGCACAACATCTGCCCTGAGCTCGCGCCATGTGCCGTGAATTCTCACCCATGCTTTGCCAATTCGCTCATGCACCCCTGCCTCGACCACCCCTTCCGCGCCCTCCACGACCTGCCCCTCTCCCCCGATCCCCTCTGCCGCCGTGATCGCCCCGCTGCTGAGCTCCACCCCGGCCTCCCCGAGTCGCCTGGTCCCGCTGCTGCTGGTCCTTCACCAAATCGATGATCTCGTCCGGGACGCGAAGATACTTGATCTGCAGCGCATAAGCAACTTCTCCCCGTCCCACCGCGCAGAAGGAGACAACCCACGTTGTTCCCGCGCACGTAAACCTCGGGTAACCTCCAGAAGCGATCGCCGTCGGGGCTCGTCTGCACGACTTCCTTCAGCGTGAGGTTCATCCAGTTGTCGCAGTTGATGAGGTGGCCGTTCAGCGTCTCGCCGTTCTTGAGCTCAACGAGCATGGGGTGGCCTTGCGCGGCGTTGAGCAGGCCTAGGGGGAGCTGGAGGACGGGAAGTCAGCGCCTGTGGGGGAGGTCATTGAATATGTGTGCTTCGAATTTCGGAGGGGACGGCTTACCATGATTGCGACAGCTCCGAGTTCGCTAGCTGAAAGGGGGCGCGTCTGAGATTGGTTTCTGGCCGGTGTTCGAGGGCGATTGGAGGTATATGGCGCAGATAGTGTGATACTTGGCAAAGTGGATGCAGGTCACCGTTGCTGTTGATGCGCGCCCAGAGGGTGTCAGGAAGCTCCAGCGGCAACTGCCGTCGAGAGGATGGAGATATCATCGGCCCGCTCAAGCTCTCACCACCAAGCAACCCCGGGACTGCTCAGCCACACTGGCATGCAGCTTACGCGGTCAAACAGCCAGTAGGAGCGCTAAATACGAGCGCAAGCGACGAGCCAAGTCGCGGGCTGCATGTGGAGACGTTTCGTAGGGCGCTCCCCAGCATTCAAGCTGCTGCCTGATATCTAACTGACCTCCCACCGTTCGGCGCTGTGGTCTCCACGACACTGCTTCCTCAGGCCTCTTGGGGGGCTTCTCATGACACGGTTTGTTCGTAGATGCGATTTGTGATTAGCAAGCGTATCGATTTCTTTCGTTGCTTTCCTTTCTCTCTGTCAGTATGCGAGCCTCGCAGCTGTGGCTAGCTATTGCTCCGCTAGCTGTAGCCCTTCCCCTAGCTCCAGTACTGCACTCGGATGTACACCATGATGTCGCGCCCACTATCTTGAAGCTAGGTAAGAGGACACCCTCTCAAGACCCCGCTGGGGAGATGCTAATTATCTGCTCCAGATGCTGCAAATGCACAGGCAACCTTCAATGTCCCGTGTGTGGGCTGTCTTGGCAGCCCGGAGCATGACGAGTCCCTCGTACGTGTACTCAGCCCATCATCTCTTGGCCAAGCGCTTACTGGGTGGTACATAGGTATTCGACTTTCAGGCATTCTCTCTCGATCAGGCTTGCGGTGGTTCCAACATCACCCTCAACGGCTTCCCACTAACCCAGCAATGGGACGGTATTCACGCCTCAGGCCAAGGCTCCTTCTCTGCCGTCTTCGAGCAAGATGAGAACAGCGGTGAACATGATCTGTCGCTATCGTGGAACTCGTCTTGTCTCTTCGGCCGTGTGTCTAACAACGGCGCGGGGTCCAACCTTGAGGACGTTGCCCAGGTCCTCCAGGTGAACGTTCAGCGTATTGACGGCAGACCGCTCGAGTCCCCGTCCGGTTTTACAATCTCATTCAAGCCTCTTCTAAACGCAGAGCTCCTTCGTCTGGAGCCCTTTCCCGACTTGACTGCCGCGGGTGCCGAGTTCAACGAGGACTGGCGGAACCCACCAACCCACCTCCGCCTAACTCCTCAGAATCTTGAGGGTAACCACACGGAGGAGGAGGACTCTACGAGCGACGGCCCATCCATTGAACAGCAGATCGAGGAGCTCAGACTACTCCAAGCGCACTCCGCGGAGCTGAACCGTCTGATCGAAGAAAAGAAGCAGCAGATCCGCGGCCACCTACAGCAAGAAGCCAAGAACCTCAAAGACGAAGTCAAGCAGTGCGACAGCATCCTCTGCGTCGTGCGCGCCATCGCCAGCAAAGCCCACGGCACCGTCCGCGTCATCTACCTGCGCTTCCGCCCCAGCTCTGAACCCATCGCTTACCAAAGCGACCACCATCATCTCTATGGAGACATGATGGAGCACGACGCCCACCACCACGCCGCATGGATGAACCAGCATTATGCTGCCCTGTCTGGAGACGACGACGATCTCCCCCCCGCAAGGCCGCACGGCTCTCACGGTCCTCACTACTCACACAGCCCGACATCCGATGCTCAATCCTCAGCATCCCCCACCAGCCCCGCCGTCATCGCCCTCGCAGCCCTTGCCTCCCTCCTCAGCTGCGGCTGCCTCTTCGCGCTCGTAAACCGCTGCTGCTGCTCTCTGCGCCGGCGGACCGACCGCCGCGCCCGCCGCGAAGAACGGCGTAATGCCCGGCTCTACGCACGCAGCGCGCGCCGCCAGGCGTGGCGAGACTGGTGGACCGGCCGGCATAGCCGTGGCGAAAGGGACTACGAGGAAAAGCGGGCACTGATCCTCGAGCAGGAGGGACGCCTCGAGGAGGCGATGCAGGAGGAGATCCGCCTGCTGCGCGAGGCGCACGAGGTCGTGAGTTCGATTGTCGGGGGGGACTCTGGTCCGTCTAGTCCCGGGGGTTCGTCTGGCACGTACCACCATCCACGTCCGCATCCGCATCCCCATGAGCAGGATCCACACCCCCACCACCGCCTCCCCCGCACAAACAGCCTCCCCAGCTACACCTCGGACGTCGAGTCCGTGAACACGGACCCCCCAGCGTACGAGACGGAGGAAGAGGAGGACGAGGCCGGGTTCGTGGCGGATGGGTTCAGGGAGTATACGCCCAGCACCACGGTGTCGGTGTATACGCCTGTTAGTAGCGTGTTGGATGGGAGTCCACGACAGAGTATGGATACGCTTAGGACGATGGATACGCTGCGGACGAGGGGGGAGTATGAGGTTGGGGTGTAGGTGTGGCCCGGGAAGGATGAGTTTAAGTGGGGGGGATGATGGGAGAGCTGTGCCGGGTTCTCAGTAGTTGGACATCACGCCGCGCGTTGGAGCGGATTGGGTAGGGGTGGAAGATTCCGGGTTCCTGCGTATATGCTTTGAAGTGCACTTGGAGGAAGTCTAATGACAGGAGCTGGTGGCGTTTGCATTCTGGGTTGTCACAAACGGCGCGAGGAACGAGTTGGCGTTCACGTGCTTTGTGATATCATTGTCTCTATCTACAGTTGGGCGGGCGGTTTGTACATCTCTTCCAGCCTCGCTCTCGAAGTGTTTCGCTGTACAATACAATTATAGAGTGAATGAAGTGTATCTCACACTGCAGCATGCCTACCCGATGATACCCGTTCTCCAGCGCTGTCCAAAGCCATGAGAGGTTGTCTCCTCTTAATTGTGTTGACTCTGCCAGTAGGTTCGAGCATGCTACACTAGCACAATGAGTGGTGCTGGTCAGCCTCCATGGGAATCCTCCAAAGACAACCTCGATACCATGAGTCCAGAGAGAGCAACCTAACGTCCCGGCCAGCCGAACCATCCGCGAAACGTCATTCCTCAGAGGATGGGTATAGTACGGGAAAACAGACACCCCCAGGATTTTTTGTATTAGCGAGAGGACCACATCGCCACCGCTCCTCGGTTAAAACTTGCTCGGCAGCATCCTCAAGGCCCAAACCCGCCCGCCCAAGGAAAGCCAGACTCGTGCCCGATGCCGCCCGCACTGAACGTCGCCTGCAGGTACTCGTCCCAGTCGTTCCAGCTCGTCTGGTCGCCAAACGGATCCGGGTCCAGACTCATGCCGTTGATGGCTGCGGTTGGCAGGCCGCCCGGGTCGAGGTCCCGGCTGCTGGGTACCGGAAGCGGGAGGTCGAAGGTCGGATCCGTGCCGAGGTTGTGGAGGGGTCCGGTTAGAGAAATGTCGTGCGGTGCGTGAGGCGCGATGTGGGAGTGGATGTTAGGGGAGAGGAAGGGGAAGTCCGGTGGGAGGTGGGATGTCAGTGCTGCGGCGGTGTGGAGGGGGGGCGGGTTGGTCATGGGGGTGTCGGTGTCTGTGGATTGGCCTTGGGGTTGAGCTGAAGCTGAAGCTGAGGATTGGGCTGTGGCGGAGTTCTGCAGCCGGGCGGACTTGGCTTTGGCGTACAGCTTCCTGATAGGGCGCCATAGCAACCCCTTTTTCGAGTCCGCGACCCGCTCGCTGTACTTTTCGAACAACGTGTCCACGATCGCCCACCCACGGTCTACGAGGGGGCCGCTGGTCTGCACGCAGAGCTCTGCGAGCGCGACGGCGAGGGCATGCCACTGCACGTACATGGCCGAGAACCAGCCCCAGATATGGCCGACGGGATGATTCTCAATCGCGTCACACAGTTCCAACGACTCGATGGCGGCGGTCAAGATGCTCTCCTTCGTCGCCCGCGAGCGAGGCAAATACTGCCGCGGCTGCAGCGGATACTGCACATGCAGGAACATGTCACGGCAGACGATCTGCGCGACCGTGGCGCTGAACCAGAAGATAGGAACGCTGACGTCGCAGTGCGTGAGGTATTTCGTCTCGAGCCGGTCGCTGAACTGCTTGATGAGCTCTTCCAGCTCCTTGCGCGATATGGGCTGGCCGCTGTGCGCGCCGTCTGCTGGGGGTCTGAAAGATAGCCAAGGCGCTAGTAGCGAGGCTTCGTGCGAGATAAGGCAGAACGTCATCTCTGTGCAGCCGATGTGCTCTTTTGGCGCTTCGGTGCTCTCGGGACTGATGTCCTCGTCGTTGATGTTGAGGGGCAGGTGCGTGGTGAAGGTGTTTTCTGAGATTAGGGGGGAGGAGCCGCGGTCTTCGCAGGCGCGGACGTCGAGGACGATCAAGGCCCCCCACAGGCGGCGCCGCATCTCGGTGTCGAAAGGGGAGAACGATAGCGTTGGGCCGTCGCGGTGCAGGTCGAGCGCGTGGGCTATTCGGACGGCTAGGCTGATTAACGTCCATGCCGATCGTGATTCGTTGTGGTTGCGGAGGCATAGCTTGAGCATCGTCAGCTCGTGTAAATTGGAGTAGAAAACCAGAAGCATATCAAAGGTGAAGAACTGACAAGATAGAGGACAAAGGCTTGCAGGGTGCGCAACTCCATGCTGTTCAGAAAGTCGGCATTTGATAGGGCAATCTCAGCGCCATACTTGTACTGAGCCAACAAACTCTCCTTATCCCTCCCAAAAAGCTCGACGCACTCGTCATTTGACAAGCTGGTAATGGCGGCGAAATAGGCCGCGAACATCAAGGCCTCCTGGCTATTACGCTGGGGCATAGAGTCGAGATTTGCAGCAGCCTCTAGCATCGAAGGTTTTCCAGTAGGCCTGTGAAGTATCTTGAACAGCCCGTCGACTCTGGTGAAGTATACGTCGACCAGAGCAGCGGCATGCGCATACGAAGGATGCAGCCACCGTAGGTTCTTCAGCTCACCGCCATCGCCGAACACAAAAGGAGTTTCGAACGGCCTGCTGCCCTTGTGTAACCGACTGGGCGAGTTATCGGCTGAGTCTCCTTCGTTGTCTGACACCTCGTCCAGCAGTTGCCGCAACCCGTCCACCTCATGGCTGAGGCTGGTCCAGAAGTCGCCGCTTAAGTACCGGCTTCCATCAGCCTTGACGATAGGCCTCAGGTTGCAACTGGGCCCCTCTGTAGGTTGCGGACTCTGGGATCCTCTGGGCGGTGTACGTAGGAAGGCTCTAGCAGCCTCGAGGCCCGCATCTGGCTTCTGCTGCTTCTCTGCGCTCGCCTCTCCTCCAAGCTTTTCTACAATTCCCTCTAGTTGGTCGAGGCGCTTCAAGAGCTCGGCGTTGCGGTTCCGAGACCCTCGTTGTCGGCCTCGAGGCAGCCGCTCTGTGGGGAATGTGCAGTCGATTTTCGAGCGGACACATGCTGCGCAGGGCTGTGTCTTGTCGCATTTGATCTTCCTGTGTCGGCAGTTCGTGCAGCTAAGCTGAGCGTTCACGCCTCTCGCGGCGCTGGAGGGTGTCGACATGGGATGGTAGAGCACTTTGTTCAACTATTAAAATGCATGACGCGCATGAACTCGCTGGGGACGACGCGACTTTCAGAATCGATAAGCTCTGCGCTTCCAGGGTCCAAGGTCTGTTCCAGGCATGGCGATTGAGCAAATGCTGTGAGTAGGCATCAATCTGTCAGTCTGTCACTTTCACACAAGTCTTATTCTCCTATTCCCGTCTGCTCCGAGCAGCCTGCGTCTGCCCTCTAGCTTTAGAGGCTGTCGGGCCAGTCGATAAGGCCGTGGCTGTCTGACTCGCATTTGGTGGGAGACCTCGCTCCTTAACCATCGAATGGTAGCAAAAGAGGTCTCCCCAAGACTAAACGGTCCTGAATGTACATTGTGGATGTCCTGGACACACCTGATATTTCATTTATCAGGAGCTTGACAGATACGGTCATCAGTCTGGGTTTGCAAATTGGGATGACCCTGCGATCAAGCTCTTTGAGACCTACCGCCGCAAGTCGCTGACATAATAGCGTAGACTCAGGGAAAGTCAACAGCACATGAAGTCCTCAATAACCACCAAATGCCACCCCTGTTCATAAGCAAACTAGAGCTGAAGCTTCCTTATATTATGCTCAAGGCCCTTTCACACCTGTTGATAATATTCAAACATTTTGAAGTACGTTGTGGTTGATGAAATGGTGATCTAAGTGATGCTTAAGTGGCTCGAGTCTACGCTATTGTGTCAGCGACTTGCTCCAGTCCCTCAGCCCTACGAAGTCCGGTGACGTCGGCGGTTACAGCTGCCGCGCTCCTGCTTGAGCTGCTGATCAGCATCCGGGAAGCACGAGATGGTGCTGCGGACGCGCATGGCAATTTCGTGCACTCTTCCACGACCTCTTCCACCATCCTACTGAATCAACTTCTCCTAACAAAGAGTGCTCGTACGGCTGTCGCTGCGCGCTTCGTGCGCTACCCGCGGCCCTCTCTCCCCCACAGCTCCCACAATGGCCTCCCTCCTCCGCCAAATCGTCGCCAGCCCCCGCGTGCGCCACCCAGAAGCCAACCTCGACCTCTGCTATGTCACAGACAACAGTAACTTCCCCCGTCGCCCTCCCCCATCCCCACCACTCCCACCTCCCCACCACCCCAACTCCCCAGCCCTAACACCCCGAAAACAGTAATAGCGACCTCCGGCCCCAGCCTCACCTACCCACAGCGCTACTACCGCAACCCGCTCGACAGCCTGGTCCGCTTCCTGGACTCGCGCCACGGCGCCAACTGGGCGATCTGGGAGTTCCGCGCCGAGGGGACGGGATACCCCGACGAGGAGGTCTACGGCAGGATATACCATTTTCCGTGGCCGGACCATCATCCGCCGCCGTTTGCGCTGCTGGTGAGGGTTGTGGCGAGTATGCGGAATTGGGTGAGGGGGACTGGTGTGGAGGTGGAAGGCGGGGATGATGGCAGGCTGGATGGGAACGACGGGAAGAACGGTGAGGGGGATGGTGATGCGGCAAAAGGGGGCAGGGTCATAGTAGTCCACTGTAAAGCCGGCAAAGGCCGCAGCGGCACCGCCTCCTGCGCCTACCTGATCAGCGAAGAAGGCTGGACGCTCGCAGACGCGCTGCAGCGCTTCACGGAGCGCCGCATGCGGCCCGGGTTCGGGCCGGGCATCTCGATCCCGAGCCAGCTAAGGTGGGTCGGGTATGTGGATCGCTGGACACGGCACGGCAAGGTGTATGTGGAGCGGCAGGTTGAGGTGCTCGAGGTGCATGTTTGGGGGCTGAGGGATGGGGTCAAGGTCGCGGTGGAGGGGTTTGTGGATGAGGGGAGGAGAATTGAGACGGTTCATACTTTTGGGAGGGAGGAGTGTAATATCGTGAGGGGGAGTATCAACGGCAAGAACGGGTTTGCGGATGTGGTTGCGGAGGTTATGGGGAGGAGGTCTGGGGACAAGGGAGTACAGACTCCAACTTCGGCAACCAGCGAGAAAAAGGATGTGGAGCTACCAACGGAGAGTGATGCGAAGGAGAAGGAAGATTTTGAGGGGGGTGACATTATATTTAGGCCATCAAAGCGGGTGGTTCTCCTGACAAACGACATCAACATCGACTTTGAGCGACGAAACAATGCGAACTTCGGGTTGACCATGGTCACCGCGGTGGCGCATGTCTGGTTCAACGCCTTCTTCGAAGGCAATGGCGCAGAAAATGGCGGGAAGGCGGACAGCTCAGGCGTCTTTGAGCTGGAGTGGGACAGATTGGACGGCATCAAAGGGAGTAGGCAGAAAGGGACAAGAGCATTTGATAAGTTCGCCGTAGTATGGAAAGCGCTACCCGACGAGGAGAGACCAGGTATCGTGATACACGAGCCGAGAGAAGATGAGGAGGTCAAACAGTCCCAGCCTGCAGACTGGAAGGGCAACAAGGACTACTCGCCCGGGATCGGGAAAAAGTTGGGTCTCAGAGCCGCCAGCCCGCACAACGGATCTGTCAGTAGAGCCAGCAGCACGAAAAGCGACAGTGGCGCAGGGAAAGAAGAAGAAGTCGAAAGCGAAGATGGCGCAGCAGGCGTTCGTCCTTATGGACCTGGTGGGGAAACAAGACTCGAGGTACCCGGTAGCCCCGTGGACGGCCCCTTCGATAGCCCAGATTCTCCTAGACCGGGCCCGGACGAGGGCAACAAGTCGTCCATTGATACGTCGCCGCCGGTGTTGTTCCCCGTGCACAAATTACCTAAGGTCCCCCCACCGGAGTCAACAGATGACCCAAGGGCAGACTGAAAAGAACCTTGCTGCTCTGCTGTGCCAGATCACGTGTGCAATGCGGCAAGCTTCTTTTCAACCTTCCCTCGACCCTATGTCCGGCATTGTCAGTGGCAGAAAAGATATCTGTACCAGTGACTTACCAGGCGGTCCGCCAGAAGAGGACACGAAGACGGATACTGGACATTCGCTAGGTCACGTGAAATACGAAAAGAACACGGATAGCTCCTCTTGAGGCCCAGATGCCAAAGTTCTTGGACCGTGGACGGTGCTTCTGCGCGGGGAGTTTCATATTTGAAAAAGGAGAGGAAAGCACCTTACCACTCGCTCTGTTCTACACGTTTATCCTCGAAGTTACTTGTAAGATCTTCAGCAAAAACCAGGAGCCACGACACAGCCAATGCTGACGTCGCGGAGACGGGCCAAATGCTGTATGCTCCGAGACCGGTCGAACTACGAGCATGATGTGGATGGGAAGGGCTGCGGGTAGCCGACGGTACCTGTGTGCGTCCGGCGCTGCCGAAGAGCCTGGGAACATGAACACGACCATGACCATATGCTAGATTCGTCGAGATTTCGACGGCGGCCCACTGGCCAGAACTGTGGCGGGTCCAGCGCCGAAGCAATACTTGCTGCCTGTAGTGGGTACAGGGCGTCCATTGAGGGCAGTGGGGAGTATTGGAACGGGCGTAGCGCTGATGCGTAACGTAGGCACGTGCTACAAGGTTTAGCTCGATCAGTAGCGCCACCTTGAGACCAGGTTGAGGCTCATGTGGACGATGCGCGGGTATCAACTGAGCTAAACAAGTCGAACCGCGCTCACGCTGTCACTGCTGCGAACTGTGTGCTGGTCAGCCATTCATAGGTAACTGGGTATAAACTGTTTCTATGAATATCGGCTCTTCCGTACCGGCCGCACGGCTCGGAAGGCGGTGAGTTCGGTCTAGAAGCCGGTGTGGGGACCCCATTTAGCTCCCGCTAGTGTCCTGGTCAATGCCCCATGACTGGGGTTCGTGACAGGCCAGGCCTGGCTGCCTGTTGCTGGCTGCTCGTCCGTCGGTGAGTCAAGACGAAGGCACCTTAGCTTCAGGCTTCGCTGGTCGTCATGCTGAACAACAGCAGGCAGAAGCCGCGCTGCTAGTGAAACGCACTCTGTGCATATCTAGAGACTCCCAACGCTGGTCCATCCTGTGTGCTGCCACCACGACCGCTACCAACGTGTTCCCCGCTATCCGTACCGAGTACTTTGCTTGCGCCTGTAACACGACGCATCCTAAGACCGATACACAGCCTCCCACAGCCTGACAGCCTGACAGCCTACTTCGCGCCTTGCTAGCACACCGTCACTCAGCATCCGATGAGCAAACATTCAGCCCGGAGCTCATCGCCGACATCCTTCTCCAAAAGCGACACCGTCCTCACACCGTCCTCTACTCCTTCACAAACCCCGCAGCGGCCTGTGACACCAGAGCAGGGCCATCTTCAAGAGCCCGAACGAAAGCACCTGATGGACACCACGCGAGAAGACAGCAAGACCGATCACGTCGAGATCCCCCAGGATGACGACGCTGCTCCTTCCGGCTTAGCCGACATTGGAAGCAAGGAGGTCGACCGCAAGCCAAAGCCGAGCAAGAGCAAGAAGAAGGGTAGCAAGAAGTGCAAGAAGCACTCCAAGAAGAGTGGGAAGAAACTGTCTTCGCACAATCAGTCGTCCTCTGATACCTCTTCCGAAAGCGCCGACTCGGACACGGACGCCAGCTCTTCGGAGAGCTCCACGGAGGATGAGAAGGCCAAGCGCAAAGCCCGCTCCAAGCGGAAAGCGAAGAAAGTCAAAGCCGTCAAACGCCGCAAGGCTAAGGCGCGCGAGTCCTCTTCTGACTCCGATTCAGACTCGTCAGATAGCGGTTCTGAATCAGAGTCAGAGCCCGACAGCTTGCGCCGACGACAGCGGCGCTCGCGTAAGTCCCGACGACGAGACGAGAGCAGCGACACACTGGATTCGGAGGATGAAGGCACTTCATATGACGAAGGTGAAGATTCGAGTGCACAGGCCGACGCCTCGCGCCTCAACTCCCTCGAAGCTATGATAGCGCAGCTGCAGCAACAGCGGCTGGCCACCGCCGCAACAGCGGGCGGCCGCCCTCGATGGTCTAGGCATGTCGGTTTTGATGACCTCCCGGCTTCATCTGGGGCACGATTAAAGGGCAGGGGTAAGAAGAAGGGCAAACGGGCAGCGAAGAAGCGGGCTAGCACGTTGGAATTCAAGAGAGTCGATCAGCTTTGGGATAGTAACATCCATGACTACAAGATCACCGAGAGTGCGGAGATCCAGGCGGATGAGTTTGATCAGTACATCTTCACTGTGCGTCGGAAGTTCGACTGGGAGAACAAGTACCGGAGTACGGTCGTCGATATCAAGTCGAAAGCACTCAGGGAGGCTCTTGCAGAGGTTATGAAGGACGTCAAGAGCGTGTCGTTGGTGGAGGAGCAGCCAAGCGTATGTGCTTCATCCACCTATCTGGGCAGACACAGCTAACGCGCCGTAGGTCGATCCGAACATGCTCTTCCTATATGTCGACGAGCTTCGGGCGCACATCAAGACGCTCAAAAAGCGACTCAAGAAGGAGAAGAAGCGCAAGCTCAAGAGGCCGATATCCCTCCAGATTGCGCATTGCAAACTTATGGTATCCTACCTCGACGAAGATTATGAGGAAACAAAGAAGACGCTATATCCTCTCCTCGAAGCCGGCAACATCACCTTCGATCTCCTCTGGGCCCTCTTCAAACCCAACACACTCGCATACACCTCGACGTACGGCTCCGTCGATGATCCGCGCTGCTTCAAAGTCGACTACGCCAACAAGGAGTCGAGCTTTGTGCGGGGCGAGTGGTACTGCATCGAGGGGCGATATCTCGAGTACGACGGGAAGAACTTCGGTCTCGGCGATTTCGAGATGAACGTGGAGTCGTTCAGAGGCCCACGCAAGATCACCGGTTTGTCGACATACCCACTCAAGTACCACAAGGGCGGCGAGGCCCTCAAGCAGCAGCTGATCGAGCGCGGGAAGCGGTTCGTGGCGATGCAGGGCATGAACTACCGCTTCCACAAGGGGCTGGCATTCATGAAGAAGAAGAAGCAGGTCGCGAAGGTGAATATCAACGGGCGAATCATGATCGATCCTGCGATCTTCAGAAGGATCAACCCGAATTACCCCATCTCGCTAATCAAGCCAAAAGACCCGGATGACATGTATGGCGATGATGGGAGCGAGTGTTCCGGCTGCTGTGGCTCAGACTCTGAAGAGGAGCAGGAGCCTGGCGCGGAGGGGCCGGCTCCTTTGCCTGGTGAAGAGAAGGAGGAGAAGGAGAAGATGAAGTACAAAGTCATCCGCGACAAGGGCGACAAAGTCCACGTCATCCAGGTCCCTGTCGACGAGGAGGGGCAGGAAGTCCCAGTCGAGAACCTCGAGAAGATCAAAGGCGGCGGCGGCGAGAAGACCAAAGAGCAAGACTTCACAGATGAGGAGCTCCTGATCGCCTCGCCCGTGGTCCTCGGCTTCGCCTTCTCCGAAAAGCTATGGCTCGAGTTCTCCCTCTCCGGCGTCCGCGACATCGAGTGGAACGCCGGCGCCTTCGAGTCGCTCGTGCTGCCCGCCAACCAGAAGAGCATCGTCTCCGCGCTAGTCTCGACGCACAAGTTCCACGCCGCAGAAACAATCGACGACGTCGTGCAAGGCAAAGGCCGCGGTCTCGTCTTCGTCCTGCACGGCCCTCCCGGCGTCGGCAAAACGCTCACCGCAGAAGGCATCGCCGAGTATCTCAAGTGCCCGCTCTACGCCGTCTCGGCCGGCGAGCTCGGCACCGACAGCCGCTTGCTCGAGCACGAGCTGCAGAAGATCATGGATATTGCGCATTCGTGGGGCGCGGTCCTGCTCCTCGACGAGGCGGACGTTTTCCTCGAGAAGCGCGAGATCCACGACATACACCGCAATGCGCTCGTCTCGATCTTCCTGCGGCTGCTGGAGTACTTTCAGGGGATCTTGTTCCTCACGACGAACAGGGTCGAGACGTTTGATGATGCGTTTCAGAGCCGGATTCATGTTGCGCTGCGGTACGAGGAGCTGTCGCCAAGGGCGAGAAAGGAGATCTGGAAGATGTTCCTTGATAAGGTGCGCGTTATGGAGGGCATAGACACGATGCCGTTCAAAGAGAGCGACTATGATGTGCTGGCGCGGAACAAGATTAATGGGCGACAGGTGAGTACCGTCCAATCTCTCTGATCCTTTAACATTTTATGCTAACCACAGTACTTTCCAGATCAAAAACGCCGTCCGCACCGCCCAGGCCCTTGCCGTCAATGAGAAGCAGCGCCTCAGCATGGAGCACATTAAACGTGTGCTCGAGGTGGCCGAGAGCTTCGACAACGATCTCAAGGGTGGGACAGGTTATATCGACGCGATGAGGAGCTACACCTAGATATGTCTGCTTGGCTCTCTTCGACGTCTTGATGCGCGCTAGCCGTCAATCTTGAAGCCGCAGCGGGCGTCTATGGCACTATCATGCTGCACTCCTTGAGCTCTGAGGAGCTACTATCATCCAACTGACGCGTTGAGCTTTTGGAGACCTGGTGGAACTCAGGCAATCCCGGTATTCCACCTCCCCTTTTTTCTTTTCGCATCGTAGTGTGTGTGCATAGTCGATTCCAATCTTCCTTCCACGTACACTTTTCCTTTGCTACATTTACGGAACGGCCAGGCGGCTCTTCCATATGGATGTTTCTTCCGATCGCTGGGGCTTCACTAGCCCGGGTCACAGTCGACATGATAAGTTGCTATGTAGAGTCTTTAGGAGTTTACGGGTGCGGAAACGGCCGGATGAGCATGGATGTGAGCGCGCGTTTTTTGGGTCTGCAATCGCGATGGCACGTTTTTGGAGCGTTGATACCGCATTTCTCTCCCCTCTTCCTCTTCTTTTCCAGAATGTGAGTCGGTGATACCAGCGTTGCGGAGGGCTGTTTTGTAGGTTGTCAATGGAAGCAGGATTACTCCGCGCCTTGATAATTCTGACTACACATGCTGCCGCTGCTACCGGATCTCTTCAATCACTGGATCTAAGATGTAATATCACGTAGCGTGACTGGCCACTCGAATTCAATGTCGTCTCGAAGCGCAACTTCAGAATCCAAAAGCGTTCATTATGTCCAGCCTAGCGAAGTCCCAGAAAACACTACTGTGAATTGCTACTGAGCGGAGCAGCATTCCAAAATACAGACTCCGAACGAACCATTACGAACAAGCCTGACCAAACACCCCAAAAAAGCCGTTGATAACATGAAACGCCCATTCTCGGGCTAGCAACATCCTGTTGCGATCACTTCCAACCCCAGTACCCTCTACCGCAATAGCCCATCCAGGACGCCATCCCTATGAACCACGCATTAGTTCCCCAGTACCCAACGAACCTGCCCAGGCCCTGTGTCCCGCGTCGCATAAGCCCCAGCTCCACATGTACGACACGTACTGCGAAGAAGCTAGCAAGAGCCCAGTGCAGATACCGCCGCGGCATCCCATTCAATTCCGCAATGACGGCAAGGATCATGGCGAGCGGCATGTTCTCGAGGAAGTTGGCATGGGCGCGGATCGCGGTGTGCAGGGGGTCGGAGACGAGGTTGTCGGAGTTGGAGTCGGGCAGGCGATCGCCCATGATCACTTGGTGCTGCTTTCGTTGCCACCCTACTCGCCCGGAGAGGAACAGGTGGTAGGCTGTTATTGGGACAGACCAGATTCCTGAGATGGGCAGACGTGGTTCCGACATCTTTGTCGAGTACGAGTAAACTCCGTATGGCGGAGCTTTGGGGGATGGCCAGCAACTCGATAGGAGGCCGTGGATTTAGCGGCGGCCGTGTGGAAAAGACCGAGGGTTCTATATCGGTTGGTGCAACGGTTGGCTGTGATGGCGGAAGTCGATGGACAAGTCGTGCTGCTGAGAGATCGCATTTACCCGCCCTAGGGTTATACGAGCTGAACCAAGCCGTATGCTCACGAGATCTCCTTTCCGCGTCTTTCCTTTCCTTCACTCTCACTAGCATCTTCATGTTGCAGTCGCAACTGTCAAGTTGAGTCACGAGAACGTGGGCGCGCTATCACTGAGTGTGAAGTTATGAAAGTTTTACGAGCATCAACAACGTGTTAACTCACTCTGCAATTCCCATCAATCCAAACATATGGACCCGGTCTACAAATCTAAGCCTTTAGAGCGGCGGCCCCTGTGTGGATCATGAAAGGGATCAGGATAACAGCTCCATTTCTCGCGCACCTGATTGCATCATGGAATCGCTACTTCTCAAACATGATATCCTTCAGCATATTCCTGATTTGGAAACATCTGCCTTCTATACAACGGACTCAGACAGCCCCAGATCTCCCCACAAGCCGCTCGCCCCCTTACACCTGCGCAGCCGTCCTAACCCTCCGCCGCTGCCCCGCATACCCCTCCACGCTCTCGTCCTCCTCCGGCCCATTCCCCCTCCAATTCGCCTCCAACCACCCCCGAATCCTCTCCCCCGCCACCCCCAGCTCCTTCATATCCCCCAGCACTTCCCACGCCCTCATATCCCCCTTCTCCGCGCACTTCTTCACAACCGCATTGAACGTCCCCTGCCGCGGCACCCATCCCTGCGCGCGCATCTCGTCATAATACCGCATCGCGTCCTCGTAATCTTCCTCGTTCAGACACGTCAGCAGCAGCCGATCGTAGGTAAGCGCGTCCGGCTTCACGCCCAGCGCGTTCATCTCGGCCGCTAGAAACATAGCGAGGTCCTTTCTGCCTGCGGCGTTGCACCCCTTGAGCAGCGTGTTGAAGGTCCCTGTGTCCGGCCCCTGGACGCAGAGAGCGTGGAGGGACTTATACGCCTCCATCGCCTCGCTCAGCTGGGAGTGGTGGATCGCCGCTTCGAGGACTACGTTCAGCGCCGCGGTCGGCACGACCCGCTCGCTCTCGCGCAAACCGCGCAGGATCTCAAACGCCTCCCCCGCTCCTCCGGGCAGTTCACGCAGATACCGAAAAATCGGCCGCGTGGAACCTTCGTCCGGGACGACGTTTGCGGCGGCCATGATGCTGAGCACACTAAGCGCGGTCCTGAGATCCGAGGCGGCGATGTAGGTCTCGATTAGCACCTCGTAGTGGCTGTGGTCGAAGACGGTGCCGCGGTTCCCCAAGACGCGGAAGACGTCCGTCGCGAGCTGTGCGTCGCCGGCGCGGGAGGCGGTAATCAGGACGTTCATGCAGATGCCGGTTGGGGGGTTCAGGTAGGAGGGCTCGACGCGGCGACGCCAAGTGTAGAGGGTTGCTTGGTACTGGGTTGTTCCGTTAGTGCAGTTCTAGTTTAGGGGAGAGGGATGCAGGGGTGGGGGGAGAGTTATGCTTACATGGAAAACGCTGCTCGCTTTGTCGAGGAGGTGGTACCACAGGCTGGCTGAGATGGTGGTGCCAGATGCATTCCGCTGCTGCATTATGCGCAGCGCTTCATCGATTTCTTCGGCTTCGGCGAGGAGGTAAAGTGTCATGTCTAGGAGCCAGTCTTGGGCGGGCCGGCCTTCGCGAAGCATTAGGTCGAGCCTGTCTAACGCCATCTCGTATTGGCGCTCTCGGAGCAAGCCCGCTATCACGTCGTGGTGGCCGCCGGAAGAGAGCGTGAACCAGCGCTGCCGCATGAAATCGAGGATCTCGCTGCGGAGAATGTAGTCTGGGTGGACCGCAAGCGCCTACAGGGGTCAGCCCACGCTTCTATACCCCAGAGCAGTATCGTGCCTACCTTCAGTGCGTCATGGCATACCCCCGCATCAGGCTCCAAGCCCTCAGCTCTCAGCTCGCTAAGCAGCGCACCCACATCGGCCGCCGAGCCCTCAACCGGGTCCACATTCGCCAGTATCAGCGCAGAGAAGAGCCGGGTATTCGGCCGCTCGTTGCGCTCCACAACCAGAAATTCCGCCAGCTTCCTCGTGTCCACAGTATGACCCTGGGAGGCATTGTATCGCAATCTCTCATATATCTCCTCGTTACTTCGGTCTTCTAGCGGGAAGTCCGCCCACCGTCTGGAGGGGCTGCGAAAGAGGCGGGGACCGTAAGGGGAAGGGTTGAGACTGTGCGGCTGCGAGGGAGGAGAGGTGGCTGCGGCTGTACTATACTGGCGAGAGCGAGGTAAGGCTCGGGCTCCGCATGCTGCTTGGGAGTGGATCGTCCGGGCGCAGGCTCGTGGTGTGTTTGGCTTTGGGCGAGGTAGTCTACTAATGAAAGCGACTGATGGCGCGGAGAAGGACGGGCAAAGGCATTGCCAAAGGCCATCGAAGACAATGGTTGACGTGCGCATCAGAGAAGTGAGGGTTGAGCTGCGGAGCTGTCGAGGTTGCAAGTCGGCGAACACGCGGTGCGGGAAGGTCCGCGGCGTGCAGCTTGGTGACAGGGATGCCCTCCCTGCTGGCTTGGTAGCAGTTCCCGCACGCAATTAGGTCTACCTAGGTACCTTATGTACCTGCGCTCGACCTCACGTTTGTGAACGTTGACTACCGCAAGATATGAGTAAAGACAAGAACGACCTGAGGCAGCGGAACAGGAGTAGCGTTACGGCTGGGCTGATTATTGCATGTCTCCCGCAACAGCGTACACGTGTAACACACAGGCTGCTTTTTCGTGTTAATCTGCGATGGATGCCCTGTCAGCATTAACATCGGCAAGCCTTGATCGGAAACAGTGTAGTATGCCGTGTATAAGGCGTCGATTAGGCGTCTGATAGATCATTCGGGGGCCGAACAGGCCTTCGACGGTTACTCTGCCAAGATTCTCTTACACAGCTGGTCTTTAGAGCTGACCGTTCCAAGACCTAACTTTATTAGACTACAGCTTACCCGCTTGACTGCCCATACCATCAAAGCAGAACCTGGTCATCGTGATGTCTGTTATTACGGTGCCCTCGAAGCGGAAGTGACTGGACTTTGGGTTATTTCCGTCCGGATAACGCATCACGTAGCAACTCGAAAGGAGATTTCGTCACAGCCTCAGGCCTCCAACCGCCTGGCCCGTTACTGGATAAGGGGTGGGCGACCGCAGCTGAAGCTCACGGTCAGCTTCAGAAGAACTGACTGACCGCTTTCACCGACGATGTAAACCTACGACGCCGGTAGGCAAACACATTAATGGCATAGTTCCGCCTGCACAGAGATCCAAGACACCTTACGGGGAAGACAACCGGGAGCAAATATCCGTCGAGCGAAGTACTCAGTCCACCATGTGGATCTCGAGGCTCTTACACGGAGGAACATACTCGGTGAGTATCTGCCTGCTGCCGCATTCAGGCGGCCATATGGAGCTTGAGACTCCTCGTGGTGAAGAGAGACCGCCCTCTTGAAACGATGTACTGGCATAGCAGAAGGCTAAACGCAATGTAACCAACCGTTCCATCGGCCAAGGCATTATCACTGTTGAACAACCCTTAGGGGACTCTGAGAAGCAATCATGAGGCAAGACCTCTGACGATGATGAGATGGAGAAGGGGAGAAGTATAAAGATGCAGCAAATCCCTCAGATTCTAACAACATAGACTCTTCTCTCGACTCAATACCGCTCTAAACGCAGCTCATCGGAAAGATCCATCTACTCTTCTTGCAAAAATCTATATCAACTGCCCCACTCGTGTGCAAGATGAAGTCTACAACTCTGGTTCTAAGCCTACTTGGCCTTTTCACAGCCTCCCCTTTGACAATGTTAGCGACCCCAAAGTTTCAGCCTAAGTATTGTCTATCACTGTTCAGCTACCACTTTTCGAGCTGGTGCTAGAGGCGCCGCGAGAGGACCCGGGAAAGCGTGGTCATATGTCCCTCCTGTGATTTTGCCAAGAGAACCCGGCCATGGCCGAGGTGAAGGGACCTAGCAAAGTGGGCTTCCGAACTGCGAGCTTTCGTGTTTGGATCTTATCCGCAACGTGTAGACAATGAATTGACAGATATCGCGTATGATAATGATGATCGATGGATAGTTTCGACCTACACAGCCGCCTGCCAACGGATATATCGAGATATCCCCTATGAGCTCCCCGAGCCAGCCGCTTTCCTCGTTCACTCATCAACTATGATTGTAACTCCACAACGCCGAACCATGCACCGACTACGGCTCCGCAGAACTACAGACAATAGCCATACCCCATCACTTAAAGACTACGTCGTGCTGGCCATGCAAAGCCTGCCAAACCCGCACCCGTCGCCGTCTCCGCTCGACAGCCCCCGGCTCACTCCTCGCGGCCGCTTCACTCCGCCTCCGCTCTCGATGGCGATGGTACCGCTCCCCCAGCCGCTCCTATCGGCCAGAAGGAGATCCACCACCACTACCACTCCCAAAGATATTCCGCCTAAGCCGCTCGCCTAGCCCCAGCGTCGCTGCACTGTTCCCACTGCTCCCGCTCCGACTGCTCGACGCTCTCCTTGGCCGTGACGGCGGTGTTGATGGCGTAGACGCGTACGGTCTTGGGTCCCTGCGGAAGCGATCTGACTCAGGGATCACGACTGGGTCGATTGCCGTCCCCGCCCCCGCCGCCGTTGCCGCCAGCGGATCCGGAGGCGTACCAAACGCGCCAGGCATCTGCTGCATCCGATCATAGTTCTCCCCCGCACGGGGCCGCTGCTGGTTGGGCTGCGGCGTCCGCGCCCCTGGTGGTTGCGCCTGCGCCTCCTTCCCCGTAACGATGCTCTTCCGGCAGTGCGGACACGTGTCGTGCTCGCTGAGCCACATGGTGACGCACTGCTCATGGAACCAGTGGCGGCAGGGTAGCTGGGTGACCAGCTCGCCGATGTTGACTTCGTCCATGCAAATGCTGCAGTCGGCGCGTCCCTCGGCGCCCATGTCTTCGGGCGTCACTTTTCGTTTCGGGAGGGACTTGATGGCGGATTCGGGGGCGGGGCCCGGCGCGTTGCCGGTTTGGTTCTGCTCCATTAGCTGCGAGATTACGCGGTCGAGCGCTTCTTGGGTATAGACTGCGTCGCCGTGCTGGGCGAGCCCGGGGTTGAGGAGCTGGGCGAAGAGGGCTGCAAGCGGGTTCACGGGTTGTTGAGAGCGTTGATCAGGATTGTGTGGGTCTTGTGCGGGCTGGCCAGGGGGTGGGCCGGCAAGGCCTTGGAAGAGGTTCCCCAAGACGCGATGAAGGTCGTCGACGGGCTCGAGGTGCGGTTGCGGGTGGTTGGCATCGCGGGGGTGAAGCCGTGCGCCGGGAGAGTATGTCCAGCGGCGGCTGTTAGGCGAGTCGGGTCGGTCGCCGCGGCCTTGCTGTGATCGGTCTCGGTTGTCGTCTTCGCCAGGCCTAGGACTCCGTGTCCGTACGTTTATGTTGGCGTTTCCGCCTACTATGCCCTGCAACATTGTGGCGAAATTCTGCGAGAGCGGGTCCCCGAAACCAGGGGCTTGTCGACTCCCGAACAGCTCCTGGGGTGTGCCGGTGCGGATGAATGTACCAGTGATAGACACGGTGTTGGGACCCGTTTGTCTGAGCTGAAAGCCGCTTAGGTCACTTTCATCTGGATCAGGAGCGTCTGGCCACGGGTTGTGATCGTGGAACGGGTGTGGATGTGGCGGATGCGGAAGAAGGTCGTCTAAGCTAGGACCGTTGTCTTCGCGAGGGTCATGATCTGGCTCAATCTGTGCGCATGGGTCAGTTGTAGACTCTTCATAGATGCCAACACCTTCAAAGGTTCTAAAGTGCAGAAGGAGCCAGCCGCCGGCATCTCTTCTGGTGAGAAACGGTGTACATACAATCTCCGTAAACTCTCCCTGACACTCTGGACATGGCACAAGGCCGTGCTCGTCTCTGTACCATTCGTTCTCGCACTGATGGCAGTAGACCAACTCCCTGTTTTCTCCTGGGCGACTCATGATTATGTGGTCGGGCTATACCAGCCGGTACAGAATGGACAGAATAAAGACCCTCGAACAGTTTCTATTCTCGCAGTAGGGCTGAAGTCAGAGGCGGCGGCGGAGCAGTCTACAAGGCTGACAAACTGACTAGTGTCGAAGGATTACTGTGTTGACAGCTGTCTTGGGCGCAGCAGCCAGGGTGACGCCTGTCATGCGGCGTAGCGTAAGCGGGTGACTGGAGAACCGGGTGGCGGCTGAGCGAGCGGTAGACTGCAGGATGAGAAAATGAGAAGCTGAGGTACTGAGATAGGATGTAGGAGATAGGAGACTGCACAAGCGGAGGACGAGGTTCTGTAAGGGGAAAGCAGGATGCTGTGTGTTTGATGGCGACAGGTGCTGGTCCCTTGTCGCGGCTGAGTCCGCTTCGGGCTGTAACGTCGCCACGCGCCGACACGCTGGCGGGTAGTGGGGGTTTCCGCTGCCAAGAGCGGAATCTGCAGATCTTCCGCGCTCACAGCAATGCCTCAGCGACGAATGGTGACACCAGATACCGCAGGTGCTTTCCGGCTGATTTCAACTCCAAGAGTGCTTCAAAGCGCGCCTATAAATTAGCGCTCTCTTCCGCAAGACGTCTGACTCAGCTGCCAAACAGTCATGGGCAAACCCAAGGTGTCATTTCTTCCCGATTCCATGACTTTCGCTGCAGCCTCCCAGTCCATAAACGAGGTGGCTCGAGTCCGGCACGGCAGTGCGGGTGATTTCCCAACAGCCGTCCGCTCTGCTGCCGTAAAACTCAATTAGCTGGCGATGTTCCAGCCAGGATGGAAGGAAGCAGGACCGCTGCAACAGCTATCTAAACCAAATGCTGCTCGCATACCTTAAAGCAGGTATTTCTGCAAGCGGAGCTGTATCGAGTCGTTCCCATGTTTTGTATATGCGCAGCGGCACTCCTTCTTAGACCTGGCTTCCAGCCATGAAAAAGCAGACGTGGAAAGGGTGATGACGACGATAACGAGGTTGATATAATATACCACATGAACCTACAAAAATCCTTAAACGCCACCCATATACACCATGCCCAAACGCATCAAATCTCCGCTACCTTTTACCCACATCCCCTCACCGCCTCGTCTGCCTCGCCCCCCTCATCAAAAGCCCCCCCACAACCCCCGCCGCAACAGCAAGGCCCCCCACAATCGCCACACCCACCAGCCCCTCCCGCTGGACCTTATCATCAATCAACCCCTTCAAACTCTCCGCCTGCAAATTCGCCGGCTCGTGTTCCAGCAGCAACTCATTATACCGCCTCGCCTCGGCGTAGTTCCCCAGTTTATAATTCCCCAGCGCGAGATAGTAGAGGCACTCGCGGCGGCGTTCGGGGGACTGGCGGAAGATGTCGGAGAGGAGGCGCACGCCTTCTTGTTGCTCAGGGCGCTGGTCCGATTTGATGAGGCCCTGGGTGGGGGTGTTAGTGAGGGGGGAACTGAAGAGGGCGTAGGGGAGGGAGGCGGAGCGGACGGATGGGGGAGGGGAAGTACCCATGCGTAGTTGAACTTTGTTTGGACGCCTACGAAGTCACCTTCTTTCTCGTATTGCGCGCGCAGGACTTGGAGCTCGGCGGGCTTGAGCGGACTGGGAGGAATCAGCGGCTGTACGGCAGGACAATCGGGGAGCACTCGTGCGAGGTCTAGGCGTGTGTGAAAGCTTCATGCGCGCGGGAGGCATTACCTTTCCGCATCTGCGGCGTCTGTAAGGTAGGGAATCAGTCAGCGACTCGACCTGAAGAATGAGCGGCATGTGGAGCGAGGGCAAGCTGCAGAGGTGAGCGGTGAGTGCGACTCACATGGTAGTGACGGTGACATGTCTGTTGGATTCTGAGGTACAAAAGGATATCGCAGCGTGTCTGATGAGGCAAAGTGAAGCCTAAGAGCTCGTGTCTCTCGGAAGGGTCCGCTGACGTCTGCCCCGCCAAGCTCGCGTGGCCTGTTGCTAGGACCGGGGTGCGGAAGTCCCACGCGCCGCAGAATCATAACATCGCAGCCAGCACCTATATCTCGATCGCAAACCAGCTGCAGTTGTCGCAAGCTACCAGACTCCACATCACTGTGATCGAGACGCTTCAGAGTTCTCGGAAATAAACAGTTCTTTCAGTACCGATTGTTTAAGCATCCAAGATGCTCCTCGACGAAGATCCCGCAGCCGTATGTCAGTCAACAACCGCCGCGCAGTACACTCGCTCACACCTCCACAGCTCATCGCATCCTGCGCCGCAAACTTCAACATAGCTCCCGACCGCGCTTCCTTGACACGCATCTCCTCCTCCCTAAGCTCGCTACAACAGTTCCGACAACATAACCTCTCCCAGCTTTCGTCCACGCTCGCCCAGTTCTCGCGGCAGCTGTCGAACCTACAATCGCAGCACTCGCTCATCGTCTCGTCGCACAACGCTGCCGATCATGCGAGCGAAATCTTGAGGCTGGACACCGAGAAGTTCAGGATTGCAAAGCAGGCCAGTGAGGCCGAGATCGAGGTTGAAAGACTCGAAGCGGAACTTGATGGTTTGAGGGGCCAGCTTGGGGATATGGAAGCCCAGGGAGTTGAGAACGCTGCAGAGGCGCAGCGAAGCGCGGGTTTGGCAGAAGACGAGGTTTTGTGAGTTTGACTTTCGAACTCCGGACCTAGCTTGTACGGCGAACAGCTAACGTTGGAATCAACTTTAGGCTGAAGCTCAAGGTTTACCGCTCACTGGGCATTGACGTTGAACAGGACCAGGGCACGGGCAGATACAGCAAGGCCGTGATCCGGAATACGCAGAAAGGCGACGTGCACGTGGTCAATATTGATCCAAAGTTCTCGCAGTTCTTTTACGCCAACTGGTTCTGGCAGACAATGTAGAAGGTAGCATGCGAATCCATGCTTGATGACGGAGGAACTGGGGCGTCTGGTGTGCTTATGGGAGTTCGTGGCGTGGGAACCTTGATACCAGTCTTAGGCACGCAAGCGTTTGGTCTTCCCTGTTCTTGGAGTATGGGGCACGACAATGTCTTCGGCAAAGATGGCTAAGACAGTGGCGAGCGTCTGATAGTCGTGGACTTTAAGGCAGGTCAGTGCCACATATAGAACTCGCTTCAATAATGTTCATCCGCGTAACTGCAAGCCTTGTAAGATGCAAGCTGTTGCCAAGAACTACAGGCTTCTTCGAAGCTCTCCTACTGTTAGGACCATCTATTACTGGCAAGGCTACCTAAGCCTATGCCAAGCGCCGCGATGCTCAACTGCTGCGCTGATAACGGCGAGTCATATAGCCATCCGGGCTCGCTAAGGTTTATAAGGCCGTCGGCGGCTGGTGTCGCCATCCTGTTCCAACGACGAAGCAGGGTATGAATATGGATTCCCCGCGGGTGGAGCCGTTTCACCAACGGGGAATACGTCTTAGGTGCGCCTCTGATGCAAAGCAGGTTCGTGTAGCCGAGCCTGATCAGCCATTTTGCCGTGGTTGTGCCTGGGCAGCTCTTGGTGTCGTCGATGTCGTTGCGGGACGACTTTCCGTCTTCAAGCACACCTGCAGACAGGGACACCGCTGATTCGCCGACCAGGTTGCTGCACGCTCGCTGCAGGATTTGGCTGCATGTCGTGCGCGGCCACCTTGCGCGGCTCCGCTGTTTCAGGAATTGTCTTGCAGCAAACCTGGTGGCTGGGTTGGACGCTCCGGCGGTGTTGAAACCTTTGTGGTTGCCCATACGGCCACGAGCAGTGCGGCCAAGGCTCTGCAAGGACGTTGCCGAGAAGGGCAAGCCGTGATAGACCTTGTGTTTCTTTGAGAAAGGCGGGCGCAGCGAGCGTTGGGCGAGCGTTGGGCAAGCGTTGATCAAGGCCGATATCCATGGGCTTGTGCATGCTGGCTAGTTGCAGGTGTCAGCGCTGCAGCAAGGTTCGGCGCCGCAAGCGAGCCTTCCTGCCGCTTAGTGTCAGTGGGCCGTCTTCCACTCTCGCCGTGCCGTCCAAGGACGCCGTTCTATTCAACTTCGCGACGGCCATAACAGCGCTCCGCTCCTCGCGCGCCTGCGGAGACACCGCTCTCCAGCTCTCCATGTCGCCCTAGTCCTCACGCCGCCCAATGCCCAAGCAATCCTCCTGAACTGTCGCTCCCAACCAACGGTCACTAGTCGCTCGTTACCCAACTCCCGTTTCCTGGCATCTGCGAAGCTTGAGGAGACCGCAAAGCAGTATCACTGCGCGAACACTGGCCTCAATTGGAGAGAACACCGCGTCAATCACGTTGCGCGCGGTCCGTTGCTCGGATTAAATGAGGAGACGGCCTTCAGGGTCGGCTACCGAGGAAGAAGAGGACCCCTCGAGCCCAGAGTCCTCTTCAACGTCCGAGCATGGCGATAAGGCTCAGACTGCCTTGAAGAGCACGGCGGAGGAGGAAAACGGCAGCAAGGAGAAGGAACACACGCGTACGAGGGCGAAGCGGAAGGGCGGCGCCTCAATCTCAGCCTCAAACACAGAAGGACCCCCGGTCTGGGACCACCCTCCCACACCTGGTACACCTAGCGAGAAGGAACTTCTGGCGATGGGCTTGCTGGACAAAGACACTGCCGAGGACGACATGGCTCGAGCACTGGCTCGTCGACGGGCGCGATGGCAGAATCCTTGGTCATGCTCGGCGCTCACGCTCGTTGCGACGCTCGCGGCGGCAGTATTGCTCTTTTGCATTGTCCGATCGTTTTTAACCAAACAACTTGACCCCAAAGGCTGCGAGATGTCTTATACCAGGCCTGGCTATGTTGATTTCCCCGACTTCGACACAGAGCACACCCGATTCGCTAGCAAATACTCCCTTCATCTATACACAGAGCAATATATAGATGATGGAAAGGTGAGATTTGACGAAACCGCGATGATGGGAGTAGCTGACTGTAGTAGGTCAAAGGTGTCCCAGTACTTTTCATCCCAGGGAATGCCGGTAGCTACAAACAAGCACGATCGTTAGCCGGAGAGTCCGCTTTCTATTTCCACGATATCCTGCGACATGATGAAGCGGTAATGAGGAGTGGGAAGCGGCCATTGGACTTCTTCTCCGTAGACTTCAACGAGGACATCACAGCATTCCATGGCCAGACTCTGCTCGACCAGGCGGAGTATCTGAACGACGCAGTGGCGTATATTCTGTCATTGTACCATAATTCACGCCACTCCTCGCGTGACCCGGACCTCCCAGATCCAAGCTCAGTCATAATCGTCGGACACTCGATGGGCGGTATCGTGGCCCGTACAATGCTTACCATACCAAACTACCAGCCAAATTCGATCAACACCATTATTACTCTCTCTGCGCCGCATGCAAGAGCTCCTGTCTCTTTCGATGCAGATATTGTGAAGACGTACCAGCACATCAACGACTACTGGAGAAAAGCTTACGCACAGAAATGGGCCAATGATAACCCATTGTGGCACGTGACACTCATTTCTATTGCTGGCGGAGGCCTTGATACAGTGGTTCCATCTGATTATGCTAGCGTGGCCTCGCTTGTGCCAGAGACTCATGGCTTCACTGTCTTCACATCTACCATGCCTAGAGTATGGACAGGCATGGATCATCTGGCAATCACCTGGTGCGATCAGCTTCGAAAGAGGGTCATTCGTGCCATTTACGATGTTGTGGACGTTTCTCGCCCGGTACAGACGCGACCACGTGCCGAACGGATGCGCGCATTCAAGAAGTGGTTCCTTACTGGATTGGAGGATGCTGCCGAGAAAACGCTTCCACAGAAGGGTGAGTGATCCGGCCTTATATCCCCGAACTCGTCACTGAGCGATTGTAGAACCTAAAACACTTCTGACTTTGGAGGACAACTCCAACGCTATCATCTCGCAAGGTGAACGCTTGACTATACGTGCCCTAGGCGAGGGTAGAAAACGAAGAGCGCATCTCCTGCCAATTCCGCCGCAAGGGCCGCCAGAGGGAAGAAAATTCACCCTTCTTACGAACGAAGTGCTAGATCAACCTGGAGATACGGGCAGCCTTGAAGTACTGTTTTGCAGCGTTTTCCCTCTACAGGTCGGCCAGAGTGCCACGTTGTTCTCCATGAACATGGACCTCTCCGGCGACAGCACTGGTTCGACACGCTTGGCGTGCAAGAATGCGGCTTCGGACGCTATCAGTCTTCCAGCATCAGCTCAAGAATCAAGGCAAGCGTTTGACAAGGTGCAGCCGTTTACTTACTTGCAATACAAACTCGAGGACCTCGCAGAGCACCAGTTCGTAGCCGTCATCGATAAAGCCGATCATCCTACTTCGGGCTGGGTCATCGCGGAGTTCAGCGTTGCATCTGAGTCTATTATTGGAACGAACGTCAGCCTACAACGTCTGCTTACCCGTGGTGTAAAGCTGAAACTGCCAGGAACACGTCCGATGGTCGTTGACATCAAGGTTCCAGCATTGCATTCCAGTTTACTAGCCTACAAGCTCGCCATCAAACAGAATGGCTGCGGAGAAGGCACAGAGCTCTTCACGCCACTAGTGCGGCAGTACATTACAGATGTCTACGAGTCCAAGTTCTTCGTGAATGCTAAGGACGCCAACATCAATCTGCATGGCGTCGCCCCCTACATGCCTCCACCACTCGGGTCCAACAAGGCTGGAGATGGCTTGTCGCTCCAATTGTGGTCTGATCCCACCTGCGACAGCAGTATGAAGGTATCACTGCACGTCGATACTCTTGGCAGTATAGGCAAGCTTTGGATGCGGTACAGGACGGTCTTCGCTGCTTTTCCTTTGCTAATCGTTGCACTCGCGCTAAGGAAACAGTTCAAGATCTACGATGAGACAGGTTAGTTAGGCTCTTAAAGCGACATACCTTCTGCTAACAAGTACAGGCATATTCATGAGCTTTTCAGAGAGCATCAACCAATGCCTCAGAACCTCACTTCCCGTGCTTTTCATAGCACTAACATTCTTGGGCACGTCCTTAGCCAACTCAAGCCAGGATCCGCTAAAAGCCGAGTCACACTGGCTTCACGGCTGGAGCAGGAACTTGACAGAGTCGGCCCTCGATCACTCGGCCAACGACCTTCTGCTCGGATCACAGGACACCTTCTTCTGGTTCCTGGTGCCTCTCTTTGGTCTCATCTGCATTGGGATCTGCGTCGCTGTGAACTACGTCGCCCTGGCCGTGACGTATGTCTTCACTATGGTATACTGCAGCATTCGCTCGGTGTCTCTACGCAGTGATGATGGAAGGTATACTTACATTCACGTCATGTCCAAGCGCTTCGGCCGCTGACGAATATCGTAGGAGAACACCAACTGCATTTGGCGTCACCTCAACTCGACAGCGAGTCATTACCACTAGCATTCTATTGCTACTGGTGTCGACTGCCATTCCATACCATTTTGCATACATCGTCCTCTGCGTGGTGCAGATTGCCACTTGCACACGTGCCTACCGACTGGCACGGGAGACAGTGAGCGCACATCTCCCTCGGCATCTACGACAACGGCTTGCTGACTCGTGCTCCAGCGCTCGGATGCCAACTACAACTTCTACAACTACGCACATTCCATCCTCGTGCTAATGCTCTGGATACTACCAATCAATCTCCCCGTCTTGGTCGTCTGGATCCGAAACCTCGCCGTACACTGGCTTACTCCCTTTTCCTCCCACCACAACATCCTCTCCATAATGCCCTTCATCCTCCTCATCGAGACCCTCAGCACCGGCCGCATGATATCCAGAGTGACATCTCGGTAAGCCTACCCCCACTTCTCCCCCCTCCTCCCACAGTATCCCAAATCTCTGTTCACCAAACCGCATCACTAACGACACTGAACAGCGCCCGCCTCCTCACAAACATCCTCCTCTTCAGCATAGCCATATACGCGGCCGTTTACGGCGTCAGCTACGCCTACGCCCTTCACCACCTCGCAAACATCCTCTGCGCGTGGCTTGTAGCTATACATCTCTCTGCCAGTCGCTTCTCGCTCTCTAGACTTAATCGCGTGATAGAAGGCCTGGAGACCCATGGGGCCCACCATATCAAGAAGAGGCCGTAGTAATTTTTAGATCTTTTTTTTGGCTTCTTTGGGGGTGGTTTTAAGCGCTGCATGGGTTGTGAGCGCTATGAGCGTGGATTTGCATAAGCTTTCTGGCTAGAGGGGTGGAGGGCGAGGCTTAATAAGGGGCCGGATGTGTTTGGATGTATCATAATGTCTATAATGCTGATACGCGGTGCGAGCGCGCTGCGAGTGGGGTGCAAGCATGGGCTGCGGCCTTGTACTTCTCGATCTAAGGGATTGTGACACCTGTCGGATACAACTGGGAGCCATCCACCTCTTGTGCTCATCATTTCCGCTCGAAGGTCGTGAAGCGGGGTGCTGTATGGCGTGAAGGAGAAGCTCGAATTGGAGCGTCGCTCGAACGTCTTGGGATTAAAAGGTTCTGATGAATGATATATACAGTAAACAATCGAAGGAGGTCTGGATACAGACTTCAGGTCAAGGCACATCCGCCCCTTCCCTGCTTCCTCAGTTTCGTCTGGGTTTCCTGCATCTCTGCTATGCCCTTACCCGCTGCCAATATTGGCCCAACTTCAGCGAAAGTATATCCTTCTTGACTGTATATATTGTTATCGTCGCCGGGAAGTTTGCAATCCAATAGGCGAGTCATTGAAGCCTTCGGCCCCCAGCGTCTTCCTGAAGTCGGCTTGATATGCCAAGGATGTGATGAGTATTGACTGAGTTGTAGCGACCAGTCTTGAGATCTAGCTTGCGGTCATATAGTCAGGGACGCTTCGGGAAAGCTTTATCATCGTATCAGCTTATCATTCTTGTGATCCGTGGAAGCGACTTACCCCCAATGCCCTTCGTATCCTTTCGCACACACATATCAGGTTTAAGGGTAAACTCGTAATACCACTTCAAGATGTGCATTCACCAGCTGGCTGTTGGGATCCGCGTAAACCATCTTTTCCTCCTCATACCCCGTGCTCCATGCTTCAACCTCTCCGAGCCAATGCAGTCTGTCTTTCCGCCCGGACTTGGGAGATGGGAGAACGTCATATGGAATCAGCATAGCCTTCCAAAACGTGCCACTGGCACATACCTCAAGATCCGTCAGATCGCGCCACTCGTATCTCTGAATACATCGATTCGGCTCAAGTGCAAAGAGGCTTGACTTATACGACATGTCCGTGGCTGTGCTTTTGCTGGATCGCTGGGTTCGGCTATGCAGGCGATTCATTCGTGCTGTTGCCTGTACGGTCCGATCCGATGGCGGTTTGTCGAGGCAAATTCGAGAACAAGGGCTCCGGTGTCTGCAGTACGTTTGGAAGCGTCTCGTGACTTGTGGGCTTCGGCGAAAATTACCCCACGATCGCCATCGCACGATCATGGGTTTGCTGGATACGCTGCTCAAGAAGCTTCGCCACCGCCTCGTGCCCTCTTATTACCGCCCAAAAGAGCGGCGTAAGACCATGTTCATCCTCCGAGGTGGCTTCGACGTCGTCCCGCTCGACTAATAGCTCTACTACCGCCTCGTGCCCTCCCATTGCTGCCCAAAAGAGCGGCGTACGACCGTCTTCATCCTTTAAGTCGGCTTCGACGTCGTCCCGCTCGACTAGTAGCTTTACTACTGCCTCGCGCCCTCCTATTACCGCCTATAAGAGCGGCGTAAACCCGGTTTTGTCCTCTAAGTT